CTGTCCAAAGCCTAGGCACCCAGGCGGAGACAGTAGGGAATACGTATATCCACGTGAGAACGGGATATCGCAATTCAACGATCGCGTGCATTCAACCATGCCATGTCTGGCCCAAACTTTTGCTGGACTCAGCGCGGCGTCCACCGTGCCCTCAAGTCCGGAAAGCTAACTTGTACTGGAATTGGTCATCCCCTTTCAGAGAGGACGCCACCCATACATCTTGCAACCGTGATCGAAGCGATCTCAACGGAACACCAAGTACTGAGAATACTCCAGAGCCATTTCGACCAGGTCCAGACTTCGGAATAGCATTCATCCTCGGAATTAGAAACCCTGGCGAGCAGGTGGAGAGGCAGTGTCCCATTTGACTGCCGATAGCATGACTTGAACATGAAAATCGACCCTCGCTTGAGATTCTACCTCACCGAGTCCTCCAAAGCTGGTGTTGCCGGCTGGAAACATCATGTGCAAGCTATACAAGGCCACCTGATAGGGGACCTGGACCTAGCAGTGGTAGCCGGACCTCACACAGCAAGTGGATCGCCTTGTCTCGAGCTCTGTACAGATACTTGCGCCCTGAGTTCTCAGGATGGCTGAAGGGAAGGATCATGATCTCTTGTCATCAACATTGAAGCTACATAGCCTTCAAGGGTAGCTCACCGCGTACTCCCGAGGCATTCTTGCAAGATTGACCCACCACAGAATGCCATGCGAATGCGAGCCCGTTGCCAGCGGAACACAGGTGCAAGAGCTTGATCACATCAAGCTCAAGACTCGTCGCTTTGCTTAGCGAAGCTTGCTAGCGACGGACGCGGGATTTTGGAGTCGTGTCACGCGTGTCATGCGCAGCTGAGGTGACTAAAGTCGGTAGCGAAGTCTCCTAGTGGTAAGTATCTTGCGGCGCTCAGCTACTCAGCTACGACCATCTCTCTATCATGCCAGGCTAGTCGCGACGCGAGTCAGTGTCCAGGAACGCGGCGCCGATGATGTGCCGCAACGTGAGAGGCATACGTGCCGACAAAGCCACCGAGCATACGACGGAAGCCCTGGCTCTCGTCTAATATTAGTCACGGTTATATTCAAGTCGATTGCTTGTCCTGGAAGGACCACCTCTTGGCCTTCGCGTCGACGAGGCGTCTGTTGGGGCGGGTTAATATCCGGCATCACCTCAGACAGTCACGCTTGAGACGATACGAGAGAAAGAAGCGTCCTTTTTCAAACCGCAATGCCAGGACAATGGGATCATCATGCCACGTTCTCGACGGGGTCGAAGAATGATGTTGCCAAGTCAGGTACAATTGATTATTTGGCTGTCCGACAGTGGCTCAGGCCATGAACTCGCATCGCCCACTTGCCTGACTGGCTGCGGGATCGCTGGATGATTGCCACCGACAATCGACTGTTTGCTAAGAGCCCGTTGCCTATTTGGACAGTCGCAAAGTACGTTCAACAGGAGTCGTTTCCCAATGATGCAGCACCAAAAAGCACCAACGGGGAGATCTCGATTGCCACACTCAAGCATCCTAGCTGCCGGAGGAATCCTCCTAGCGACGTTCTTGGGTGGACTTCCAGCCTTGAGACAAAGATGGCGAAGCGTCAAGGTATCATCATTGGCGGGACTGATCACCAAATCGAGCTGACGGGAAGATCGTTCGTGCCGCTTGGTACACTGAGCTGGCCCAGAGCACAGGTTGAATCATTTACCGAGTGGGTACAGCTAAAGTCAGGTGATGAGTGGAGGAAGCGAACTCATCCTTCTTCTGAGGTGGCTACTCAATGGCGCGGTGGCTATCGAAAGAGGCAACCACTGATCACGGTTCTTGATCAACACAAGGACTGTAGTTACGGTAAGTTCCTCATATGTACATAGCAATCCAAACCACGGTCCGGATGGACGCGACCACGGCGACCCGACCAGGTCTCCCTACACCCCGGCATTGCGCCAACTCCTGACTAGCTCGGTAGGTATTCGAATGGTGACTCTGTGTGGCTTCACGATGAACCATCACATTACTCTGTACACAATTGAGTGTCTGGCTTTGGATTTGGGACTGCTCCAGATCAGGTTATCCGGGGGCCATGATATCTGCCTCGTCACGGGATAACACGCAAAAAGCACGCATGGAAATTACTTCATGCGGTAGGACATATCTCTAGGGACTATGGGGCGATCTCACCTGAGATCTCGATGACTGCTGTGTATCCGCCCTCAGAATGAGCAGTCCCAGTTTCGGAGCTAAAGCACGGCAAATGTCTAAGCTACCATCGAGGGAAGCCTGCGGGAGCGCGAAAGAGCACAGTCTGTACAGATACCTGGTACAAAGTACTCCATACTGTGCTCGTACAGGGCACAAGTGGAAAGCAGAAATGGATCAGATTATGGAAGGAGTTAGTCAGCACTGAAACCCTGAGCCGAAGAAGCACTTCCTTACAGTACGAGTACAAATACATACTGTAGATAGAGGCCCCATAATCGGGTGCTTGGGGCATCATACCAAGCCCACCGTTAAACCCGATCAGGCTTCAGCACTTACTCGTACAGGGGTAAAGCACAAAGCCCGAAGAACATCCCAACATGATCACCGTCCCCACAGTCCGTTTCGTTTCGATTTCCGTTCTCGTGGCAAAGGCAAGGCAGAGCTAGTGCTGCACTACGCTATCCCCACAGGGGGACAGTGGGAGGTCCCGAACCGATCGGTGACTGTCAGCCACCAGCAGAGGGATAGAGATGGATGCCTGGTAAGACGTGATTCGCGCGACTGTCGCAAGGAACCACAGAGCCAAGAGCTGGGACGGATTCTTTCATCGCCCATGTCATCCTAGCACGGAATCCTGGCGACTCGGCGGCCAGCGGCCAGCGGCCAGTTGGGAGCCGGCTGAGTTAAGCATGCATACGAATAACTTCCAGTTCCAGCTTCAGGTCCGGGTTCAGAACCGTTTTATTTGACGTATTGTGCAAAGATGGATTTCGCATCGTGGTCTTGCCTACGTGCAACGTGTCTCATGCAAGGGACGAGACGACCTTTGCTCGTTCCTTTGTCAAAAAAGCATAGTCGCATCGTCCAAACTTTGCGAGATCGAGGCCAGCGACACCACTCGAGGATGCACCAGGACTTGACGTAAAAAGAGTGCCGAGCCAGCCTGAACTAGGTAAACACTTCTCTGTCTCTGTTACTAAATTTTCGGTAAAAGAAATAGACTTCGGGGAAATGTCACCACCTTCATCACCAGGACATCACCAGGCCATAGCCCGGGGAAGAATCCGATGGTATTGATGGTATTGATGGTATTGATGGTATCGATGGTATCGATGATATCGATGATATTGATAATGGTGGCGCACGACGGCTGAGGAAGGTGGTGCGATCGAGATCAACCCGTACGACCACCGCAATACTATGCAGTATGACCGGTTCGATTCCGAGTCCCAGGTCCTAAGTCGCCCTTCACGAAGGGATCCAACTTGCGCGCATGGCTGACGGCCACCCAGGGGCTCCACTCGGTGGACGACTCAGACATTAGTCAGAAATTCGCTGGAAGAGGCAGTTAGCCTCTGACGTGCTGCATCTATCTCTGTTCCTGAGTCCCGACTGGGCTCGGCTACTTACGTACTGCTACGGGCAGCACCACGCGACGTTTCTCGTGGCTCGAGCTGTCTTTCGGCAACTCTCCGTGCATTCGAAGCGGTTGGCAACTCGTAATCAGTACTGTAATTATATCTTTCCCGTACCGGTATTACAGTACGCAATACCTGTACTAGTAATCACGCCTCCATCGTCAAACTTACCTGTAAAGGTCTCTGACCAGGACAGTGACCGCGCGCCAGCCTTGTGCCCAAGATCTGACAACTTGACAAGACAAGGCGCTCAGGTGTCGCGTCTCTAGGTATCTTTGTACTAGGTGCCCCTCACTGAGTATTCGTATAATACTCGGTAGCCGATCTGTCGTGTGGTCCTCCCAAAGCATCTACCTGGAATGGATTGTACCAAGGTCGCTACAGGTCTAGTACGCCATGCTCAATTTCTGTGACCTGCCTTTAGATTTGGGATCTCGTCGGAACTCGGTATTTTAAGTGGTGCTTCCTTGAGACGCGTCGTACAATAATCATAGTGACGCCCGGTGTCAATATGAGGGATAGAACGGGGAAGGTCAATTATCGAATTCACAATAGCGGCGTCGCACCAGCCGCAAGCGAGGTTTGTGAAGCAAGCAATGAATAAACTAGCTCTTTGGGTTTTGAGTACGGCGTACGGACGGAATTCCTCGTCTGTCCTTTCGATTCCCGTCTGGCTGAAGCACTTGTCCAACCATCCAGCCTGGGACAATAACCAGCCAGATCCAGGCTCCCTGACGTGCTAACCCCTTGGCATCGCCGGACCATCTCGTACCCTTTGGATGCCTGATAACAAGGCTGAACGGAAAAATAAGGGCTCGGTATGATCAGGTCGCAACAAATGCCAAAACCAGAATTCGTTAAGAAAAGTGATCACCGCCGCGTTCATAAAAGTGCTTCAACTTGTTGATCATCGTACAGGCCTGATCTGCACCAAATTTAGGCAGTGCAAGCATTTCAAGCGAAAGTTCAAGCTGATCTGATACTGTCCCAACTACACCACCTGAGATGTTCGGTGCCCGAAGTACTAGAGGGAGTTCGAGACCGAGACTCGAGGCCGCTACCAGCTCGCAAGCCGATTCAATTGCGGTTGAGGGTTCCAGCTGTGACTGCGTTCACCAGACAAGCTCCCGCACACTGGAGGAACATGTACGCGAACTGGTGCGGCGCGTGCTCAACTCAAGTCCAACCATCAGCTACAGGCTCCCATAGGCCCAAGGATTGCTTGCGAGTGTAATGCGCCTCTCATACGGCCGAGAGGGTGAATTCCATCAGCTCACACCCCTGCGGACGTCTATTGGGCCCGCCTTGCCGCAGTCGGCGCACGGGGAAATGCCTGTGGGCAAGGCCATCAGACCAATGCATCTATTTCATATTAATCAGCAGCTCATCTTGTGCACTCAAGAGTATGAGTAAGTAGCGCAATTTCCCAAGTCATGTTCCTACTGAAGATTAGTGGCTGTGCATCGAGTCGGGCTCTGGACTGCCTACATACCTTCATGTAATCACTTCCTTTTTCCAGATATTCTGCGCGGGTGATGGTTGCCGCATCTCGCTCACTTCGCTCTCCAGCACCAGCGCTCCACCAGGATGCGGCACCTTTCCAAGCATCCAGTATCGGGTTGGTGGCTTTTCTCACATTGACCGTAAAGTCCGCAGGCACGGTCGCGATCAGTTCCCGCTTGAGCCGTTCTTCAAATGATGTGAACATGGTATTCCCGCCAGTCAAGAAGACGTCTTTCAAAAGAGCTCGTTGTTGATTGGGATCGGAAAACCGCCCCATGACAATGCCTTCAATGATCTCGACGAGACCTGCTTGATCCACACCTGCAATAGCTGGCTGAAACACAACTTCAGGGACTCGGATTCGTTCAACATTGAGGTGGATTTGATTTGCCTCCCGCTGACTCTCTGGATCAGAGGGTCGGGCACCGCGCAGAAATGCGTGGAGGACGCTCTTGGTCCAATCGTTCTGTGCTTCTAGTGTATCTTTCTCCTCAAAGTTGGGGTCATACTGGAGCAGTTCGCTTTCGACTGCTTTCAAAGCAGCCATGGGGTCTTCCTCTGGCTCTTCATCATCACTGGCAGGGTCTGTGGCGACGGTTCTGTAAACACCCCAATCATCATCATTTGCTCCGAAGTCATCATCGTATTCCCCTCCACCTCGTCTTTTCCGCTTGGGGCCGTCGGAGGCGAGATTGGCGAGGGTTTTCATTCGCATTTGAGAGGCCATGCCTTTTCGGTTGCCCGAATCGGCCTTTTGTCTCGCCTGTTCTTTTATCTTGGCCAGGAGGGATTCATGCTGCTCTCTGCGTGCAGCAAGCCAGTCATCAAACCGATTCTCGCGGATTTCAACGTCCAATCGCTGTCGTTCCGCTTCTCGTGCCCTTTCGGCCTCTTTTTCAGCTTTGGCCCTGATTCTTGCCTCGACACCAGATTTCATCAGCCGTTGGTGTCGTTTCTCCTTGATGCCATCCTCGTCCAGCTGATCATCTGGTACATCGAGAAGCGGAAACTTGTTGAGTTGCTCCTCAAGTTTCTCCTCTTCCTCCGGGGCACCTAAATCTTTGTTGCGGGATTTTCTGATAGATTTTTCGAGGTCTCTTATGATTCGTTCCATTGCAGCCTCGTCCTTGAACTCGGCGTCGTCGAGGATCCGGCGTTGTTCTTTCTTCGTGGGCGCGTCGACGAAGGAAGTGTGTAGCTGCAGGTAATATTCTAGGTCTTGCTCCTTCTTCATTAGTTTCTCGAGTCGCATCTTTGCAGCCTGTTCCTGTAAACGACGCCCCGATTCCTTTTTCCTCTCTGCAATTCTGGCAAGCTCTTCGGGTGATTTCTCAATCACAACCTGTTCGGTAAAAGGGTATTGCACAATGATGTCTCGCTCTTCCTCGAGGCCGGACCAGTCTAGATAACCGGATATCTCCGTCTGGAAGTCGTTGGACAGATAGCAGTATTGCTTGATGTATGTCTCCATCTGCTCGTTTGTGAGCTTTCCCGGGAACATTGGATACTTGAGACGTAGGAGTTTCAGCAAGAATTCTTGTGCCTGGGAACCTCCCCAGTTCAGTCGGGCGCAAGATTGCATCTGGGGCTTCTTGTTCAACATTGGTATGATGTGGGTGGACGTGTGAGAGGAAGAGACAATCAGACCCGAGTCGCCTTTGTTTTGCCGATACGAAAAGAGGCTGTCAATTCCATAAGTCACACTAGGAACCCCATAGCAGTCGAAAAGCATCTCATTCATCATTCTCCTGCTGTGGGCCAAGTTTGCAACTGGCTCGGTGACGACGAGCGGGCGGTCCACGCTTCCCTCACTGTCCACTCCTAGCTTCAAGAAAAGATAGTCGTATATAGCCTCCATGATATCCCAGTTGGTGGTGATGCTTGTATGTTGTTCGAAGGCAGTTCTTATCTGTCCGCGGGTTGTGGCATCCGCGAATGCATCGTAGCCGACGAATGCACAGTATTTATTGTACTTGCGGTCTTTGTACTTTGCGACAAGAGGAGGTATCATAAAACGTGGGTTTTGGTCAAAGGAAAAGCCGGCTTTGATTGTGCTTGCACCTAGATCACGATTAGCCCGTGGGTATTGCGAGTTCAGAGCGTTGAGAACGGACCATTGTCAATGACTATCGCGGTCTCGGAAGGCGATGAGGCACTCTGTTGGTAGCCTTCGGGCTGTGGAGGTTGCCAGCCTCGGAAAGGAAAGTCTGGAGCAGGGTATATCCGTGGAGCAGACGGCGGCTGGCCGTCTATGGGTGGTGTAGGCAGGCGACGCTCTGTCACAATTCGAGTGGAAGAGGTGAGGGTCATGTTGGAGGCGGACTCTATGGAGAGACAGCGCAGCGCAATTTGATCCCTTCAGAAAAAGATGAAGACTGGGTCATAGCAAGGTGTCGACACAGGAGGGGGCTGTCGCTGCGAATTCTGGGTCGTGTGGGAGGAAATGTGTGCGTCGTGCGCAGGGCGAAGGGGAAGTCGCGAAATATTCATGTGATTTGGGAAAGAGCGACCAAGACAGAGGACCGATGCGGAGAAACGCAGCCTGATTCATTTGGGCTCAGCCTCGTCGACATCCGAGACAGCCCAGTACCAGGAGAGGACTTCTATCAATGCACCCGGGGGTCAATTTGGGTCTACTTTGGGTTCTGATTTTCATCATTTGCATAGTGACTGTTCGGCCCGCCCTTTCTCATCGCAGTCCGTGGCTGGTCATGGTAACAAATACAGCATCCGGGCAACAGCCTCATCCACCTGCCATCACTTCAAGTCAAAGTCCTTGATGTTCAGACCGGGTCTTTGAGATTTTCAGTCGCTAGACCATTGTAAGCCTCAAGGGTCCAGGTACTAAGTGAGGTCGAATCAACGAACCTTCGAGATGAAACAAGACGTTGGATTGGTAGTTCTTGAACATCTGAGCCACCAGCTCGACATTCATATTCTGGACGTTGACTTCCTGCAGGTTCTTGTTCATCATGGCAACTGCTTCATTCAACTTTTCCTATCAATTTATTAGCTTTACTGGACAGCATGAGACCGGTGCGGTGCTCATACAATGTTGGTGATGATACGCGACAGCAAAAGGCTCTGCTGCTGCTCATGGGGACTTTCCTAGGACAGCCCTCAGCATGTGACTTTGGTGAGGACTAGAAGCTACTAACCATTTTGAACGAGCAGAATCAACACGTTGTCTCATCCACAACGATCAATGCAAAACGCGTCCAAATAGAAGTGGTGGTTGGTTGCCAGGTTGGCACAGGAGACTCTTGCCGCTTGTTCAACAGTGTAAATATCGCGTACGCGTAATCTGCTGGTGGTGGTGCGATGTACGGAGCACTGTACTGCGTCCTGCGTCCTAGTAATTGCAGCAAATACGCCCCCCTCGGCCCGAAGGGCCCACTGCTTATAGGCAAGGAAATGTCAAACGGGTAAGGGAGACCCAGCGAAAGCGGCTCTTCAGGCAAGGCACTAGTTAAGACGGTGCCTATTGGATTGGCCCCAGTTACAAATGCCCACCCCTTTAGGTGCCTTGGGCAGGTACCTATGGACCTAAGCATTCACCGGCCGCCCCAACTGACGCTCGCCAGCGCTCAGGCAGAGTGGAATCAAATCAGACCTCATTTTATGGGTGACTGTACGGGATATCAATTAGGTGTCATGCTACTCATGGATCAGGCCGTCTGCACCTTGATCGACTCTGCTACAGCATCTTGCAATGTCTCGACGACTGTCTCCCCTTCGATGAGGCCATTGTCTCTCTTTTCGTAGAGAGTTCCACCCTCGGCCCAGATTCTCTTCAGGGTGAAAATGGTGGCATAAGGCACGCCCTTTTCCCACGCCTCGCTCTCCAGTCTTGACAATTCTGCTACGTTTGTGTATGACACCTTCCACGGGTCTCCACCCGTCTGTTTCTCAAATTCATGCAGAATTTCCAGGTCCGTGGTGGTGAACGAGTTGACCTTCAAAGCCCTATTTCGACTTTCCTCCGGATGAAGCAAGGCAAGCACAAGTAGTTTCCCAACGCTGCCTGGGTTAGCCTAATCCAAATAATCCTAGGTTTATAGGACCTACTCTCTCATCGTCGTGAAGCTGACTTTCAAGCTTCCATCTCCAAGCAAGGTGGCTTCCTTGTTCTTGACGTCGAAGTGGCCAGCTGGTTTTGCAACGGTACTTGGCCCAAAGTAAAGACCCGCATCACCGTCTGCATAGGGTCCTGTCACAAGGAATGTATAGTCGAGATTCTGACAAGCCCGTATGGCCTCGCGGACTTTGAGCTTCTTCTGATGCGGCTTCTCGTCGACCGACTTAGGTCCATACTCAATGTCTGTACCATACTCTGAAGGAAAGAACCTGTGAACGGCTGGGTTGAGATCGGCCAGGCGAATCCACTCAATTTGCGTCTCAATGGCATTTCTGCCAACCGCTGATATGACAGTGTCGACATCTGTTCATTCGACTTAGCCCCAAGATGGTGGTTCCGCTGGTGGTTTGTGAGATATATACCTTTGTACGCCCTGCTGATGTCTTCCTTATTTGTTGCATCGCCTTGGATGATCTCTACTCCTTCATCTTTCAACCATTTAATAAACTCAACTTTGGTTTGAACAGTATTGGGCGAGGTGAATATGGCGATGTTATCGAAGCTCTGTTTGTTTTCAACTATGGCTTTCGTAATGCGTAGGCCGATAAGCCCCGATGCTCCAACAATCAGAAGCCTCTTGCATGCTGGTACCGCGGTAGTCATGTTGATGGGTATAGAAGGTTCAACTTAGCTATCCTTGGGTTTGGACCTGGACTGTTACCTTGTTAAATAGTGATCTCGACGGTGGCTCCTGGCGAGACCCTCGAACCTGAGCCTGTATACACGTACGTAGCACACAAAGTAGCACGCAAATGTCATCAAAAGGCGCGGCTCTTATCGGCTGTTATCGGTTAATGAGGCAGGGTTGGAGCATGATCCTTGAGGCTGATACTTTCACAGAATGTCCTCTCCGAAGACAAAGAAGTCTTGCAGTTTTCAGCGATAGTTTCATGGGCATAACTTTTATGAAGCCAGAATTCCTCGTCTCTGCCAAAACAAGATTGAATAGTCTACATTCAATACCTTGGGCATTTTCCTGGGGAGATAATCCTAATTCAGGATACTTGCTGAGATGGGAAGTTCTGGGTCCATTGAAAGGGTATACCGATATCAACATCACATATTGAAGCAGTCAATAGTATGTCTAGCAGTAAAGACGTACGAGTGGGGGATCGTTGATATCATCATAATATAAAGCTCGCTTCCTTGGTGGAAGGATCGACTCTCTCTATCGAGAATACATAACAAATAATCAGGCTCTTGCTACGGTGACCCTTGACGCGTTTCCCTTCCCACTTCCCACTGCCAACGTTCCCACACGTAATTTGACGTGTACGTGAACTTCTCCTGCAACGCCAACTGCGCCAGAGACTTCATGTCTTCTTGTCTTCTTGTCTTCTTGTTTTCAATCTCCATCTAGCATCTAGCAACACCCTCATCGACCTCGCAATTATACAGGTCTCCTCCTTCGATCAAAATGCCTCCCTCCACCCCACAGCCCGAAAAGGATGACTCGCACCAACAACTCCTCGATCAGATGGACATCTACTACACCCCAAAGCCCTTCCGCAATCCCAACTGGAAACCAGGCACCCGGCGGAACAAAAACACCAAGCAGATCATCTCTGAGGCCCAGCGGAAAGAAGCATCCGTTCTCGCAACACAGAATAACTCGGGCGCATCCACCCCTCTACCCATAACTGATGCCAACTCGGACGGTACATCCACTCCTGCTTATACCACAACCGCCTCAAGACCGGTTAACATGGCCCAGGCCACCCAAAGTCTTAGCACACTCGTCCTCGAGCGCAACCTGCAGCGAGCGGCGAGCGGCTTGGCCACTGGCACTGGCACCGGCACTGGCGTTCCGACTGGATTGGGAGCTGGAATGACCATGGGTATGGGTGCCGGAGGCCCAGCAGTGACCTACACCAACATTGAAAGCGCACCTAGCCTCCATCCTGCCAACCATCCACATTACTGTGACGTGACAGGACTGCCTTCAAAATACACAGACCCAAAGACCAAGCTGAGATACTATGACAGAGAGATTTTTGCCGTGGTCAGAAGTTTGCCTCAGGGTGCACCAGACCAGTATCTGGCTGCAAGAGGGGCGAATGTGATCTTGAGGTGAGCAGGATGAACAAAATATTATGATGAAGATTACGGCTGCTACACACGATGGCACTATCTACATGGCGTTCATATTGTCAGTCCAGCCAAGTCAAGCCCGTTCCACCCACGACAAGCCTCTCGACCTGCCGTGCCAGGAAGTGCTCCGGCTTAATTGTGAACCATTTGGTCTTCGCCAGATTGACTCCCTACCGAAACTTCATTCAAGGAAGCAGAATCAGTTACAGCACGTATTCAACAGTGACTGTGGTCAAGGCGGGGCGTGAGGATTGCTATGACGATGGTAAAATTGACCAAGAATCGTCAACCTGTCAACCTTGGTGCGATCTGGACCTGCTGCGTCCTGAGACGGGGTCAGCGATCGAGATATCTCCCCAGCATTGAGGAGCAGCTAAAATAGCCGTTCTGCAACCCTTTGACTGGTTCTAGCAGTCCTCTCACAGTCGGCTAACCACGAAGTCTGGAATGAGTATTACTAGGCAACAAGCTGCACACCCTCTGTGCACACAGACTTCGCAATGCCCCTGAGGGACGCTTGGAATTCCCATAGACATAGAGTGGAGTATTAGTTAGCACACGCGAGGATTGTCCTACAGGGGACAGATGTACGGGAGAGATGATTCGATCTCCGAGGCGTGGGATTTTATTTTGGATCAGAAATTGTAAGCTCGGAGGCCAAGATAACCCGAGCCGGGGTCTCACGTGTCACATGTGACGGAGCTGTGTCATTCTCCGACAAGGGGACAAGGATGCGGAGTTGATACAGTACGTCCTCAGGACGATTAATTAATCGATGGGCGACTTTAGCCATCGCGACTTAAACCCGTCCTCTTGACATTCCCTCGAGTTCTGGGGCTGCCGCAGCCAAATACCGTCAAACTGGATATGTTTTCGGTGAGCAAGTCGTCAAGCATTGGATGCCTTGACATTTTTCTAACCCGCAGGCCAGCGCCTCAAAGGCGCCATAGATAGTCGCATCGCCGAGGAACAGGCTCGCCAGCGACAGGCCCAGCTCGGTGCCCAACAGTCCACCAGGACTCCTCCACGAAGACGTCCTCAGGGCCAAAATACCGCTCCTCCCAGGCGGCCTTCACGCCAACGGGAGCAGGCAAACGAGAATACCTCGACCGGGAAAGGCCCTGATCCCTCGGAGTTCGAGCCCGAGTTTGCCATTGGTGATGATGAAAGCAGTGTTCCTAGCAGAGTAGCTACTCCTATACCAGAGGTCAAGGAGAAGGATCGGGATCATGATCATGATGGAGAAAATGATAAAGAAAATGACAAAGAGAAGCAGCCGGCGCCTGCCGCTGCTGACGAGACAAATGAGCAACACACTTCGCAAGATGCTACGACCGAGAAGAGACCCTCGGATGCATCCACGACTCTATCTCCTCCATCACGTTCCCAAGATCTTCCCACAGACGTCCGCGTGAAACTACGCAAACTTGAACGCATGGAGACGAGGTATGGTGAATTGCTCAAAGCCTACCGCTCCGCCCACGCCCGTATCCAAGCCGTCGAGTCATTCGAGTCTACTTTACGAGAGAACACGCCTTTAACCAGTATTAACGATGCTGATGCCTTGGTTGAGTACCTGTCCCAGATCAATCTAAAGAGTGACATGGTCCTGGACGAATTGAAAAGGGTCACGACAGACAGGGATGGTATAAAGAAGAAGTTACAGGCTTCAGAAGACGACGCCACCAAATTACGGGATGAGGTTGCCGTTTTGAAGGAAAATTCTGCTCCCATCGAGCAGCCTAAGCCTTCTCCAGACCCTACCCAAGCCATCTCGATCCCAGACCCTACTATTGTAGCACCGACCGATACCGACACACTGAACGAACCCGAAGCGACTGCCAAATCACCCGCCTCTACCTCCTCCCGCATAGCCAGCTTCTCGCTTTTCTCCCCACGCACCAAAGCCGTTTCCCCACCACCCAAAGAGACTTCGGAAGACCTGTTCTCCTTCGATTCCGAACACGCCAGATTGGAATCAGAGCTTCAAGAACGCCAAACTGAAGTCGAAGATTTGAAACAACAGGTCAATAACTTGAAAGGCGATCTGAAGGTTGCCCGCGAGTCGACGGAAAGCATGGTGCAGAGCCTCGAGACTGCGACTCGTGAACTGCATATGTTGCGTGAAGCGAAGGATAAGTTTGACCAATTACAAATGGATTTGCAGGCTCAAATTGATAACCTGGAAGCCAAATCAAAATCAGACGGGGACTCTTCTGACCGTCTCAAGAAAGATATCAACAATCTAAATGCGCAGAAAGCAGAAGCAACTGAGCAGTGCCACAAGCTTAAGAAGCAAATCCAGGACCTGGAAACGCAAAACGCCGAGCTGAAGCAACTCTCGGAATCTCGGGCCAAAGATGCAACTATCTTGAACGAGAAGCTTGCACAAAAAGACTCGGTTGTCAAAGATCTAGAAGATACCTTGGCGATGTACAAAGCAGCTGAGCGCCAGGAAGCCAAGGGAAAGGGAAATAGCCAGTCAAGCGAGAAGAAGCTTGTTACCATGCAAAATATCATGGACACCTTGCGTGGCCAATTGAGTACGGCGGAGAGCGCGGTTGCCGAATTAAAGGCTGAAGTTAAAACCAACAAAGAAGAATACTCGAGCCGGCCCTCCACAAAAGTTTTTGGATTTCTGGATGATAGCAAGAAGGCTTCCATCGATAGCCTTAATTCTCGGGAAGACGTTGTAAATTATCTCTCTGAGAACTTCGGGTTGCAAAAGACAAGCACTGCAAAACTGGCGACTACCATGTTAACTTCCTCACCCGCCCCGTCGGACGCCGGTACAGCTGCATCCAAGAAGAAGAACAAGAAGAAAAAGAAAGGCAAAGGACAGCAGTCGGCGGTGGAAGATGCTGAAGTCGATACGCCGGTCAAAGTATCAGAGAACCTTGCTGATGTTGATGGTGGTGAGGCTAGCAGTGTCGATGGTCCACATTTGCAAATTTCGAAGCTCGAATCGGAGTTGCTCGGGCTCAAACAGGAGATCGCCGCAAAGGATGCCACAATTGACAGAATCTCGGAACAGCTGAAGGATCAAGAATCTTTGCAGGAGGAAATTGAAACCCTGCGAGATGATCTCCTTCATCAAGGTGAGGAGCATGTTGAAGCCCGAGATGCTCTGAAAAAGGTGCTGAGCGAGAAGTCTACTCTCCAATCTTCCCTGGATATTCTTGAGAAAGCCCTTATGGAGGCGCGGAAGGCAGCCGCCACCGGCGCTGACTCGGAAAAAGCGCACAAGCAAATGGTCGAGCAATATGATGAGCTCCAAGGTCGATGTACCACCCTACAAAAGGATTTAGAAGCAGCGGAGCAATTAGCAACAGCCAGGTTCAAGGATATAACGGACTTGAAGGATATTCTCGCCAAAGCCCAACCCGAATTGCGCAATCTGAGAAGTGAGGTTGCTGAGCTCAAATCAGCCAAGGATGATTTGAAGAACAAGACAGGTGAGCTTAATAGACTTGAAGCTCGACATGAAGATCTCAAATCCGAGCTTAAGGGTCTTGGCAAGAGATTGAGCGACAAGGATACCGAAATCAAGGAACTCCAACAGAAGATTGATCAAGAGACGAATAACCGTACCAGGATAGAGAAGGATCTGGACAAGGCACAGGGTGATCTGAAAACAGCAGAATCGCGCCGTCAAGAAGCGTCAAGCAGTGCGGACCAGTTGAGCCAAAACCTGGTCAAGGCCAAGGAAGAGTCAACAATGCTCAGGGCAAAGTTACATGACCTGGACAAACAGTTGTCTCAGCAAGTTCGAGAGGTCTCGAGCTTGAAGGAAGAGGTCTCACTAAAGACAGCGCTCCATTCCTCGGCTCAGTCACTTGTACAATCCCTGCGAGATCAGACTCATGAGCTGAATATGCAAGCACGTGAATCAGTGACCAGAGCCGATAACTTGGAAGAAGAGCTGACCGAAGCCCAACGAATGCTCTCTGAGCGAACACGTGAAGGTCAGACAATGCGTATGCTTCTAGACCAGTCACAAAGCGGTACTGAAGCCCGACTTCGTGAAATGAAGGAACGGATGGATGCTGCCATTGAGGAGCGTGACCGTGTTGAAGATGAAGCAAGCGTCAGCAATCGCCGTATGATGCGTGAGGTCGAAGAGGCCAGAAGTAAGGCCCGTGATGCGCACCGAGCGCTGAAGATCTTGGAAGACGAGAAAGACGAGCTTGAAACAAGACAGAGAGACTGGAAGAAACGGAGGGACGAGCTCGAACAAGCTACCACTGCAGCAACCAGGGAAGTGGAGGAGGTAAGATCCGCAATGTCCGGCCTGAGAGAGGCTCTCGATGAGAGTGAGCGACAAGTGCGTGAACTAGACACCCAAAAGGCTGATCTGAGACGCGTGGGAGACGACGCCCGAGAACGAGTTGAGAAATTGACCAAAGCAAACAAGACACTGACAGAGGAGCTCAAGGCCGCGCAGTCAGGAATCAAAAACCTCAGACTGCCAGGTCGTGCAGGCACCGGAGTCGACTCAGGCGCTCCAAGCTCTCGCACATCTATTGATTCAACGACCGCGCGCTCACCTGCCCCAAAGGAGCGCTCGCTGTTGTCGAGTAATAACAGTCGCAGTGAAACGCCAACAACCACGGCGAGTGGAGGTTTGAGCAAAGGGACAGTTGACTACGTTTACCTGAAGAATGTATTACTACAATTTTTGGAGCAGAAGGATAAAGGCCACCAGAGGCAGCTAATTCCCGTATTGGGGATGCTGCTGCATTTCGACAGGTAAGTTCCTCTCCTCGCCTTTGCACGTAGAACAGCAGCCTTGTGTCAAAATTCCACCTGAAAGAACCTTGACTAACAGCAGTGTGCGCTACAGGAAAGATGAACAGAAATGGATATCTGCCATTGCTGCTCGATGACCGAGTAAATGAAAGAGAGTTTACGTCTACGATCAACAAGAAGGTTTGGAAGCCTTTGCCTTACATGAGCGACTTCCGTTCAATGCAGGCACCTTGGTCAATTAATTATACCTGGTCTTACTGACCAAGGGTCCTTGTAACAACACTACGTCTTTTAGCAAAGGCCTCAGCCGGGCCAGAAATTTGGGTTAAGGCGGGGGGGGACACGTCCAACGAATTACTAGAAAACGTCTGTTTGCTGCGGATCTAATTACTGGCTTTAGACATTGGGAAGCGATAGCCACACCCCGAAGCAGACCCTCAAGACTCTGTTTCGATCTATCTTTCCTTCGTCATGACATCCTCGAGTCTGTAGTAATCCTTATGTAGAGGCAGCAAAGAATAACACCATACCGGGCTACCTAAGTTAGGTAGGACAAATACTCGAGCCGAGCTACAGAACCTAGGAACCACCAGAAGGTAGTGCCAAGGGAGTCAGGGGCGCTCAGCCTTGCCTCGGGCGGGTCATGATACTACGATCCAACAGGGTGGCTTTCCCCCCGAGGGGCTCTTAGAACCGGGATTCTTGTGTGTGTGCATTGGGACCCCTGAGGGGCTGGAGGGCAGGCAACACACTTTTTCAGTGCAGTGGCGTCTCCCAGACGCCAAACCATTCATGTATTTGGCCGAGTGGTGGAAAGTGTATTTATTGTCGCGAGCTCAAAACCTAACGACACGACGGTTCGACTGTAGAAGCTACAGCACACGCAAGGTGTTTGCAAATACGAATTTCGAAGCCTCAGTAGCTATTGCCGTACCGCTCCTTCAGATGATCTTCCGCCCGAATCGGCCTATATTTCGGCTGCTCACCTGGTCCAAGGCAAGTCGGAATACATTCGATGACCTGGTCCAAGAGCCCTTCATTGAAGAACGCAACGGAATACCGGTATCGATTCGAGACTGGCGTGATCACCCGGTGCAATGTCGAGGTGTACATCTCATTTGTCCATCTCTCTGTTATCGATCAACAAGCGTCATTAGGGTTTGAACAAGTTGAAAAATCATGGTGGATATTGCTTGAAGTTGCACCTACCCATCATGTCGCCTATGTTGACGACAAACGCGTCGTCGACGGGTACTACGGGATGCCATGTGCCGCTGGGCTTGTGGAATACTTCGAGGCCGCCGACTGTATCAATGCGCATCGTGAGTGGCGCTGATCCCGAATGGCATCCGAAGAAGGCTTGAAAGCGGACTTACTCGAGTCTTGCATCAGCAGCGTAAGCGCCCCAAAATCCGTGTGGGCACCGATCCCTCTCGAGTTTCGAGCAGTCTCTGCCGTGGCAGGGGGATAACGATGTGCTCTGCACATTGGAATAGCTGGACCCTATTGTCAGTATCGTCGAGCCGTCACGGGCGGCAACTCGCCCTGCAAGTCAATTTCAAGTGACGATGATGAATTACAATTTTCGCTGCTCACAAACTCGTCAAAGTACGTCTCCTCGAGGCTCAGGCTGAGCGCCATGAGGCGAAACATATCCTTACTCAACTCATGCATCTGGTTGAAGTATTCCATGAAGGACTCCCGAAAGTGAGGCAGTTCGCTCCCGGGGGGCCACTGGTTCGGTCCCTGAAGGAACCGCGTCGCTCCGGGCAGTTCCAGCCCAACCATGAACCCTTCCTTCTGGTCTGCGAACCCGCCTTCGAGCATCTGCTCGCCGACACTTTCATATCCGCGCAGGCAATGGGAATTCCCTCTGTGCAAGCCCTTTTTCTGGTCACTCGGCAGCGCGAAGAAGTCCGCGATCTCGCTCAGAAATGCTTCACGCAGAGTACGAGAGACATTGTGCCCTGTGATCTGGAAAAAGCCTGGCGACTGGCATGCGGATCGCAGGGATTCCACGATTTCGTGGATCGCCGACGCGTCTTTGCCGGATAAGTATGCTGAGATGTCGATCAGTGGTATCTGCAGTTGTTGGACGGTTTCGGAGCCGGCAGCGTCGCCCATCTTATGGAATAAATTGCGGGTGTTCAGGTGGTTATCAGCTGGAGGTAAATATTTGGTCGATGCACGACTATGATGTTATCTTTGGTCTGGAGAGGCTCCTTCTCTTGACTGGCATCGTAGTTGACAGCACAAGACATGCCGTAGGCATCTTTCTCCTGGCTAGTTTGAAATTCGTCCGCTTAGTTCCTCGCTTCCACGAAATGCCATTCCTGGGCGCACGGCGGGTCACTTTTCTACAGTTTGATAGGCCTGTTGAAGTAACCTACCTAGGAAATAACTGCCAATGGCTGGACCTCAGTGAGAGATCTGTGGGCCTGGGAGGGACGCAGGGCGTCGGTCTGTGACTTTGACAACGGCTCGACCATATCGACGGACATCACCACCAATACTATCTTTGTATCTGGTCTTATCTCTACACTAGACTTATCGAAGTTGCAAAACTGTGTGCGAACCCGGTTCTCATGGCTCTGCAGCATCTCCCGAAAATCTGGTTGGCGGGACCGGGCTGGACACACGGGAAACGGATCCACGGGTTCGCAAGCCATATTACAATATGATTTCCACGACATTGCTCCCGTTATCTGCTTCGCAAGCCGGTCTTCTTCTGAGCTCTCTCTTTGCAAGCAACTAAGAACCTTGGCCACAATGTCGGCTTTGCGGGAGCGCGTACACCACGTCCACGCAGAGATCAAGAATAAGACAACACGAGACGGTTGGGTACTGGAAAAACAAGATTCCAGTTGGGCTCCTGCCGGCACGTGGTCCAATGCCGACCTCGACATAACCCCAGTAGACAGGCGGACTTGGACGAGCTGGACCATCTTCGGGTACTGGTTCAGCGACATCATCAGTATTCAAAGCTGGCAGACCGGCAGTACCATCCTGGCGGTTGGTCTGACATGGTAAGTGCTTTGGAAGCCCATAAGTATTTGTCACTGGGGTAGATTCTCACAATGATGGTGGGCCAGGCGCGAGGCTGTTTTTGCGATCATCTTTGGCTCATTCGTGATGGGAGTGCCGATGGCCTTGAACGGATACACGGGTGCAAAGACACACGCACCATTCCCCATCCTCGCGCGTGCATCCTTTGGATACCATCTGGCCAAATTCCCTGTTGTCGTCCGTCTCATCACAGCTCTTTTCTGGCATTCAATCACCAATTTCCTAGGCGTTGGGCCGACAATTCAAGTCATACGAGCAATCTGGCCGTCCTTCAGGACGTTGCCCAACCACCTTCCAGAGTCAGCCGGCATCACATCGCAACAGATGATCGCTTATTTCGTGCTCTGGGTCGTGCAGTTCCCTCTGCTGATGATTCCCCCGCATAAAATGCGATGGTTGTTCACCGTCAAGATCATCATGGCCATGAGCACAATTGTAGGCATGACGATATGGATATGCGTCAAGGCTGGCGGCAGTGGGGACATTTGGGACCAGCAGCCCCAAGTCTCAGGCTCAGCGAAGTCCTGGTTGATCATGTGGTCTCTCAACAGCTGTACTGCATCTTGGAGCACCGTTGGCGTAAACATCCCCGATTTCACGCGCTATCTGCACAAGCCTCGATCTGCATTGCAGCAAGCAGCCTGGTTCCCTCTGATCTGCAGTTGGGTTGCAGTCATCGGTATCGTCGTGACTTCCGCGTCCTACGTGCTGTACTCGGAATATATATGGGATCCGATTGCCATAATTGACACATGGGATGGGGCGGGTGGTCGCGCCGCTGCATTCTTCGCCGGACTCTCCTGGGTCCTTGCTCAGATCTGTGTCAACGTGTCAGCCACTGTGATCTCGGGCGCGAATGACCTGGCAAATCTTTTTCCAAAGTGGTTCAATATTCGACGGGGCGCCATTTTCATCACGATTATTGGCGGGTGGGCCATGGTGCCGTGGAAGATTCTGCATTCGGCGAGCTCGCTTTTGAGCTTCATGGGATCACTGGCCATCTTCTTGTCGCCTATGATGGTGAGAAATGACCTAGACCGCAATGATAGACTCACTGACAGACGTGCAGGCCATCCAAATTGCAGACTTCTTCGTTATAAAGAAACAAAACCTGGACCTTCCAGCCCTGTATCAGCCACAAGGGCGTTACCGCTATGTCTTTGGCGTGAACTGGCGAGCTCTGTTCGCTCTTGGCGCTTCGATCGTACCTTGCCTGCCGGGTCTGGCATACAACGTCAATCCGAATGTTGAAATCGGTGGAGCCGCATATTTGATCCAATTTAACTGGTATTACGGATTCTTCGTCGCCTTTGTCTGCTATATCGCAACTAGCCTGCTGTTCCCTGCGAACGAGACGCTTGTGCCTTGCATGATCGAGACGAATGACCAGGGGGGCCTGGAGAGCATTGAGATAGAGAAAGGGTTGAGTGTCGTGACTGCGAATGAGCGGCAGAATGATCAGTAGGCTCGGATAGTGGCTACAAATAGCGCACATACACACCATTGTGCACCTCGTACTGAAGCTGGAAGACAGCCGTTTTATAAGCGGCCGTTGGCCGGATCCTTAATACTTAGATCTGGGGGATGGCTTCATTTGTCTGATTTAACCCAGGCCTTGTCATGTGGTTATACCTTGATTCTGGCTTATATTGAGCAATATTTGGGAAAGTTGGAAAGAAATTCACACGTATGCGACTCAGAGGGGGTGGATTGTTCAACTGGCTGTATTGGATCAACTAAAAGTAGAATACACTTCAAGTCGAAGGACAAGGGTCTTCTGGGCTCTCCAACGTACCCCCGACGTTCAATTATGCTATGCTCCACATACTCTATTAGCGACAATGCCAAACGTGTTCGAGAGAAGCACATGATAAGTTTGGAGTCATTATCATCAAATTTAGCCCACACTGTTGTCGGCATGAAGGATCTCGGTACTTCATAGGGCGAATATGGCGACAACACCAGCGACAGCGAGACCGGCAGCATTCAAGCTCAGATGATCAGCGGCGCCGGCGAAGGTAGATGCGCTATTTGCAGGGGCGCTGGCGGTGGTGGAGCTGCCACCAGCTGCGGCTGTCGTACCAGGCTGTCCGCTGGTCTGAGTGGCGAGGGTAGAAGCGTACGTAGTGCCGTCGAAGGTGAATGAGCCACCATCAGTGTAGGTGGATGTAGCGCCAGTGGCAGTGGTGCTCCCCCAGGAACCAGAGCCGTTTGAGGCAACGGTACCGTTGGGAGAAGCGGTTGAGGTGCCCCAGCCAGATGAACCGGTCTGTTGAGCGGGGGGTCCGAGAATGATGCTACCTGAAGAGTCGGTCGAAGCAGTAGGCTTGACCGAGGTGCTAGAGGATGCGCTGGAGCCTTTGCCGCTGAGGACGGAGAATTGCGTCGAGTATTGGAACTCGCCAGTGCCATCGACAATGATCAACATACCATAGCCGGTGTCGGTGGATTGCTTGCCTGGAGCAAGGCCGCTGGGCACTGACCATTGGTAGGACTTTTGGGCAGCAGGCAGGCCCTCGACAATGGCGGTGTCTGATGGTACACAGTTGGAGGATGGACCATGGCAAAGGACAAGGCTGACGGTGACACCGTCGGTCTCGTGTCCACTGGGGTCCCAGGTGACTTCAAAATCCTCACCAGCAGTGACGGGCTGTTTGTTTAGTCAATTATGTGATTGAGAGGATTATTTCATACGAAGACATACATGAGTAAGGTCGGGGGTAAGGAGAGCACCCCAGGTGGCCTCGCCAGGCTTTGTGAAGGCTTGAGCCACGGATGCAAGGCCAGCGGCCGCAAAAGTGAGCAAGATGGAATGCATATTGGTTTTTCACGGGGAGCTCAGGTGAACAAATTTAAGCAGGAGGGTATTGGTTGCAATATAGTGTAGTGAAAGACTTGGGTCAATGCGATAGTGAATGGACGTCAAAAGAATGACTGAAAAAGGAGCAAACAACTTAACAGACCAGCTGGAGGTGAAGAGGGTCGACAGAGAGATGCGATGCTGACTACAGAAATGGAAAGAGGGGACAGAGAGCGACCTTTTAACTCACGTCGAAGGAAAAGAGAAACCTTTGGCTTGGGGTGTCATGGATGGCGCCGTGGTTTAGCTCAGCCTCAGCTCATCCCCGTGTTTCACCCACTTTGGGAAATTAACTCTAGCCCGAGATACATAGAACCCCTGGCAGGGTTGGTTCATGACATAACCAACCAACTGCTGTCGGAGTCTTGTCTTTGGGGCCGTTAATCTTGCAGAACCGGTCAATCGAACCAGGCGCTTTGAGGGTAGCACCAGCTTGGAGAAGGTAGGATGCCTCCCGTATCCGTACTAACGGAGGCCGATACAGCGCGTTAAGAAAGGAGAAGATGTAGCAGAACGGGTGGTGAAACCAGGGGATGGCAGATAATCCTAGATCGTTCGGCACGACTCCCCCTCTCCAGGTTAGGCGTCGGCGTATGTGAGTTTTGATGGAATCAGGTGATGACGGGGTGCACCATTCATAGTTCTTTCGGCGTCGATGATATAATATCCGGACGTATATACTCCGTATATGTAATTATATGAACGAGGCGCTTATGTGTTATTGATATGATGGCCCTGGCCCAGGGAGTCAGGGACCAAATCTCAAGTGTGGAGAGTCAATTGGAGATTTCTTGGTGCAATTTTCGCCGTTCCTGCCGTCGATCCGTCAATGGTGCCAAGACCTGCTCCCATTGGTCATTCTACGCAAGCCCCGCTAATTCCCCGAAATAGCCCATAATACGAGACGGGCCGGTCGAGACGCGAGTACGTCAGTACTCGCACTCCGTAGTTGACCGGGTCAACTGCCTCAGAGATCAGACCGTCCAACTGTTGGCCAGTAGTACTACCTCGTCTGTGACATCTGTGGGTAGTAGGTACCGATTAGTCGTACTACCGCCTCTTCAGAGAGGACCGTATGAGCGCAGCCTCGTGTCCTAACTTGGCCAGACACATCATCACACTCTGATGCGGGCCTCAAGGGGAACTCGACAACCTGTCCCTCCTCACCACAGTCCCAGCTGAGGCTGGCTGTGGTGGATCATGGCCTCCTCCAGATCCAGCGCGCCTCCCGTGAGACCTCAGCTCACCCAAGTGCCTGCGGTCATGCCCCCCGGTTCCGATAGTGAGGACGCTTCCACTGCCCTCAAACGGCCCTCGCACGATGGTGGGAACTCGGTCGAGTTACGCAGGTTGCATCATTCTTCCCTTCTAAGCGGTGGGACACACATCCAGGATACAACATCAGAACATGCAAGTGATGGCGAGGAAGAACCCCGATATACGACCCGCTTGAAGCGTGCGTCCACCATGTCCAAAGAGTACACCGACGAGGAAGAGGCTGCCGTCGTGCGAAAGCTCGATCGCAGGCTCGTCATGTTTCTGGGCTGCTTGTATCTGCTCAGCTTCTTGGATCGCTCAAACATTGGCAATGCTAGGATTGCTGGACTAGAGAAGGACTTGTCGCTGTCGTCTGCGCAATACGATTGGCTCCTGACTGCATTCTACATCACCTACATCGGTTTCGAGTGGATGATTCTGCTATACCGACTAGTTCCTGCACATATCTATATCTCGATGTGTGTCTTGACATGGGGCGTTGTTGCAAGTTTGCAAAGCATCAGCACCTCATTCTCCCAGCTTCTCATTCTACGTGGCCTTCTCGGAATTACAGAGGCCGCCTTCGGCCCTGGCGTGCCCTTCTACATGACCTTCTTTTACAGGCGATCCGAACTTGCGTATCGCGTCGGTCTGCAGATATCAGCTGCACCGCTTGCCACGAGTTTTGCCAGCTCCCTTGCCTGGGTCATTGTCAAGCTAAGTCGAAATGGGCCTATCGCTCCTTGGAGAGCCTTGTTCCTCGTTGAAGGCTTCCCCTCAATTCTGACCGCTGTTGCCGCATGGTATTACATCCCAGATTCGCCGTCCAAAGCCCGATATCTCACGCCGCGGGAACGAAAAGTTGCAGTGATGAGACTGCAGTCTGAACAACACCATTCGCACTCCCGTTCTGGTTCTGCATCCAGCATGAGTCTCGCTCAACGGTTAAACCTCAAAGACATCCGTGCAACCCTCCTCGACCCTAAATCATACCTGACTGCACTGATGTTCCTCAGCGTGAACGTGTCGTTCAGTTCACTGCCTGTATTTCTCCCCACCATCATCAACAGCATGTCTTTCTCTCCACTGGCTTCCCAAGCTCTGGCGGCGCCACCCTACCTCTTTGCGTTCCTTTTCGTTCTTATCATCGGTCGGTACAGCGACAAATTTGCTGACTCGCGGTCTTGGTTTCTCATTGGCGTCTCATTGCTGAGCGCAATATCGTACGCCGGCATCGCTCTCGCCGGCTCACTGCACGAAGCACTTGGTGACGCGGGTGGCATCACGATCCGCTATGTCGGAGTTTATGGGGCTGCCATGGGTTTGTTTGCATCTGTGACGCTCATCATTACCTGGACCTTGAACAATCAAGCCACCGCGACAGGAAAGGGTACAGGACTAACCATTCTGAACATCATCGGTCAATGTGGTCCTCTCATTGGTGTACATTTGTTCCCTCAAAGCCAAGGTCCTTTCTACATCCAGGGCATGGCTGTATGTGCTGGGTTTATGGGTATTGGCGTCGCAGGCCTAGCCTTGGTGCTGAGGATTGTGCTCAAGCGAGCGAACGCCAGAAATGGATTTTATAGTGCTCCTGATGGCAAAGGAGACGAGTACGAAATGGTAGCTGCGCCGTCGAGAACGAAGGACGATGACTCCGACGCAGAAGAAGTCGAACAGACGCTCATGGGCGGCGGGAGAAAGTTCAATGCCGAGAATGGAGGCGGTTTCCGGTACATGCTTTAAATCGAGATATACATGGCCGCAAGTGCTTCCTCTCTGCAATATGATGTCAGCACACCAGAACCAGCACTTGATAGACAGGCCTTGAAGAATCATGACATGGAATGAAGCCATTCAGGATAACTAATGGACATAGGCCTAGGGCAGAATTGCTGGTGCAATGCTAATTATACACTTTATCTTGCCCGGAAATGCTTGGTGACAGGAAACTTCGCGAGGTCCACAGCTACCTAGTAGTAGTGTCTGAAGCTTCTGGACCATTAATTCAAGTATCAATTTTCCTCCGCAGTCAAGTTGGAAAAGCACTCGTGTTTATCACTAGCAGCCAACCTAATTCTTCGAACTGTCACTTCCTGAGGGATTCTTGCCTTCTTCAGACTTCTTCTCGCCCAACTTCTGCATCTGCTCTATTGTCATGTTGTGCTTGTCTCCGCTGATCGCTTGTTCACTGGAAGAGGCGAGCTCGGGCTTCCACTCGCCCTTGCCCGTTTTGGCCTTTTCGATGCTGTCCGATTTGTGGCGGTCGATGTTGCTCGCTCGGTCAGGGGAGTCTTTGTTATCTGCGTCAGCAAACAGGGTTTTGTATCAGCGCTGGGAGAAGTATGGTCTTGGTTATCTGTGAGAATGAAGGGTCTTGGGCTGGGAAAAGAGTTGTAAGTGGCCTTTGATGAGGTAACCTCAGGCTATGAGAGAGCGATCCGCACATACCATGATCGGCTTCACTCAACGACTGGCATACGGAAGATGTATGAAATGTTGCGGCCGGTCTCGAAGCAACAGATCTGCCAATCGCTCGCAGAGGAACAACAGTGCGAGCCAGGGATGACATGATGGATGAAAGGAAGAGGTTGTGTAGCCACAAGAATAAACAATAGTACTTAGGATTGTCAACAGCGCCTACAGTGTCAGGAAGAAGTGTTCTGGAAACGAAACGATCTTGTATCGCGCGAGGGACCTGGACTCTGAGTCTGAAGAGCTTGCCAATTTGTTCTGGGCCAACAGAACTGTCGACTTCAGCCGAGGAGTGGCCATCGAGGTGGCTCCTCCTGGCATGACGTCGCGGGCGTAAATCTGACCTGGCACCGAGCGTCATTATTGTGACTTAGACACGGACCGAGGAGATTCCTTTGAGTATTAATTGATTCGGCTTCCTTTTCCGGGGCCTTTAGAAACGGAGATTGGATGAGTCGCCATTGGTGGAGCCAATGCGATGTAGTATCCCGTTCAAGCATGTGATCTCATATTGAATGCCGAGTCACATGATTGAGGCTTGGCAATTATCGCGTGTTTGCGACGCGTTCACGTCAAATCGTCCACCCCTCGGCTTTGCGACAGACACAACAAGGCTCGGAAATCAATTCAGAACATTGCCTACTGGTGCATGTGGCAATAATGCTTCGGTCTCCGGCAAAAAGACGTCGCCTGGACAGTTCGACAACTGAGACCGACTCTGGTACCGATCCTAATCCCTCCTTGCATCAACAGCCGACGACCCCAACCCGCGCCTCATACTTGTCGCCAACCAGGAGTTCACTTGCCCGGTCGCATCCTCACCTCATTAACCGAACTACCAGTCGCTCAAGTAGTAAGCCTACGGCCAAACGGTTAAGAGATGAGATACTGCGCCCCCCCGGCAAACCATCGGAGACTCTGAGTGCTGCCGCATCTCCTCCATCTCTCGCTGCTGCGAATGACTCGGACCAGAGCGAGGGTGGAAGTAGAGGAAACCAAACAGCCACTAATTCTGCGCATACCACAACTACTGATGCGCCAGATCAGACACAGCCCTCATCCCGCTCATGGTCGGCCTCCAGTGAACAGCAGCCGGTCAATCAACCCCGCCGAAGCCCAACTGGGGAGGCGGACCCCCTCCCTTATATATTTAAGCCGATACTAGTCTCAAGACCCAGCAGCGGCTCCAGGCCAGGGCCCAGAAATCGTAGCGAAGAGCTCGATCTGCCTCCTACACCGGTACAGCTTGGTCTTAGCACGATGCCTGATAAGCCCCGTGGTCTAGCATCGAGCAGTAGTCCTAGAGGTTCGAAGTCTGGAAGTGGCAGGAGAAGACGCCGGAGGACTGATGGTCCAATTACAAGCAGCCCTCTGAAACCGAAAGATCCTGGTCGAAATGCTAGAGAAAGTGACGACCGGAACGCTGAAGATCTTCTGGTGATTGAAGCCTTGGAAAGCGAATTGGACGATTCACGGAACATAGCAGCATCTTCCCTTGTAAAGAAAAGTCAAGAAAATGGAACCGACAATTTGCCGGTAGGATTTGTCGAAGAGGGCACCAATCTCAGCACTTTGCGTGAAAGACTCGAACAACTCAAGATGGAAGTGAGAAGACTGGATGTTGCTGTTGAGAAGGACGAGGCCGATGACGATGTTTTGTCCCTACTCCTTCCTTCTACTGCAGAGTGCGCTAATGTTGGCGCTGCGGATGAGGAGAAAGCCATGCAATATTTGTCACTGTTTTCTCCTGGTGATCTTAGGCTCACCACCTCGACCAAAACGAAGAAAGTGAGAGGACGAACAAAAATTATTCACACACTAGGCTTGAAAGCCCCTCCTCCCTGGCCTGTTCATGCGTTCACATTCGCATTTGAAGTGGTTGTGGACGCTGAAGACGCACGAGTAGAGGATGTCTCCAGGATCTACACAGCTGCGCATCCCCACCGTAAAGGCCCAACGGTGGGTATACAAAAGTGGGTGTGGCAGCGCATGGACCATCCACTTCACAAGCTTGATGTAGGCGGTGTGATTTGGGGTCTAGGTCAATGGTTTGCTGCGTCGACTGAACGAGCCAAAGTCTTCCACCGGCTCGACCTTCAATACAACCTTTCCTCTTCAGATGACACCAAGATTGGGAAACACCTGACAGAACGTGGCGCCATCATGCTGCTCCCATTCCTGCATCGAACCCAGGTGCAGATCAATGTACCGGGAGAAACCAAGAGACCCAAGAAGAAAATCCTCCTGCTCTGGGACATTAACATTGACTGGAGCAGCGAGGTAAAATCTAACATCCGCATCGCTGCTAGCGGCGTCCCAGCAAAGACTGGGCGAGATCTGGCAGAGGTGTTTGCTAGTTTGTTCCCAACCAAGGGTGTGGCGGCAGCGGCGGAGTATGTGCTTGGGCTGCTCCAAGGCGACGAGGAAACCGAGTCTCCAGTCGGAGAGCCTGTACGAAGGCGCAAGAGGAAACGCGTAGTGCTATGAAGGGTCATATTGTGTCACGAACAGGATTACGAGCTTTAACGAGGAAACGCATCATGTCCAGACAGCATCGCATGGAATTATGTAGTCGCTGGCGGATTGGTCATGAAGAAAGACCCACTGGTTGGTTGGTGATGTGTTGAGTTAGCATCAAAGATGATACCCCCGGGATGAACATGACTTTTGCACATCATTATGGTCACCATCAAGGATTAAAGTGCAACTGAAAAGCACAGTTTCCAGATTTCATCTTTTCATTGGCTCACTTTTCTGGAATCTTCATCTAGCCGAGAGTGCTAAACTCGAGAAAATGGAGACACTCGAAAAAGGGTTGGACGCCGGACCCCTTCTGAAGGAGTTAAAAAGCCCCGAGGACAAGTAGTGGTATCCTTCCCCGTCCCCATGCCTTCAGTGCCGTTGTTTTGGTTCATCGATGGAATGCACCACCATTTTCTCCTCTCAATGTGTGTGAAACTTGCATGGTAGAAAGGCCTCCCGCCATCACCAGACTTGTTTTCTGCATACAGCTCATTTCTTGACAAAGTGCCATGCATGCTTGATTCGCACTGTCTCCCTCACTCCTGTGAATCAACGAATCTACTTCTTCTTGCTGTCCTCCGCGTCGGCCTTGGCCTTGGCTCTCTTCTCCCGGACGCCGACGTATCTGGCCTCGGATCTGGCGACTCTCAACTTGCGGTAGGCATTCTCCTCGCCCTTGGGCAGATTGGTCTTCTTGATCTCCTCGAAACCGTGCTTGATGCCGACACCAGAGTCGATGGGTAGGACGGCCGAGAGCTTGCCGGAGACGACCTTCTTGGCGTCGGAGGCGGTCTTGACGTCTTCGGCACTGCTGTCCAACTTCTTGTGCTGTCCGGCCTTGCGTGGGAACAGGATCAAGCGAGCCTTGTAGGCCTTCAGGCGCTCGACATTCAGGCTCAGGGCTTCTTGGCTCGTGGTTTGGCGTCTTGGGTCAACGGAGATACCGATTGTGGGTGCAAGCTTGCGTGGGATACCGGCTTCCTGTTCATCGGAAAATTGTAGTCAGTCTTTTGTACCATAACAGCATCACTTGATATGCATTGTGGGTGAAATATTTGAGCATTGAATTGAACCGGCGGCCCCGACTTCCATTTCTCGCCCATTTTTTCTATCACTTCGCTCCAAGTTTTCGATTGTGTGGAACCATGTGCGCAGAATTTGCACCAAGTTCAAAAAATTCCAATTGTTTGCTATCCCAGACCATGACAAAGCGCGGTGGGGAAGAAATTCATACCTTCAACTCAGCCAAAGTGAAACCTCTACCAGCGCGCTGGCGACGGTTGTACTTGATCGTAGGGCATCTGACGATGGGTCGGAGACGGTCGGTAGGACGAGGAGCGACGGCGGCGGCCTTGGAGAGACGAGCAGCTCGACGTCGAGATTTGCGGCCGGCTTGATCAAAGTGCACGCGCACTCGTCGCTGCCAATCCTTGTGGAAATGGTTGTTCGGAAGCTGTTGGTTGTGCTTGATCGCCATTGTGACTGATGACGATTAAAAGAACAACCGTTGAAGAGGATTGTGCGAGAGGGAAGCGAAGTTGTAGTGTGTATGTGTGTCAAGCGGGCGAGTGGATCGCAGTTTGCTCAACTTTTGCTCTGCCCTTCGTGGTGCAAATTAACTCTTGGCGCCAAGCGTTAGGGCATGTCATGTGACTGCAAGGCTGATGATAAGCCTTCTTTTGCAGAGTACGAGAAGGATCTGTCCTCCCTTCGATCTACCCCCTTTCTGCATCGGCAATTTTCCTACTGTTTCATTCAGGTATCATGAGGCACAAGTACCGAATTTACAAGATCGGGAGTAACATCTCATAGGAGTCTTCTGAAGGCTCTAAACGCCGAATTTGCTCACTGCTGCTGAATTAAGTGCCATACCAGCTATGGTCAAGTACGAATCCCGAGAACACAATTGGTTTATTTGGAGAGACAAAGTCTTCATTTCATTCATGACTGAGTAACGAGCTAGCTAATCGTGATTCTGAATCATACAGGTCCCCTTCCTAGCTGCAGGTGGGGACGGATATCATTACATTCGTTCCAGCTCCGAAAGAGCAAATCCCCTCATTTAACCTTGACTCCAGGATTCAATACCCAGCCCAACCCCTTGAGATAGCTTTGCTTTCTTCACCTTAACGTCAGGTTCGCCAAAACTAGATCCGCGTTTGTGCCCCTGAGTGCGCTTCTTGACTGGCCCAAAAAGTTTTGACTGCAGAAGATTGCTGGATCTTTCGGCGTTCTGTGACAAGCGCAATGATTCTTGACTTGCAGGATTCCGTCGCAGCATATCGCTCGCCAGTGAACTGGCCTGTGATTGTTGGACATCATCGTCAATCTCCTCAGCGTCCGAAATCGAGATGGTGCTGTCTCTATCGTGGCGTTCTCTTTCGGCAGACTCAGTGACAAGTTGCGAAGCGGGGGCCGAGAATGGAATCATCGATTCAGGGTACCCGTCACGAGTGAGAGAGCGACGATGAGCCGGAGTGGTGTGAAGTGAGGATAGCGAATGTGCTCCTCGAGTATGGCCACGCTTGAGTTTTGACGTATGGGTTCGAGTTGGTGTCGATGGTACGCTAATGCTTTCACCATTCAGAACCTGATCTGCGGCTAGCAGCGCCGCGATGTTTGAATGATTTGGTGCGCTTTGAGGGAATTGTGGAACACTCTTTCGCTGTGGGGTGGTGAAATTGTCGCGAGGGGTGGTGTATGTCGGGGAGAGACTTTTCAGACGGCTAAAGTGTTCTCGATTGTCACGAATTCGTTTCTTGAGCAGAGCGTTCTCCTCCATTAATAGGTCGAATTTGTCCTTTTCCATCTCAATCAACTTCTTTGCTCGCTGAAGTCGGTGCTCGGCTTCATCTCGCTCATCTTCGAGCGATCTGCACGTTTTGGTCAAAGCCTCGATTTGTGGCAATGTCGGTGGTTGAGAACACCGAGAGTTCATAGAGAACGAGGGTCGATTCTTTGTCTCGGCAGACTGTAGAACTTCCATCTCCCGTCGAGTCATCTGGTGTTCGACTTCGGCGCGTTGAGCTGCCTCTTCCGATTCCATCAACAACAGGTTGTACTGAAGTTTGAAATGTGCGGCAGAAGTCCTAGCATCCTGTACCACAGTAATCAAGTCTCGAGCCATATCCCGCAGTTCCCCAATATCCGCAGACTTGTCAATAGCATCTTGCGTTGGGAGAGCCTGTAGAACATTGGGTTGGATTGTGTGTGGCGGAGAAGCCAACAAGTTGTCAGCGGGACCGATGCTGCTTCGGTTCATTGGTGAGTGGAATCGCGGTGGTTGTGTAGATGGGGGCGGTGTCATGCTAGTAGACATTGGAGGAGGAGTGTATGCTGATTTAGTGGTGCTGTCGGCGGAACGGCTACGAGCCGGAGGTGTCGAAGGGACCAGGGAGCCTTGCAGCGCGGCCTCAGTCAGAAGACCTGCCATGGCGATTGAAGAGAGAGCTCAATAATTAATTTGTTTATTCGATGCCTCTTCTGAATGCTGCACACAGCATACGCTCGAGTAGTCCGACGGCGGTGAGGGGCAGTGTGATGCTCGCGGGCGATCGATCAGCACTGTCAGTGGGAAGTCACTGGCTTTCGGCACGGTATCGATAGCGGTGGAGTCGAGAGTTGGAAAGGGAAATCACAGTGGTTTGGTGGTCAATTCACACAACGATACATGCTGAGAACGTCCGTGACTTTGGGAGGTCCAGGTGTTTGGATCGGGTACTTGGGAAAATCCGTTGAGGGGGACTGCACGGGGACTCGAGATAGATATTTGACAGGTTGGACCTGGTGGTCAGGATTTGGGAGATGGGCCGGAAGACGGATGGCTGGGAGCGCGAATGGAAGAGAAGAGGGAGCGAGGTGTGAAAGTGAGAGAGGTGGGTGGGCTGGCAGCAGCTGTTCTGCGAGAAGAAGGCTTGATACGGGCCCACTCTCGAGTCCGCTATTGGAGGAAGGAGGCTGGGCGTGTCTCTGACGCGACTACAGCAGCAACTAGTCTCCCAATGGTTAGTCGCGCAATGGTCGCTTAGGAAACCGTCGACGGCCGCGCTTTTGCTAACGACGAGCCTCTGAACCCCTATCTCCCGCTGTCAACATCGGTTTATGAGCTGGTCTTCCTCTTTTTAACGATACATTTGAAAGCTTCGACGATATCAACTGGAGACTCCAAATACCCGTCCTTCCAATGCCTGGAGTTCCAACTTTCTGGCACTCCATGTAGGCCAATATATCTACCTTCTTGGAACGGAAGTCATACAGAGACCCAATAACGGATAACGCGTACCAATATATCCAAGCATGGACCAGGACCATGGGTCTAACGTTCCACTTCGGGCCAGCATTCCACGGCTGTCCCGTCTGCCCATGCCACGTGCTATGCCTTCCAGCGACAACATGCGACTCACTGCTAGAAGTTCTACAGCTCCCGTGATTCACAACGACGACCTGCGAAAGAACTCGACACTTCCACGTCCAGCAGGATCAAAGACACCACTGATAGAGACATTCAACCACTCGATTAAGGCGCGATATGCCTGGTCTGACGGCCCCCTCCGACCAAGAAGCGTGTCGCCGGTTCGAGATGCCCTTCGAGACGCACAGAACGCGTCACTGGATACCACTCCCCCCGGATTAAACTCGGAATTCCCAGTTTTCGAAGATGGGAATGAGAATCCAAGCATCACCAGCAAGGACAATTCCGGAGCGGAGTTCAAGGAGCGGCGGCGGCCTCGACCCTCATTATCGGAGAGGACTATCGAAACATTATCACAGATTTCACCTTGTCCATCCCCCGTTGGTAGAAGACCGAGCTTGGTTGGTACTGATACTTCCATGCCTCCTCCAAACCGCCCAGCATCAAGCATGAGAGAATCTCGACCAAACACACCGGCGGCCCAACGTCCAGACTCACCATCGAAACGTCCATTTAGACCCCCGGGAAGGATGTCGCCGACCAAGGATGTCGGTGCTCTGCCCCCAGTCGTTTCACCTGGCAACATATATACACCGCCCAAAGCTTTTGTCAGAGGTCGCGGTTCACGCATCGCAAAGCTGCCTCATGAATCCAAACGATCAGTGAGTTCCGCATTGGGAGCCCCTGAACAGAAGCTTGACTCGACGCGTGCAGCTCACGCTCCGGTTTCAGCCATGAAGTCCAAGCCGACATATAGTAGCAAGACGATAGGACACACATCGTCTTCTGGAAAGCCCTCGCTTGCCTCCATCTTCAAAGATCTTCCGACGTCGACTGGGACCAAGACTACCAAGCTGGCTGTTTCTGAACCTGAACAGCGTACTGGTCTGCTAAGAGCCAAAACGAGAGGGGAGAATGCGATCGCGCCTTCCACGCCCCCCTCGGCGCAGTCCAAGAAACAAAAAGCTCCTCCCAAAACCGAAACACCTGTTGCCGGGATCGCGGAAGCGAAGAGTTCACCCAGGTCGTCGGCTGCTCTGCGAGAAACCATTGCGAAAGCAAAGGCTGCGAAGAGAAAGGCACTGGAGATAGGACAGGATGTACCTCATCAGCAAATATCAGGACGGCCATGGCCTGTGGTTGGAATTGAGCACGAAGTCCTTCCCGGTCAGGACAGTCAAGGCCTCCTACGGAAACGAATCGCACAAGCTGTAACATCCGGTATTCTGAATATCGCAAGCATGAGTCTGAAACGAATGCCCACAGAAGTTATGAACATGTACGAGTCGGACAACAGCACGGCAAAATGGTCGGAAATGGTAGATTTAATCAAGTTGATTGCAGCAGATAACGAGATCGATCAGTTCGAAGAGGCAGTATTTCCAGACTACTCCCCAGAAGATATGACGAATGACGACGAAAAAACCAGCCAGTTTGGTGGACTGGAACACATCAATATGCAGAGAAACCTGCTATCTGCAATTCCAATTGGCCTCCGTCAACTCGAGAGACTACAAATCTTGAACTTGAGTAACAACAGGTTGACTAATGACGCCTTTAAAGTTATTGGGCAAGTCCGGAATCTTAAAGAACTGATGCTCGGCGAAAATATTCTGAATGGAATCTTGGACTTTGGTGACCACCAACTCAACAACCTTCAAACCTTAGATCTCCATGGAAACGATATCGTTGGCCTCCATGGGGACAGCTTCGGTTGCCTGAGGAGTTTGAAGTCGATCAACCTTGCGGGCAACAAGATGACTTCAATCCAATGGGAGCTTTTTGAGCGTCTGCCTCTCACAGATCTCAATGTCTCGAAGAACTGTCTCGTGAATACGCTCTTTGATGACGCTATGAGCCTTCCCAGCCTCCGCGTCCTTGACGCTTCTCACAATTCTCTGAAGGAGATTGGTGGAGGGTCACTGGACCTACCTAGTCTTCGCTCGCTCGCGGTCAATGCTAATCGTCTAGCCAAGCTACCAATCTTGGCTAAATGCGCTTTGTTGCAGACCCTTCTCGCATCTGAGAACGAGTTGGAGGAATTGCCTGCTGGGTTCATTGACTTGAAGGCTTTAAAGAGCGCGGATTTTGCCCACAACAACATTAGGACTATCCACCCCGAGATCGCGTTGATGGAGGAGTTGAGCAGCCTCACCCTGGTCGGCAATCCTCTGCGGGAAAAGAAATTGTTGACTATGAGCACGGCAGAGATTAAGCAAGATGCAGAAAGAAAACTCGAGACGCAACATGAGGATGCTGATGTGTCGTCAGGAAGCCAAACCACCAGCAACTCTAATCAGGCTCGCCACAAGTCATCCAAGGGAATCCTTGATCTGTCTTCCCAATCTCTCACCACCATTAGCCCTGATGATGTTGATCTCGACGGCTCCAGTGGCGGGATACACACATTGAAGCTATCAAATAACGATCTCGCCACATTTCCGTATGAGCTACTCTCTCATCCAGCCCTCAAGTATTCATTGCAATCCTTGGACCTTAGTCACAACCCACTTCTGCATCCAACCCAATATCTCACGTCTGAGCTGTTCCTCCCGAGTCTCAAATGTTTGTACATTGTGAGCACGGGGCTTACGTCGTTGGATGCATTGACCACTTATATGAAGGCACCTGCCCTCACCGAACTCAATATATCATGCCATCGACTGGCCGGACGTGTTCCATGGGTACGGGCATGGTTCCCTAACTGCGTAACGCTCCTTGCTACGGACAACTGGTTTAACAGCATTGACACCGAGGGTGTGCGAGGCCTAGAGGTTCTTGACATCCGCAACAATGAAATCGAAAGCCTTCCCGCAAGGATTGGATTGTTTGGCAATTTTATTGGATCCGCCAAAGAACCTGGCAAATTAAAAATATTGGAAGTTAGTGGGAATCGGTTCCGCGTGCCACGTCTGGCAGTGGTTGAGAAAGGGAGTGAAGCAGTGCTGAAAGATTTAAGACGAATGATTCCTGAACATGAGGTGCCTGAGGAGTGGAAGGACATGGTATGATTTTGCATTGGTAGGGGTTTTCTCTTGTCCGCGATTCGAGTGGGCGTTTGCATCAAGCAAGCGAACTTTTATTGCACCTTCAACCTCATCGTCCATCACTCACCGTGGGGTGGACTGCTTATAATTGTTATTTTTTCTTTTCAGCGACCCTTCTCTACCGGCAGAATTTAGAGAAACCCTCGCATAGCGTCCGGACATAAAACCTGGCTAGATTATTTACGCTTTGTAATACGATTGCATGGACATTCAGAATCAGAATCAAGCGGTTCATACTCAGATCAAGGGTGACTTGTCAACGATTAAGTCGAATATATAGAAACCGGAGTTGTCCTTGGTCGTCATTGGCACCCTGTCCAACGAGGCTGCTACTGACAGGCGGTGACAGCCGGCAGAATAGTGCGTCCCTCCCGTTTTTGTCGTCAGCCCTCGTCCATAAACCGAAGATACTAATACCCAACCACGCGCCACTTGTTAGCCCGGCCATACAGAGGCCACTACATCCAAACATGTCGAGCAGTGCGTTGTTCCCTCAGAGCTCCATTCTAAAGACCTACTAACTGCCGCTTGCAGGTCAATTCGTGGTCTCAGAACTGCCCGCCGATGCCATTTCGTCCTTGAGGTTCTCACCGCACCCCAATTCCCCACGCTTTGCCGTAGCTTCCTGGGACAAGCATGCATACCTATATGAAGTGACAGACGGTAAAACGTGCTTTCTGCTTGCCAAGTACGAGCACCGCGCGCCAGTCCTCGACGTGTGCTTCGGCAAGGACGATAATGAGCTATACACAGCGTGCCTGGACTGGGATGTGAGAAGGTAGGTCACGTCTGCACCCCTTTCAAGAACCAAGCTGTTGACCGTGTCCCCTATCCAGGATCGACGTGGCCTCTGGCTCGCAGACGGTTCTCAGCACCCACGACAACGGCGTGCGATCCGTGGTCTACAGCCAAGAACACTCACTCGTCATCTCGGCCGCTTGGGACTCGACGGTGCATATCCACCCTGGATCTGCCGAAGCGAACTCGAACACGAACTCAGAGTGGATAAATGCAACCATCAATCTACCCTCCAAGCCCTTCTCCCTCGCCCTCTCGCCCTCCAAGCTAGTGGTCGCCATGGCCAACCGCGCACTGCACATCTACGAGCTCAAGACGTTAGCCGCCGAGTGCAAGTCATCCGCTACAAACTCGCTGCAGAACCGCTTGGATATCGACCCGTGGCAGCGCCGCGAAAGCAGCCTGAAGTTCATGACGCGCGCGATTGACTGCATGCCGAACGACGAGGGCTACGCGTCGAGCAGCATCGAGGGTCGTGTCGCAGTCGAGTGGTTCGATCCCAGCGGAGACAGCCAGGCTAGAAAATATGCCTTCAAGTGCCATCGCCAACCAATCGACGATGTGGATGTCGTGTACCCTGTGAACGCGATTGCATTCCACCCGGTGCATGGCACATTTGCGACGGGAGGTGGTGACGGGGTGGTGGCGATCTGGGATGCGGTGGCCAAGCGAAGGATCAGGATCTATCCGAAGCTGAACTCCAGTGTTGCTGCAGCGTCTTTCAGTTCGAATGGGAAGTACCTCGCCACTGCCACCAGCCCTGGGTTCGAAGATGGAAAGGACGAAATCACCGAAGGGTCAATAGGAATCTTCATTCGCGAACTGGGAGAAAATGAGGTGAAGCGGAAAGCCAAATGATGTTTTGAGGCTGGAAAGGTACATCTGTTCTTAGGGATCTAATGCCTGGTTTTATCGGCTACGCAAGCCCTTTCAACGTGGAGAGGCTTGTCATGAGTCTGCGGCAGCACAATCTGCTTCGATGCTAATCACTGGTCTCAGAGGCGGATATCTTGCGACTACGGAATGTCGCTTCTCCCGAGCTCTCCGCAAGGTGACTGAGCCGTCAGACATGCCGAAATAGCAAGCGACGGGCCGTTGACCACCTACGACGCCTGCCGCATTGGCTTCGGGGCCCGTGGGACCACAGAACAGACCGACACCCAGGACGCCGTTGATATCTTTGATGGCTCTGGCAAGCTTCTCTACCTCCCATTTCCCTTCTTCGCCGTCCCCGAGCTCACCATTGGCGACGTCTTCGGCGATCAGTAAGGGATGGGGGAACGGGGCGTCGATGATGAAGAAGTCCTGGTCGGTCTTGATGGGCCCTGCCTTGGCCATGTGGCCTTCTCTGATGTGGGGGCCTTCGCCCATTGGACTTCGACTCCCCAGCATGCGGAGTCTCTTCATGACTTGTCGTGCAGCTTTGGGCTCGACTTCGATGGGAATGGTAGGCCACTTGGTGAGCAGTCGGTGTTGGAGCTTGCGGTGATCTAGCATTTGCCGAGCGGGACGGTTAGCTATCGTACCAACCAATGGTACTAGTCCCATCGTAGCAACGATCAATCACAAGCATTCATCCAACCATAGACATACCTGCGACACAAATAAACTGCTTGGCGCGCATGGCGACCAACTTCTCCTGATACAGACACGCCCCACCGCCCTTGATGCAATTTAAATCCTCATCGACCTCGTCGGCGCCGTCGAATGCGACGTCGATCATGGCGTTGTCGGGCAAGGCGTCGAACTCGATGGGGACCAGTCCGGCCTTGATGATTAGCTGCTTCGACTGGTAGCCGGTAGGCACGAAGCCCACGCGTGACACGTCTTTGCCCAGCTCTTTGATCGCGTCGACCACGTACACGATCGTCGTGCCCGATCCGATCCCTACGAACCGCGGGTTCTCGGGGAAATGGTTGCGCACAGCTTCTTGTGCGGCGGCCTTTTTAGCGGCTTCGATGTCGAGAGCCATGGTAGTGGTTGCGGTGGTTGTCAATGTTTTTCTACACGAGAGAGGAGCTGATGAAGCCGGTGTTGCTGGGCTCGTGCCTCTTGTTCTTCTTGTTCTGAGGTTCGTTCGGAAAGGTTGAGCTCCAAGTCGGTTGAGGCGTAGATTTCGCAGAAAACGTCTATCTGCATGATTGAGGACGAGTTAGGTCAAACTAACGGGGCAACCGGCAGAGAAAAAGTGGTACGATAAAAGACATGGCCGAGACTCACATGCTCTGGGATAGCAGCCCACCGTCGTTCTGCGGTGCAGCTTGAAGTGCATGCAACCAGCAAGCAGATTACGTAGGCAGATGAAGAATGACTGAGCACCGCCTGGGATACAGTGGGGTACGGTGGGATGCGTGTGGTTGTGCTGTTGAGGCCGTGACTGGAGGGAAATGAGCTTAGCTACGAGTTCTCCTACACATCGACACACTACACTGGCTGCACGGAGTACTTGTTGAGAAGAAGAGAAATACGTAGCGCTAGGTATGATAGTAGTGCCATCAGAGTCTCGAGGCAACCAAGTGAAACTGCGGCAGATTGGAGGCGGCTAAAATTGAGACGAAAAACTTGTTGAGGAAGGCGGGGCTGATGCCGTAGGTCACGTGCCTAGAAAAGAGAAGAAGGAGCGGAGGGGAGGCCAGGCGGAAGGCTGGGCACCTATCCTAACTACGGCTCTGCGCCTAAAAGCTCGACATCTTACCTGAGTCAACGCCCAAGTCTGGTCTACCCGCGTGCCTAGTCGTAAGGATAGCCGGGAGAATCTGGTACAGAGACTGAGAGGCACCCATAGAGGTATTCGTAGTCCATGGTGGGAATTACATCATAGTTCCCCCTCCACTAGTCCGCAAATAGTCTAGCAATACCTCTAGGAATGGCCGCTAGTACCCAGTAAGTTAGTACGACACTATGTCGTCCCCTTCACGTGAAATTACTCGCATAGAGCACGTGCAGTGGTCCAGCACAACGACGAGCCCCCAATTCTATCTATGGACTACTACTGCTTTCTTATCCTCTTCAGTCTCAACCAGATGGTATCGACTCTACTTCTACACACGCGTCAGACTGTTAAGCCAAGGCAAGATATACCGTTAACCCAGCGCTCAAGTTTCGCTATTATCCTACTTCCTCATGGCGTTGAAAACCAAAAGGTATGTACCGTCAACACATCTCACCTCCTGGAAAGCCTGTGTCAAAGAAAGCCAAAGGCTTCAACTGTTGGAGATACGAACCATGCAATCTCGCCTGACCAAAGCTAGGAGTCCTTCTGGCGCATCACTAAGTATGTCTCGTATCTCAGCATCCCCTGAGTCCTCACTGCCTGGTCGTAGGCGGGAGCACCCCATCTCCCTGACGCTTTTGGTGTTCGTCGTCGCTTGTCGAACAGGTGTCACTCTAACCTAATTAATCCTATCATGCTTCCCGGTTCTCTCTGAATACAATGCGCCTTCTTCATCACAGTTTGGACCCGTCTTTTTTAGAGCAACTATCCGACCGGTCATTGTTCGCATTTTGGAAGCCATTTTCGGTGTCGACATCTCCTATCCTCACATTACAAACCTGTGCTATGCTCGACTGCATAAGCTCCGTCAGAGAGTCATGTCCGGGAGATGACGCTAATCATACCACTTTCAAGGCTGACGGTAAGGGGTTTGAAGTCTCATCTACTACTATAATCACTGTCTTCCTCCAATGTAGGAACTTGATCAGCTCCGTTTGCTAACCATGTGGTGAACCCATTTTCGATTCCTTTCGAACGCTCTTTTATCCTCCCATTATCAAGCATTATTTTCTACACTCCTTCGAATCTATCAATCAAGCACTTGCCGTTGTATTCGTGGACGAACCTGATACCCTTGATACCCTTGACGACCAAATGCTACGAGGACTCGCGACTGGCATTCTGCTGCTGTCAGCTCTTAATCATGTTGATAGATATGCAAGTGCCATTGAGCTTCCCTACGTACCGCCGCCGGCGGACGTGTTAGCTGGTGAGGGACTGACTGACTCGCCGATTTTCCTGCTCGCCGCCGCGCCCTCGGGAAACATCATCGATCGAACAGCCTGGACAGCCACCTGTGACAGCTTCCAACCAGGATATGAGTGTCAGAATGCGATTGATGATGATCAGAACACATTCTGGCACACAGAATTTGATCCAACAAATGCACCTCTCCCACATACGATCACGATTGATATGAAGACTACTTATTATGTGAATGGTGTGACATACTTGCCGTCAGTCAAATTCCCTTTGCTTCCCTTTGGCACTCAAGTGCTGAGGCCCTTTCATGCTCTTTTCGCGAGTATAAGATCAGTGTGGCTGACTCTTGCTAACCCAACTCTTAGCCGCCAGGATGGTGATTTAAACGGAAATATTGGGCGCCATAACGTGTTCGTAAGCACAGATGGAATCGATTTTGGCTCCCCTCTTGCATTTGGCATGTGGGGTGACGATCAAACGTTGAAAGTTGCAGCCTTTGAGACGGTTCCTGCAAGATACATACGCATTCAAGCTATTACAGAGGCAGGAAACCGAGGTCCCTGGACGTCCGCAGCAGACATCAATGTATATGCTGCTATTCTTGGTTCACCAGTTGATCGGACAAGTTGGACCGCCGTTTGTGACAGCTATCAGCCTGGATACGAGTGTGCTAACGCTATTACTGATGCAGGCGGAATCTGGCATACGGAATATGACCCGGTAAATGTCCCGTTGCCTCACACCATTACAATCGATATGCAATCTACATTTAGCATAAACACCCTGAGATATTTACCTCGTCAGGATGGCGGTTTCAACGGAAATATTGGACAGTATCAGGTCTTTACGAGCACCGATGGGACCAACTTCGGAACTGTTGCAAGTGGGACATGGGTGGACGATCCATCTGAGAAGACTGCAGCCTTCACTGCCATAGCAGCACGCTACGTACGACTTGTTGCTTTGACTGAAGCTGGAGACCGTGGGCCATGGACTTCGGCTGCGGCGATCAATATATATATTCCCGGTATTTACACCCCGCCGCGGACCGGCGTGGGAAGATGGGGGCCCACCATTGATTTTCCAATCGTCCCTGTCGCAGCTGCTATCAATCCTACGAATGGCAGGGTACTTGCCTGGTCCTCATATGCTCCGGATACTTTTGTCGGAGGGAATGGTGGGCTGACATTTACATCTACGTACGATCCTAATACCCAGATTGTAAGTGAGAGAGTTGTCACCGAAACAGATCACGACATGTTCTGTCCCGGGATATCACTAGACTTCAACGGACGTCCCATCGTCACTGGTGGCAACAACGCGGAGAAAACCAGCATCTACAATCCACTCACAGACGTTTGGACTGCTGCCGCAGATATGCAGATCCCTCGTGGGTACCAAGCTTCTACGACGTGCTCAGATGGCCGAATCTTTACCATTGGAGGTTCTTGGAGCGGAGGGGAGGGTGGCAAGAACGGAGAAATCTACAACCCAACTGCAGGGACTTGGACATTGCTACCGGGCTGTCCCGTTGCGCCAATGCTCACTGCCGATGTTGGAGGAGTGTATCGATCCGATAACCATGGGTGGCTGTTTGGGTGGAAGAATCGATACGTGTTTCAAGCAGGCCCCAGCCGAGCGATGAATTGGTACAACACCGCTGGATCGGGAGGCCAGACTGGCGTAGGCAACCGCGGCTCAGACGCCGATTCCATGTGTGGCAATGCTATCATGCACGACGCCGTGGCCGGAAAGATCCTGACATTGGGGGGCTCTCCAAATTACGCTGGGTCGCAAGCCTCAGGGAACGCCAATCTCATCACCATTGGAAATGGAGGCGCAACGCCGTCAGTCCTGCAACTCGTCGCGATGTCATATCGCCGCATCTTCGCCAACTCCATTGTGCTCCCCAACGGTCAAGTCTTCATCACCGGAGGTCAGACATTTGGACAGCCATTCTCCGACATTGGCGCAGACCTCACGCCAGAAATGTGGAGCCCGACCACCAACCAATTCAGGGACATGCTCCCCAATTCGACACCGCGAACATATCACAGCTTTGCTATCCTCCTACTGGATGGTACTGTTCTCAGTGGAGGTGGAGGTCTGTGTGCTGATTGCTCGACCAACCACTTCGACGCACAAATCTACACTCCTCAGTATTTGCTGAATTCCAACGGAACCAATCGTGTTCGACCAGTTATCAACTCTGTATCTACAACAAGCTTGAGAATTGGTCAATCATTGACCATCAGGACCGGCTCCGCTGTCACTTCCGCGTCGCTGGTCCGGTACGGATCGTCCACTCATACTGTCAACACTGACCAGCGTCGCATCCCTCTTACGCTGAGGACTACCGCTAGAAATACTTACTCGGTTACGATCCCAGGCGACCCCGGCGTTGCGCTCCCTGGGTACTGGATGTTGTTTGTCATGAATACGTCCGGTACACCAAGCATAGCAAAAACAATCAAGATCAATCCATGAGTGGAGATGAGCGTGTAAGCTGATAATTTATGAACAAGGTATGCATACCTTGAATACTGTGTGGGCCTGCAGTTGGGCCGGGCATGGTCTTTTATGCATAAGCGCATGGCGGCCATCGTCTTTTTTCATTTTGGGCTGTATGTATTTTTTTTTTTTTGGAGATACCTAGTCGTCATCAACTCCCTGGATTGAAGTCATACACCGTATAGAGTTCTTTCGCTTCCCATAAGCTTTGCTCTTGTCAACAATTAGAGTACCTCGTACACCTGCTTTGTAGACGTAAATATGAATAAACATCACGAAGTTAGACGCGTGGAGGATCGACGCGTAAACACGCGTAGCTTGTGTGCAGTGCAAACTCACTCCAGCCCTTCTCAACTTGCACATCCCGCTCGCAAAGGGACCTGGGCATCAGTCGATCGTTAATCCTGGGCAACATCTTTGTTGTTCACCATTGACGCCACTTCCAACGCATAACTACGTAATTGGAGCGCTCACCTCGTGCTCCACGTCTTATCGGACGATCAGCTCCACAGCGTGAGCGGGAGTGGCGTGAAAGAAATCTGTCTTGGTACTGTTCATGGTTCCATCGACTCAGAGAATTACTTCCAAGTCTAAAGCCCGGAGTAGCCTCTTCGAATCAGGCAGCTGTCCATTCTGTCCTACTTACTATATAAGGCCACCACAGTCCCGAAACTCTTCGGGTCTGAATTCGACTCCCGACCTGGACGTAATTTAGTGTTCCACAGGATGTTTGTAAGACACGCCTGAAACCCTGGCCCGCGGTCCCCATGGGCTGGCCCTACAATATTTCGGTGAAGCTTATTCCAACGATCCCTGTGCAAAAGAAAGTGAAATTCGTGGTCTTCCATCACTCATTAAGGACTTTTGTTGACGTTGGTGATGCGCTTGGAACTCCTGCATCGCTTCTTCCGAGCATTCATGTGCCATCGCCTGCCATGTTGACTCCTTGCAGGAAGACCACTTGGACTGCCGCAAACGTCGCTGTGGCTGCGAACACCTCAACGCGACGGCATTCAAGAGCAAACATCATCAAAACAGCGAGCACAAAAAGGAAGCATGTCATCAGACCAAGTCGGTATACCATATCGTTGACATAAAAAAGAACGAAGGTAGACATGGAGGGAAGCATGAAAGACACAAAGACACACAGCGCATCGCCAGAACGAGCAAAGGCTCTATGCCTATACTCCCACACGCGTCCAAGTCCGGCCTCCATATCTGTTTCTGGTTTCAGTCGATGGCCAAATACATGGTGCCAGAACTTGCCCAGCTTGCTCAGACAGCGTGCTAAGCCATCTCCAGGGCCCTCGTCATACAGTGCTAGAAGATCGCGCTCGCATTCCGGCTCCCACGGGTCCCCTTCATAGCTTTCGAGAAATTCAGCTCCATGTTCAGGACTCTGTAGCCACTTGCGCAAGAAGACCACTGAATTTGAATGAGGCATGCCCAGTCCACATACTTGTGCGACCCGAATCAGGCTATCATCTACGCGAAGTCAGAGAGCGTCGATACATCAGTTTTGCACAGTCTGCGTAGTGGGTCGCTAACGATATTCTCTCAACTTGCCATCGATTTCCACAACTTTATCACGCTGACCAGAGGCCCCAGCTGCCGCAAACTCATTGAGCTTTTGCCACGACCGATCGCAGCCACATGTCGTGGGATCACCTTCATCCTCGGCCACAATAACCCTGAGTTCAGCCTCGAGGTGCGAGAGCTCAGCTTGCCGATATAAAAGTACCTTTGCGCTCAAGCTTCCGAACCGGCGGTAGCAATGAAGCTGGGGAAATCTCCCAAGAAGGTCTGAAAACGCCCTATATCCGGTCATTTTACTTCCATATGCAAACGAAACCTTCAAAAACCCTGCAGGCCTCTGAGAGAATGGTGCATGATTATAGACGTCGCAATAGCCCACGAACGCCCTATTTGATAGCATGCGTTGGCTTGTGTTCGCCTCAATTGACAGGCGGAGGGGCGCCTGGCCGGGAATTGTGGCGCTGCTGCTATATTATGCGGCCGCAATCTCTCAATTACTGTCTTGAGGGCTTTGTCCGCTTAACCTTTTGAAGCAACTTCGCATTCACACGCAGTATGTCTCTTGTCCGATTCTTCCGTTTGGTCAATCTATTTCCCGGGTATTTGCTTCTACAAAACTTCAGTTGGCGTTTCCAAGTAAAGCGCCTATACGGTTTCAATGACCTATCTTCCGTGCGGATCACGTACCCAGCCCGGTTGCCTGCTTAGCGTGTTGGGGGAGCCTATTGGACTCCGTCTTATAAGATTCGGGGCGTCTCAACTACTTGTCTTAGGGTGTCCCAAGAGGCTTGATAATCCGCACAGACAAGCCACGCTGTATGTTCCAGCTGGCATGCGTACCGGCTTACAATCTCCAGCCTATGTACGCACCAAGGACAGGTTGCAGTTCTTGACTCACCGACCGTCCGTATGTCTGTCAGCCTCTTCAATTCAGAACATCTTGCATTACCTTTTGAACGAGCTGCTTCAGATTCGGGCGTTGAACCCTTCAGTGCACCCTACTCAACAAAGTCACAATCCTAGTCATCTATCCGTCTGACTAGAATTTGGATGAAGCTCAATATTTCTACATGCGCGTTTTCAATCACCCATCGGTCGGTCGAGCCCTAGAGAAGAGTTCAACATCGCCTCCAAGTGTATTGGTGACGAACGCAAGAGATTGGTTCATCCGCAAGTCTTCGAAATTACGACAGCTGCTCAAAGCGAAGATCATTCAGCCAAAGGCTAGGGCCTGGACGAGTTCAACGGCCCATCCAGATGGGCAAGTCTCCACCGCTCCACTAAGCCACTCCGAACGCACCCTCGAAGATGAAAACACGACCATGAGCAAAAGTGAGGGACAGTTTCCAGTGAATACTGCTGCAGGAGCTTCCATTAATTCGTCATCTTATGTCAACATCCAAGACCACAGTTCAAGAACCGCAGTTTTTGGCAACAGGGGCGGTATGGCCACTGGTCAGTTAGCCGAACGGCCATTGGCACGCAACGAAATCAACAGACTCGCTCCACAGCACTCTGCCCCAGATTCCAACCCGTCTCAACTCAGTCTTGATGATTCCTCACGATCTTGTTCAGGGGATCCACTATACCCGACTTCGAAGTCAACGCTCGAGAGCGCTTCGGCGTCGCTAGCAGCAGAGCATTCTGCCCCTTCTACACATCAGTTGATCTTGGATCACAGACTCGACCCTACCTCCCTGCAGGCTATAAATGGAGAAGGAGAGAAAAGGGACCAGCTGGTCATTTGCAATATGTGCATACTCATGCCGCATGACCCTAATGGCAGTAAAGCATTAAAGTGTTTTGGAATAATCGATTCCGGGTCACCAGTATGTCTGACATGGCACAAAGTCCTAGATGAAATTGGCTACGCTTCCTTCATTCAGAAACATACACAGAGTATTGCGTTGCGAGCAGTGACGGGTCACCAGTTGCATACTGTTGGCAAGTCCACCCTGACCTGGAAGGTCGCCAATGCGGAAAAACTCTATGCCACCTCCTTCATTGTTCTCAAGGATCCAGATAACCGCGAGCCTGATTTCGATTTCCTCCTCGGCCGCGACTGGATAGATGAATCTGGGGCACTCATGATCGATTATAAAAAGCTGCCTCAAATAAGCTTCATCGTGGTCGATGAAGACGGTGTTTCGAGACCTCAGATGATCATACCACATCCACCTGGGCATTTGGTGGAGCAAATGTGCGCATGAGAGCCTGGGCCTCTCCATATACCATACGTTTGAACTTCAAACCTGGCTGAAAGGCACTATGTCGCTCTTCAGACTGACCAGACTCACGAGTCATCCCAAAGACGTTAGTTCACGTGATTGCAGCAATGCATTATGCGGACAGAACACCCAAGTTTTGCTTGAAATGGTTGTTCAGGCACTCACAAGTGAAGCATGGGTTATTACGACTCTTACGACTTTTGAAACTTTACGAACTCAATTTCTTGGTTTATTTGTGGTACTGGATTTATCTCACCTTCGCTCAGCTCACAACTAGCTAGTCGCACGACGGTTGGAGATTTCTTCTTGCAATCATTTCGAAGAAGTCAGGCTGTCTTTTAACTTTCGGGTATTTTTGTCTCGTCATCTACGCAAAACAAAATGGAAAGGGAAAAAAAAGGTTCGAGTCGATCAAGTTTATTCCGTTACTATGCAGTTCCAATAACAATTTTGTCTGTATTCTTGTGTTGTTCTGTTAGTTTCCAAGAGACTTTACATGATGTGTCCGATGAATCAAGAATGACACGACCCATTCTCTTTCTGTGTCGCAATCGAGAACAGCGGGCGGCTGGGGTGACATTGACGAATGGAAACACGGGTGAGATTAGACTCCTCATCCTGTAACCCACTTACCTCGCTTCGATATTGACCAGTGGGAGGGATTTCTGTAGAAGTCGCAATACGTTGAGCCGCATCAAAGCAGCGCGACAGTGTGGGTGGAAATATCTGATTTGGTTCGCAGTTCAAAGGTGGCACCGAGCACGATTAGGCTGCACCCACTCGGCCACAGCCTCCTTCCGTAACGGTTGCAGCAGGGCAAAGGAGCTGATGATGTTCAGCAAGCGCACGAAATGTAGCGCAGTCCTATCAGATGATACATCAACAACACACCTATGAAGCAGTCAGAAACGGTCTGGGTCCGCATCCCTCGAGATGCGAGATGGATGATTAGCGAATCAAAACAGCATTCGGGCGCCACAGGTATGCATGCATGGACCAGGGATTGCCGGTTTATCGCTGGGAGACTTGTGAATGGGCATCCCACACCTTCCATCCCAGCAGGCTTTCCGCGTCGAGGGAGCAGAGGCCAGCACATCTTAGCGGACTCTTATACAGGGGCTTTGTGGTTATCGGATACCCCGCCCTCTCCAGAAGTCGATCCTCGATTCCTGGTTGCGCTCTGCCGTCGGTAGTGGAAGCAGAGTTGAGGCTCGCCTCACCTAGAGTGCTTAAACTGTCGTTGGTACCAAGCATTGGGCAGCAATGCGTCTTGGAAACGGCCAGGACGGTAATTCGTCCGTTGGCTTCGTGGCCCGAGTCCTTTGGCGTCTGTGCGACACATTCAGCAAAAACCACCATGCCAGTTATTTCTTCATGGTTAAGCCGCATTGTATTTCAGCCTCATGGCCGGGAGAGACTTAAGTCTCGCATGCACCTCTCTGCAAAGCTGAACAGTGGCAGTCTAGCAGTGACATGGTCACCGTAATGACCTGGTGGAACCCGTTTTCCTGGTGGTTTGGACCGTCCCCAGAAACCAGCAAGCCCACCGGGCATAACAAAGAAGTATCCTACGAAAGCCCATATCAGCCAACCGTCCTAGTCTCAGAGTTCCCAATCATTGCCATGGTCAGTGCCATCTCTATCCCTGTGACTAACCACCAGTATTCTTGCTCACTCAATCTGCTTTCAGGATCCCGGGAAACAGTATCACATCGAGTTATGTCCTGCTGGGGAGAGATCGCCACATCTTACTCTGAAGCATGCGATGTCCGATACCTGTTTGACGAAGTCTCTGGTCTCGCGAGGCGCATTGAAAGGCTCCGAAATCGAAGTCAAGCCTTTCCTTAGCGAAGAGACTGTCGAAGATGAAAAGGGGCAGAGCTACAGAATAGAGGGCGTACTGCCAGAAAAGACGAGATGGCGCCTCCCAGGCTCGCCAAGATCGCACCCAGAACGCTTCTACGTCGTTGAAAAGCTTCGAGACAATTTGGATGCTCTGCTTCAGACTAGTGGCTCAGGCACCGATGCTGAGAATGCCGTCCACCTCTTGGAGACACCCAAGCAGACAGCGGGTATGTAGTCAATCCGCCATTTTTCCTCGTTTTGAACCGAACATCACAGGCTTTTAGCACTGGGATTTCCAAAAGGCCCGGCTTTCGAGTGGGGTTTCACTCCATCGCTTCCAAGGAAAGTGGAATATTCATCATCCACCCACCCATTGTGTACGACGGGATGATATGGAGAATGTAACTAACCATTACCCCCTAGCTGAAACAGCAACCAGTGCACAAAACCACGCAAAAGCGAACATCAGCCGAACAGAACAAAAGAAACTCCAAGATCAGGCTACCCTCAAGAAGTATATGGAGGTTAAAAGGCAGAAGTCTGTTGGGAATGATGACGGCGGCGAGGGCAGCAGCAAGTAAGTGATTACATGATTTCAGATGTCTGTCGACTTCATAGGGGGCCTCGGCCTTCTGGTCACGTACCTAAAGTACTCTGGATGCAGGCGAATGGCGATTCGCGCGACGTCAAGCGAGGGAGGCCAAAGATCCATAGGGAGAGAAATTGCAGAGTCATACGCGGGGCCAGGCCCAGCCTTGGAGGCCCCGACGGGTTTTTGGAAGATGATTTTATGGCGATACCCTTTACCCGAGTTAGCAGCACAAGATACTTCCTCGAATACAGCGACGTAGGTTGAGGTGACGAGGCTGTCTTTGTCGGATTCACGTAATAGTTATCAGGTGGCGTCAGCATCCCGCTAAGTGGGACTTCGCCTTCAGCGTGGAGGTATCTAATTAGTTGACTAAACAGTTAGAGGCGGAGCGGCCCGTTAGCAAGTTTCTGAATAGTAAGGGCATCTCTGTCCAATGTCGCGTACTCCGTACCATGGGTGTGAGTAGGAAGACTACTCGTACTCGCAGATTAACCCGGCATGGTCTTTCCAATGCAAGTCGCTCGAAACAACAATATAAAATTCATAGATCTCATGTAGTTCTCCGTATTAGCCCAAGGCTTCTATCTACTACATGAAGCTGGTAAGCGCCTAGCTTGCTCCTAGGTATTAGTACAGGCATCGATGAAACCTGGCGATATTATAATAATAATAATATTTCTATTTAACGTCTAATTCGGTTCCTAAGGGTCCATGTAGGCGAGTTTTCTACTTAGTAATAAGGGAAAAAGTTAGTAAACTAATAAAACCCCTTCTCTTCCTCATAAGGCGCTTTTTTAGTAGATGGTGTTATGCGAGTCGCATGCGATACACCGACTACTTAGCGGCTGCTCTCTATAATCGCGCTGTTATCCTTATCCCCTTTTCTATCTAGCTTTTAGACCTAGGCCTTTTCTCTTCTCTCTACCACTCTAGTACGTTTATAAATAGAGAGTATTCCTCTACTCTCTCATCTATAAGCGCGCTTGCCGTTCTAAACTGTGTATCACGGGTTAAACCCGTACAAAGCTCTAGAGTGCTCCCTAGAGCGATCACTCGTAGTGCACCTTTAGCCCGTACAACTGTATAGCCGAAGCCACGTGACTCCCCTCTATCGATTGTCTCCTGGGAAACTATATTAATCCACTATAGGAGAGAGTAGGAGGTATTTCCTTTATTCGTACGGTAGATAGATTTCCTCTTTTCTTTTCTTTTCTCTCCTTAGCTTTAGAATCCTCGTTATACGGTAGTTAGACGAATTACTCTAAATTCCTAGCTAAACCCTAACACTGTGGTAGTGCACCGCATCTCACTAGCCACCTTGCCGCATGCTTTACGCACTCCCCTTTGGATAAAAGGTCTTCAAATCTCTCTGTTTTGCATGCCTTAATCAGGTCTTCTCGAGGGTAGTTCGGACAGTATAGTAGTATATGTCGTACTGTCTGCGCATGCCAGCCGCATGCGCAGCTCGGTCGGGTTTCTGGAACCCCTACCGCGGCTAGCCAGGCATTTAGGCCTATTACTTCTGTACGTGCCTGGAATAGTACTGACGCTTCCGCTTTCGAGAGGCCTGCGAGAGCTGGCGGGGATCCTGCGACCAGGGCGTTTTCCACGTAGTTGGGATATGGCGTCGATAGGCTTGTTTTCTCTTACTCTGGTTCCATCTTTCTTCCCATGCACTATCAAGCCATTCTAGTAGAGCTCTTCGAGGGCCAATCCTTTGCGGTTGTCTTTCTGGCGATATTATACCCTCGAGCCTCTGCGGAAGCTCGATTACTACTGTGGTTTATAATTATAATCCAGGGGAAGCCGGTATTGCCCTGCAGGATCTGAATTAGTGTACGACGGCCAGTCCCCGGGTCGCCTCGGAGAAACTTATACCCGACATAAAGGCGGCCGCAGGATCTGCCCCTACGGGGACATTTATGCTAAAGCAGCAGTGCGGAATTTCTTGTCAACATCAGACTGAAAAAAAGTGTTGGATTCGAACAAACGGTACTGCACAACAAGAGTCGCGATATTTCGTCTCCGGAGAAAGCTTTAGGGTCAGAATGCAGAGAATAGCCTTATTCAACTACTCCTCTTGACTCATCGCTCTATTCATATCCGCCCGACCAACCCATGGACGCTCACGCCCACCTCCTCTCGCTGGGCTGGGCAGGGCCAGGCCACGCGCTCGACTCGAAACCCTACAAGCAGAAAGGCCACCGGGGCCTCGCATACGACCCCTCCCAGGCTTCCAACACAGGAAATGGCCTAGTGAAACCACTCCTCGTCTCCCAACGGCAGGGACGTCTGGGGATCGGGAAAAAGGCGCATGAGCCCCAGGCCGGGAACGAGTGGTGGTTGAAGGGCTTCGAAAGTGCGTTAGGAAACATCGGCAAGAGTGAGAGTGAGAGGAGCAGTGGCGCGTCGACGCCTGTGCCCAACTACACTGGGCGCAAACATAGTGGTCTGTACAGCTTCTTTGTCAAGGGCCAGGAGATGGCAGGCACGATCGATGAGAATGGCGTGATCACGAATACGAAGAAGAGAAAGGCGGAGCTTTCGGACAAAGTAGACGATTCGAACAGTGAACAGTCTACGACAAAGACCCCTTCGGAGTCGAAAAGGCTAAAGAAATCCCCGCTGGCTGTTGAGTTCGAGCAGGTCTCCGAGTATATCGCTCTACGCGACAAGGGCGAGAAGCGCCGAGGACGGACAGAAAGGCCCAGCCCCGTGGAGGAATTCCGGCAGGTGGGCGAGTACATCCAGGCGCTATCGCAGAGGGAGAGCAAGAAAAGGAAGCGACGGTCTGATGAAGAGCCTGACGGAGCGGACACGGCTTCAGCCGACATCAAATTCCCCGAGGTTGTGGAAACAAAAGATGATAGGCGGGAGCGTCGGAGGCAGCGGAGGGAGGAGAAGGACAGGCTCCGCTCCGAGGAAGCCTCAGCAGCAGAAGGCCGTAATGGCCGTCCAAAGCGTACTGAGCACGAGGAAGACGACCCCGCTGCGAAGGCTGCTCGGAAGGCCGAGCGCAAAAAGCGGAAAGCCGAGAAGGCAGCGAAGCTGTTAGTTGACTGAACTTGCCTTTTCTACGACGCCAAAGCGTGACCCTAATGTTTGTATGTATGCAGCGATGGAGATTAGATGGGATACCCTATTGCAATTGCTATTGCTAGAACTGGGATGCATGGAGTTGCAGTTGTTTTCTCTCTCTCTATCATGGCTCCTGGCTCCCAACCACCTGCTCGCCCGGTTTCCCGGTTGTCAACCAGGGCCGCTGCTCCCAGAAGTTGTCCTTGATGATATCCAGATGCCTGACCACCACCTTCGCCTTCCGCCTCAACTTTTTCATCTTCTCGGCTTGCGTCCTGGAGAGCACCTCTCTCCCTTCTTCTCCTGTAGAGACTGCTTCACTCATTTCATCGGTGGTTTGCACGTCCTTGCCGCTTGGAGACGCCGCCAGCGCATACTCCCTGAAGACAACACTGCCTTTCCGGAACATCTCGGGCTCGTTGTTGTAGTTGATACCGAAACGACTGAACAAAATCTCGTTCTTGTCTGCTGCGACAGTGCCTTTGAGTTCCTCCTCCGCGGCCGTAGGGGTCATTTTCCCTCTGTTGACCATCGCCCAGAACGTCGTGTTGTAGAGGTTATTGATGTGACCTGGGATTTATGTAGAAGGTCGGTCAGTTTTTGGACTCCAAGCAAAAATGAAGAAGTGGTGTTTAGAGAGCGGCACCATGGACATACAATCAACCTGCCTCCACGAAAGGTAGTCCCTCAGATTGTGCCACGATGGATAGCAGACCGCACGCCCATCGAAAGTAGGCAGCATCTCCACACTCAACGAGGGCGTTCTGCCGCCATCTCGCTCCTCCGAATCAGTAACAGCATCTCCGGAAAACACCTGACTCCACAGCAGCACATACACCGCCGTGAAGGTGCTGACAACAGTACTGACCAGCTTCGCGGCACGGCGCTCGAAGAGGTCCGTTGACCGGTGGAACACAAAACTGAACTCGTCCGACACGCCGTATGCAACCACCAGGTCTGGGACCGTCGTCACGACGTGTGCGGCTGCCGCGTTCATGAGGTTGAGAGCCCGGGTGTCGTTGGGCTTGGTGAATTTATAGTGGGTCGAGAGTCTGCGAGAGCGGGGATCATCATCAGCTCGTCGTCATGGACGGTCAGAAGATTCTCTTTTCTGCCTCCAGAGACCATTCAAGACTGGCCCGCGGAGGACTTACTTATGAAACCCTCTGCCATCGACTCGGACGACGATCCATGTGTTGGGGAGCAGGATCTCGTCCCGCTCGAAATTGCGCACGTATTCATATCTAACGACACATACATTAGAGATTGGTTAATCCGTGCTACCCTCAGTTAATCCCCTTTTTAAAGCCCTCTCATACTTTCTTTCTGGGGGTGTTGCGAAAGAACAAGACATGCTAGCGGGATTCGAGCCTTGCCGCGGGCGGGAGCTTGAGGAATACAAGGACTTACTTGGAGTTGGCCATTATTTCAAGTGGTGTTTCTTTCTACTGTGGCAAATCTGGACTGCGTGCCTCATCATCCTACCGGTCATTAGCTCGTCTGCTTTGAGATGCCTGCGGTTGCGCTGATAGGAGGGGACTCGTACTGTTTCGCGCCGGGGGGGATTGGCGGCTGGATAAATATAATTCTTGATTTTTAGCCGTGCAGGGTTTTACGGAAAACCAGTCCAGTGATTCGGCCGTGAGTCACGAGTTCCATCCATGCTAAAACACCCAAGACTTCAGATCCAAGGGAATAATACTGACGTTGATCGGTAGCTGCATGAATGATCTGTTTCAAGGTATGATATTCCTAAGATGCTAGAACCAGGCGGCCTACTAACAGCAAGTTTAAGTCTTTCTATCGTGTGCATCATTCACACTGGTCATCGATCATCTTCACCCCTGTCATCGCCAAATTCGCTGGCCCGTTCACTGCTCTCACTAATTTCACTCGTGGTCAAATCCTCCTTTAGTCCCTTTTTACTCTTGCGCATGAAATTCCAGTTACTCAAGCCCGAACGGCTAGATTTCCTGTCATCGGTCCCAGGGGTGGTGGCAAGACTTTCCATGCTCTTGCCAAGATGTTCACTGGATCCCTGTTCCTCCTCGTTCTCACCGTTCGGTGTCGTGGCATCTTTTCGAGAAAAAAGACCTCCTCCTTTGTCCTTCCACGATCCAAATTTATTAGAACTGGCTTTCCGGGTGATTTTAGAGATGAAAGTGGGCTTGACAGGTGTGCTTTCCACCGAGATCTGTGCGCTGGTTGCTGACATCGTCCGGTCCAGTGGCTCGGATTCAATCGTGGAAATTGTCGCTGCGATAGAGTTGGTGTCCTTTGATTTTCTCGATTCAGGAGGGGAATTGGTCTCCAACTCGCCAACCCTCTCTTTGGAATCTTTGGCTCTGGCCTTTTCCTTCTCCCTGAGCTTCTCATTTTTCTTGCTGAAGAACATTGTAAACGAAGGAGCGGCTGGATTCAACCTTGGAGTGACATTCTGTTGAGCGGATGCCGGACGTGTACCGATCGGTGCTTGAAGAGGCCGAGATGGCTTTCGATCTTCGACCACCTCCTCATCGGGGTGAGGCAAGGAAAGGTTGCTTGTCGACCCGTACACAATGGATGGCCGACGAGAATGGCTACGAGAAAAGGAATGCAACGAACCCCAGTCTGGAGCGAGTGGGCTATTGCGAATTGGCGGTTTTTCGTTGGCCCAGGCCAGGAACTGGCTCTCCATGGATGGTCGAGGCATCTTGTCAAAGGAGTAGGTAGAGGACGGTCGAGGAGAAGAGGTATCGCCGCGTAGACCAGGGTCAAAAGAACTAGACCTTGCAGCAAACGGATCATAGCTGGACGAAGCCGCTGATGACTTGCCAAATCCTGGGAAGAGGAACGGTCGTCGACTTGTGGGAAGTCGTGAGTTTTCTTGGTCTTTCTCATCCGCCCCACCATTAGACTTCAACAATGCCCCAGGAAATGCCCAGTTTCCTCCATAGCTCAGACGCCTTCTAGGCTGTGTAGCGGGATCGAACTCATCCATGTTGCGAGGAAAGGACTGGCTTTGGCCAGGTTTGAGGGACCCCAGAAGGGGTGGCTGATCAGCAAGAGTCTTCCCACGCTGACGGTTCAGGCCAAACATGGAAGACATGGAATACTTGGGCTTTGGTGGCTGCTGAGACACCATGTCTTCCTCCTTCTCTTCCGAGCTCGAGGATTTCTCATCCACCTCTCCACCAGGAGCCGAAGTTTGCAGTGGGCTTGAGAAAGAACGGCTTGAGGACGATCCTGCAGATGGTGTCTCCACATGTCGAGTGCTCTCTTGCAATGCTGGGGATCCGACTTTAGCACTCTCGTCGTTGGTAGGCGGTAGATTTCGGGTCTCGGTCTCAGGGAGTTCATCTGCGGACTCGTCGCCAAGCAGATCAGCCGGCAACAAAGAATCGGCTCTTGGGCTCATGGGAATCGAGCTAATAGCCTCGATATCATCGCCAGGAGAGGTAGATATGTCTTGCGGAAGCACCAAAGTCATGCCGTTTTGAGGGTTGAAATAACTGGGCCCGATGATGGTAGGAGACGCATTTGGTGCAGAAGTGTATTGCGGTGCAGCTTGGAATGGTTCAGGTCCAACGAAGGGGCCACGGGGTGAAGAGATGCTGCTGCCATGAGAGCCGGTATGTCGTGCTCGGCGCAGGGGTCGGACGCCACGACGAACAGCATCCATATCTAAAGGAGCCATGGGCGCAAACCCCCAATTGTTGGCCCTTCGATTCTCCATAGCAGTGATTTGCTCGCGGGTGTAGTTGACCTGCTGGTTTGCAAGCTGTAAATCATTCCACAGTCTCGCATACTGCTGTTGTAGTGCTTCAAAGCGAATTCGCCATCTCGCATTGCGCTCAGCTTGAAGTCGGTCGGCTTCTCTAGATTCGTCAGTCTCGTCCTCGACATTGAGCTGCTGCCGCTCCTCCTCCAAGGCTTTGATGGCGCGAGCCTTCTCCTTGTTGTCCTCTTCGAGCATGGCCACTTCTCTCTGTTCTTCTTCGATCTTCTTGCGAATTTCCCTCACTTCGGTCTGTGTTCTACGCTCAATGGCCGACTTTTGTGTCTCAATGCCGGCCATCTCTTCCTTCATGGTAGCGATCTGGTCCTTCCATTTAGCGATTTCGTCCTTCCTTTTTCTCCGTTCATTTTCCTTCTGCGCCAAAATGCGCTCTTTCTTGATTCTCTCGTTGTGAGCCGTCCGGTTTGCAATTTCCGCCTTGTGAACCTGCTTTCGCAAGTCATTGCTAACTTCGTCGCGCTCTTTGAGTTGGTGCTTCAGATCATCCCGCCGTGCTTCCAGTTCCTTCATTTGAGTCTGATATTCAATCTCTTCCTCTTGTGTCTGAGCGTCGATGGCCTCGGTTTCTTGCTGAATCCTCTGGAAGGTTTGAGACAATTCTGCGAGATCACCGTCCACCTCGTCTTCTACAACCCTTGCGGCCGAGTCTTGAGCCTGTTGGGAATCATTGATGTGATTGGCAGGAGAAGGTCTCCGACCAGTGGTTCCTCTTCTTCCGAGCGGCTGACCACCACTAAGTTCGCGGGTCATAGCTGGAGCAGAGGCAGGTACACTGATCAAGGGGTTTCGGACGGAGAGGGCTCGGACAGTGGGAGCAGACTCAGAAGAACCATCTTGTGACGAGGCGGAGGGATCATGCGGAGTCCGGATGCGTAGAGCTGCGCTTGGAGTTTGGAAGTTGCCATTGCTGACACAGAAGATGCGGATTTCATACTTGGTTCCGGGGTTCAAATTGGATATGACTGCGCCGGTCTCGGTCTTGCGTGTAGAGCCAACCACCCGACCATTGACCTCGACATGATGTTCTGAGACGGAAGAAGAGGGTTCGGCATGTTTCCAAGTGAGCTGAACCTCACGTGAGGAAATCTCTTCGAGGATGAGGAGAGGAGATGGGGGGATGTCAAGACCAAGCTTCTCTACTAGGATATCATTGGGGGTCTGGATGACTGAGTAGGCTCGCCACAGGAGCCTGCGAAGGGATGTTAGCAATGACTCGCGAGGGACGGGGTCAGACCAGGAGGAGAATGAAGGATCAATATACCAGCCAAAGGCCCAAATGACCGCAACAAGCATAAGGAGAGCCATGCGTCCTTTAACGTTGACTCTGGGAGCTAGTAGATGGTAGGCATACACGGCCCAGTCGATACCCTCTCGCGGCCATCTAGCAGAGTCCATCCACAAAAGTGGTATGGGGATTGCAGGCATACGTTGACGCAGAGTGAGTAAGAACGTTTTTACGGCGACAGACATGCCATGCAAGACGGCGGTACTCGGTACAGTAGGTCTAGACGAGACGAGGCAAGAATTCGGGCTTCCAAGGCGGGTGGGAGAGAGGATGGTGTGTGTGTGGCGCAAGATAGTGTCGGTTGACTCGGTTGGTGTGACTGGATGAGTTGCGAATCAAATCTGCGTGTCTTGGAGAAACTCCTCCGCTCTCGCTTCTGGTCTGACCAGGAATTCACAACCCAGTTGATTAGGTAATCTATCCACAATATGATACATACATGGCATTTATGCCCGTGATGGAGATGGAGTGGCGATGATGGTGATGGTGATAGATGGGGAATCAGGCGCAGGCGAAGGAAATAAAGAGAAGGGGGCTTTTTGTGTGCGTGGAAAAATCCATCCCGGGTGCCTTCCTCGTCAGGCTTCAAGGTAGCCATCGTGCCTGCCGGTCGGTAACAATCTTGACAGTGCATTTTGTGGAAAGTCACGCGTCAACCGCTCTACTCCTTCCTTCTCTATAGCAACAATAATTAGAGGGAGTCACGTGTACCCAATTTTGTATATTACTAGTGGTCTTATAAGCCCCTCAGGAGACATGACAGAAGTCGCATGTCTGAAAGATTAGGAATGCCTGTTGTTCCCTGCTATCAAACAAATCTGTGCATCAGTGCATAGCTGGATCCGTTCATCGCCTCTCCTTCTGCACCTGTTGTGCTGACACTCGTGCCTGTTCTGAACTCTTCTTCCTTTCGTGTTCTTCTCGCTCATATTGACGCCTGATCCGTCGGGCATGTCTCTCCTCCCTTTCTCTGAGCAGCTCCCGTCTCTCGCGTCTCTTCCTTTCCCGTTCGTTCTTGCCCTCATGTTCACCCTGTGCCTCGAGTAATAATGCTTTCTGTTTCTGGGGCGACACCGCCCATGCCTTGGATAGAGTGCTGGCAAGAAATTGACTGCGTGAAGAAATCAAACTGAGCTCATGGCTTGTTGTGGGAATTATTGAGAGACGGATCAACTCCAACTGGCGAACTGACCGGAATGTGGTGATAATACCTTTCGCCTGGACCACCGTCCCAATATCGAGTCGGGCGAGAGTGGCATGAAGGCTACGCTGGGCAACCACGTCAGGATCCTCGTTGTCGCAAGTTCGTGCGCTGTCCGTGGCCTGCTGTTCACCAACACTGCGTCTAGGCGCCTTGTTCACATGTGAGCCCAGCTTGCCTCCGCCTTCGTTCGCCTTCTTCTCAGGCTTCGGACAACAGACATCAAGAGTCGCTCCACTACTATCATCCAAAGTGAACAGCCAGAATTTCTCAAAGTATTCTTCAAACACCACAACTACACCGACCACCTGCACAAATTGAATAGGGTGGTTAAGATAAAACAGCAAGAGTCCACCACGCTCGCCGCTATCGGTGGTCACCTCGTTGTATTTGCTGTGAGGCTTCAGGGTCGAATGGATGTCACGGGCAGTCAGCTTGACCCATTTAGTATAGGTCTCGGAGGCTTTGAAGCAGTAGGCTGGATAGAATGTCAACCGACTACCGTCCTTTGGGGCGTCGTTGTGATCTGAGCCTCTGCCGGCGGGCTCATGGCGGTGAGTCTTCGGGCGCAGCACCTGCTTGGGTAGTTGCTGCATTCATCTGACCGTGATGCTCATGCTGCGATCGCGGACAGCTTCGAGAGTTGTGCAGTACACGCGTACTGTAGTGTTGCGAACGGCAAATGGAATGCAGTCCCTACAAGGCAGATGCAGGGATGCGGCCGAATGATCACTGCTACTGGTGCGTAGTTCCTTCCTCAGGATAAATGACGCGTTGGAGAAGCGGAGGGGCTCCTGCCCGTGAGTCCCTGACGCGGATAAACGGCATCACCATCCGACGTGTGGATTTGTAATGGCAAAGTATTTCCCCCACTCTCGCAACATATCCGTCGGCAAATGACCCCAAACATTATGGACGGTCCCCGATAATCATGTCATTCGAAACGTCTGGGCTCCTCCGCTCGCGATCTGTGGCATCAACAAAACACCTTCCGGCTGTGACCATCTGCCGTTACAAACTCCAGCCCACTGAATGGCCAGTTCCTGGCCATGATAGTCTCCGGGATCGGTAGTGGGTGCCGTGCCAGCGGTGACAAGTCTATCCCACCCGCATATGATCATGGCTTTATCATAGTCCGTGGGCCATGATGGAGTTCAATTTGGCTCTCAAATTTGATCTCCCACCTCCATAATCTGGTCTTGTGGCAGAGACAACGCGTTTAAAGACAGCACCAGTCGAAGCCAAGATCCTGTCCCACTGACTCGACTGGCACTTCTTAGAGGGACCCCCCTTACAATCGTCTTGGGCCTTCTTACGCTGATGTCGGGTGGTTCATGTACCCCCGAGCAAGATGCCCAGAATCAGATACCACTAAGCAAGACCGGCCTGGCCGGTCTCCATAGTGATAGGTGTCTACATACCGGTCCTGTTCCAGATGCTGGGCGTATATCTTCGGACGGCATGCAGGATGCCAACCCGAAACGTGCCAATTACGGCGGCTTCCAAAGCTCCCAACCCACCCAGGACCATGTGAATCAAGGCATACCGATCGAGACAATAGCCACCAGCGGCTCCATAGCATCCCCAATCCATTCAGTCTTTACCAGAAACCAGAAGAGATTCATTGTCTTCATGGCGGCATGGGCCGGTTTTTTCTCTCCTGTTTCTGGTAACATATATTTTCCGGCATTGAACCCGCTGGCTAAAGATCTCAACGTCTCCAACACCCTCATTAATCTGACCCTGACTTCATACATGGTACGTAGTCGTCTCCACGGGAGAAAAGTCGACAAGGCTCACCAACATGTGTTTTCAGATATTCCAAGGCTTGGCTCCAAGTTTCTTTGGCGACTTCGCAGATATCGCGGGTAGACGTCCTGCTTATGCTGGTAAGTCCCTCTTTTCAAACCCAGAGGTAAGCATCTTCCTGTTAACAAGCATGCAGTTTGCTTTGCTGTTTATATTGTTGCCAACATTGGCCTTGCGCTGCAGAATACTTATCCCGCACTCTTCGTTCTGAGGTGTATTCAGAGCACAGGCAGCAGTGCTACAATTGCAATGTGTAGTGCTGTGGTGGCCGATGTCACTACCGCTTCCGAACGTGGTAAGTATATGGGCGCCGCATATTCCGGAAGTCTTTTGGGCCCTGCGATTGGTCCGGTCATTGGGGGTGTCCTTGCAGAGTTCCTGGGATGGCGCGCTATTTTCTGGTTCCTCACTATCCTGGGAGCTGCATTCATGCTTGTATTTACCATTTTTCTTCCCGAAACAGGTACGCACTTTTGTTGATTTCCTACAATCAAGGGTGGTCACTGATAATCCCAAAGCTAGGACCCAGGTCGGAAACGGATCAATCCCTCCAAAAGGATGGAACATGTCTCTCATGAATTATCTCGCCATTCGAAAGGCGCGGAGAATCTATCCACAGGGCCAGCTGGCTTCTCCAGAGGATGTGGGAGGTCTATCACAGAAGCGGCAAAAGATTGGATTTCCCAACCCGCTCCGTTCGCTCTACATCATCTTTGAAAAGGAAAACGCCCTTCTTCTATTCTACAATGCATTCCTGTTTGCAGCATTCTACGATGTTGGTGCAGCAATACCGTCCCAGTTTGCTGAAATTTTCCACTTCAATGTACTCCAGATCGGGTTATGCTACATCCCGTTTGGCTGTGGGTCGGTCCTTGCAGCCTTCAGCAACGGTTTGTTTCTCGATCGAAACTTCGCCCGCTGGTGTAAGCACCTAGGTGTGAAGATCAAGAAAGGCCGAGACCAGGACCTACGCGACTTCCCCATCGAGAAAGTCAGGCTTCAAATTGCGATTCCTGCAGCATATTGTACATCAATCCTGGTCTGTATCTTTGGTTGGATTCTCCATGTGGATGGACCACTTCCGGCACTCCTTGTAATCCTCTTTTTCACTAGCTTCTCCATGTCCGTGGCTTTCAATGTCACCACGACATTGCTAGTGGACTTTTATCCCAAGTCACCTGCCACGGCCAGTGCAGCCAATAACCTTGTTCGGTGTCTCCTGGGGGCTGGCGCTACAGCAGCAGTTATACCAATGATCGATGCAATGGGCAGAGGTTGGACGTTCACATTCCTGACATTGTTTCTTATTGCCACTTCACCGATGCTCTGGGTGATCTATTTTCGAGGAATGGGGTGGCGACAAGAGCGACTCAGCAGAGAAGATTCTGCCGAGGAGCTGAAAAAGGAGAACCTCAGGAGATTGGATGATGGTGAGAATTTCGTCGCAGATAAGAAGCCGCCTGCCCAGGGTGATGTTCCCGAGACCGAAGGTGTCGCAAAGAAACAACCAGAGAGAGGCCAACAACGCCTGCCGAGCGTTCAGTCGAACTCCACACCTGACACAGACAAGAGAGGGGGCTCACAGGGAAACAACGATGATATGGAAGAGCGAGATCATACGATATCCAGAACCTTCTCATATAACTCGGGATTCTGACATATCTTGCAGATTTTTTGTCGGGCATTATCGTCACGGTGGGCATGAATTTATCCAATGCACAGACAACGGATTTGGCTGTGACAGTTCCGTCCACTACCAAATGCCACACTGGCCTTGTTGGATCGAGAGGACATGAGATTTTAGGCCTGGCTCAAAGCGTACTCATCATAGGCGAGACTCAATTTGATCGTTTCTCAAAATTCTGTGAGCATCGCTCCCTCGATTTCCATGTTCAATCCAAGCTCCGTGCTGAGAGTCTGATCAATGATGTCCAGAGTGCTCTGCATGATATCGTCGCGGTAAAAGGCGGTGTTCCAATGGACCTCTACAGTCATCTTTCCTCGGAATGTCCATACACCCAGAACAATTCCTGGGCCAAGGACTGGATCGGCGAATACCAGGATGCTCTCTACTTTCAATTTCCCATAGCTTTGTGGGATCATCTCCTGATCCAAGACTCCATGACTTGTGAACCATGGCATGGACGCTTCGAGAGCGAGGGGATGCGCCCCCAACTGCTCGCTCATCTCACGCATATCCTCATATAGCCATGTCTGCTGACTGGCAATCGCGTATTGCCGCTTAAGGTCGAGGGCCCGCGTCAGAAAATCTTGACCCGCCAGCGCGGACATCATCAGCATCTGGCTCGCGTTCCAAGCTCCCTGGTCGCGATAACGTGAGGTTGGAGGCAGACGTGTGCGGACCTGGGCTGGCATCATCGAAGCATAATTTCGACTCTTCTTGTCATTGTCAGCCAGCTGCCACACAGCCTCCAGGTAGGCTGAATGTACCGCGGCTGTCACACTGATTCCCCTGGCCTTGCATGCATTCACAAGGCTGGAAGTTGTCGTTTCCTTGTATCTTCGAAGTTTCAGTTTGACTGAGGAAGGAATCGTGGATGGGTCCCTTTGCATGGGGAAATCCAGAGGAGGAAGCTTGGAGTCATAGTCTTCCAAAAGTTGCTGGATGCGGCTCTTGGACTCGGGAGTCGTGGATTTATTCGGCATCATGATATCTTCCAAAGTAGGATTCAGTAGTCTGGCCTCACTGCCTGGAAGATGTCGTGAAAGAGCTTCCCTGGTAGAGGTTCCCGACAGGATGTCAGACGCATAGCCAAGGACATGACTGATCATCTTGAACGCGCCAGCAGCTTCCGTTCTCCAGTGGCTGATGAAGAGGATCACCGAAGCCTTGAAACCAGCTTCGCTGTGCTGAGGCACGATATAGAAGACAGGTAGCATTTCTTGCAGCGATTGCATCTCCTTCACAACTACCTGCGCAGAGATGCCGCCTTGCGCAACTCGGAAGGTTTGCTGTAACCACCTTTCAAGCTCCTCGACCGAAGGAACTTTGTAATGGCTGTGTCCGTCTCCATACGTCGTAGCAATGTCTGGAGACTTGAGAAGACGCAGCGCCTTCCAAGCGTCCCTGAAAGCCGCGATAACGTCCGCTGGATCTTCCTCCTCCAACATGAAGTCCGCAAACGCGTGTATTCGTATGGGTTCCCGTACAAGCTGTCTTTCTCCGGTGATTGCTGCGATCATCCCATTCTCGGCCCCACCAAGAGGTCTTTGGTATCGACCTGGTGTGATTTCCGTCCACGACATTCTTTGCGGTATTCTTGAAGTGGTTTGATATGGGAAGACAGGATGGCTTCTTCTGGTCCAGTTGCCTCGGGGTAATTTGAAGGTAAATATCAATTACGAGCACAGGGTACCTAGGTTTCTCAGGTGCACTGGCCTCGCTTAAGTTTCGCCAAAACGTCTTCTCCGTCCGATCGACGGGGATGCCCAGTTGACTGGCGAACCAACGGTCTTCTCGATCGGGCAACTGGAACTTTGACCGCCGACCGTACCACGGACAGCGCCTCAGACCTCCGAGACGGACGGCACTGAGTCAGCCGTCTGGCTGATCGCATCCGTCCCACATCAACATTCAGAGAGCAAAGCCAATTCATTTAGCATCAGGTATCAGGATGGCGACACCGGTTGTCCACCCAGCATCAAGCAGCTATTCAGACTCAGCATTCTCTTATCGCATGAGCTAGGGCGCTCGTCTAGCATTAATCCTCATCGACGTCTGCAAAGCATACTTCAGCGATGGCTCGCCTCTCTCGCTCCTATCGAATCCGGAAGCCATGGCCACACCAGACTCCATGCGACGACTGCTCGCAGCGGCAAGGAACGGTCGAGTCCCCGTCCTGTGGAGCAAGATCGAGTACTCGAGCCCCGACATGGCCGATGCCGGGCTGTGGTGGCGAAAAGCGAACCTGTTAGACGTCTGGCTTAAAGGCGATCCTAGAGGCTTCGACTAGGGCCTCGATGGGTTGTTGCCGCTGGAAGGCGACGTCGTCGTAGTGAAGAAGTATGCATCTGCTTTCTTTGGAACACGGCTTGCTACAGAGGTACAGGCGAGTGTTTCTTCGAGGTGGTTGCCTGTCCGGAAAGCATGCGGCTCTTTCTTACAGCATGCTGTCGCAGCGATTGGGCGTCGACACACTCGTCATATGTGGAGTGAGTACCTCTGGATGTGTGAGGGCAACAGCCCTAGATGCGATGCAATATGGCTTTAGACCAATGGTAAGCCGTTGCTATCGTTTGACGAGTCACAATATGATGCAGCCGAAGTTAATTTCAACAGGCTGTAGGAAGTGCGTGCGGTGACAGGACTCCCGAGATTCAAATTGCCAATCTATTTGACCTGGATGCAAAGTACGCCGATGTCGTCGAAGAAGCAGAAGCTGTATCACATCTCGAGGCCGGATGGCCGTAGGACCACTCTTAAGTCTACCTGAAAATTTGCCCAGCTCATCCCTCTGTCAAAATCAAAACCAAAATCTCTGGGGCAATGGCCAAATTTTCAATGCACGAGATGAAACATCTCCTCAATAATCACCATAAACGGTAGCCAACCCGATGGAGGTTCCAATATTGACGTTGAACATTCCGGCAAAATTGCCTGTAGGGAAAATACGTTAGAAACACCATTCAATCCAACATCAACACCTCGCTTAAACATACCTGGCGGAGCGTAGTTACAAACGGTGAAGAACGGCGGAATTCCAGGGGCATTCGCTAGACCGCTGTTGGTGCAATCTGCCGTATAGCATCCAACGCTGTCTGTACTCTTCCAGACGACCTGAGTGAAGTGACCCCATATCCCGAAGTCGCCAAGGTTGGGCTCGCTGCCGTACGCCGTATACTTGTTCACTTCGCTGTTGTAAAGCCCCTCAGTGACGAATTGGCCCATCGACAATGGAGACTCTGGGTAGCCTGCGCCGATGTTTTGCCCATAACCGCCACCGCCAACATCGCTGTGAGAGAATGTTAAGCTTAGCCATTGTTTCTAGTAGGGAACAATATGCTGCGGATAACAATAAGGGATCTTACGTTTTGTGTGCGTAAATACAAGTTTGTGCAATTACTCTTGCGGTCTCTGCCAGGCTGGATGACCAGCTTAATGCATTGGCTGAATGGTTTGTGCGATGGATATTGTGATGCCTTAGGATTGCATTGATGTAGGCTGAGTTGGTGACCGACGGCTCGCTTCCTGCGGCCGATGTTGAGGTGGATATTGTTGGAATACCACCTCCCGGGCTTGTGCTTGAGCCAGGTGCGCCCGCGTCGCTTGTCAAGGTAAAGGAAGGGGTGAGAGTACCATCCGGAAGCAGAGGTGTCAAGCTGGTCGTAGTTGAGGATGTGCCTGATGAGGAAGGTCCAGTCGTTGCGGGAGTCGAATAAGTGAGTGCAGGGTCGTTGGACACCAACGGTGTCGAGGATGTGGATGTACAGGCACAGGTTGTCGTTGTGAATGTATCCCAATGTGTCACTGTAAAGGTTGCCGTGTAACTGTAGCTGACATCTGACACTGTGATTCCCTGGGCCGCCACACTGGCTGCAAGTAAGCACAATCCAAGCCCTCGCATGATTGCTCAAAACAAAGATGGCAACGAAAGTGTACACAATGGGTAATGAGTGACTAGAGTTAGCTGTAAGTAGAGGGAATTTTGCAATCAAAGTGGAAGGGGAGTAGCATTGTACCTGTAGGCGAGCCGCGAATCTCGAATTCCACATTCCTCGTCCGTCAACATAGCGTAGCGTCCATCCCTTGGCTTCAAACGATCGCTCCACGGAAGTAACATTTCTTTTCAACAACGATAAAATGTGAGGTTAAGCCTGCTACTGAGATGGTTTGACGCACATTCGATCGATAGAAGCTGCATTAGCGCTGTGGCAGTTGACCCACTTCCAAGGAGGCATCCTGCTTGCACATTCGATACATTGCTGAAAGGGACCTCATATACAGGCTGGATGGATGAGGATAGTGCTCGAAACCCCCAGCTAGGAGTCGTTTTGGGCATGAGGACCTCCCTCCATGTCATTGACATCGTTTGTACTGCCACTGAGGCAAGGTTCAGGCATTGAGATACTATCATCGAGCCTCATCTGTCAGGTTGCCACGATAGCATGCAATTGGTATGCAGCATGGGTAATGGATACAACCCAGTATAACGCCAAAGTGCACCCCACGAGGATAGCAACGACGCTGTGAGGGGCTCAAGGGGCTGAGTCGAGCATAATGGATTCTGCCTGGTTACGAACCCAGACTACTCAGATATCTCAACAGGATTTCACTTCTCATGTCCGTTGATGAAATCATACTACTCTGCCATCTTCTGACCGGTCGTCTCTTTGGCAGTTTCACAGTGTTAGTGGTGTAGGTCTCTGGTATGCCCACCAATCGCCAGCTGACAGCGGTTGGCCAATTTCTCAGGTCGCTTGGTTCCGGGATGTTTGCAGTTGCGTTGAGTTTTTCAACTTAACTAAGGAAGTCAAGAGTCACCAGACTCAAGAACAAAATGCTTCTTTCGTGTTCGGGGCCTATCCGAGAGAACAACACGAGGTATGATGAGTCCAAAGCAAGCGACTGCAAGCCGTACGCACTTGCGGCTGACAGATTGGAACTGAAGACGACTCGACTCCCCTCGCTCATGAATAATCATCACTGCGAAGGGGACCGGGGATGCAAGTGCTGGATCCGCAAGATGCCATTCCGTTTTTCATCACCAGTGCCTGCCGTTCATAGTTAGATCGGCTCGTTGAGAGCAGTAGTGGCTCATCGGTCATTGCAAGGGATATCTGGCCCGCAAGGCTGAGGCAACATGAGATCGAGAATGACTGGGCAGGTGAAGGACCAAAATTTCAAAGTATGCCGAGAACCGAGAACCACCTAAGGGATCAGGCTGTGCCGTACGCCGGCCAAAGGACCAGTAAAAACACGGCAACTTGTCTGGGGCGCAACATGAAAGATAGCGCTTACATGAATCTCTATCCAGGAAATACAAGGGGCCTCTTCAACAACTGCCTATTAGGTGTTGTTATCAGGCTGAGAAACGGTCCTGCAAGAACACCGCGGAGGCGCAACCCAGCGCTCGACGCTAAACCCTTGTCCTGAATGAAGCTGGACTTTTGACGCGCGGCCCATTCGCAGAGCTGGGCGGAAGTTCAGGGATTTGTCTCTTAGTCTTGATTTGTGACCCAGATACCCGGAATTATCGAGCATGTGAAGATCGACAAGAGGAGCGCGGTGATGAATGTGTAGTTTCTCAGATGTCGCATCGAGGCAGGATCATCAGGATCTCTGGATTTCTAGGTTCAAGGGACAAACAGCTTGCAGATGTCACGTTGAGCACGAGCTAGCCCTCCACTCGCTGGACACAGTATCCATGGCCTGGACAACCTCTCCGCCAGCAGCTGTGGCATGTATGGCGAAGAGCATACGAGCCTGGGCGCCGACGAGCTATTCCTGCCTGCCCTAAGCCTGGCGGGCGCGCCGAAATCTTACCTGAGCAACGGGATGTCGTTGAGGTGGGAATAGTGAATGGTTGGCTTGATGTTCTCTCGAAGTTCAAGGACACAGGGCGCGAGGTGAGAACAAGCTTCACTGACGACAGACACAATGCTGGTAGTCCCCCCGTGACAGCGGGCATACCGAAGACAGGAGTCATCCTGTGAGCGCTGTCGAGTAAGCGCCATGCAAGGACAGCTCATAGGGTTGGATAGTCATGGAAAGTGAGTACGGAGCACGAGAGATTGGTAGTAGTTCCTTCGAAGACGTGAGGACAGCAGACGACTGACCTCATCAGTCAGCAATGATCTGAAAATGGAACGGGAAGTCGACGGAGGCAAGAACCGCGGGCGATGGCGCTAGTGTTTAAAAAGGATTAGCGTGCTGGGAAACCGGTAGAGGTGTTTCTATTTTGGTGCACCACATGCCACGGCCCCGGGATCTCCAAGAAGATCGACCAGCACGGTCAATGGCGTCCTGCCGTCAGTGTTTCATGGTCTCCATGGTGTCTTTCAGCAGCAGAATAAGCATGCAATCGAGATGCGGAACGTCACGTCCGATAGTGTTGGTGACGATGAGAAGTCTGCCTTGCAGTCGATTGAATTCAGCCTTGCTCGGAGCTGTCCACCTACTGAAAGAGTGGATCCCCGAGGCGCCAATCAGAAGGTTCCCCCGCATCAAAGAAAATCCCCTCCGAGCGGCTGAGTTCCTCTCGGCCATTCAGCCCTATCTTGCCATGCCTTGCTCGCATGCACCCCATCCGTGCCATGTGGTTGACGACCAACTGGAGTGTACTCCATAGCAGCCAGCAGACACAGCTTCTCAATCGAGGGTAAGCATGGAGTGGTAGTCACTTGACATGCCAAGGCCAATTATCCTCATTGATACGTTCACGAATACAATCAATTGATCGCCTGTAACTCCCATGGTTGATTTGGGTGGCTTCTAATGGCACACAACCCACTTATGCGGCTTGAGTGGCCTTTTCTTAGAAGGAACATGCCGATAAGACGGGTCCTTGCAGACGGGTTGACTGCGCTGCATTCGTCTGCTGTACACTCGGAGAATCTGCTGTGTCTCGGTTGCATCGAAGCCTTGCAGTCGTGTCACATGTTCTTGGGGGGTCCTTCCGACCTCATACACTTCCCTTGCGGTCACTGGGATAGGGTGATTCCCACTCGGAGAATTAAGACACTGGAACGAGGGGACACGAAGAAATGATTGGAGCTATGGGCTGTGACACTTTCCTCAGCGATGCACGTGGTAAAGCGAATATTCCTCACGGCTGCGCCCTGCAGCGGACGGCTTAGCATGGGTACTATGACTGAGCCCGATCGGCCATTGGATAAGCCAGCGAGCTAAGGCCTCCTAGTTCCATGGGCTAGCCCGTATTTGTCCAAGCGTGGCGACTCTATCAGCACTAAATCCAACGTCTTCTGCTCTGCCCTCCTCCTCCCGCCTATCTCATTCCTCAGCTTCCCAGGCTAATGCACATCAACTGCAGCCCTAGCACACCACGCCTCTTTCTAGACCCATTGAAAAAGCTCCGACTTGTTGGATTTAGCACACCCTAAAGCAAACCTTTCTTCTCACTGCCCACTGACGGTTGCAACATTACGCCTCCCGTCGAGTGCTGCTGTTTCTTTGGTCCAACCCATCGTGTCGACCGTCGTATTCCGTGAAGGGAATGTGGAAACCCTCAGGGCCAAGGCGCCCAATTGCCCGATTCCTCAGGTCTCCTCCATGGCAGCGTGCCTGAACCTGAAGCCATCGCACTGCTAGGGTTCCTGAGGATTATCAGTTCCTACCTAGCTCCACTCCGGACACGAAGAAACCTTCTGCAACGCAAAAGTCCATATTCCTCCCAGCCGTCAGCCCGCTCGTCAAATGTGGATGCACGAGCAGGGCTTGGTACAATCATGGGATCCGTACGATGTACTGCCCCTGGTTCGTGCCTGTCAACCCACTACTTGTTCTACCGCACACTTCACATGCGTCCGATCAGATGTTTTCGCCGCCCCCAAATTTACCTCATCTGCCATCCGCCCCTGGTACACCGATCGAATTACCTTGTCGTTCCTAGACTAACCCACCTCCAAAGTCCCGGGTCGGGTGGATCCTCGCGCAAGGGTTTGGGCTGGCATTTGATAGACTTCTGCCACTGGCTCTACATGCATGGTCAGACCTAACGCGGAGTCTCTCAGAGATATATACCAGTCTATTCCAGCCCGCCTAGACCTCACACTTTTTCCATTCTACCAGACCACAGCACTCATTCCAACCTCTTCCTGCAATTCCGTCCTTTTTCGTTTCCTTTGTTCGCAAGCAAGCCCGATCTAATCTAATTCACCTTTGACCTTCTTTCCATCCAGTCCAGCTTCAGCGTCAGCAATACTAAACCCAACTACTAGACCCAAAGGTATAGAACTTTGAATTTCCTTACTTCCGTCATTCATCTTCTATCTATCAACACACGACAACTCCCAGCAACCCACACGCAGCCTCCCAGAACCCCCCTAGATCGACTCTTTTCCTTATTTCCTTTGTCTCTTATCCCTCCCCCATACTTTCATTTGTCTTCGACAAGCCCAAGTCAAGTCCCAGTCGACTCTTTCAGACCACCACCCACCACCATTAGTTCCATCTTCTCCTATTTTCATTCAATTTTCGCAATGGCAATTGGACGTGGCGGCTACAATACCCCAGCAGGCACTGCACCCCAGAAAGGTCGAGGCGGATACAACAAGCAAGGTCGTGGAGGCTACAACCGGACCCCCGTCGTGCAAGGGCGCGGTGGATACAACCGGCAACAAGCAGTTGCTGCCCAAGGTCGTGGCGGATACAACTAAGCCAGCCAGTCGATTCCCTTGTTTTCCTTTCGCAACACAACACGTCTTACCTTTCGAACAAAAGACGCTCCAACTGGACATCGCGAACCGGGATTTCGATGTACCTCGACACACTCCTTCGAACTAAAATCCTTGTGGATCTATTTTCGTTTTTTCGATGGCCCTGGTCTCGGTCAGACGAACACCACTCTTTTTCGACCACTTTATCTTTTGCCCTCGACGGGCATTGTTTTATTTTCCGACACAGAATCTGTACCAACACCATATTTGATTAGCGTGATCGTCCTATGATTTGTTTGTTTTTGAAAAGCAATCTAGCGGCATTTTTTAGGCGTTTATCGGATCACATTGAGGAATTGGGAATCATGAACACAGCTCTGGAAGCAGAATCGATGCGCCAGGTCGCACAGCATCTTCAGGAGTTGGTCTTTCGTCTTTTTGAAAGGCACATTTGGATAGCATTTTCAGGCAGGCAAGCATTTTTACCAGTGGGGGCGAAAAACACTCGTGTTGGGAAAGCATGCGACAAAAAAGGACATTCTCTTGGCGTTCTCTCTCTCTTTGTTTCAGTTTTGGGTTGGAAGAAATAAATATCGGCAAGGCAGTGCCTGCAGCCTGAGGTCCAACAGAACAGAACCAAATAAATATACCAGGATTTAGGTCACTCTTTGTGGGGAACAGGCCCCCGAGAATGAAACGTATAAGCAATAACGAATCGCAATGTTCTCCAACATAAAAAGCACCGCTTCTCTTTCTGCGTAGACTTCAAGATAGAGGAGTGGACACCACAAAATGGACTGACAAGGGAAAAGCATGACTTACTTTTCGAAAACAACTCCGAGCACATCTTCCACGTCACCCCCCTCGCCTTTGCCTGTAATCTTGGCAAGACACTGTGCAGCGAATCGGAGGTGTTCGGCAGCCGTAACAATGTCAAACTCATCATTCGAGGCACTGCCCATGGGATGGACCAGGTCATCATGTCTGTCAACATGGTATCCCTGCATGTGTAAAACTGTCTCAACGCCCGGAAGAACATCACCAAGATACTCACCGAGATGTTGTCGACATTGCCTTAAATAGGTGCTTTGACGATGTGTAACAGACAGTGAAGCTGTCCAGTAGGCTTGTGATTCCATTAGAGTCATAGAACCAATGGCTCCGCCACTAGAGGCTGTGGTAAGGTCCGCAAATGCGTTGGTCAACTTTGCGAGGAACGCTTGGACACCACCTGGGTCTGACACTGTCGGCTTTTGATCCATCGCGGCCTTGCATGAAATGAACGAAATTCGTTCAGGAGGGATCAAGGGAAGATGAGTCTTGACAATGTCGCAGATGGCTTGGTAGATCTGCCCATGAGATGTTTGCTCCTCGATAATGTCTGCCTTATTAATTGCAACGAGAATGGTCTTGTCTGCAGAATGGCATTCCTGAACAGCGTTGGCCACTTCCACATTAATGGGAAGAGTGACTGTTCCGTCCACTTGGACTTCAACCGAGAGTAGCACCACGACGACATCGGATTGTAAGGCCCGCTCTCGAGCACGACGAATGCCTTCTCGCTCGACAAGCCCGACCTCGTTCCAACGGTGAGACGAAATGCCAACTGCGCGCAGGCCGGCCATGTCACCCAGACGGCAGAGCCATCCACCAATGTCAACGGCCACATCGACAATATCTCTTGTCGTCCCTTCCTCGGCACTGACGATGGCAGCTTCTCGGCCAACAATTCGATTCAACAATGAACTTTTGCCGGTATTTGGAGCACCTAGGAGCGCTATAGTGATGCCATTCCGGAGTAATTCGCCCTTGGATGCATTCTGGAGATGAACATCAATCTGTTTCGCCAAGGCCTGTATCTGAGAAGTCACGGATCTCATGAACTCTGCCGGAGACGCATCGAAGTGCTGGTCTTCAGAGAAATCGATTAGGGCTTCCAATTCGCCACGTGCGTAAAGCAACATGGTACGCCATTCCTCATATCTCTTCGCGAGACCGCTGTCTGCACCACTTACGGCGAGACGTCGTTGCTGTTCGGTCTCGGCTGCCAGAGTCTCTCCCAATGCCTCCGCTTGAGTAAGATCCAGCTTTCCATTGTAGAATGCACGCTTTGTGAATTCGCCAGGCTCAGCAGGCCTGAGGAGTCCATCTATGCGCTGGCCTGTGTGCCCACAATTTGAGATTCCGTCCAAGATCGATCGCACGATAGCCGGACCTCCGTGGACATGTAGCTCTAGGATGTCCTCCCCAGTAACGGTATTCGGAGCTGGAAAATGGAGCACGAGTGCTCTATTATCGAGGATGCGGGAAGGAGATCGCAATGATTCGCCGGGGTGGTAGAGTTTTCGAAGCGTCGCTGTCCTCGGTTTCGGATCTGGTCTCTGGGGACATAGTCTGCGGTAAATGTCGAGGCATGCCGGACCAGAGATGCGCACAACAGCAATGGCAGCCCGTCCTGGAGCGGTAGACAAGGCGTAGATTGTATCGGGAGAGGGAGAACTGGCTTGGTTTGAGTACCAACTCTCTAAGGGAGAGGCCAAGGCAGGGGATGCATGCTGGCACCGAATCGCAAACGCGATGGATGAACACAGCGGATTTCCGAAAGGTCGAGGTGACGACGATGAGCGAATGATCCGAGATAGATGCCTATGATCGCATCTCAGGCTACCGATGCCTCTACGGCATAGCATTTACAGATTGCGCACTGGTAGATGGTTTGGTGACAGCAAGATGTTAGTTGAGAACTCGAGACTGCCGGCCAAAGTCAAACCGCAGGTGCGGAGACTCTTCACCTCACGTGACATCGATCTCTAGGCGATGCATTGATCGTTCTACGAGGAAAGCATTTTTCCTTTTTTTCAAGATCTGAGAGACTGCTCGACTTATGAACATTTTTATTACATACAAGACTAGCCATCTCAACATCCAGGCCAATGCAAAATGAGATCAACTCCGAGAAACAATCTTTGAACCATTCGTTGCCGGAGGGCAGACCCCCAGCACGGATATGGTGTATGGTGACGCGCAGATGCCCCAACCTCTGTAATGCCTGGTGGACGGACAGGACTGTAAGTAGCGCCGAAAAAAAGGCAGGAGCACCGAGTCAAGCACTAATTCCTGTGAGACGTTAGCCTTCGAGCATATGGATTGTAGGACAACATACAATAGGCCAAGAGTTAAATCGCCGTGGATCTTGGCCTTGAGCTGGACCTCGATATCCAAGTTCAAGTCAAGTCTCAATCTCAGTTGCTCATTCTCACCCTCATCCTTTTCCTCTCCTTCGCCCTGGACCTGGCCGCCGCCCTTCTTCTTGTTGCTGAGGAGGCCACCCAAAGCCTCCGTTGGTTTGCTCAAGGCCTTGCCGGCAGTGTCGTTGACGAGGCCACCGGCGCCGTCTACGACGCCATCGACGGTCTCTCCAACTTCATCGACGGCACCCAGTGGGCCTCCGCCTTGTTGTGTTTGGGCTTGCGATTGAGCCTGGGCCTTTCCGCGGTTACGATTCCTATTCCGTTTGCCCTTCTGTGAGACATCGCTCCGATAAGCACTGTCTGTATCGCTGGGTGGTTGACTTGATCCTCGGCCGCGAGTGCGGCTGCCTTGTCGCGATTTGGAGCGAGACTGTTGGTCCATTTTTTTGGGGGTTTCTGGAGCTTCGGCGTCACCGTTGGCTTCGACTTTGGGTTGATTGTCGGCTTTTGCAGGAGTGGACTCGGCCGATTTCTGGCCCAGCTTCTTTGGTTTTCGTTTTTCTTCGGACCGTTTTGAGGAAGCGTCGACACCCACACTTCCTGAGCCTGCAGCAGAACCGGCAGCGTCGAGATTTCCGCCAATGTTAGATTCCTCGGTAGTCTTTGTTTCTTGCTCAGACATGGTGAACGTTGAGAAAAAAGATGTGGTGGAGGGCAAAGACGAGTTGTATGCGAGCGGGAGAGAATCGACGTAAGAATTCGGGGTCTTCTTTGTTCGGAGAAAGGACAAAAAACAGGCACGGTACCAGGATATGCACGCTCTCCCCACAGCGACGTCAGCACGACGAACGGTTGCAACAAAAACCCATGGATGGTGTGAGAGAGGACGCGCATAATGACGTTTGATGTCGCTGCTTTTGAGGACACTTTACCTGGGGGACGCCACAGAAAGAGCAGGTCCGACATCCAAAACCTGGAGACGAGATCCAACAGGGAATGGCTGGCCAAGTTGAAGAGCCCGTTGAGAGAGAGTGGAGGATGACGACGATGGCTACTGTGGCTGATCGGGACAGGGTTCTCGGCAGGATATTGGGGAATTTGGGACCTGTGCAGACACGAATCTGGGACGGGAATGTGTCATCTTTGCTGTTTATGTCAAACCCGCATCAAATCGAAAGATCACCTCCTGGCGTGGCAGCTCGAGGCCAAAGGGCGAGCAGAGATGTCGTAGACCGGTGGCTGATTTGGGCCTGGATGTGAGCAGTGAGGATGCCCATGCAAGTGGCCCAGTACTACAAGGTACGTACTCGTACGGAGTACATACAGTACACAGAAAGTCCGTCCTCGGGATTCATGCCCACGGAGCACCTGCCTCCTGCGATCCGAGTGGGAAGGAGTCGTGGACTATTCGGGCGCCCTGGGGAAGGAGCTGCTGCCCACCGGGCAGTCGCACCTGATGCGCACTTGCACTTGCACTTGCACTTGCACTTGCACTTGCACTTGCACTTGCACTTGCACTTGCCGTTGCAGTTGCAGTGGGAGTCGCACTTGCACTTTCAACCACCGTCCTGGGTATGCAGAAACAGGCGGTACCCCCCAAGTTCCGACGGTGAAAAGATGGGAAAGCACGCGCCACGCCCGGCACGCAGAGTGGAGACGGGCCCCCGTTTCAGGAGCATAGCCACCAATCATCAGTCGCGCAATAAGCTTTTCGCCAATCAACGGCAGCTTGGATCCCCATCCTGGACATCGGCGAGCCGGCAACAACCCAACCTCGCGTCATTTCTTGTGTGGGCGCGCGGTTGTCCGTAAATGGTGTTAGGCGTCGCACCATCAAGCTGCAGGATCAGGAATTCCTATCCACGCCCATCAACGACCATCAACGCCCATCATCACCTCCGCCTCCTTCACCTCCTTCACCTCCTCCATCCGCCACCTCGGCCGTTGCCAATCTGGGGCCACACAGCGTCCATCAGCAAATCACTTTCCGCATTTTCATCATCCTTGACCAGGATTCTTCCAACTTCCGAACTCCCTCCCCCGGCTATCTCGATCCTTTTCTTGGTCTGCCTGTTCACATCGCCTTCTCAATCTCCCATGCCACATCTCGCCGCTTCAACGCACTCTACCATGGAATTTCCCTGAAACTCAATTCTCCCACCCCACCATCCTGGTCCTGATGATGTAGTGACTCCACCCCCTCTGGCTGGTGCTTTGTCCCTCCACGTTTCTATGTGAATACTCCAAGCATCGCCTGTGCTCACTCGCGGTAAGACCTCTAGTCCTGCTCTTGACCTTTATTTCCTGTTACTTTCTGCTTCAGCTCTTATTCAGGGTCTGCCCGTAATTACATTCCCGTCCTAACCCCCATCTGCAATTCCACCTATTCCGTCGTTTGAGATAGCTATGGCGGACGACGAGCCCCAGCAAACACCAACTCCGGAGAAGACACCAGCTGGAAAGAAACCCAAACGGCCGTCGGCTCCGGAGAGGGCCACTTCCGAGGTTTCAACAACAGAAGATGATCAAGGTTACGAGTCGCGGTCTCGGTCACAGTCCCGACGAAGGAGACGACAGAACCAGCGCCAGCGACAAGCCCAGGCCAAGTCATCAGCGGGTGGTGGAGGCGCCTCCACTCAGTCTATGGCTGCCATTGACGAAGGCAATGAACCACAGCAGCAGCAGCAACTACAACGCCAGCAACAGGAGAATCTACCACCGAAACAGTACGTCGACAAGGATAACCCGCAGTGGTTGAAGAATCCCGCTCCGCAAGACATCACCGAGTCGCAACCATTCGAGTACATCAAACCTCCTGGCCAGTCCATGATCGGCCCTGTGACCTACGCGCGGATGCTGCGTGGTGAAATCCCATGGAGAGGCCCGCCCCCATCGCAACCTCTGGAGACCGCTCAAGCATATGACGCCAAAGACTCGTCCGGCCGAGATCCCATGGACCAAGACGGATTGAAGTTGCGCATAGAATTGAATCTGGACATTGAAATCGAGCTCAAGGCGCATATCCACGGCGACTTGACGCTGGCCCTATTGTGAGTCCATCCACTGTCACCGCGACATCACCTCCCCACCCCAACTTCCAGCTTTACGATGCAACTGGTCTAATGCTAACGTAGAAACTAATTTCTTCCTCAGGGCATAGAGCGCCTCTCAATCTGAGTCTGCCCAAAGTCAGCTTGCCTAAAGTCAAATTTCCCAAAGTCTCGGTTCCCAAGGTGCTACCGAAGTGGACCACGCCTGAGCTGTGACAATGGCGAGACGGAAGGGACGGAAGGGACGAGAGAGAGGGAGAGAGCGAGCGAGAGAGGAAGAGGAAAAGGAGGGGGAGAGAGACGAAAAGATGTGCAAGCGACTTGTTTCAAAAAACTCGATCTCGTTTTTCCATGCCCCACAAAGACTGAATGGCTAAATCATGTACGAGGTGCCTCTAGGAAGACTCCAAAGATTCATGGAGTTGGAGTTGAATTGTCATAGTTAAACATACTCGGCAGTGCATCTTTCAGTGAAATCGTGTAACTCTTAATGTACCTCCACCAATTCCACCCAACACTCCTAAAAGGAAGGCCTTAACGGAGGTCCTCCTTTTTGAGGTGATCCATCAGCTCAGTCAATTGTATCGCTCTCTCTGCCCTTAGTCTTCCAAAACCGAATGGGGCTTCTGGGGGACTTCGGGTCGGGCTCGTCGTGAATGGCACTGTCATACTGGCCAAACTCGCCTCGTGCACGCTTCACCACTCTTTCAATACCATCCAGCCCCTTCTTGAGCACCTCTAGCTTAGGCCCGTAGCTGATTCTGACAAAGTGGTGGCACGGACTGTCAAAGAGATCTCGTCTCTTGGCAGGATTCAAGTCGAAGAAGATGCCGGGGACCACGATGGTCTTCTCCTGAAGCAGGGCATCGAAGAAGGACAGCCCATTGGAGATGTCCAGCAAGCTGTTCTTGGGCAATGGCGGATCCAGGGTGGTGAGATCCAGCCAGATATAGAAGGTGCTGTCCGGCGTTTCCTGATCCCCTGACCTGAATCCGATTTCGTTCAGCCGTTTGAGGACGTAGTCGCGCTTTGTCTTGAAGTGGCTCTGCAGTGCCTTCATCTCAGCCTTGACCTTGGGGGGGTCTAACATAGGAACGGCCGCCTCCTGGAAGGGGACATTGGTGCCACCGTCAAGATAGCTGCCGCAGGAGCCCAGGGCGGTAATGAAGTCCTTGGGCCCGACAATCCAGGCGACGCGCCACCCAGGCAGTCGAAAGCGCTTGGTCAATCCGTCGATCAGAATGACGTCGTCTTGGTTGACATCGATGACATTGCAAGCTGCCGAGATGGTGCTCCCATCACAGCCCGAACTATAGTTGTAGCCGGCATAGAATTCATCAAAGATCAAGGTTGCTCGGTCTCGACAGATGTCCTGGATCAAGGCAAGCTCCTCAGGATGGAGGGCGTGGCCTGTGGGATTGCGTGGATTCGAGGTCAAGATCACCGATGTGCCTCGCGCCAGCTCTTCCGCGATCTTCTCTGCGTGAATGTGGTATCCATCGTCTTTAGACAGCGGGCTGGGGATGGCGACAAAGTTCTTAAACAGACTCAACATCTAAAGAGTGGCAGAGATTAATCATGGTGTCTTTTTATCCTGCCCCGCGAGGATTGCTCACGAGGGATCACTGACCTCATTGTAGGCGGTGTAATCAGGGATGAAGAAGCCCAAATAGGCATTTCCCAGAACAGCAGCAATGCGAATCAAACCAGCTCTTCCTCCAGGGACAATGCACACATTCTCCCATGAGTACTGAGAGTCTTTTCCTTGCCGGTAATTCTCATTGTACAAGTTTGCGACGGCGGCTCGAAGCGACTTGATGCCTGCGGTGGGACCATATTCTCGACCGTTCAGGGTCAGAGGGATAGAGGTAGGTCGTGCGAAGCAGCCCTCGATGTCATCGTCGACTTCGGGAGCACCTTGGCCAAGGTTAGCCCAGGAATCGGGACTGTCCTGAAACCCGTGCTTGGAGGCTTGCTCAGTACACCTAGAGAAACGAGTCAACAGGTATCCAAAATTTGCAGTCTAGCAAATACCAAATCACACCGGTGCTCCCACGGGTGGTGTCGAGCCCAGCATGAGGCCTGGCGTGGGCCGGATGGGATCTGAGGGTCTGATGCGGACTGGAGCTCCTCTCTTCCTCTGGATGGATGGAAAATCTCCGGCCATCTGGGCTACTGTGCAAAGCAGACCTCAAGGTTGAGACCCGCCGGCCGGATGAAGAGAAGCTCATGGTTTTTAGTGGGATTGTTTCGCCCTTTGCGCCTCGTTAATCGTGGCAAACCGAGGATGAATTTCTTGGCTGGTGAGCCTGAGCCGGGATGAGTAGGAAGATGGTGGGAGAGGGCGAGCGCAAGGAGGGACAACGGAGGGGGGCAGGCAGAAAGAGGGGCGACGGGGAGAGGAGGCCGAGGGGGCCGAGAGGGCCTCCCAACGAGCAGGTCCCTAAATGGGTGGGGTGGTTATAGCTTCGAAGGCGCCTATTGTGAGATCTTGTAGGGAGCATGGAGTACTGACTTAGGTAGGCGCCTTACCCAGAGGATTAGTTAAAGGCGCGCCTAAAGCAGACGGGCAGTTTGGGATTGACTCCGGAGCCCTTAAGGTAGCAAGCACCCCAAGCTAAGTGAGCATAGGCACTTCGAAGACTATTCGTAAGCACAGCCAGTGTCTAGGTAAATATGAGAGGCTGAAGGTTTACAGCAAAACACCGGTATGGCCATCATTCTTTTATATGTTCAGAGTACTCCCTACTATGGACGCTTTTCTTTTTCTTTTTCTTTTCTGGCGGTCAGCTCATCTCCTCAGGTCGAAGCGGCACGTGGTCCAACAGGTAGAGTGACAGGATTGATTTCAGATCAGGATATCGATTACACTTCCACAGCCGACCAGTGCTACTTCAGTTCCCCGGGCGGTTGTGTTCCTGGATACTACGGTATCATTCAAATGCCGCCATGCAGCAAGTTAGAAGAAAACCTCTCAGAAGACTTGATTGTCGTTCCTAGTACCTTGGTCAATGGTACATGCAATAGACTACTTGGGTCCATCCAGTCATCGATGCCCCTGGAGCTCCTTTATTCATACCTATCAACGATCGTACATAGAGACAGCCGATCGGGCTAGCACGGCTAGCCGCGCTCAGCCTGTCGATGTATATATCCCATACCGCTAACTAGCCTGACAAGTGTCGGCGACTCGGATCTAGTGGAAGGTTTTCCGGTTCCATCAAGACCGACTTTCGAGGGAATCACTCAAAGAAGTAGCCGACAATCTACTCTGCCCTGCCACATCCGAGGTGGTTGGTATCAGGTCACGGAGCTAGTGACCAACAAGCACGATGGGTACTACTCGACAGGTACTACTAAAAAATGATTTGGCTATAGTGGAGTTCTATTAATGAACAAGTCGATATAAAATACCACGCCCCTCGGGAATGGTTGTTTCGATCTCCGACTGCAACATCTCATCTCAGGCTCCTCCTACTCATATTGGGCGAGGAACTCTAGAGACCCTTTTATCTCCTGGCGCAGGACTTCATGATGTCTCTCACTCCTGATCTTCACTGTCACCTGGTATGGCAAAGGCCGCATCAGGTTTGAGGATGTGAAGGCGTTGACATCCAATGGCTTGTCCTTGATCTCCTCGAATTCAAACGCCCACAACAACTTTGCAGTAACGCGCCACATGCTTCTCTCCGCAAGGTGGATTCCTGGACACATTCTGCGGCCGGCGCCGTAGCCATAATGATGTACGAAATGTTAGTTTCATCGTCATTTCTAAGAATGATGGTGGGCTTATCTCGGTTCTCCCAGTCAGGACTTACCGCATAATCGTTCGCCAACTTCTTGTGACTCAGGAAACGATCGGGATTGAAATGATTTGGATCAGGATATACTTCCTCGTTCTGATGGATCGCATATGCGGCAAGCCAAATAGTGCTGTCCTTTGGGAAGAGCATTCCATCGTACCAATCGTCTGCAACCAGTTAGTAGCGTCGAGATAGGAGTCACGCTTTCGGACCTTTCGTTACTCTGTGGGGGATTCCAAGATCGGACCTAGCAATGTTAGAGAGAAGGAAGATAGTGAGTTAATGCCGTATACATAAACTTACGTTGGTCGCCATCTTAATGCTTCCTTGATTATACAATTAATATATGGAAGGCGCTCGAAGTCTGAGAATAGCGGCGTCCTATCCTGTCCACAAACTTGATCTAATTCCTCTCGTGCCTTTTCCTGCACCTCTGGATATTTCGTGATTGCGAGAATGATAGTTAACAGCATGTTAGCAGTAGCTATAAAGTTAGCTCTACTATCTAAGCTCCCGTTGTAGGAATGGGTAAGTATAACTTACTGTCGGCCCCGGCTTCAAGGAATTCGCCAAATAAGTTATTGAAGGCATATTGAGACATTGGCCACCCGCTCTTCTCATACTCTGCTAACTTCATGTCTATGATCGAGTCACGAATGTCTCCATCGGCCCTCCGTTTCTCAACCATTGCCCGGGCTGCCGACCAAGTACTATCCATAAGGCTGCGGACATGATAAGCTCGCTTCTTCCATTTACCAGGGAGATACCACATCCATGGGACTTGGTCGACCGGAGGGTTGGCACCGGGTTCAATGGCTTCGAGCCACTTCTTCTAATTAGGGCACTTCAAAGCATCGTGGTAAGCTTAGAACAAACTCACCTGATCCACAAAGTTGTAGAAATCTTTGTAAAAGAACGATTCAAAGTCCTTGGCCCGGAAACCCCAGGCCAGAATCGCCGCCACGGAGGATGCATAGAGACGAGCGTAGTCATAAATTTGATCAGGGTGCTCAAGGACCCGGTTCAGAAACACAACGGATCTATTCTGATTAGCTGAGATCCTCGTCGGGGTAAGCATTCATACTCGGCCTCTTGAACTCGGAAATGTTTCTCATCCAGGCTTTTAGGGTTAAGATTTCTCGTCAACACCGAACGCTTCTCTCGCCATTGCGTGGTCGCTTGTTCGAAGGTCATGTGGCACCCGCGGCTCATGAATAGCGGTACAGCAAGGTGAGGACGGTTCGAAAATATGCTTCCCTTCTTATCCAATAACTCGTAACAAGCTTTCCGGTCCGCGATCACGATCATCGTGTCGTTGAATACCTTGAGCGAGAAAATTGGCCCATACTGCACCATCCAATTGTGAAATCTAGCATGTCAGCACTCAGCTTTTATGGAACAAAATGGTCATACTTTTTACCCAGTCCGGTAAGGGGAATTTGATGTGCATTGCCGAGAATTGGGATAGTCGGTGGGCCTGGAGGCAAGCGAGAGTCTCGTCGACCAATGCGTAAAATCCAAAGCAGCGTGAGAATGCTTACGACGAGGACTGTTGCAACCACAATCATCTTGCATATACCATCTCAAAAAGTTCGCCTTGACTTTGGGCATTCCAAGGATGGAAGCTGCATTATTACGGCTTGTATAGATATCGCCATCCGAGTCAAGGTGATTGGTGGAACAATTGAAGGGACCTCTTCGGTCGGACATTCAAGCGGTAGCGTTCCCACCGATAACTCCATCAATTGGCCGACTCGTGGCTTTTGCTGGTTCTCGAGTGGTCTGAGTGAAAGGGGCCCTGAGCCTGGACACCGAGGCTTCGAGTTTATCCCTGTCAGCCACCCTCGACTGGAACGATGGGCACCAGATGGCGGTCTTTACGTGATGGGTTGCTGGTTACACGGCAGAAAATCACTTAAGAACAGATCCTCTTAGGTACTGTAATAGAGAGAATTTCTAAGTGGTTGGGCACTGTTTACTTGGGATCCAGTTCTAGCACAGGAATAGAACGGACAGGTCCAGTACATCCCTCTCCCATGGAAGCAGTCGTCTTGCCGCTGTCACACAGGATCATTTGTCCGTTAATACAAGCTGCGGAACTAGAGGCGAGGAACAACTGTACATTCGCGATCTCTGATGGGTCCTGCACTCGATTGTAATAGTACTTTTGAGCTGCAAGCATGCCAGCTCTTTCAAAGAACCATTGGTGATTTTCCTTAATCTTTGTTTGATCCATGCTGTTCGAGTACTCTCCTTTTTCTGCGTTCTGGGATACCGTAAGAATACTGCTCTCTGTGAAGCCCGGCGCCACACCATTCACTCGAATATTGCTGGCCGAAAGCTGTATTGAAGCTGCTGCAATCAAACCATGGAGTGCGGTCTTAGCAGTGGCTGCCAAAGGTCAGTTTGCGGTCAACTGCTTGGCTAGACTTGACAAACCATATGGCAGATCGGAATATGAACCCAAGTAGGATGCGCAAGATCCAGTGACAACAAAACATCCTCCAGGGGTCGGCTTGATTGTTGAAGTCACCATCATGGCTGGGCTTCCATACTTGATAGCCAAGAAAGGCCCCTTTGCCATCACATTCATTTGTCGCTCATAATGCATAATTTCGGTGTCGATGAGATCTCTGTCATTTCTCAGCTTCATCTTACCCGGCTATATCCCGTGCTCACCTGTAGTTGGCGAAACCAGCGTTTGCAAAGAAAAAGTCGAAACGGCCATGAGTCTTCACTATTTCTTTGACAATTTCTTGAGTGCGTTGTTCATCGGAAACGTCTAATAAACGAGCTTCGATGATTGTGCCATAGCCAGCTTTTCGGACTTCTTCCTGCAGTGTCGGGGCCGCGCCAAGGTTGAGGTCACACGCATATACTGCTAGAGCTCCGGCCTCTGCTAACTTCTTCACCAACTCACGACCGATGCCATGTGGCGTTCCGGCTCCAGTAACTATTCCAACCTGTCCATCCATTTCGTATCGAGAGGCCGAAGTCATTCCGTCTGCCTTCCAAGGTTTAGATAAAGTGCTCGCCAAACAGGTTGATGGGTTTACACTGAGGAGTATGGCTCCGTTCAGCAACCACATCATTTATAGAATAGTACGAATTGAGCCACACGCTTCTCGCCCCGGCGCAGGACTCACCTCGGATTCACCGAAATCAAATGTGGTAATTCGGTATAACTCCAGCATCTATCTAAGATATGGTGTCAAGTACCGTGCTGGGCTTGAAACATTCCTGTTGCTCGCTTGGTGAGAGCCTCTTTCGTATCTCTTAGCTGAGGCCGGTAGTTGCCGATTCAGACTCTGTCCGATTTTGATGTGAGTTATCTGAGCACCATCTCAAGATTTCAGACTAGGTCTATATTTGACCGATCTATATCCCGGGCCCCGAACAAGAGCGCGCAAACAAGGAGAATGTCTCATTTTTGTCCTAGTAATGGTGGAGGGTCCTACACTGGGTGGCCAAGGTGTTGGTCGATGAACTAAATTAAAGCGGTTTCAAAACTTATACCCTCATATGGGCAGAGCGCATCATGCCAACGCAAAGGCTGTGTCCGGAATACATTCTCATCCTCTTGCGAATCACGCCCTAACCGAAAACTCCCAAAGAGTCCTGTCCGTGTGCCCAAATCTTCTTTAACCGCATCCTCGAGATGCGCCACCCTTCAGACGTGCGTACGAAGTCGAAATGGTAAGGGCCGCCGAATGAATAGTTATCCGCCGGGTTTGCGGTCCTCGGGGTGGCAGCAAACCATAGGTAAGAGCGGCCAGTTGCCCGGTCAGAGCCATCTACCTCAAACTGAAAATTCGTCATGCTGTGTTGAAGGCCCTCAAAGATGTTTTCTGCACTTGCGGCCTTCGCAATGGCCTCTCGCCCGCGCACTTCTGGCCAACTCTCATAGTGCATTGAGCCATCCTCGGTGAACGTCTCTGAATAGCTTTTCCAATCTCTCGCGTCGGCAATATAGCAGTAGCGATTGAGCAACGCTCCCAACTGTTCTCTGTCTTCTATAACTCTCAACCTCCTTTCGAGCTGCCCAATGCGGTCTGTCTGGTCTGCCATGATCTTTTGGTGAACGGATTGGGAGTTGAAAGAGGCCCCGTTCAAGTTTATCATCTGTTTAATCGACAAACCTGCCACAGCCCACTCGATGCAAATACGTCATATATATACAGTTCAAGTTGCTACTTTTCCAGATCTCGCATTAAATATGTTGAATTAGTCCGACACTGAGGACGAGCGCTGGTTTGCGTGGCGAGTTCCGGATGTCGCGCGTACACGGAACAGAAGCTTCACATCTCAGTGTCCGCCCCCAGCGAAGTTGGGCCGTCCGAAGTAGCACCATTAACCAAGAACTAGATTGTGTCAGCTTATGGTATTCTCGATGAATTTAATTTTGTCCATTTCAATCGCGTCGGCCATGACAGGTTGGCATCAACATCTAGTATCGTGACCTTCTCAAGTTCGACAATGAGTGCAAATGGTATATCGGGCAAGGTCTTTGCGGTCAGCGGAGCCGCTTCAGGCATTGGCCGTGCAACAGCGGTGAGACTGGCAGAGCTTGGAGCAAGTGGCCTCGCCCTCAGCGATGTTGATGCTGCAGGCCTGGACGAGTGCAGACAAATTTGTAAGTCCTTCGTAAAGGAGACCGACTGTGATTAATAGAGTAAAGGCTCTAGAGGAACGTGTGAAATATTAACACACTGCACGGATGTCAGCAATGTCGAACAAGTTAATGGCTGGATCGATGACGCGACCAAACATTTCGGCCATGTCGACGGGGCAGCAAACATTGCAGGTATTGCTCTTGGAGATGGGCAGCCAACGGAAAACACGGTCGGTAGATCATATTATTGAGCTTTCCTATCTAATGTTTGGTAGATTCAAACCGAATGGGATAAAATGATAGCTGTAAACCTCACTGGTGTCATGAACGCGATGCGCGCCGAGCTACGGGCCATACGTAGGCCCGGTGGTGCCATCGTCAATATATCTAGCACATCAGGTTTGCGGGGCCTTCCTAACAACGGTGCATACGCCTCGAGCAAATTTGGTGTTATTGGCTTGACAGAATCCGCGGCAGCTGAGTACGGTAAGAAGGGGGTAAGAATTAATGCTGTGTTACCGTAAGTGGGCCTCTTCTTGTGTATCCTATTCTTTGACCGTTTACTTATAGTGGGCCTATCGACACCAAAATATTTCGCGAAGGTGAAGCGAAAGGCATCTTCAGTTCTGATGTCGTCGCCGCTGGTACCTTAATGGGTAGAATGGGCCAGGCGGAGGAAGTGGCCAAGGTGGTAGTTTTCCTTCTTAGTGCCGATGCTTCATTTGTCACGGGGGGTATGTATCCATCCTCCTCTCCAAAATTTTGGACTAATTATCAATGTCAGCTCGCTGGACTGTTGACGGCGGATATTCCGCATGTGGATTCTACAAGGCTGGCTAGACATCGGCGTCAGACCCTAGTCGAGAACCAAGTTAGGGACATGCCATAGCTCCGATTAATGATCCGTCTATCTTATAGCAGACTACTAGGTGAAAGATGGAGGAATAAGATATATTTTGACTCATTATAAGCGTAGTGGTGGGTTCTTAGATGTTGGTTACACCTTTCCATACACGAGCTTCAGCTCTACTATATGCCATGGTACGACAAAGATTGCGTAGTATTCTTTCAGTCCGTCTATGCAAGCTCGGAATGTTGGCTTCTTTTCGAAGTCTTCATGATGGGCCTAGAGTGTTGTTAACGCTGAGTACCAAAAATCGGCTTTGCTCACATACGTCGACAGATCTCCAGTTAATCAGCAGTAGCTGATCTTGAGGATTTTCGACTTGTGGACTAATAAAATAGCCGTCACAGCCCAGATCATTGTTGAGTATGTCTACAACAATCCTCTTGAATTGACCATAATATCCATGGACTCCGCCTTCAACAACCTTTGTCAAAGCTACTTCGATGGCCGGACTATTTAAAGTATTGGTCAAATACTTCATATCATCTAGGCCGGTCGTATCAAGGATCGCATGGTTCTGCCATTGGATTTTTCGCCCATTCATACCAGGTTGAATAAGCTTATTGAACTCGTAGTATCGTTCACCGGTGAAGAATGCCCGGGTCGATCCCAGGTCTTGCCATAGTGCAATTACGATCTGGGTGTGTCTTTCTTCGTGTTTTTTGCCTCTCCACAGCGCACGAAGCCCATTCGCACTAGATTTCTCAGCCAGTACTCCTTGTGGGTGGAACGTACACCTTACCTCTGCAATATCTCGAAAGCTGGCTCAAGGTCTTGGTCAATTTCGGTTTTTGTATGTACAGGCCGGTGTGGTACCACGATAAGCTGCAATACTGAGTGAGACATCCTTAGTACTTGACGTGGAAATCGATAGCGCCTACGCGATTTTTGGATTCGTCTTTATACTAATTGTCCCGTGGCTTCTGTGACGGAGAATCGACTCTCGTTACACTGTTATTGCCCATCCTATTTCGGCCTGGGCAATTATCTTATGGATTTCCATCCCCAGGCGGCCTATTTGCCGATGATGAATAGACAACAATGTCTGACCGAGGACACACCGGTCAGATATCTACGGATACCTAGTTTCGATTCCAAACTTCACAGGTAGTACCCCGTCCATTTATCTCACTCGTATAATTGTAAATACATGGGCTGACTTATGGTGACTGAATTCCACCTTGCTCAGGAAGAATGTCGCATACCGTGCTTTAGAAGGGTCAAGACGCCGCTACAACAAATACCGATAAGCTCCCTGGATGAATACTACTTGATATCCCAGGAGGACGCTAGTCGAATACAACAACGGCGCGTCCAGTAAGCTTGCCGTTGCGAAGTGCCTCATATGCCGCAGGTACTTCGTCAAAGGAAAACTCATCTACATCAATTCTAAGCTTCCCTTCACGTGCAAGTAGACAAACCTCCTCGAGGTCCTGTCGAGTTGATCCGAGTGAAATTGCAAATTCGCAGCTCGTAGCAATCTTGTTCCAGCCTAATTCGACAGTCCCCATTTGCATCCCAACAAGCACTATTCGTCCTCCTGGTCGTGAAATATCAGCTGCTAACTTTAACGACTCGTTAGACCCAACAAAATCAAGTATCCCGTCCACCCCTTTCCCACCTGTTGCTTCGAGAATCTGTTTAGCTGCCAGGGGTCCTGCCTTGAATACCATATCGACGCCAAGTTCCTCAGCAATTTTGATACGGCTTGGGTTCGTGTCGACTGCGTAGACTTTAACTCCAATAAGCATCTTGAGGTACTGGATCGCATAAACCCCAAGTCCGCCAGCCCCGATGACAATGGCCGAAGTTCCAGGTCGTAGGCGATTCTTAACGGTACCAAAAGCGCCATAGGCAGTAACACCGGCGTCTGTGAGGGGAGCATATCTGATGGGATCTTCATCCCCAATCGAAACAAGCTGATCACGAGGACAGATCATGAATTCCGCAAGTCCACCGTCCCAACCAGTACCTCGGTTGATCTCAATTGCTCCACGCCGGTGAGTCAGACAATGCTGTGAGATACCACGGATGCAGTACTCGCAGTGGCTGCAGTGAGGCATATGACGAACAGCCACACCTTCACCAAGTCGCAAATCGGTGACACCTTCTCCAAGAACTTCAATGACACCTGCATTCTCATGCCCGAGCGTGTATGGCGCATCGACTGCTGAAGCGTAAGGATCTGATCCTGGAAGTGAATCTACCATGTCGAGGTCAGAACGGCAAAGGCCTGCCGCTTTCATCCGGATCAAGACCTCGCCCTTTGCAGGTACAGGAATTGGAACATCACAATACTGCCCAGGTTTTCCGTACTCCAGTAAGCGAAAAGCCCGCATTGTTCTCTGTTTTTGAATCATTATTGAAGTCCAAGCAACTTGGTCTTGTACTTGGCTCAATCGACACTCTTAATCCCGACGGAGGTTGGTTTTAAACTGGTGTGTTGTGTAAGCATCAAGGTCTCTGAAAACAGCTCGGACACTTTATAGGTGATGATCCATTGAATAATCGGCTTCATAGAGCTACTAGACCTGATGCCTTGTATTCTCTCTAGCTGTGGGGCACAACTCAAACCCATCTCGGCCTTTGCTTCTTTGGCGCGGCAGGGGGCTTCATATGAAAGTATTTGTGCGCGTGCTTCTCGATGTCCGAAGTTAGCCCTTGGGCCAAAGAATACTTGAGTCAAAATTTTAAGGTCGGTAATCAAAAGCCCCTTGAAACAGCGAAGCCGTGCTGCTCTTGCGGATAACCTGATTTTATGGTGATAGGTGCATGAAGTGCAAAGAGGAGACTCTCGCAATCCTAAACTGTCAAGATCAAGAGCACATTGTGAGAAATGAGCGGGACTATTGATTACGACAATCCTGGTACGAAAGTGCTTCGGCCTGCATTTCTCGCACATGTTGTTCTACGCACAACAGATCATGGAAGCTTTCAGGCTATGGTTGATTTTTGGGTGAAATTTCTCGATGCACAAGTGACCTACCAAAATGAAGTCCTTTCATTTCTCACCTACGACGAAGAACATCATCGAATCGCCATTGGTATCTTCCCCGGGACAATCCAAAGGGTCGGGAAACCAACAGGCTTAGCCCATATAGCGTTCACATACGGTACAATGCAAGAGCTAGCATTGTCCTATCGCCAGCGGAAAGTGTTGGGCATGAGGCCTTTCTGGTGTGTCAATCACGGACCGACAACAAGCCTATACTACCATGATCCGGACGGCAATGAAATTGAAACACAAGTGGATAATTTCGACACCTCAGAAGAAGCTACAGCATTTTTTGAGAGTGCAGAATTCAAAGAAAATCCCATTGGTGTTGACTTCGATCCAGAGGAATTGGTCACCAGGCTCCAGAACGGGGAGAGTGATATATCGATCAAGAAGAGACCATGTATTGGCGCAAGGAAGGGCATTCCGGGGTGCTAGAACAATTAATGCCTCAATGTCTACGGAAGTGGTCGACGTGATTGTTGAGCTTTAACAGTTCCTTCCACAAGTAATAATAGGCGTGTGTTTCTTATTTGGTCTATTTGCACATGCTACACTCTTTCTCAGGTATCCATTGACTGTTTAGGCTTCTGGTCGATGTGACCATTGAAAGCTTGCGATCTGTGGAATTCATGCTTGGTTATAACACCGGCAGTGTCGTTCATTAGTTGGTCGAAAATGTCTGAGTTCTGAAACTCCTCCCAATCCAACCTCGTCCTTGTTCTGACTACCCAGTTAGCATAATTGAATGCTTTTCTCTTGTGAAATGAGGGCGGTTGCAGCATCACCATGACTCACCTGATATATAGGCTTGCCATATTCACATCCAGGGATTCCTTGAGAACAGCGAAGCTCTGTACTTTGATCGTATCGCCTGTCTCACCTGTTTCTCGTGCACGCACACGGTCTGCGAATCCGGATAATGCGCGAATTAAATGCTTTCGCTTCCCTTCAAGCGCCCAAAAATGCATGGCGGTCACGAAACTGTCCTTCGAGTCTTTATCTTTGTCGTCCGACCTAGTCAAGAAGCCGGCATCCATGTCGTAGTAATGTAGATCATAATCAGGGCTGCCCAAGCCCTGAACATTCCGAAGCAGTTTATGTTCGTCTACCAGCTTCATTTCTCGCTTGAAAACCTCAGAAGAAGGATGTCCGATGAAGAATCCTATAGGGTGGGCATATCCTTCGAGCCCCCAGAGTGTGTCCGGTTCCCCATCCACATCCTGGCCCCAGTAGTAAGAGGTCGAATATGGCTCAGTCTGGGAAATTTCGCAAAGGGGAACAAGCCTCTTCTGCCACTGTGAGTAGATGATGAGCTAGTCTGCTTTTATCCTCTGCTTTGACTATCATTGTATACGAACCTCTGGAAAAGCACCTTCCGAGCCTACAACTCGTGCAAGCACGAAAAAATCTGGCATTGATATCTTTTGTCTCTTGATTTCTTCCTTAACTGTGACTGTTGTGCATTATTGCAATTCTGTCTCCAAGTGCAACAGTATTGAATATACCCCATGTTGGGGCCAACAAGGAGAAATCTAGGCAATCTTCATTTGTCCATGGAGTGTGATACACTTCGTTTCCGGTTCTTCGGCAATTGTAGTGGTCCGAAGAGCTTCCGCTCTCGGGATTGAGGCTCGGTCAAATCTTCAACCCAAAGGGATATCCTCGGTGTTCAATATTATTGTACATAGTAGTCCATAATTGATTCTTAACAATTATAGGGCGCTTAAGTACGCATGAGTGTTATGAAAAACGCCTTCTCGCCCTCGTTCTTGTGGGACTAGCGGGCGTACTTCTCAGACCCACCACACACATTATGGTTGAAGTCACAGCTAGCCAGCCATGGGCCTTGTCACCAGTGGCTCTTGTTACAGGAATCTTCATCGTTGCTCTGGGATTCTACAGAGTGCTAAGAATCGGAAGCCGCGACAAACGACTTCCACCAGGGCCACCAACCGTGCCAATTTTGGGAAATCTGCATCTTATCCCCAAGACCGGATTGGGCTTGAAGTAAGAAATGAGACAAAGGGGAGTTTAACATTCACAAGCTGATGGTCTTGAAGATTGAAAGAATGGGGTCAGCAATTTGGTGGCATCTACTCGCTCAAGTTTGGTCCTGGAACTGCCATTGTCTTGTTTGATCGAAAGGCCATTCACCATTTACTGGACAAGAAGGGCACAATATACTCCGAACGACCCCACAATTATGTGCCTCACCTGGTCACTGGTGGTGATAGTTTCGCGTTCATGGACAGCACACCGCTGTGGAGAGCGGAAAGAAAGGTTGCTGCACATAACCTCTCAGTATGTTTCGTCCTGCATTTCAATCTTTCATGATTGTCGCTAATCAGCCATACTAGCCACGCATGCTGGACGAAAAGGTTGGAAAGATCCAAGATGCCGAGTAAGTTTTGCATTGAATGGCCCTAACTCGTTCTGATGACGCCTGCAGATCTGTTATCTTCCTGAATGACATTGTTGAAAACCCAGCGGGCTATTACAAAAGCTTTAAGCGAATTACGTCTTCCGTTGCAAACGCAGTGGTATGGGGTCATAGAGGCCCTGAATATGACAGCTTCTGGGGTCGTGTAAGTGCGCCAAAGATGATTGAGAATGCTATGCTAACTTACCAACCCAGGCAGTTTATGACGCCATGGACAACTATTCCGCTTCGCTAGAACCTGGCGCAAACCCGCCAGTCGATGAATTCCCTTTCCTTAAATACCTTCCATCGCGATTTGCGTACTGGAAACGACGTGCGAAAAGCTCATACAAATGTATGGATGACACCTGGACTGAGGCACGTCGAAGAGTGCAAGAGCGGCGCGCTAAAGGCAAGAAGCGCTTGTCAATAATTGATTCAATACTAGATGGAGAGAAGCATGGAGATCTGCAGGTCACCGACAAGCAGCTGAACCACTTCCTAGGAGTTCTCGTGGAAGGAGGTGCGGATACCACTGCCTCAGCTACTTTGACCTCGATCATGCATCTGGCGCTTCATCCTGAAGTCCAGAAGAAGGCTCAATTGGAACTAGATGCCGTGTGTGGAACCGACAGGTGAGCAGTGTTTCCTATCCAGCTGCGTCAAAGCTAATTTGATTGGAAAGACTCCCATTATGGTCTGATTTCGCAGAGCTGCCCTACATCAATTGTATTATAAAGGAGGCTTTGCGCATCCACCCAGTGCTTCCGCTGGGCGTCCCACATCGTGTCAATCAGGACGATTGGTATGAGGGCATGCTTATACCTAAGAACGCGACCGTCATCATTCCAATATGGGGTATGCACATGAGCGAGATGACCGGGTACAAAAGTCCAATGATTTACAACCCGGATCGCTTTCTCGCCTGGCCTCGACTTGCTGATGCATACGCTGGATCTCCTGATTACAGGAACCGAGACCATTACACTTACGGCGCTGGTCGACGAATTTGCCCTGGAATCCATCTGGCCGAGCGTACCCAATTTAGAATGACGTCGCGGCTTCTTTGGGCGTTTGAAATCCAGCAAAAGAAGGATGCAGATGGGAACTTCATACCCATCGATATCAATGCTTATCACGAAGGTATCAGCCATACTCCAAAGGAATTCCCGGTCGAATTCAAGTTAAGGAGCCAAGAGCACTTGGAGACCATTCTTAAGGAACTTCAAGTAGCAAAGGAGTTCCTGCAGCAGTTTGACGATTAGTAGTGGTCTTCAAAGCCCCGGATGCTCAAGAGCTAGCATTTTCTGCGGACATTCCGAGATTAGGCGGACAGTATGCGTAGATGCTTCCCGGCAGAAAAATCGGAAGCATGTGGCATTGGCTCCGCTTCTGACTAGAAAACTTAATGTAAATATCTCTCAAAAGATATGAGAGAATTCCCCTCAGTTTTCCGTCGAATTGGTCCGACCTCTCACGGAGACCGAAGTCATGCCAAACCACTTAGAAGGTCAAGTCCGAGTATCAGTATGCGGAGGATTCTGTGCCTAGTGTCGAAAAATGGATGGTGAGCTAGCCGGCTTTCCTTCATCTTTCCGCAAGGCATCATATATGTCTTTCATTTCAGTAGAATACTCCTTTGTATCGAAGATCGGACAGATTCATTCTTGAGAGAAGATGGCTTTCTTAGCCCTCCATGGGTAAGTCGAGTGCCCTTCCCGAAGGTCAACGTCGATCGACAGCGCGTCACACAAGTTTTGGAAAGTATTTCTAACCTATTATGCTGTTAAAGGTCAGCATTCATAACTGGTGCAGGTGGCTCCGTTGGGCGAGCCGCTGCACTTGGTCTCGCACGTCATGGAGTGACCAGAATAGCTGGATTAGATGTGCATGAAAAAACACTCCAGGAGACAAAGTCCGCCCTGTCACAGGCGTATCCCGAGGTGGAATTTCTCCCAGTACAGGCGGACCTCGCAAACGAAGACTCAGTGTCCAACGCTATCATGAACGTGTGGACTAAATTTGGTCGCGTTGATTATGCTATCAATAATGCGGGAGTTGGACAACCACTAGCCTCTACTGGCAATACCGCTATCACAGATTTCGACAAGGTCATGGCCATTAACTTTCGAGGGGTTTGGCTATGTGAGAAGCATGAATTGCGGTACATGCGGGAGCAGGAGCCTCGACCAGTACACTCTATTAACAAGTCGATAGTTGAACGCGGATCGATTGTCAACGTTTCCTCGATCCTGGGTTTCATGGCCATGCCCAATCTTGGAATTTATAATTCGTCAAAGCACGCCATCTTGGGACTGACTAGGACTGATGCGATCGATTATGCGAAAGAAGGTATAAGGATCAACGCAGTGGCACCTGGATTCATTGACACACCTCTCTTATTAGAAGAAACACGAATTGCTCTCAAGAAAACCATAGACAGAATTCCTCAAGGGCGGTTAGCAAGCCCAGAAGAAGTGGCTGATGCTATCTGCCTCTTGTCTAGTGGGGTAGCAACCCACATTACTGGCGTCACTTTGCCTGTCGATGGTGGGATGACCGTCACCTAGGAATAAGCCCCTGAAGCGTGCAAGACAAGACCAGGATTGTATACCGAGGACTTTGGATAGTTTATTCCTCTGTCATGCAGTAAATTTCATGAGTCTAAGTCCTTGATCGGGAGCAGAGACAGTACAGATTCAAGTAGTTTGACTCTAGCTCGTTCATCTCAGCTCGTCGCTAAAAGAACAATGGAGATTGATAAATTCTGAGTCTTACCGACCGTGTGTATTTTCTACATTCATTGGGGGAGGCGTGTAGGACTTCCTACCTTCTTTCGACCCTGGGGTAATAAGCTCACGTGATTTTAAAGTTTCGATATTCAAGACGAATATCAAACGTCTCTGGCCAAATGAAGAAGTACCAACAGACTTTATTGAGACTCTATTTTGAGATCTAGTTCATTGTCGATGTATTTCGTTCCAAGAGTCACTCTCGGCATCGGGTTTGAAAGAAAGTCAACAACAAGTTCTTGGATGAGTAACTGCATCCCTATGTTATATAAACAGTTGGTTCCATTTCCTCCATGCATGGATATTTTTTTCAAGTGTGAAGCCCTATATCACAGTATCTCAAAATTTAGTCACTCGATGGTCACTTATAGGCGCCCGCATCCGTACTTTGATAGCTATGGTGTGTTGGTCCCATCCGATACACAACAGATCATTTTCTTTCTTCGGTGACCCCAATGTCTTCGTTCTGTACATGATGCTCCTTTACATATTGTCCAATATCTTGTTGGTTAAGGCTTTTAGCCTCTAGAGCATGTTCGAAGTCAATGGCAACCTCATCACCAAACTTGGCCCCAAGCTCCTCCAGAGAAATACCTGCAGTCTGAGGAAATGTCAGAACAGTAATACTCCTGAGTAATTTGGCGCTTTGAAACTCACCTCTGGTAGCCAGTGGCAAGGTATCACAAGGCCAATGGTGACACAGATGAAGACCAAGTAATACTTCCAACCAATAGAGCTAAAAGCCTGAGCAGCAGGGGCGGTCGACCAAATCGAAAAGATATAAAAGCCAAAATATGAAACCGCGGAGCCTTTGCTACGCAGATGGGTGGGCCAAATTTCGCAGCCATATACGTATCCAACGCATTCCAAAGTGCAGCAGAAGTAGAAGGCAATGATGAAGTAGATTGCAACAGCACCCCGGATTCCATTGAGGTTAGTGCTATCAAGGTACTTTGCTTGTAAGGCAGCTTCAATGGCAAGCAAAACAACCATGCCCCAGCCACCAGCCACTGTGAGATATGTCAGACGAGAGAAACGCAAAGCAGCCGATGACTTACCAATCAGTTTCACACGACCGATTCTGTCGATCAGGTAAATGTTGACGAAGCAACCAAGGAACAAGCACACTGTCCAGACTAGTGCCAACGTCAGCTGGAGGACTGTGCTGTAGCCCAGGGCACCGAAGAGTCTAGGAGTAAGATTTGCAATGACCGTGATGCCTGTTGATTGTGCCATGGTCCACACAAGAAGAGTGCAGAGGAGTCGCTTTCTCATGGATGGAGTGCGAAAGATGAACGACCAGCTACGCGGTTGAGAGCGATCATGCTCGACCTGTGCCACAATCTGTGCCAATTCGGCCTGTGCCACTCTTCCGTTGGGATCATTCTTAGTCCTGTGAATTCGCATGAGAATGTTTCCTGCTTCTTCCGGTTTGCTGTGCTCAACCAGCCACCTTGGCGATTCTGGGAGCGCCAACAGCGAAACGAAAAGGGCCACGCCAAAGAATGTGGCTATACAGTAATTAAGTCGCCACTGATATGACTCGGTAACAAAGTGGAAGCCAAGCGCGGCGCAGGAAGAGAGAATATAGCCTAGGACAATAAAGTTGCCCTGCAATCCGACCAGGAGCCCTCTGCTATGGGCAGGCGCAATCTCACTCAAGTACACAGGAGTATTGGTAATGACCATGCCAGCACCAAAGCCTGTAATGTACCGGCCGACGAGGAACATGGCTATGTGAGGTGCTCCAGCTTGAAGGGCGTTGCCAACGCTGAGAAGAACGGCTGCGACACGGGTGGCACCCTTGCGGCCCCATTTATTTGAAATCCATGCCTGACCGATAGCGCCGAGAAGAGCGCAGCCAAAGAAGCTGATGGAACAGGCGTCAATACAGAAGTCGAAGTGCTGGTACGGCTTCGAGACTTACCCGGAGACAATGGCATCGATCAATGGGAGTGCGTTGGAGCCACTCAAAAATTTGACTCCAAAGGATGTCTGTGCAAGAGTGCCAGCTATGACATTGTTCGAGTAGCCATAATTGAAGCTGGCCAAAGCAGCAGCACATATGAGCTATTAACCGTTATCATAGACTCGTGCAAACCAGGTGAGATTTGGCTTACGAGAATGTTCACCAAGCTTGTGTGGCCTTTCACAGGCACAGGTGAAACCACTGTCATTGTGATGGGTGAGAAGAGTGTATGATGGCTGATATTCAAAACTCAGTACCGGAAGCGTCTTGGGAATCCGACTATTGAAACTCCTTTGGATCTAAAACAATCATGCCATCTGTACAGGAATTCGTCTTTATAATTGGAATTTCTGTGATTCAACCCAGCTTCCTTCGCAACTTTGAAGTCGCTCGAGCAGCTCCATGCCCGCGTCGGGGTGCGTTAAATGGTGGGGCAGATTTCATGGGGAGGCCGAGTGGAGCCAGACCGGATGTGTCCGACAAGTCCTGCAGGAACATGAGCGAAGAGATGCCGGCTGACCGAGGCGGAAGACAGAAATTCTGTTGCTTTAGCTCGTTACCAATGTGCGACCCTTTTGTAAATCTCTGGCCAGATTCATGTATGTACCCTGTGCTATGGTGGCGTAGGAGCATAACATGTGGTAGAGCTCTTTCCAGCTTCGACTCCCCAGCAGCCCATTCTCGAATCATCTTTCCTGTGATTCCCCTGTTCCAACAAACACGGGAGCACTGGTCCGTGGATTAAATGAACTAAGATTCCAGACTACTCACAAGCTACCGGTGGCGAGACTTCTGTATTGTCCAAAACTATGGACTCCACTACGCTAGCTTTGTTCACGTTCTGCAGATGTCGCTGCAGTGCGTGGACACAGTCCCGGGGTGCTCGCCAAATAGTCCGCGGCGGCCTGCGAGTGACCAAAGTCCGGCCGACCGCAAATGCAACGTACTGCCGTTTCATTAACAGGTCAAGTGAATTTGATTAAAAACATGTTCTGCGTCTAGTCTGAATCCTTCGGAAATTCCCCCGTCCCACATGACAATCTCAGGATGGCGCTCTCAAAATGTTCGCTCAATCACGTTGCTTTATCGGTACCATCAGTCGAGGCCGCGGCAGAGTGGTACCAGGTCGTTTTCGGCTTCAGAAGGCTGAGGGATGATGTTCTGTTCAGCAGGATCACAGACCCAGACAAGGTCATATTCAAGAATAAGTTCAATGCTGACATTACAGTGATTGTCACAACTGATTCGGACTCAAACGTTGCGGATGGAGCTAATGTTCTACCTGCTTTGCTCTAGTCTATCCACATCCTTTGCAGACTGTGAAAGTGGCCTACCTAGTGACAGAGGATGACACAGGCTTCGAACTTTTCGAATTCATCGACCCGCCATACCGCAGGCTAGTGCCAGTCTCTGAGAGGGATCCTTCGGCGTTCACGCCGGAGATGTATTGCAGAGGAGGTTTCTTTCACATCGCTATCACGGTAGAAGACGTGGGTGCCACATGCGAGATTGTCATTTCGAATGGGGGAACTCAAATCGGCAAAACCATCAAAATGGGTTCTGATAGAGCGTTGTATCTGAAGGACCCATGGGGGAATGTAATAGAACTCCTCACAAGAAATTTTGTCGATGTTGTGAGAGGTAATCAGTAGATGACGACGGCACTTTGGCGAAGTACACGCAGTTACTCAGGACTATCAACGCTTGCCCATATTTCTTGCGAGATATTTCCTGACAACTGGGTCATCGTTTCTGACCTCTCAAGAGCTGATATCAATTGTAATATGGCATCCTTGATAGACATACGACTCTTCGCCGTGATTGCAAGCCTCAATTGAGGCCTTGAAGATGTAGTGCAACACGGATGCTCAAGTTTCGTCCGGTTTTGAAAGTAGCAACTTTCGAATCTCTTGTTGACAGTTTCACCCGCCATCCCCAAGTATAGCTCAATCACAGGAGGTTGCAACAGCAAATCGCTTATAACATTGCTGACACAAAGCTCCAGTTGTCCGAATGCTGCACCAGAGGTTACGGGCATGTTACTGGGCTGGGATGCAGGGTTCAGCTTGATTCTCAGCACCCTAACATCACCCTTCTGTTTCATGATCAATGATACGAACTGGTCCCATACATCCCAATTCAAGCCACAGACAGTCCCCAGTACGATAATATGTGACGTCGGGCCTCCTCGCCCCTCGAGACAATACTCGACGAGACCAAAGCTATCAGTGAAGATAGAACTTTCTATTGTTGGCCAGGCATCATTTGTGGTGCGGATTAGCCCACCAGGACTCACATACTGTGCATCTTCATTGTTCAGTGCCACGAGAGAGGTCAAATCTTTTGGTCCCCTTCCCAGAACGAACTCCGGCACCCAACACTCTCGTCTTTTGGATGCTACTACAGTAGTCTTCGATTCGCTTCCGATGGCGATCAGATGCTCAGGACCTCCAACCTGCCTTGGATCTGCAAATTCGTTCAGAGTGAGGAATTCCATATCTTCCTTCGAGGAAGCGTCGATAATAGACGTTCGGTATATTCGAGTTCGTAACCAGCCAGGTACGTCTCTCAACGGTGGGAGATGATCCTCCACATACCACCGTTTAAATTCTACCTCATCCTCTATACTACCAGATGCTAGTCGAACATGAACAGCGATCAGAATTCCGTCAGTGAACGTCTTGTCGTCTTCGCGTAGCAAACCCCCTTCTGGATAACCTATCGCACGGTAGGTTGCTGTATGGTCAAAATATTTGCGTGAAGCTGTGAGTTTAGAAATCGAGCTATGATCTCGTTGGCTCTGATTATTAGGTGCAAGCAGGGTGTTGTACGGAGCTTTTTCAAGTTCTCGCATGTCGGATATTTCGTACAGTGCCAACTTGTTTGACATCCGCGAACCCAAATCAAACCCTCCTGGCATCAATGGGTGGTCCGGAATTTGCTTATAACGGTAGCCAGTCAAGAAAAATGTATAATTCATACGGGCTGGGGCGTGTTGGTTGTTATACCAGTTGTTGAGCTCTGCATCACTTAAGGATCCCTGCTGGAGCGGCACATACAGAAGACCAGGAATTGGCAAATTCATTTTTCAGTATATTAGAGACGTTGTGGGTCAAGAAGTTTAAATCCCCATCACTCTTAGACGTGAAGTGCTACTCAGAAATTAAGGTGAGTTGTACTTTGACAAACTATTAAATAGCGTGCTGAGGCCAGAAGGTTGGTCGCTATGAGGATGATGATGATGTAAGAAACTTAGTTTTGGGCTCTCGGGGTGACTTGCTCGGTCTATCTACAAACCTATACTGACATGCGCATACCACCATTGGCACTTATGAGACTGCCTGTTGTCCATCCGGCATCTTCACTACATAACATCGCTACTACGCCAGCGACTTCTGAGGGATACGCCGGCCTTCCACCATACTTGATCCACGGTTGCTCCTCCAGCTCCTGTGCCGTAAAATCCTGGGCGAGAGGTGCAATGCGATTCCACTTTCCCAAATCCTCTCGTATGTATTCCGGAATACCATGATAGATATCGGATACCACCGGTCCTGGATTTATCACATTCACAGTGGCTCTTTTGCTAAGCTCACGTGCCCAAACTCTCGTCATTGCTTCCAATGCACCCTTTGATCCTGCATAGAGAGTCTGCTCGGGTAATCCTAATGTGCTACCTACGCTAGAGACATTGACAATTCGACCAGATCTGTCCCATGGTAGGTGCGGAAGACAGGCCTGAACCATGTGAATGGGACCAAGGACGTTCGTCTGATAGACTTCCGCGAACTCTTCTCGTGTAATGTCCCCTATGCCTTTCATCCTCGCAATTCCTGCATTGTTGATCAATATATCTATTCGAAGATCTCCGGTTTTGCTGTTTCCGAAATTTAGATTGGCCAGCTTGATGACCGTCGCACAACCAGCTTCTGTCCCGATGTCTGCACGCGCTGGTATCGCTTTCACATCATACTGAGCCTCGAGCTTCCGACATAGTGTCTGTGCAACCCGATCAGAGGAGGTGCTCCTGTATCCTAATACTATAGAGCTTCCTTTGCTGGCAAGATTTTCTGCGACTGCACTCCCTATGCCTAAGAGTTTAAAGTTAACGGATTGAGACTTTGCGAGCTCTGCTTGAGACTATACCACGAGCGGCCCCAGTTACAATACTCAGTTTTCCGGTAAGGCTTCGCAGCCCCATGATTAGAGGCTGTCCAGGTCAAGAGTCTTTTATTATGTGATCGTGAAACTGTGGTAGTAAGATGTATAGAAAGAATCTCCGAATTAACTGGAAATAAGTACCCACGCGGACTGGCCGAAGATGTGCCGGGCTCGCCCGCACGGTGATTCTCACCTCAGGGAAGCCCCGAGGCATTCAAATGTCCCTGACCTTAAAAACGATCAAATTCGAAGTTCCCAAGTCATCATAAGTAGGTCCGCGAACTCCCATATATCTTACCAGATCATAGAAGGACGTGGGCTCGCAAGAACGCCTCCCATAGCTATTGCAATGGCGCGTACTCCGGATGAAAGACCGGTCATTGAGGTCCCCGAAGCGGAGATATTCCCATGTTTGACCGGCAAGGTTGCCATCATCACAGGTGGAGGTAATGGCATGGGCAAAGCAACAGCGAAGGTGAGTCAACATACGAGGTATTGCTGAAGCATGATTTAACTGGAGATTATTTAAGGTCTTTGCGAGAGCTGGTGCAAAAGTGGTCGTGGCAGACGTCAACGAGAGTGCTGGGCAACAAGTGGTGGAGGAAATTCAACAAGCGGGAGGAATATCATTGTTCGTGAAGACCGATGTTTCCAAGTCATATGAAGTCCAAAATCTGGTGGCAAAGACTGTGGAGGCATTTGGAAAGCTGGATATTGCGGTTAACAATGCTGCTCTGACGCCCGACAAGTCCCCTTGTGTGGGCTTTGATGAGGCGTATTTCGACAGGGTCATCGCTGTCAACCTGAAAGGTCCAGCTCTATGCGTGAAGTGGCAATTGCAGCAGATGGTCAAGCAGGGGCAAGGAGGTTCTATCATCAACATCGCATCAATCAATGCCTATAAACCACAGTATAACATGCCCGCTTACACGATGTCAAAACACGCAGTGGTGGGTCTCACCAAGAGCGCAGCGCTCGAGAATGGGGTCCATGGCATTCGTGTAAACACAATTGCGCCAGGTGCGGTGCTAACAGAAATGTCGGCGACTTCACTGAAGTCTATTGGCAAATCTCACGAGGATTTCGTGGACATAGCCTACCTCAAGCGTTGGGCGGCACCCCACGAGGTCGCGCAGGGCTCATTATGGCTCGCGTCAGATGCGGCATCATATGTCACAGGCATCACTCTCCCAGTATGTGGAGGGTATTCCACATCCTAGATATTCTGGGCTGTGGTATGGAACACTATACATTAATACCATGGTCCTAAATTCTGTTGGATCTACTCCTGAGAGAGCCATCGAGTAATCCTCATCATAGCATGTATAGGGATAGCTTCCTTTATTCATATGATCCAGACAGCACGTAATTCAGATTATCATAGAAATCAGTGCGATTGTCCACGTCCCTCAGTCCTTCGTCAAACCGCGATGCGTCACCAAATATATCGCCGGGCAGAGAAGGAAGTGGCGAATCGTTGAAGGCGAATGGTAGCTCCTGACGATGTTGAAAGGGGGTCTGGAGCCTATTGTGGTTCTCAATAACGACGGTCTCGGCTCCACCTTGGGGCATATGTCGTCTGTCCAGTGTTGAGCTCTGTGTCTGCGCTTGTACTCCTAGTTGCTGGCTTTGATTGCGATATTGCTGTGTTTCTTGCTGAGGTAACGGCATCCCTTGGTTAAGACGGCTTGGCTCTCGTGGCTGTGGATCATTGGTTGGTCCACCCCTCGGTGTTAAATTCGTGGGATTTCGGTGCAGTTCAGCTGTGAGATTTGACCGAAGGTCGCTATCAGGAGCTAGAAAAACCGTCAGCAATCATAGCGACAATACGACAGGCAATATTTGTCCCTTACCTGGAGACACCGTTTTCCGGCGCCGTAGAGGTTGACCAGTGGTATCGTCAAGGTCTCGCCCCGACAATCCAGATGCGGTGGACGCCGGACGGTTGGCCGCTTGATAAGATACGGACTGGGAGTCGAATGACAGACGCCTCTCAAAAGGCACGTCTTTACCAAGTATTTGAAGACTTTGGAGCTCGGTTTCAAGGCTTTTGAGGGTTTTCTGAAGCGTATCAGACATGTCCCAGTATTTTACAAATTGGCGATAGGTCATGCAAAGTAGCTCGAAGTTGGAGCTAATCAGGACCTTGTCGGTACTATGAGGTGGAACGAGCTCACGATGAAGCAACTGAACAGCCGCCGCAAGCCAGATGGTGTTTGCGAAGAAAGGATTTACAAATTTGTAATGCGACCCACCAGTTCTCTGAATGATCTCTACAACGCTGTCCGAAGCGGCGATATAGAGGGTCAGGGCTTGTCGAGTTGCGTTTGTAGGCACGATACTGCCCAATTGTCGCTCAGGCATCGTCCCCTTCTTGGTATGCTCTTTCATCGTCGCGAGCTCTCGTTGGAGCTGAGGCCACCTCAAGCGCATGTGAAAGACGTAAAACTTGTAGGTCATCATGCGCGCCAGCTGTGTCATCAGATGAATGCTGTAGATGTTGGCGTCGCGAGCACGCATCGAAGGGGCATCTGCAACATCAACATCCTCGGGACTAAAGTTCAGGAATTGATTCTCGTATCGTAAGTGATGCGGAAGCATTTCAGTTGTGCAATGCAGAACATTGTGCATTGCCATGAGTTGTTTGAAAGTTTCTCGGTCTTCTTCCCCAGTTGGTGTTGCCTCATGAGGCATGGGACTGGAAAAGAGCTGCGCATCCTTCATCAGGGAATTGATGATAATGAACCAGGCCTTCGCGGATTGATTCCCAGATTTTTCAAGCAATTTCCATCGGTCGACGTAGCTCGGTGATAAAAAGCAGCTTTTCTGCGGTTCGGACTTGTCCCATCGATCATCCTCTGCAGGAAGCAGCGTTTGGTTCTGCGACCAACTGATGGCCATTGGACGTCGTCGAATTACGCTGGCGAAGACATCCATTTCCCACAGAGCCCACCACGCCCGTCTCTTCTCCTCGTCAGCAACCCATCGCTCGGGTGACTCCAGAAGATGGCTTTCGGGCCCTTTTCCACAGTCCACCATATGAAGATTGAGATCATAGGCACTCCTTACCGCTAGACCTAAGTAGCGCCATGCCCGACCATGGGCAGATTGTGACAGTAGCCAGTGACTGATAAGGACCAAGACTTGAAGGACGTTTAGTGGGAGCTGCTCCTCATGCTCGTCACATTCTGTAATAGCATTATCAGCGTACTGGATCGCAAGGTCGCAGAAATGCCCTGAGGTATTGGCATCTTGACTTGCACTATCGCCAGTCCCTCGCGTGAAGTGAGGACTCGAAGCGCGACTCCGGACCGAAAACATAAATATGGAAGCGAGGAGTGCTTTGACTTGTGACAAGTTTTCAATATGATGGAGCTTTGTGAAGAAGTTTCCGCGGCGGAATAGTTGGAACGAGGTGAAGGTGTCAAAAAATTCATCCACTCTGTAAAGAGTTAGTGCATGTGTAAGATTATGTGGAGGGCGTTCAAGGAGCAGGGTTAGTCAATGGAAGGATTGCTTACAGCTGGTGCATCTCCGTTACGCCGATGCCGAGCGCAAAGCATGCGGATGAGATAATAGAACTATCGTCTGCAGTATCTAGATCTTTGTCCAGTTCGTTATGAGACTCCACTTCGCGAAGTTCAAGCGAAGGGTGTAGGATAAAAGATAACGAGGTGATGTCGCGCGACAAGTGCGAAGCTGTAGTTGATGATGTTGAGACCGAGGGAGAGAGTGGCTGCTGCGACACTGACGCTGCATAAGCCGGTCCTGGTAGAGGTGGAGGAATCGACCGCTGTAAGGTAGTGCTAGCGTTCGTAGCCTGTGCAGTGGGCTTCAGTTTCTTCGATTGCGCTGGAGCATTGAGATCTCCATTCCTCTTGCGGTTGCTTTGGACAGTGCCAATCTTAGGGCCAGGCCTGGTGACACGTCTTGGATACGTGCATGTTTGTTTTGTTTGGGAACAATTGGAGCATGTTGGGTAGAGTCGATTACATTTGACCTTCCGTTTGCGACATACATAACATGCAATCGACGTAACCATCTCCCCTGTGGCCTCGTCAATCATGGCCGTTGACCGAGCATCGGCACTATGGTCTGGCATTACAGCCATAGGCAATTAGTTCCTGTAGTGAGCCGCAAGTCTATGTGATGTCAACGTGTCTCACAGTCGCACATGTGGTTAAAGTCGCATGTAGAAGGAGGCTTCAACTCGCAGTCTCATCGCGAGACGAGAGTCGGTCATGAGGGTCATGGGAGAGCTTCCGGATCTGGAGCCCCACGCAACCATCCCCAAAAAATGGAACGTGGGGACAGAGGCGAATGCACAGATGGAATTGTGAGAGAGAGGAGCCGAGGGACTTCGGACTGAGCAGGAAGCATCCCATTGTTGTGCGGCAGTTGACCAATTACCGGCCACAATCAGAGCAGGACTAAACCAGCCGAAGTAATGGTCTCCCCCAGTTCTAACTATCTTGCTTGTAAAGGCGACTGATCGTGGAGGCATTCTTGCACCACAGACTTCGATTGGGGGGGGAAAGCGGGCGTTGATCCAGAACCGGGGCTGTGGGTACGCGCCAGGTCACCGAAGTGAGTCCGAGTCCGGGTCCGAGGTCTCTCCGAACGATGAATCATATTAAGTAATTAAGTTGCTTCGGTGGCCCGAGAAAGGACAAGCCGTAATTAATTAATTAATCATGTTGGTCGGCATCTCATGTCATCACCGGTGCCAAGCACGAATTTTATCCATGGCCTGGTCCCCGGTGAAGCCTTGCAAGAAGAGATCCGTCCCGACAGATGGCCCTTTGCCATCTCAACTTTGGTTCGCAATGCCAAAATCGGTGATGTCTTCCATCTCTTTGCCATATGCTTGTCGAACTATATACTTGACTTGATCGAGGGTGCTTGTTGCCAGATATGGGGGATCATTTTTGCCCATAACCTTGTCAAAGTTCTCTAAGAACCCTTCTGGAGTAGCCGATTTCAGCCCAGGGAATGTTGCAAGCGTCTCCCTTGCTGCTCTGTTGGCGCTTGAAGAGAACACTTCCCCAGAGACGGGGCATTGGTCGGAGCAAAGAGCGAGGACGAATGGAACGACCCCCTGGTTGAGAAGTCAGCACACAGATACTTCGTAATCAACATGCTATCCAGGATTGCAAAGGCACACTCACTTCTGCTGGGAAGTACGTCTCAGCAAGTTTCTTGGTTCCAGTCGAGAGCTCCGTCATTCTGGAGGCCGCCGAGGGCATAATGGCGTTGGTTTTGATGCCATCTCTCTCGGACCAACGTCCAAGCTCCCTTGTGATAGCAAAAGTCGCCCCTTTCGAGGCTCCATAGGCGCAATCACCACCAGCACCGAAACCATAGATGGCATTTGATGACACGTTCACAATTCTCCCAAATCCCTGCTTGGCCATGACCCTGTAGGCAGCGCTTGTGACTAGAGTCGTTCCCAGGGTTGAAATCTCGATCACCCTCATGAATGCATCAGCGTCCACGTCGTCGTGTGGGCTGATCTTGCCTGTAATACCGGCATTGTTGATCAGGATATGAACGGTACCGAATGCTCTCAGCGCCGTCTCGACGATTTCTCCTGCACCTGTCCGGTCTGAAACGTCGTGATGATCTGCAATCGCAGTGCCTCCCGCAGCCGTGATTTCATCCACCACATCTTGTGCTCGGGTCGAATGTCCAGCCTTACCGTCAAGACTTCCCCCGTAGTCATTGACGACGACTTTGGCACCACGACGAGCCAGGCTCAGGGCATATAGTCTCCCTAGGCCTAGTCCGCCACCCGTAACGATAGCGACACGGTTTTCGACTGACATGGTCCTGGCTATTCACAGAACGGTGAAGGCTGTTGACTTGCGAGTCTGACGATCCTCTGAGCTCCAAGTTTTGTAGTTGGTTTTCGCCAGTCGAGTGCCGGATTTCATCGTATTTGTGTTCTCGGTGAGAGAACGCCGCCACGGTGGTTGTAGCTTAGTCAGGACAGTCGACTGTGACTGCGACTGCGACTGCGACTGCGACTGCGACTGCGACTGCGACGGTGGTTTGTGAGAGTCCGAAATTCGTCCGCTAGGGCCAGCCATGGTCGATGGCCGTTTTCCAACAGCGATTCATGTGCCCAGGAACTATCTAGCCGTTTCAACTTTGTTTGGCTCATGCATTGCCGTCATAATCATAGCTGTCGCTCGTGCCTGATCAGGATCTGAAAACACTAAGTACCTATACCTCCTCCACGGACGGCGTGGGACAACCAGCCTGGACGTGCGCCGCCTCAAATCTGCGAACATCAGCATAAGTGCTTAAGGCGCTAAAGAACTAGTCTCATAGACGCATTGTAGCCGCAACCCTCAGCTTGAAGATACTATTTGGGGGATACTAGTTAACCGTTAGTACGGAGTACATAGTGCCTGGATGATTTGATTCAGAAAAGAATGGTAAGAAAACGAACTTACATATAAAGCATCCTCATACTATGTAAGCACGGCTAAGCATCGGTTAGGCACATACCTCGAGGTTGGGCCCGCGTGGTAGGGGTATACAAGCCACACAAATCAAGTCTACATACTCCATACATCCTTGGATATTCAGATCCTTTAGTTATGACACGTTAGTTAATCCTATTGACCTCTCCTACATATGTCTCAGTCTCTTTTACGCTAAAGGGACAAGCTATGGAGTACGTTTTTAGTTACTAGGTAGGCAAGTGAGAGCCAAATCTTAGAGTCATTATTTTAGTCAGTATGTACTTCTTTGAGGTCAGTATCGCATTTGTATCTGCGGCGATCATGTCACAGGGTGTGCTTCCTCACTCCTCATCCAATGTAGCAATCCACAGCGAATCACAGCGAATCACAGCGAATCACAGCGGGTCTCGCATCCTGCGACTCCACTCGCTATTGACTTCCATCCTCTCCAGGATACATAACCACACGTCCATCTATATAACTCTCACGGTGCACTTCTGAGGTTGGTTATTTCCAAGTGCAAATTCATCCTTCGATCCCGCTGTATTCACGGGTAATTCCGTTTCTTTCAATCATTGTCTCCCTGTCTCATTCCCCATTTACTGCTTTTCCCTCTGCCAGCTCCATCATGGGTTCTCTATCAACGCCCGATTCCACTGTTCTACAAGCCGCTCTTGAAGAAGCGCACACCACTTACACAAACAGCAATTCTCTATCGCGGAAACTCAATCGAGAGGCGGCTCAATTTCTCCCAGGAGGCAACACCCGCACTGTCTTACACGCCACACCCTTCCCTCTCACTGTCTCATCGGGTTCTGGTCCCACACTCACCACCCTCGATGGCCACACCTACGTGGATTTCTTGGGCGAGTACACCGCCGGCATATACGGACACAGTCATCCCGTCATCAAAGCCGCTCTGCAAGATGCCTTGGAGAAGGGCTGGAATTACGGAGCTCACAATGCCCTGGAGGCCGAGCTCGCTCGTATCATCACCGACCGCTTTCCAGCCCTCGAACTCGTCCGTTTCGTGAACTCGGGCACAGAAGCGAACATGATGGCCCTCGCCACTGCCCTGGCCTACACAGGCAAGAAGAAAGTCCTCGTCTTCGAGAAAGGATACCACGGCTCCACCATCTCTGGGCGCACTCCCTCAACCAAGAAATCCATTAACTTACCCCATGATTTCCTGGTCGCCACATACAATGATCTCGAAGGCACACGGGATTTGATTGATTCCTTGCCAAACGACTCTCTCGCCGCCATTCTCATCGAGCCCATGCTTGGTTCTGGCGGCTGCTACCCGGCCACGCACGAGTTTCTAGCACTGCTCCGCCGTCTGGCCACCGAGAACAAAGCGCTCCTGATCTTCGATGAGGTCATGACTTCTCGCTTGACATATCATGGTCTCGGAGCCGTCACAGGAGTCACCCCGGACCTCATGACACTGGGAAAATGGGTCGGTGGAGGCATGTCATTTGGCCTGTTCGGCGGCAGGCGGGACATCATGCAGCTCTATGACCCCCGCTCCGGCAGCCTCGAGCACCCGGGGACCTTCAACAATAACATCTTCACCATGAGCGCCGGCGTCGCGGGCTGCAACTTTCTGACCGCAGACAAGATCGACGCCCTAAACCATCTCGGCGACGTGCTGCGCTCCAAGGTCGAAGACATCTTTACCGCTCGAGACATCTCCAGCGGAACTGGAGCCGGCACCGCTCTGCCTACCCGCCCCGTCACAGACGACATGCACTCACCCTCACATCCACAACGCCCTCCGAAAATGTTCATACGGGGCGTTGGCTCCTTAAATGCCATCCACTTCGTCGGCCCTGACAGGGACGTCCTGCAGGGACTGTTCTACCATCACATGCTCCAGAACGGCATTTTCATGGCCCAGAGGGGCTTTACGGCCCTGAATGTTCTAATCACTGATGAGCATGTGGACGCTTTTGTGCGCGCGGTGGACGCCTTCGTTGGGAAATGGGAGGCCAGTCTAAGGTGGTGAACGGCCTCAAGAGGGATCATAAATATTCTCCGAGGGTTGTTTGGTCACTGTGCCTCCAACAGAACAACTTGAAGTCCTTTTTGGAGGACCGTGTGTACGTATGTTCGAGAGATCAATTCACTATGGGAACCAACGTGCGCTTGATCTCTTCAATTTAAACTTGTTTTCCATATCGACGTTCTATGTTGACAGACTTTGCCCCGTTTTCATTTTGTACAAGTAGGCCTGTTCGCCATGCTGAGTGCAAATGCAAGTAGTGTTGGTAAGGTGTCCGTTTGTTTGACAGCAGAATCCTCATTCGAATATAAATATCGACCAGTATTGCATCTTCAGCCCTTCTCATACTATAATACAACGAGAGCCCAAGCCTGAAACCCCTTGTCACTAATTCGGCCAACATCATCGAAATCGTCGTTGGTCTCAATTTGACTTCCTGTCATAACCCTCCCCGAACGTAAGAGGCGACCTTCTGACCATGGAGAAGCTCTCCTCTGACTCCAGCGCGGTCACTGTTTTGGAAGGTGTTGTAGCTTTCCTACATTGCCTGATGCTGCTTGTTGCTGGCTTTGTGATTTTAGACAGCTGTCTGCGAAACCGCCAGCTCAAAGCAGCGGCTCCTGCCCAGCATCGACACAAGCATTTGCGAACAAACACTCTGTCAGGATGTGGAGCTGGTCAATTCCAAGACGTGGGGGAAACTTTGAAAGAACGATAGACATGGGGTCTCTGCTAGGAGGACCAACAAACGACCTGTCGACATGCCTGTGTCAATCGATGTATGTGTGGGCGCGTGCAGCCGTAAAAAGTGCTTCGCACCTGCATCAGCAAAGGGTAATGCAATCGCGAAGAGGTACTTGAGATGAGAGTGGTAATGTACAGGTGGCGGCGGAAGCTGCAAAACCCCTCCAGTGCTTCGTGATACATCGAAACCAGTGGTGTTTTGGTGGTGCCGCCGGAAACAAGGAGACTGCTTCAACGAACGTTGAAAGACAGCGCGAGGGACAAGCTTGCTCAAGCCAAGTAGTAGTGTTCGAGTTATCCCGGCGCAGGATCATGGAGCTAGTTTAGCAATCAAATGTTACTGGCGTTGGCCTTCGTCGTGTCAGAATGCACGTTTCAGACTGACCGAGTGCTTGGTCTTTGACTCGGGAACACCAAAAATGTCATCGCAAGACCTTGGTATCCCTTATCCAAAGGGACAGCATCTATGGAGAGAATTTGGGCTAGCGAAGTGCCCACTCCCGAACAAAGCATCGAGTGGAGGGATCTTGTCGGCCCCCAAGCTGCAAAGGTAGTCTGCCACGTTGAGGTCATGAAAAGGGAAAGCGTTGTTCATCGTCCCCAGAACCAGCTGCTCTTCTTTGAAGTCGCTAGCTTGTCTTGCCCTGGGGATTTCAGCTCGAGCTCAGCCTTCTCTTTCTCCTCTTGCTTCCTTGTCATGTCGATGATTTCGACTCTTCGTTTTTCCACGGCCGCCAATTCTTCCTCTTTCTTCAGCCGCCGTTCAATGACGCCGGCGAACCAGTCCTCTCGTGCTGCGTCCTCCTCCGCTTTGGTGGCGTGAGCTATCATGCAACTGTTCATGGCGAACTGTTGGGCTTTGCAGGCCCATGTAACAGTTAATGTGCGGCCTTGGGCACATTTTGCAAATTCTGGGAAATGAGAGTCAGCTTGTGCAGTCACGATGCAGCATTGTTGAAAGTGGGAGCTTGGGCATTTCTGCGGCTGGGTACCTTTTATCTCATCTGCACATCTTGAACGGACTCTTTTATAGTATATATCGCGTACTTGAGCTTCCTGGGAAGCAGACAGAGGAAGCGGGTTGCGGAGGTTCTGCGTTTGTCCGGGGGCGGTCGAACTGGGGGGGTGAGGTTCGGAGGCGATGGGTGGTGCCATCTCCATTCTCGAGTAGGAGGCAAGGAAAGTATTGAAAGCTCGTCTTCGATATGGATGGCAGTCATAAAGAAGCCATCAAGTCAGTGTTTGGAGAATTCTTACAACAGCATCATGAAGTTCGACTGGAGCTCCGGTTCGGAGTCGAGAAGCATCTGATATTGTGAAATCCAATTACGGTGGTGTACGGTTAACAGTCGGAGCTAGCAGGGAACTAGTGCACTAGCTCCAAGCTAATCTTGCAATTCTGCAGGAGGCTCATCAGTAGCACGGCAGACTATGAGCTTTAGTCGAGACTATGGGGCCACCCTCCATTTCAGGCAGGTTTCTCGACATCTGGGCTGCACCGCCAAGTCAACAGGCACGAATCACCACTACTATTGGGTTATGTACGAGAAGATAGAATTGCGGATGAGAGACGCTCAAGCTCATGTCCTTTCCATTGATGCCGGACTCGCTTATGAGAGGCGCAGGAGATCATCCAACGGTTATCCTTGCAATGGCTTCACCCACGCCTAAGCGCGAGGTGCCCACCACTAGCAGCATACATACCCTCCAGTACTCGCTTCTCACTATGATAAAAACACTCCCATTTCCTGGTCACGTTCACTTTGAAGCCGAGGCCTCAGCCCTCGTCGTTTGACCAAGCCCTCTGCGGGGACCAATGGCGAGTGGGGTCGAGAGGGGCAGGGGTAACGAGGCTGTTCCAACTGGAGCTCATCATGGTCCCGACCTACTCCCTGCCGAGGGACTGTCTTGGGTATGATGATGACTCTTGATAGGCATGTAACACAGCAGGGACGGCCGGATCCAACCAACACCGTTTCTCAATCTCAAGGTCTGCTGACTCAATCAACCTGACAAGCCAGGCCGTCCTGGCTACAGCCCTGTAAATTGGCCTACATTACCTTCAACTCAGCAAGAAGTTTTCAGCAGTCAGAAGGTATATAACAACGGCATCTGCTCTTGCCTATCAGCCTTCCCTAGACATTGAAAATGGTCTTTCGATCAGGCCCACTTGCACCGGGCGTGGCATTTATAACTGGTGGCGCCAGAGGCCTGGGTAATGCCATTGCCGTGTCATTTGCCAAAGAAGGTGCTCGTGGCGTTGTCATTGTCGACATTAACGATGAAGCAACATTCGAACAGGGAAAGCAGAACGTAGAGCAGTATGGTACCAAGGTAAGGGACATTTGGAGCCGGTGATATTCAAAAAGCCACCAGCGGAAGTCGATCAACCTTGGCTGATCTCATTTCGCCCAACCACAGTGCCTTATCATCCGGGCAGATGTAACCAAGGAAGACGAGGTCGCGAGAGCGGTCGACGACGCTGTCAAAGAATTCGGGCGTATCGACTATGCAGCGTAAATGCTAAGCCTTCCAGCAACGAGAGTGAATGTTGACCCAATCCAAACAGTAACTTCGCCGGTATAATCGGTCCGCTGGGGAATACATGGGACACCTCCTTAGACGAGTGGAAACGGGTCATAGAAGTCAACACTGTCGGTGTATGGTTGTGCAACAAGTACGAGCTCAGACAAATGATGAAGCAGGACTCGGTTGAGGTGTACGCTACAACGCTGAGACCCAGCAGTCAAGAAGTACCTGGCTGACAACGCTACCAGTGAAGAGCACCGTCCACTACAACGAGGGTCAATTGTGAATTGCGCATCGGTCAACTCAATTCAAGCCGGAGCTGGAACCTCGGGGTACACAGCCTCGAAACATGCTGTAATGGGCATCACAAAGGCTGTAAGATCAACGAGCAGCCGCACGAAATGTCTCGGCTGTAGAGAAACTAACTGACTACGTCTTTAAGACTGCCCTTGAAGCTCGCAGCTACGGCATACGAGTGAATGCCGTTAGTCCAGGGTTCCTTCTGACCAAGCTCCTCGATCCGTTCATGAAGATGGGTGACGAACAGGCCGCAAGTGAAGCGTGGACGAAATACGAGGTAAGGCAAGGTCGAAAAGCGACTTTCGATGAAATTGGAGATGTGGTTGTCTTGCTTAGCGTCCCACGCATGAGTCTCGTCGTCGGTCACAATCTGGTAAACGACGGGTATGTCTTGTGCGTGCCTATCAGCTACGCAACGTACTAAAGAGAGTGAACTAGTGGATTTACAATCAACGAGAACACAGACTGAGGATTAGAGTCACCTACAGTTTTCTTATCATATATCTTGAGAGAAAATTGCGGCTAAGACCTCGCTACTACCTAGGTAGGGATGAGTGGAGCCTAGAATATGCGATATGATAGCAGTGAGTCACAAAGCGTCTGGAGCTATCCGCATCAGATTCTATACCGACATCGACGCTGATAAGGTAGATGGAACCGCTTTTATCAACAACTTAGTACATTCCCATGGACCTTCTCTTGTTGTTCGCTCCTTCAACCGTTTCGTGTATCTGTGTTAGATTCAATCATCGTCGAAACACTTTCAGCATTGGTCAAGTTGAACAATCAGTTAGATGCAGTCGTTTCGAGCCATGACAAGTCGTGTTTCATGATGTAATCTCTCGGAATAATCAGCACCAGAGGCAATGCTGCTCCTTCAGGGCTCTGAATGGGGCCCTTCAGATGATGAGACACTCGAAGTCTTTGGCCTTCGCCGTAAGCAAGGTAGTTTTCAAAGGTTGATTCAACCCGGCACTGCCCGAGAATGCCGGGCTCACGATCTTTGGCTGCCAGGGCAACAAAATGCAGCTAGCAGAGAGCAACGTGCCCATGGCCACCAAGGTCGTGACGGGTATTCAAGTGAAGGGTATCGGCTCCTCAAACGCCGCGATATCATGCTGCATCTCTGGGAATTTCTTAAAAAATCCCGGCTTCATCGTCCAGTTCTTGAAGTTGTACGCGTACTCGAGGAACACCCTGGACACTTCGTAGCGATTGTTCTGCGGATTGAAGGCAAAGATGTCTCGATCAGAGAAGGGCCAGTAGAAGTTGAAGTTCTCGACGAACGCAGCACTGAAGATTCCCGTCGAGGTGTACTTCTTGTGCTCAAACACCAGCCGATCACGCAGACCAGGCCAGATCAGAAAGTCAATCACAGCAGGATGCTGGACGTTTTCTTGTGAAGGTCTACCATGTGTGTAAGGATGAGAGGAGTAGGTGGTGATCGAGGCAAGCTTACCTAGGTCTTAAAAACACAGGAACCCGTTCCAAGTTCTCCTTGCTGGGATTTTCTCGATATTGAATCAGCGTCTGACACACATACATCAACGCAATCCTTTGTGCGTTTGATGTCCACGTCCCAAAGACCTGTTGATCGACTTGCTTCAAAGCTTGCCAGACAGGATGCTGAGCTTCAGCCCCGACATTGTCCCATCCCCAGATCACGGCTTTGAACGGCACATGGAGATCCAGTGTGGCATTGGACGTGGGCTTTTTCTTGACCCAATCCAGACATCCTATAAACGCTCCATTCGACACGTGCCACTTGTCCACGTCCGGCGCAATCGTAGCAAGAGGATCAGCTCGAGGGAAGTGGCAATCGAAGAGTGACGGTACAGCTGTGCCCCAGCCTGTCGGACCCAGTTCGAATGCTTCGAGAAGCGAAGCCGGGCTGAATTCAAAGAAATCTTCTAACCCCGACATGGAATGTTCTGCCTCGCCCGGCCGCGGCATTGTTCCTGTGATTGACTCGGGGGCTGCATCTTGAGTTTTGATGTTGAGATAATGCCCGTTCACCACCTCGGTCACATCTGATCCGGTCGAGACAGAGTGTTGGCGTTGCACGTCACGCTGGTCATCGCCGGTGTTTTCATCGAACTCCACGGATATCGTCGACTGGTCGAAAGGGTGTTGCGAAAAGTTCAAGTCGACTTGAGATTCGGAAGCGGGAGGCTCTTGGTCTTCAGTGGTGAGTACAGCTTGGTCGATCGCTGTGCGGATCTTAACCATGGCATTTCGAAGGCGATTATTGTCCTGGCGGACAGAGTCGATAATCTTGGTGAGGCCTGCGATCTCGCCAGCCTTGTCGCCAGCCTCAAGATTCCTAAGACGCTGCTCAAGATATGCAATCCGATTCTTCGTCCTCTCCCGCGTGGCCCGTTGAGCTAGCCGGTCTTGAATCCTTTTCCTTTCTGCTCGCGCCTCGTCGTTGTCCCTCCTCCGCGATTTGGCCTTCGCAGATGGAGTCGCTTCCATAGCTAACTTGACCAGCAAAATCTGTCCAGGGGCCGGATTCCTGACTCGAGAGTATGGATGTCATGCATGAACAGTCTGACTTGGTAGTTGAAGAGTCAGGACAGATCGAGGCGCTGTGAAATAAGGTCCACCCTGTTTGTGCAAGCCATGAGGGGAAGCGGGACGTAGAGGATCAGCTATCCGAGGTGTAAACTAGTTGGTTTCGAAGGGGTCTGGGTTTGGATTTTTTCTCTACTTTGCTTCTGCCTTTTCTCACCCTGTACCTTGTGGGGTGCGTGGCCTATGTTGTTTCCCCAACTGTCCGATCAATCATCTCGCCTCAGTAACTGGCAAGGACCTGGACTCCAGACAGCTAAATGAGCCATAATCAGGGCAAAGCGTGGTTATGACCACTATCAACAGGGGTTCGATTGTGGGGTAATGGACCAGGCTGTTCTATGTTACCCGACTACCGGACGATCAGCCACCTTAGTCAGGATATCAGCCGAGGTTTATGTAAGCTTGGGCACTGCAACGACGGCCTCTTATTCAGGACAGCATTGCATCTTACTCTCGCTGGTTTCGCGGAAAGCGAAATGCTTTTGGATCAAAGTGACCGACTTCCAAAAGAACCAAGAACCGAACACTGTGTCTATTCAGTCAAGATTCCCACCGGGTAACCTGTGATTGCAGGGCACACCCTCCTTGCCTCGTTTAATACTCCTGCGAATCTGCAATGGGAACGACCTAGTTTAGAGCGATTGCCTTTTGACCCTACGATGGCGATAGGAGTTTGATTTTATAGATGTGATTCGAACAACCGTAATATATGAGCGAGCAGGTTAGGTTCCAAGGAGACTAGAAATGCAGCGTGAAAAGGAAGGCGATACTTGCCCAGAAGGATCAACCTCACATTCTCTGAATCTGCTTGCAGCCGCATGCAGATATTTGCCGAAGTCAAGATATGGCAACAACCATGCATCGAGGTAAGGCCAATCCTATCGGCTCTCCCAAATATCAGCTGCTGAAAGTCTTTGTAGAAGAGTAGTTCCATCACCGTCCAGCTTGGGGTGGGCGAAGCCTATGGTATGGTTATGTTCCCATGTTTCATTCCAGATTTGTAATATCACATGGGCTCCTCGATTTAAGGACCACGGGGAATGATTGCGGGAACGCTGGTATGTCAAAATCGTTAGCCGTGGAGTAGTGAAAGGGTCATGGGCTTCCTAGATCTGCATCCTTCTTGCGTCTGAACACGAACAGTGCGTCGTCTTTACCAGCGAAACTCGGTAACGGGACCTGAGCACATTTCTTCCAAGATGCCTTTTCCTTTCTCATGAACTCGTCGATCATCATATCCTTAAAACCTGTGTACCCGTTCCCATTCTGTGTACCAGCAACACAGATCACATGGCCAGTGTAGCTTTCGATGGCTTTGCGAGTAAAGTCACCACCGACGATCGGGTAGACTAGAAGTAGGACCATGTCAGGACACCCACCGCGCTTCCTGAGGTACTGTATCCCATCTGTGACGGTCGTATCAGGAATCCAGACTGTGCGCCACTTGCTCTGAACACTATCAACAGCAGCGACAGTGAGTCCAATTTGTCGAAGCATCAGAGTCCAGTATCCATTTCCGCTGCCCATGTCGATAACAGACTTGCCATTTGCGACCTTACTGATGATATGCAAGGCTTCGTATGAAGGAACCACGCACCCAAAATGATGCATGAAAATCGGGAGCACATGGTGGGAAGACTTCACCAGAGAAGTGTTCTCATTTGGGCCTGCATACTCAAGAGCCAGACAAGCGTACGCCCAGAAGTCAAGTGCTGGGTTCTCATGCCCTAATATCGGTGCCTGGGATTCGTCGTTCTTCAGGGATTGTATCTTGAATTTGGGAACAGCGATGAGTGGATCGAGATATCGCTTGCTGAGTAGATACTCGGCGATGCTTTGCCTGATAGACCCTTTCTTTGCATTGGCCAGAAGGGATTTCAAGCTATTCGCAGCAGACTTGGTGGGATCAAATAATGAGAGGTAGGCTTGGATGTCGCTCGCTGGAGGGTAGCCAGACAATTTCAAGGATGCCTGATCTGCCCGATGCTCTAGTCCGTGCTGATCTGAAGCATCTTCGAAGGGAGCGGCTTCGATATCGTTGGACTTGTGTTCCATATACCAAGCATGTAGGCCATTAGCCCTACCTGCATGGATTGCCGCCTCTGCTTGACTCAAATTGACGCTTGCTGAAGCATGGTATGTGAAGTTATCACCTGGTGGAAGCTCGAAAGCAGTCACAATGGCAGATTTGAATTCGTTTGAATTCAAGTGGGAGTGTATCTTGCTCCAGAGGTCCGCATTATGACCCTCAGCGGAGCATAGATGTGACGGCGACCATGTTTTGGAGCCGTCAGTCACAGCAGCGGGTGAAGGAGCCATGGCTTCTATTGCAATCATCAGAGGATGAGACTCGCTTGGAGATGTCCTGTAGCTTCGCGTGCCAGTGGATTACGGTAGAATTACAATTTGAAGACGCTATCGTGTCTGAACGCTGGAAGACGTCATAAATATGCATGAGCTCAAACATATGTATTGAGCATTAAGAAAATTGGACAATCCATGCCAAGTCAATTCTGCCATTACTTATTGATACACATGACTCCATCTATCCTGGTAACGCTTTTGGTCTCTATCTGATGATTTGACCTTGCTTGCAAGCGGCTCTAGAAATGCAAAGCCTCCTGCTGAAGGCATATTTGCACATGCAAAGGAACCTTCCCATTTTATCCATAGCCAGCATGCTTGAATCCCGCTTGCTGGACAATCTAAAAGCGGGTCTCTTCGTCTTGTTGTCTAAAGTGGCAAACGGTGCGTGAATGCCCCGTGCTGTGCATAAAACAAAAACTGTATCAACTGAAGAAGATGCGATGATTTCGTTAGTTGGTGACAACTTCCAAGAGGCTAGTTGGCAATCTCAACACCACCGACAGCACCAAGCATTCTCTGTAATACGAAATTAGGACTGCGAAGAGGGCATGGTGAGACTAGCATAGCATACCTTGATGTCGCCATAGATGGCGAATTGACCAGCAGTCAAAGTGCCAACCATGAAGAGACGAGCGCCGAGACCAGCATAGCTACCACGGATACCAAGCTCCTTAGCGATCTTGATCAATCGGCTGGTAGTTCCCTCACCGGGGAGGCCTTTTGTCTTGTTGATCTTGGAGAGCATGGTGTCAGCGGGTTGAGAAACGATGGCGGCGGCAAATCCAGCAATGAGACCGGATCCCAAGTTGACAGCGGTCTTTGTTCCGTCGGAGGCAGTGTTCTTGTCAACAGCGGTTTTGTAGATTGCTTCAGCGACCTTCTCATAGACCACAAACTTGGCCATGGTGTAAGGAACCTGCTTGAACAAGATAGGACCGAAACCACTATAGAAAGCACCGACACCTTCGTTCTTGAGAATCTTGCCGAAACCGCCAATTAGGCCGGAGGCAAAGGTAGGTTCGGAAACGAGACGGATACGGGTGGCTTCAAGGGGGCACAGGGCAATGTCGGCAAAGAATTCGGCGGTGGCAGCGGAGGCAAGATAGACGGCGGTTCTGTTGTTGGAGGCAGTTTCGTAACCAAGCAGGTTGATGGATTGTTGCTTGAAGAATTCGTATCCTCCGAACTTGAACGCGCCTTGAAGGAAGTATCCTGCGAAGGTCGGGCCAACGCCAGTCAAGAGAGCGCCTGCACCCTCATTCTGGATGACCTTGCGGAAACCACCGATTAGGCCATTGTTGTATGTGACGGGATCAAGCTGAATTCTCGTTTTTACGCTGGTCGATGTCAGACGCTAGAGTCGGTGCGGAGGAGGACGGAAAGGGAGACTTACACATCGACAGGAGTGAGACCACCGTGAGTGACTGAACAGCAGACGGCACCAGCAAAGGCCTGGGAGCATCAGTACAGTTCTGCACAAGGATGATGACGGAGATGAAGACTCACGAATCTGCTGTAGAGGTCGATGCCGGACAGCTTCTTGGGTTGATTGGCGGAAGCAGTCTGGATAGCGGCATCGAGCTTTGTTGAGCCGGTAGACTTAGGAGGGAGTGTTGCGGCCATTGTGAAAGACTTGGAGAGGAGAGAAGGACAGACAGCAGCAAGAAGAGAAGAAGGTTATCAAGGGCTGAGCTGGAAGCAGGACTTGCAAAGATGCAGCGATGCAGTGGAAGAATTCTTTTTTTTCTTGTGAGATCCCGAAGGAGAAAAAGACGAGGATGGAGATTGGACGGAGCTTGCGAAAACAAAAGCTCCCAAGGGCCGACAGCGACGACGAGGGCTGAGCTGCTGGGGGGGCAGCAATTGCAGGCGTCCGGCCTCCCTGATGCCTCTAATTTAGGTATCCCGTCTGCCGTCGGGGCCTGAAAGTTGCTTGGGACGCTGGAGGGCTGTGTGTCCGGAGGCAGAGTATCTTGCCTTGTGCTCGTTCGTTGATTTGGAGGAGCGAAAAAGAATCGGGCGGGCGACAGAAAAAATGCCGCACAGCCGATTGAGCGAGATCCAAAAAGGGAAAGGCCGCCCCTTTTCACGTGGCGCCTTGGCAGATCTCGTGCCGCCAAGATCAGCACGTGACGGTTCAGTGCAACCGTGACCCAATCGCTTCCATCACGTGCGCTCGGGGTTGGCTCGGGTGCCCCAACAATAAATTTCACTCGAAAGACAAGGGAAGGGAACGGAGCGAAAGGTGTACACACACTCCTTCTTGACTCAGTATCGAGCACGCCGGACCTCGTACTCTGGAGTCACAACGAGAAACAGGTTATTGTATGGGTAAGAAAGTGTTGATCAACGTGCAAGACTGTGAATCGTCTTGACCGTTGGAGCCACTGCTCTGGTCTAAGTTTGGAACCCGTCAGTGGAAGTCCTCATCGCCAGAATCCCAGGCAACTTCTGTTAAGCAAATATGTGATCTCCCTTTGAGGTCGGCGTACACACCATGGCCATACGGGATTTTCGTGAGAGAGATATATATGCTACTTACTGCACTGAATAGACGACACAGCAGCTTCCATCCTAGAAGCGCCGAGCCAAGCATCCCATGTTGGCGTTGAAGGACATGGCGCTGCAAAGGAACGTCGTCTGATCATCAATCCAACAGGATAGTCTTCAACAGACTCAGACCGTTGACTTCATTGCATATTCCATGCGGAGTACGGGGTACGAAATCAAGGTCGAAGGGAGCTTCGAAATGTGGCCAATTCACAGAGCTCAGGCGCCACTTGTCGCCTGCCGCCGCCTACCGACGCCATCCCGAGTAATGGACTGGATGGCTAGGTAGGTGCCACAGCATCTGGCGCTAACATCACATTACCCAGCGCTTCCAGACTTCGACTCCCGGTCAGCCAGAGGTTAGCCCTCAGAGATGCCCGTATGGAGTACTGAATTGTGCCGTGGAGCGATCCAATGCATCAACTGGGCCATGTTAGTTGCACAACCACAGCGATGAAAATACAAGATGCTCTCGCAATACTCTCGCAATACTCTCGCAATGAGCACGCTAATAGGGGCAACCATGGATGATTTGCTTTTCTCCACTACCATATTGACCGTGCTACAATTTTCAAACGTCTCAACAAATCTCTTCAGCAGCTTCTCGCTTGAAAGCGATCGCATCTCAGGAGGCGCAGCGAGACGTAGTGCCACAGAGGCGCCTTCCTCGTATAGCATGCATTTTCCAACCTCCTGATGGGCAATCTATAATTGAATCCTCAATACTGCTGAAAATTTGCTGGCTCGGTCTTTAAACAAGAGATCCTCCCCAAAGAACGTCTGAATTTCTAGCACCGAAGCGCATAGAACAACATTGTATGAGGGTATGGTGACGGACAAGCGAAATGACATGTACCGCGTACGAGTTCCAGAGGCACACAACCAGGCGAAAGACCCCGGACGATGAGCGAAGCGTGGCGCAAATCCCTGAGGTCTTCACCATAGCAGCCACAGCCGTTCGTAACGCCGCTTGAGCATCCTAAAAGGCTAATTGCTCAAAGTAAATCTCGAGGATGCAGGGTAAATACGAAGGAATATGTGGCCCGACGTCGCTTTCATGGTCTTGGTCGCTGAACGGAACTGGGTGCAGCTTCACTCCCCCGAGCGAGGCACGCCTGCCGCGTTGCCGCTTTGAGATCACATGCTTACTCGTCGGGAAGAAACTACTGGTCTTTCATTGAAGACTTAGCAATGGCGTGTCGCGTGCTAAGGATCCGAGTCGAGCCGTCGAGCCATGGCGTATCTTCCAAGAGTTCAGAATCCTCGGTATCAACTGTTTTGATACAGATATGGAAGCCTCGTACATATGTACTGATGCGGCTCCAGGGAGGTTAGATGCAGTAGTTCTATTACTTCCGAGTCACAGATGTCTAGGGCCGGGGTACCTGAATAGTACCTGCGTTGAATGGCGCCCTGCTGCACAACACTTAATCGGCGTTGCTGTGTGCATCGTAGAAGTCGGCTCAACGGCAACGGTTGACTGCTGCGCCATCATCTGTGCCATCTTCCAGATAGACTCTGCCATCGCGAGGATAAAAAGTATATACGTCAAGCTCTGTGGTTGGTGGGCGATGAGACGCATCTCTGAGACAGTACTCGTAGCATTGCACGCCACTGCATCCACGAAAAAAAAACACCGCTCCAAGTTCAGAGGCTGGCAGCGGTCGAGATAGTCGAACCGGCGAATTGAGCATTTCTCCAGCTTGGACAACGGCCGCCTCCTGCTAGCATTACGTCTGATTTCATCGCTCACGTCCAGATGCTGCGCGCAGTCGATAGCTGCTGTCAAGCACTGCTGTCAAGCAGTCACCCCCTGAACTTGACGTGTGTGACGTGTTTGGGATGTTCTTTGTCAGTTAGGGGCTGGCGCACTCGGCTACGGGCCTTCCACTCTGCAAGTGCCCTCAATGTCTGTCTACCCGGTGCACACCACAGGTACGAAAGGGATGCGACAATAAGTTGTTTTGGCGGCTCGAATGGGCTTGAGACAAACGGATATCTTGCGGACACAACGGGTGGCGATCCCGTTACCCAGTTAGTCAATGGAGTCCAGCACTCTGGACCTACTTGCGGATGGCTTTCGCGGGCGGGTGATGCCTCTAACCTTACTCAAGAACTCCAGACCGTTGCCCAGAGTACCGAGTACTTCTTGTAAGTACTCCGTGCTCGTGGCGTGCGAACTGTGGGACTTCCACCTGGCAGCCCTGCCATCTGGGATATCCCGCAATACAACCCCATACGCGGCTGTCGTTTCAAATGACAATACGCGCGCTCAATGTTACACCAGCCCTGGACGGAAAGCCTTGCCCTTGTCTGGCTCTTTTTGAACCCCTTGAGCAACCCGCTTAGATATGCGCAGACCGTCCTACGAGCAACGCGCAAAATGAGCATAGGCAGGGGGAATCACGTCAGTCATCTCGCAGCGCTCCTACATGTCCTCGCTACAATTTGAAACTCAGCTCGATCACTATTGAGCTTGGCAAGAATCGCGCGTGCCTGACCTCACCTCGCACGCAAGAGCAGAACCACAGGCCAAAACGGAGACCGCACAAAAGACCATCCAAGGAAAAAAGATGCCTGGTTTCGGATTGGCAGACGAATCAGCCCAACTCGAGCTATGTAGATAGTATTCGCTGTACTCCGTATCTTATCTTGTCTGCTCTGCACTCGCTTTCGCTGTGGTCTGCCTGGAACAATCGGTAGACAATGCTTGTTTGTTGCTGAACCATCCAGTCTGCTTCCCACTGTTTCATCATTTCGTCAAAATGACCCAGATCCGTATAACCGACAAAAATCCAGGAATATGAAAATAGAGTGAACTATGTAACTGGCTTGAGAGGCCGGAAGCTTACCGCTTCACAAGCCTGTGCAATCACGAGTAAAAGAAGTTTCATTACACGAAGGAAATTTCGCAAAATTCAAAGACTGACAAACCATCATACCCTGCCCCGTTCAACTGCCCTCCATGCATGTACGCACTTCTGTGGTATGATGCACACAACCAAGCTTGGCCTAGTGGTGACGGCTGCGACCGAAGCGTTGGCCACCGTACTGGACTCCGCGACGAACGTTCGTGGGTGCGGGAATGTCAGCATCCAGATCGCCAGACGGGTCAAAGACCGATGTAGTAGTGGTGGTTGGTTCAGCAGTGGTTGTTGCCACGAAGCTGGTGGTGCTGGCGCTTGATGTTGTGGAGGTGGCTAAGAACGTTAGCATTAGAGCGACAAACATTGTGTGATTTTCAATGGAACTTACGGTTAGGGAATTCAACGACGAGGGCAATCTCGATGCAGAGGAACGGAGTGTTTGCGCTGAACTGGATGAAAACACTGTTGTCTGCCGCAACGCAAATACCAATGTTGGCGGCGAGAAGGGTGAGGGAGCCATCCGAACCGACCGTCCACTGAGAGATGTTGGAGCTGAGACCGGCGGTCAGAGAGAAGGACAGCCATGACTGAGTGGTATCGGCATCCACGAATAAACCACCAGACTTGAGATATCCATTCTCCAGCGAGAAAATGGATGCGTCGTCCTTGTCGGTTGTGAGAACGGCATCTCCATCGCCCGAGATCTTGATGTATCGGAGAGCTCGCTTACGGTATTTTGTGGCGGTGTTGACTCCAATGACAAAGTTGTCTAGATCAACAGGGATCGCAGTCAGGGAAGTCGTCGTGGAGGCGGTGCCGCTGGTAGTTGTCGCAGCGGATGTGGTGGTGAAGCTGGTGATGGTGCTAGTTGTGCTGTCAACCGAAGTGGTTGAGAGACCTGATGTCGTGCTAACAGATGTCGTTGAATCGGAGCTCGAAGTGCTGGTGCTCTGGCCGATGGGTCCGCCACTACTGGTGCTGGAGCTGGAGCTGGACGAGCTGCTGGTGGTGGTCGAATCTGAGCCGGAAGTGGTGGTGCTCTGGCCGATGGGTCCGCCACTACTGGAGCTGGAGCTGGACGAGCTGCTGGTGGTCGAATCTGAGCCGGAAGTGGTGGTGCTCTGGCCAGTGGGCCCCTGGCTGAAGGTGGAGCTAGACGTAGTGCTCCTGCTGCTTGTAGTATAGGTGTAGCTCTGGCTGCTCGTGCTGGTGCTCTGGCCGATAGGTCCTTGGCTGGCGCTGGTGCTCTGGGTCACGTAGTCGGTTTTTGTGACTGTGGCTGTCGCAACCCAGTCTGCCCACTCACCGGGAATTGGTAGGTTCGGGTCGGCAGCATCGTCACTGCCCCAATCTGCCCAGCTGTACGGGTCGCCTTTGGAGCCATCGACACCATTATTACCGCCATTTGGCCCGGGTCGTGGCCAGCCTGGGAAAGCATGTTTACCGGTGGGTGCGGGAACAGCACTTGATGTCCTTGGTGGTTGCCTGCTGCAAGGTGCAGTCCAGTAGATTGTTTTGGTGATGGTAGTGGTAAAGTCAACGATTTCATGGGGACGGTGGCAGACTCGGGTGACATGCGCCCAGTATGGAACAGGTCCGACGGTGATGGTGGTTTCGGCCGCCGTGATGACACGGGCTGGGGCGGTGAAAGGGAAAGTGAAGGTGTAAGTACCAGCGGAGGGTGCTACCCATCTCGTTGAGCAAGCGTTAGCAGTCGTGGCTGAGGTTGATGGAGCGGGCTTGGAGATCCAGGTCTCGTCGTAGCCCATGCACTTAGAACCACCAGGTCCAGCGCGGCATTCAACCACGCCGACTACCTGGGACCGGCTCCCATCGGGCTGAGTCTCGCACTCCTTGCAAAGTCCACTGCCATCATAACCCGGGATAGCCAAAGGACCAAGCTTGTTGTATGGAGCAAAAAAGTCCTTGGCAATGGTAAGCTCGATTGAGGTCGGCTTGGGAGTGGTGGCCGTTCCAGTCTTGGGAACGACGGGAGCAGGGGTAATCCATTTGGTAAGTGTTGTTTGGAATCGAGATACAGTGACCGTCTGGGTGGTAGAAGTGACAGTGGTCGTCTGAAGGTTCTTTCCATCCCAAGCAGCTGGAATAACAGTACTGACGTAGGCAAAGGTTTCGAAAGGATATCTGGTGGTGCAGGACCCTCGGAGACAGGCCGTGGTCGGAGCACAGGTTGAAACAGCCTGATATTGTTTGGTCACAGTGATGGGCTTCACAGTTGTGCTGGTCGCTGCCGGGCAGGGGTTAATGACTGTGAGCGGCTCGGCGACGGCGACGCCCGCCAGGACGGCGGTGGCCGCAGCTGCAGAAACCGAAAAACGCATAATGAATGACTGGAACGAATGGTCCTGGAAAAAAGAATGGCTGAAGGAAAATTCCTTCGAAATATAACGAGTGGACGAATGACCTGTGCGGCTTGGTGAGATGCTGGTGTGAGAGGTTGGGAGAAGGTGCGAGCGTTGAATGCTATATATCCCTCCATCGCGACAGTCTCCTGTTGTTCTCATACACAGACAGGAGGCTAGTTGTGGATACGGTGTGGAGCAAATTTGGCTTAGGGAGCCGCGCAGTGGCCTTTCGTTGAACCAAGACCGAGCACGGAGACGGGCAATCTGCCACAAGGCTCAACTCCTGCGCACGAGGAAACAAACAACGATGGCGAGCGACACAGACTGGTTTGGGCTTGGACCTCCAGCCACAGACGACAAGTGTTCGTGTTGCCCGTCCCAAGCAGCAGAGCGTGAGGCTTGATGGGGAGATTTTGATCTGCATGTGCCGAATTCGAAGATGTCAGCGACGCCATGAACGGGGCGGTGACAGAAATGGCAGAGCCATGCAATCTCCCTGAAGTTCAGACATATGAACGATGAAGTGACTATTGAAGGCGAACTGCAACCGATCGGGTTCGCAGCCACAGCAAATGCCCGACGTAATCGGGATTGCGAGTAGGGCAGGGCAGTTTGCGTCCAGGAGGCCATCAAAGCGATGGGTATTCGGGACCGTCCAGGATCATACAAGGCTGACCTTTCCAGGAGCATCGGAGCTGCCAGGACTCCTATAGCCGACGCCGAAGAATCCCCAAAGCAGGCTGATATCCCTGAGAACGGTCAAGGTAAAAATAGCGCAATATCTTGCAGGAAGCCAGCAGATCAGCAATACTGTCCTGCTCTTCTCGGCTCAGGAAGGAGGCACAAGTGGATTCATCCTGGAGGTGGTTGCCATTCCCACGCAATTTTGGCAACGCTTTGTAGACTTGGCAAGCATGAGTACTCCATACCAGCAACGAGGATAATCAGTAAGTTGTGGTGCCCACAGGAGTTTGCCTCCAGACGATTTGCGCGGTGGGAGGTTGCAACCGCACAGAAGTTGAAGGGTTTGACGGGTGTGAAGGGTTTGACACGGTCCTCCAAGACCACCCTGCAATCAGGGCCAGCTGACACAACACGGTCACAGCCAGCCACCACTCCACAACTTGCCAGAGATTTGTTCAGTGGATAGTCTTCTGAGCAAGCACTCGAGGGTTGAGACTAAGCACTGCGACAATCTGGCAGCCCACCATGAAAATCTGGCTGGGACGCTGCTGGCCGAGTCTGGTGCCCGCAGTAAAACGCATAATTTGAGTCGACGTCGGGAGGTACGGCTTGGCGAGATAGCGACAGATTGGGTTAGGCGGGGATCCTATGACGCGCCTAACCCATTACAGGAAGCACGCTAAAGGTACCGGGATACCTGCACGGAGCGCCGGTACCTGCGCGTGTTCCCTGTAATGACAATACAGCATGCCCCTGGTAATTTCTGCCTTTGATCGCGCCAAGGTTTCGAGTATCCAGTATTCAGGGCGGACATTCTATCCACATTTTCCCTCTCCTATCTCAAGACGATCGAGATCTGAGGGTTAGCCGACAATGCTCGACAATCCACCCTCCCCTTGTCTAGCCGGTGACTTGCGAGTACTCCGTACTAGTAGGCATCGCCTCGTACAGCGCCAGGGATCGCCTCGCTTCAACTCCACAGCCACCTGCATTATTGTTTCTAAATGTGCTTTTGGCATCGTGATGGCGCGCAATATTCCGAATTCCCTGCAAATCCCTCCTTTCAAGAACTTTGGTAAGATTCGTTTTCCCCCGGTCTGGCCCCATAATCTAGACCAAGGAAAGGACTTGGCGGCAGAACTCATACTAGTACTCATGACGGATACACAATCCCACTAGCCGCTTAAAATCCATCGATTTGATCTGCTCCACCCATGGCTTGTCGCCTGCGATGGGACATGGACCTGTAATCCAGTCCTAGACCGAGCAGTCAAGAATCTAGGAAGCCTTCAGCGAACGCCTTGGGAAGTGGCACATGCCTGATTCCCTCTTTGAGGGTAGCTAGAGCTCTTCCGATGGTGACTCTGACTTTGCATATCCCAAGGAACTGAGGGAGACCCCCCCCCCCCCGTCCCTGTTCTACATACCGACTACGCAGTACGAGCTCTCGGTACTATGGTGCCACTTTGACATTCATGTTTCATTACAGGTAGACACCAGAGACGGTGCTCCTGATCTTTTTGCATCCGCCCAATCTTTCGCTGCATTTCTTAATTTTGTCGCATCTGTTCCTCCGAATGTCATCCACGGCACGTCTAAATTGGTGTCCAAACTGTCGTTCCTCGATAACACACCCAAATTCCCCCCAACACTCGAACCCTCTTTTCCAATTTCTCCTGCTGTCAGTGCTACTCTTCATTCCACGTCGCTGAGAATTCTTCAATTTACTACCCATTGTTTTCATGTTCCTTTTTGCGGGCTGCTGATCCAAATTGCTCGTCAGTTCAAGAGAGGGTTTGATAAGCAATTTCAGACCTGATATGGTGGGCACGGCAGGCCGGTCGAAGGAAGTGTAAAGAATGATGGTGTCTATTCCTCCAGGAAGCAGGCGGTGGGAACGCAAAAACTCTCAGAGTTGGCGGAATCCTAGATTTGTACAGCGGTCACGGCGACCAATCTTCTTCGTCTTCGCATGCATCCTATGCCTTGCCGTCTGGCACCACTCCCAATCCACGTCCCTCTCGCCTAACAGGCACCGGTATGATGACGACAGGCCGGAGTTCCCTTCGATACAGGATCGCAGGTCGATCAGCGAACAAGATGGGATGGCCGTTGAACGAATGCACAGGCATGAACCCGAACCCAACGGTAGATATGAAATTGGGGATAAATTCTCCGATGAGGCCCTTGACAAGATGCTTGAGGATACTCAGGTCCAGACTCAAGACGAGGATCGTGTTCTCCAGCAAGGCGATGGCAAGATACCAGCGCCACGAGGGAAGCCCGATCCGAATTTACCCTCTGGACCAGAAATCCTCTTGATACCTGGCGACCCTATAGACGAACCCCGCGACGAGCCACATTTCGCAGAGTCGGCAGGAGAGAGCTTGCCAAAGGGGCCTGTTGAAGTACAAGCAAACTTGGATCCAGAGACCGAGAAAGCAGCATTGATTTCCTCACCGGATCAACCAGCTAAAGAGAAGATCATCGAAGCCGAGCCGATCGACCACCTGACTTTGGAGGAGAAGGCAGACAGTTTACCAGAGGTCATCCATATACCGTTTGAAGACGCAATCAAAGATGACGTTCTCCAAGGATGGGAGGACCACTGGGTCTCCCATGCCACGTATGACGCCAATAAATGGGGAAAATTGGATGAGATCAAGGTTGATTTCGTGTATCTCTGTAAGTCTCTGCTGTTTAGGCGATGGAGGATTCACGACTAACCAAGCAAGGGGTGAATGGGTCTCAGGAAGAATTCCAGAAGACTAAGTATCCTTACGAGTTGAACTCTGTGCTCAACGACGAGGAAGGCCATTGGATCCGCTCACATGGAATCAATCGTTATCGAGACTGGGACGAGTTGCGGTATTCCCTTCGTAGCGTTGAACAACACGCGTCCAAGTTCCGCAATAAGATCCAGATTGTGGTGAATTCGGTGGAAGGAACCGAAGAGGGCAAACAAATACCAAGCTGGTTGAATGATGACGACCACACCCAAGAAGTTGTTCAGGTGTTGGCACAGGAAGAGTTCTTCGATCGCGAGAAGCACGCTTGTCTACCAACCTTCAACTCACTGACCATTGAGAACCAACTGTTCAACACACCTTCGGACACCGACTATGTTTGTCTTCCATTTCGTGATACAAAATCAAGGCTGACCTTCAATGTAGTTGTATGCACTTTCTGATGACATGCTCCTTGGAAAGCCGCATGCTGCGTCCGACATCCACTCGCCTCTGTTTGGGTCGGTCATGGGGTTCAAGACCAACTCGTACAGTGCAACAACCCCGCCAACGGACGTAGATGCACGGCGGTTTGGCGAGAAGCCATTTTTGATCTATACCTCGTGGTTGCTGAATCGCAGGTTTGGAATCCGGAAGCGGAAAGGGCAGGGCCATTTTGGACATGCCTTGTCCCGCAGCATCATGCGTGAAGCGATTTCATCTTTCCCCGGGCCGGAGCTTCAAAGCGCATGTAAAAGATTCCGTGGAGAGCCCGGCTTCCAGTTATATTCATGGTACGTGACATTCCACTATCTCATAGAACGACATCGAGAAGCTCTGTTGTGGAGCTACATCATGCTGCGAAGCGATGTGGACGGGGATGGCAATTTGTCATGGGAGGAGAGGCAAACCATCATGCAAGACCTCGAGGCGGGCATGCAAAACGAGGGCAGAACGACCTACCGCAAACGCAACTACTACCACGTGTCCCAACTCCTCCAGAAAGCCGGGCTAGAGCCTCCGAAAGTCAACACGGACATTCTGTGGACCTCCCTAGATGGACCGCAAGCAATACAAAACATCGACTGTATTGAATTCGACGTCAATGAGTGTCTCGCACCTGGGTTCTCGATTTCGTCCACGGACGCGCGCACCAAGAGTCCTGTTTTTGCAACGTCGAATGTTTTCGACCGACTGGCGAGGCAGGAACCCAAATGTGGAGATTGCCTGCTCAAGCTCGTTTTGAACAAGACGCCAAAGGGGCTGTCACCGTTGTTGCCTCGAGCAGATACCCAGAAGGAACAGCGTGAAATGGTGGTCAAGGCAGTGATGCGTTATCGGTACACGGTCAGCAACCCAGATGCGTTGTTCGTCATGGTGACGGATGCCGAGCAGGTCGACAGCACCCTGGTCAATCGCTTTGTTCGGTCCAAGAAGGAACTCGCAGGACAACTGTGCCTGAACGACGACGTGTCGACGAGTGACCCGCTGGAACTGGCCGATGTGAAGCAAGCCATGACGGAGCTGTACCAAGGGTTGTTTCCGGACTCGAGTCCGTATGAGAAATGAGCATAAGCATACATTGTTTCACTCAACGACATTATGACCTTTCCTGTTACAATAGCACACCCGGGGACAAAAGGCGCGTGGCCGGGGTTCTGGAAATCATGGGCAGACAGTAGCATTGGTTGTTATCGACACACAGTCAATCCGATATTTGTGGGACAGATTATCACAGGCAGGAAGATAAGAGGAAGGGATTTGCAGTCCGAAGTCTCATTGAGAATCAGAACCATTATCATTTATCCGCAGGGATCACCCAGGTATCCATCTACCTGGTGTAGATTAAAGCTAGAGACCAAAATCCATACTCCGTCTTACACTCGTTCTTGATAATCAATAGCTCCTCCCTATTCTTTATTCCGAGACTAAGAACTTATGCAGGTCACGTGGTGGGTGGGGGGGCTCGATTGGGGTTTGCTCCTTCCTTCTCCAACAGGGCGCAGGGAGCGAGCACTAGCACTCGCAGACGAGATCCTCAAGCTGGGTGAGGAAGGGAAGGTGCAGTCACAGTCGCAGTCGCAGTCGCAGTCGCAGTCGCAGTCGCAGTCGCAGTTGCTGTCTTTGTGAAGCAGGCTCCAGTGTGTATCAAGCAGCACGGGAAAGAGCCACCCACAAACTACTATACAAGGGTTAGACCGGTGGGTGGCCAGGCTATTCACCAGTCTACAAACAAATAACAATTTAATTATCTTCGTCTTCACTGACCACCGCACATCCCACGACCACCAAAATCGAAGACAACTCACCCAGCAGTTCTCCTTCGCCTTCGTTCACATTTCCGTCCCTCTTCTCTCGTTCTCTGTCTGCCTGGGCTGCCCCATCCATTCCTAGTCTTCCCCGTTTCCCGCAGCAAAGTGACCGCACACGTTGATCCTCATGCCTGAAGACAAGCTAGACCTAGACCTGGGGCCAGAATGCTCGGCCGAGCTCAAGGCTCTCGTACGGCAGCATGAGTCTCGCAAAAACACATGGGAAGCTGAGCGTGCTTCCAGCGACAAATTCACCAAAGTAAGCTTCACGGACTTTTTCCAGCAATAAACTGACATTCCGTGAACCCAGGACCTCCTTCGCCTTCTCGCTGACAAAGAGCAAGCCATTGCGGAAAAGGATCTGGAACTGAAGAACCTCAAACTCGACAAGGACTTTGAAGCCGACGGGCGTCGTCGCTGGCAAGATCGCGCGACCCTTGTGGAGAGCAAAATCGTGCGTTGATTTCCCTCCCGTCCTCCCGTCCTCTCGATCCTCCATGGATTAATCTGCTCCTAGCAAGGCGCCCAGCACCTTCTTATCCTCGTTGACGGAAACAACCATTTCTTCAAAGATACCTTTTTGCGCGCTGGCGCCGCTGGGGTCAAAGATGCTGTCCCACCATTCCTCGACCAAGTCCGACAATTTGCCCGGGACCAGCACAAGCATGACTTGCTCGAGAACACCATCCCAATTGTGCACGTTTTCTCTGATATTGACCGACTATCCCAAGACCTGCAAAGTGCCGGCGCCTTACCTGATCCGAGCTCTCTACTCGACTTCTGTCAGGAGTTGTGCAAAGCTCAGCCTTATTTCACCATCAGTGACTGTAGTATGGATCCTCAGGCCGCGGCCATGAAGGTTGAAAGTCTGTACTTTTGTTTCCCCTGGCCATGTGAACACTCCTTCGGCTGACCACATCTACAGAATTCTACGAACTCTACGTTGAGAACTGCCACTGTCGGCACATCTTTCTAGCCCTTGGTCCCGATTCTGCATACTATAAGACTTTGCAGATGTACAATGACGACCCTTACACGAAAGGCAAGACTTCTCTAGTTCGCCCAGATCAAGGCTTTGCTGGAGTCGATCTTTCCTATCACACCGTGGAGTTCTCAACTCTCTGCAGTATCCCTCCATCTACTAATGGCGGTGCTAAAGAGAATAATTCTCACGTCGAACGGCAGCCTGTCTCTGCTCATCGTTACCCCTCGGGAGCATCGGCCCTCACACCATTGGTCGATCTTCATATACCTGATAGCTCGCACCAGCGGCATGATGTAACGGAAACCAATGGGGATTTCCAAGCTCAGGAGGTTGTCAAAGTCGCGCCAACAACACATTCTTCGTCAAGTTCCAACAATGCCATGGAGCAGACCTGGGAAACCAAGTTTAGTGAGCACGGTTATACGCCTCAGCCAATCTTGGGAGACTGGGGTGAAGAGGTTGATACGCATCCACCCTCCTTCCAGCGACCAAACACGAACGGAAGAGGGAGCCCTGGAGCGAGAGGCAGGTACACTGGGCCCTCTAATAACTCTTGGAGGAGGCCCGAGATCTCAAGCAACGGCTCGGGCACGCTTAGGAGGACGCCAGCTCATTTCCATGGTTCTTGGGATGAATTAATCCCAGGTGAAGAACCTAAGCCGGGGGCGTCTCATCAAAAGAATCAATCAATGACTTCCTCAAAAACCTCGAACGAAATGCCACCTGCGAGCAGATTGACAGCTGCGTCTTTCAGGCGGCAAATGGTCGAAGTTGACGAACCCAACCCAACAGCCCGTCCCATTTGGTCGCCTGTGGCAGTGAACAAGTCCAACCAACGCATTGACTTGAATATCCCAAAGCCCTCTCCAAGAGATACACAAAATTTCAGTATTCGTACTCAGCAGCAGAAACTGTGCAACGATTTTCACCTCCATGGAAGTTGCGACAATCCCCGCTGTCTGTACGATCATGAGCCTGTAGATGATGGAGTCTATCTGGCGCTTCGGATCAAGGCTCGAGGAATTCCGTGTGCCGCTGGCCCTGATTGTCGAAAGCACAATTGCTACGCGGGTCATCACTGCCCGAATGTGGGCAATCTGACCAGCTGTGGCAGAATGAAATGTCCATTCAAGGTTCTGGGGATGCATGATGTGAAGGACCTCATAGTTGCGGATACAATCAACCATCTTTCAAACCAGTCATAGATTGCCGCAGAGGCCGCTTCATTGCATGACGAGCAGTGTGGTGTGAAGCCTGTGAAGCGACCATCGAATGTCATGTGCACTTGGAGCTTTGTCAACCAAGGATGTCGAGAGCACGTCTGCATTGGTCATCAAGTCGATCGTGTCACCTGGCCGGAGGTCAACCTTGCCGAAGGACGAGCGAGAAATTGGCGGAAGGGCACCTGTTTTTGTGCTAGAGTAATCGACGACGGGGTGGTGAGAATGGTCAGCTGGACGAGGCGGGAGACTGCCACTGATTCTGGACACAAATACCCTGTGCAGATGAATCAGCGAATGTCAATGAGCAGACGGCGGCCCTGGCGGCATCACATACCTGTTCAAGGGGTCACTATGTAGCCGACAGGCGATCGGCAATCACGTTAGGTGAGAGTCAGCCTGGCTGAAACCACGGCTTTCTTGTGCCTCTGGGCCATGACAGGTATGATTCAGTACCCGGGCAATTCCATATTGGTGTGAAATTCAAAGCGGGATTGGCTCCGCGCTCTGCAGATGCGAGTAATGCAGCTTCAATCCCTGTCCATCGTGTCATCATCCCTATCCCTATCCACATCCCTATCCCTCCTTCTCTCTCTATCGCGACTGCGGCTACGGCTCTTGGACTTGCTGCGGCTGCGACTTCTAGCTGTCGCTGCCCGACCACCACCCCTCCGCTCACTCGCTTTGCCTCCACGGCCAGCTTTGCTGTCGCCTTTGGCTACTGGCGGGCGCACAAAAGCGTAATCGACTGAGATAGTCTGATCAAGGAGTTTGGACCCGTTCAGCGCTTTGATGGTCGCGGAGGCTTCGACCTGGGTGGGGTACTCGATGAGAACGTAGCCCTGAACATGTAGACAAAATGATCTTGTCAGCTTCCTTTCCGATTGGGCTCACAGGCTTGTTATGTAACATCTTCCCCTCCCTGGCCGCGTAGTACCAGGGGTCTGGGCTTGTTGTCTTTACTCACCTTGACATACCCCGTCCGCCGGTCCAAATTGAGGTGCAGGTTCTTGATCTCGCCGTACTCGGCAAACAGGTCCGTGATGTCTTCCTCTGTAGCCTCTTCGTGGATATTGGTCGCGATCACGATCCAGCCTTCGATACTGCGTACGGCGACGGCAGACTGCGTGGTACGCGCCTCGCTTCCCGTCGTCCCCCCGCCGGATGCAACTTGCTTGTCGGTGTCGGTAATCGAGGAGGCTCCGTTTTGCGATGCCTCTGCTGCGGCGGGAGCATCGATTTCCATTTCGGTGGACATCGTGCAATGGTTTGTAGGAGAGGAGGGAGGAACCTCTGGTGAGACCGGGCGAAGGTAAGTATCGAAGCAGCAGAGATTTGTGGGTGAGGGAAGGCTGAAGAACTGGCTTCAGGCTCAGCTCTGCCAATTCCTCGTGCAGAGAGAAGCGCAGGACCGCAGTCGAGTAGGATCAGGTAGATTCAGGACCACCGCTTCACAAGCCTCGTGCTATACTAGTAGCAGCAAGTATTTGGGGTCGGGGTAGGCAGGTTGTCGAGTTGAAAGGAGGGACACTGGGCTGTGCAGCTGTTGAGAAATGGAGAACAGACGACATTGTTGGAAGTCTTGGCAGCTCCGATGCTATGAAACGTGCGACAAGCTGCAGATCACGTGTAGCACATCCTGGTACTTACTAATTAAGAAATATCTCATCGGCGCTTTTGTGAGGGGAGCCAAAACACGCTAGCCGTCTGTCAAGACGCGTCCTAGTCGGTAAAGCGGCCTCATAAACAGTACCAACTCTCTAATTATTACTAAGGGGTACATACCTAGGCAGGGAGTACCTCGTACACAAACAATATATTTACATCCTACTAAATCAATAGTGTCACTTGAGCTATTTGAGGCCTCACTTGTTGCTCACATGAGAGCCACGTCTCTCTAGAAGCCCTTGATTGTAGTCTAGGTACCATCAGTTCGCTCACCCAACCACCTGGTACGCGACTTCGAGTTGTCAACTCGGACAGCGTGTGTAGACTACCGAGCCCTTGAATTACCTGCACATGGCCGAATTCGCTTGCTCCCTGATGATATCAATAGAACCCTTCCCTCCGTATTCTGTTGGCAGGAACTCCTGCGTCTATCAGACCTGCTTGCGCTGCATCTCCGAAGCCTCCAGGACCGCAGATCAAAGCATTTCTTCCATCCGCCACTCCTGCCCAATATCCGGACTGAATCCGGCCTTTGTGAGTCACCACCTGGACCCCTATATCTTCCATGTCTCGAGATGACTTATCTTCCTGACTGGAAAACAAATCAATCTGGACATGCACATTTGGTGGTAAGCCGGCGAGCGACCTGATGAGGAGTTTCAAAGCGATGTCCGGTTCCCTGGAGGCCAGAGCAAGGACTACATCTGTCTGTTCTGCACCATCTTTCCGGTCTACTAGGGCCTTAAACATGGCCAGAAAAGGTGTCAAGCCAATCCCTCCAGCAACCCAGAGCATGCGGGCTGGCTCCTGACCTACACAAAATCCCCCGGTTATACCGACAACTTCAGCAATAATGCCGCTATTCAAGGCTTGCGCTGCGCCTTGACGCGATTTGCTTCTCAAAAGCTGAAAGAGTCTACCCGTCACCGCCCCATTGTTCATCTCACGCATTGTCAACTCAAACCAAGTTGTGCTTTGATTTTCATGCGCACTGGAGACAGTCCACGTTCGAACCCGATCATCGTTGAGCGATTCCGGCTTGCCATCTGCCATGTGTCGATACACTGGAGGACCGATCCAATCCATAAAGTCAAGCACGATAGCCTGTCCGGGCTGGATGATGAGACCTGTCGAACCGTTCTTGGGAAGAACTTTAAATCTCAGTGTAGCAATGTCGTCTGCATACTGCAAGGCACTGACAAGTTGGACTTTGTATCCGCCAGACGTACCTGCAAGTCCTGCTTCTTCCTCACAAAGGTATTTGACTTTTGGGCTGTAAGGGCTCCGCTCAACCTCGGTCCCTGGCTCCTGGCGAACCGGCAATGCATCACGCACGAGGGTAAATCCTGTAGTTTCCATCAAAGTTATTGAGGGCTGTCGCGTCATGATCTTGAACGCAGGATCTCCGACAAGAACTTGCGCTTGACCGGTAAGGTACAGCACTTCGCCAGTTGTGAAGGACACGATCGTCAATCCTACTAAACCAGCAGACTCGACGTTGCCTAAGCTCATCAGGAATCGGTTTCCAGAGTAGTCCGGGAGAACTACAGTTCGGCCATCTGAAGGTCGGACGCGGGTGAACCCCGGTAGTCCGCTGCGAGCATTCATCCCAGCGTGTGAAGGATATCTTTTTGCAGTGGACGACTCGGATTCGTATATGGAGGCAATAAACACGGTGTCGGCATCGGTGATGAGTTCCACCACCCTGGGAGGCAAGCGCTCTCCAGCCTCCATGTTCGATCTGTGAAATACAATCGAGGGCCTTCTGTTCTGGCACGGAATGAATCGGCGAATATTGATGTATTTAGGGCAGTTTCTATTCCGGATCACCAACGATCATGATGGTCAGCCTCAATTGCACCTTGAATCCAGGTTCCAGGCGTGCAAAACATACCCCAGAGCCTCCTGAATCTCCAAGTCCAACTGAAATTGCAGGTCTGAGCGAGGTACTACGCCTCTGATGCGCCCGGCAAATTTGTTTCGCCTTCTCGTGGGAAACTCAATTCCCAAACCTGCAGTGAGGAAGTTTTCTAGTGCCAGTCCATCTCGAGATTTGGAATTGATCCATCTTCGGATCGTGTCTAGGAGAGGGTCTCCAGGCCACAGCTGAGTGTCTACTACCAGTGTTTTAGTGTCGGGACTGGTCACGAAACCGATTTCGCCAGTGGCTCCGGCAACTATCGATCCCCAAGGCCGTCCGAGGCCATCGACCGTGGTGACTGGGATAAAGGGAAGATTTAAGGTATGGAAGATTCGGTGCTGTTCGCGCATGAAGTTCTCCGTCAATCTCCAGTGCTCGCTGACCGCATCTGAGAAGCCATATTTCTGCTGCACCGCTACTTCGCCAGGATGCCAACCTTGCAGTGCAGCTGTCATGTTGATAGAGGATTCAGAAAGGAACGGGCGATAATGGACGAGTTTCTCCACAAAAAGACAGGCGCCCTCATATGAAGGACAGAGAGCCAGAGCATATTGACTTTTATGCTTGGTTGGCATCCGCTTAGTCAGTGACAAATTCGAGCATATGCCGAGCGTTATGACTACCTAGGTAGGTACTTCTCAGAGTCAGCTTACACATGACAGGCTCGGTAAAAAGATAGCCTGCCCCTCTCCATGCTGTAATCAGAAAGTACTCCCGCATGCGCTATTGTTGTCACGCTGGAGATAGCCAGCAAGTCAACGTTTATGTCAATGTTAGATAACACCGAGATGTCATGCAAACGCCATGGACAGAACGATTGATCTCGCGTATCTCAATCATGGTCCAGGATATCGGCTCATGATGAATGTTGAGATTCTTGGAGGCGCTCGATGAGAACAGATGATTATTAATGTGCGACACCATCTCAAGACACCCAGCAAGAGTTCAAACATCTGTATGACTCAGGCTCCTTTCCCCATAGTATATGATGCCGTTAGCCTTTGCGCAGCGGCACAAAAACATGGGTTTCCGAGACAGGGAGCTACCATGCTCGCGATCTTCAGCTTTTCTGTGGCTTTTGGACCTGAGCAATATCCCGACACCATTGGCCAGAACCGGGACAGCCAAACCGCCCAAGGCTTGGTGTGCATGTGGTCCATCAACTGGCCCCACAAGAGATGGAATTTCCACGTTCCCTCCAGGACTTCCCATGGGATGCCTTTCTCGTTCACTTGAACAGCCTACAATGCTTCAGCTGTCAGCTAAATATGCGCAGAAGACTGCCAAAGCATCTTTCCAACAAGAGCTTTCTTGTCGGCGATGCACAACACTTAGGGTCTAGCGACGAGAACGAGGCTTTCCTGCAACGTCGAGTGATTGGGATCATCGTTGCATTCTCTAGCATTTCCGCCGAGCCCTGACACAGAATGGACGCAGAACATGGAGTTATCCTGGACGGTGCGGCCACTGGCGCCTGTCACTCCAACGGGGTATCGAACGCTGCACAAGACAAGAGACCTGCGCTGGTAACCCGAAGGAAACGTGATCCCATGATTTCAGGCATGTTGAGTTGGAGGCCTGGGCCAGCGCCATCCTGGAACAGACGGTCTACTCAGCTAGATCGTGGATGCCGGCAGCCTCACACAGCCTTTCAACAAGCGATAGCAGAGCTCAAGCTATTATCAAACCAGGTTCCTGCAAGCCTACATATCAGACCCTCACTGAATCAATGTAAGCTGGGTGCTTATCGCAACCCGACATCCTAGTTCAGTTTTGTCGACCGTACTCCTGACTAAAATTCCAACAGGGTTCGCGGCAAATGCCTCTTTCACGATTCCAGCATATTTCATGCTAGATGCCGGCAGCCCCTATGCAATATCCTTTTTCTCGATCCTCGATTTCAAGGACATCTACCATGCGGTGCTAGGGATGCTTCTAAGCTGGCTGCATGGTGAATTTCCCAAGCAGTACCCGTTGTCCGCGGCACGCTTCCATCAAACAAAAGCTATACCTATCCTTCGGCAGAGGCTCGTCCAAGGCATGCACAATGATGAAACTTACGTCATCATGCTATGTGCGATGCAAACAGATGTAAGAAGCACGAAACCCCATGCTCCTTGTTGCTGCAACTTTTCTGACCAAAAAACACAAAGGCGCTGCTAGGCGACAGGACAGCTCTCGCTATGCATCGGCGAGGCCTTGAAGCGCTCTCACAAATGATGACCGGTCGCCTGGACGAGTATTGCACGTCAATCAAACCTAAGTAAGTCAAGAAAATCACCAATTCGTAATCGGATTGATAATAACGAGCTAGGGTTGATTTCTTCGTCACAGAGGCTACCAAGTCTCCTCCTCCTTCTCCTGGCAGCGAAGATCCTAGCCATCTTCTGGAACGGCTTTATTACCCGACCGCACCATATCCTGACCAAGTGATGCAGACGATATGCTCCCTTCCAGCAGGCCTGCGAGACCTAGCGCTCCAGCCCAATGGAATGAGCCTCGAGATGATCAACTGGTGGGCCGCTCTCCTACAGTGGCTGGCCCAAGTCAACTCTGGCTCGCCATTCGACTCGGATTTCTTCGACATGCATTCCTCCTACACCCAACTGTGGCACATACTCGAACGCCTCGATCCCCACTCCGCATCTCTCGAGCGCTGCAGCTGCATCGGAATATACCTCCACATGGCAAGCCTATACTACCGGCACCTCGTCTACACCTCAGCCGTATTCATCACCTTACGCGCCGAGGCAACAGACACCGTGCGACGATACCACCCTCGAAACCCCGCCGAGCGTGACTTCCTCATCTTCCACGGTGTCAAGATCTTCAAGCATTGGCGGACGACTGGTCCGGAAGTGCCGCCCGAGGGCGTGGCATTGCTCACAAACCTGAAGCGGAGGTTCCCGGAGGTAAGGCAGTGGGATGCGCTGTTGGTAGTTCTAAATAAGTTTCCCTTCTTTGGCCCAGATATCCATGAGTGGAAGGACGTCTGGATGCAGGCGTCCATGTAGGTTGTCAATCTGATAGAGCAGTGTGGCTACATCAACATCTCCATTGTTATTGTCGTGCCAGCTACAGAGTTGGTCTGCCTGGCTCTCAACTGTGGACCATTGAAATCTGGAGCAGCAAGGACTAGGTAGGCAGTGATAGTAGCTCAGGATCGATCGATGTAGAGAGCAGGACCAGCCATCGTTCATGGGAAGACGATCCTGAGGAACTGGCCTCCTGTTCGGGCTTTTTAGGCAGACACGCGAAATAGCATGGCAGAGAACGAATCTAGAGCTTTTCTAATATCAAGGATAAGAAGACACCTAGACAATTGGCTGTCCATGACTCATGTACATAGTTCACATATCGAAAGGATGAGTTTTCCCTATTGTTTTACATATAGCCATGTTTACATTTGCAAGTTTACATGGTGATGGAATAAATTTGTTCGTTTCCCGGGATGCCACCTCCACCTCAGGTCATTCGGCCCAACTTCCTCAAGGATCGTTCCTCGACTAGTTGGCCGACTGTGGGAATGGAGTGCCTAGGCAAATAAGGGTTCTTCTTGTGTGTCCACCATCTATGATTGTGGTATATGGACTTGTATACCTTGGGACTTGTCACTGGCCTGATCTAGGTCGAGATGGATGGTTGCTTGACGATATCTTCGGTGAACGCTTCGAACAATCAGTATGACCTATGGACGGTGCTGTCCGGATCTCATCACTGCGGACAATGCGACTGGACCACGTGGTCGTGCGTGCCTATAGGAGGCTTTGTTATTAACAGTGATAGTATGAAAAGTAGGGAGAGCGTTTTTGTTCACGGATGTTTTCTGGCCGAAGCAAACGCCTCTCTGACCCGAGGTAAACTTGTACTGGAACCTGCTGTGTTCTTACTACATCACATCTGTTTCATTCCCTACTCTGTAGACTGAACATTCATCTTCGGGGACTTGTTTGTTTGGTTGCTCTACGCTTACATGGAGAAGAAAAGCTTCCAGCCACACGAAAAACCAACAGACACACAAACACACACAGACAGCAAGACTCAGAAAAGCACCCCTTTTTCATGAAATGTTTTCCACCCGTTCTTCTCTAGAGTTCACACAACCATCTTGAGGGAGACATTACTGGCCAATTGTAGACACACCCACTGTTGAGATGTAGTTGGCAACAGTGCTGATATGTAGAAAGGTTGGAGGATCCCCTCCCCGATTACAGACCGCCGCTGGTGAGGTGAGCGATTCCGAGCCACTGTATTTCTCCGGTTGAGGCTTGCTAAAGCGGTCTAGCTGCCGATATCCAAGCTCGCCAATCCGAAAAGGTCGAACTGGAGGCAGGGTCGAGTGCGCCATGGCGATCAGAAAAAGAGATAAGCTATGAGGAAGCTGAGCAGGCATAAGCCAGCGACAATCTGTAGAGGCACTCCGGATTCGTTGCTCTGTTGCACGATAGTCTGGACCTTCTCATTTGCCTCGGCGGCTTTTCGTTGGCGGAATTGCGGGTCTTGCACCTGGTTGCTGAGTTTTTGGATCTGGGCCTTTGCAGCTGCCAGTTGTTCCTTGAGTTCCTCATTGGAGACAGGCAAAGCATTGGAGACGGCGGCGGCGGCGGTGGTCAGGCCAGTGGCCTCGGAAGAACTGGCGACAGCAGATTTGGCGGACTCAGCGGCGCTGGAAGATCCTCTGCCAGGGGTAGAAGCGGCAGCAGCTGGAGAACCGAACTGTGGGGAAGGGGAGGAGTATGCTGGTGGCTGTTCATCGTGGGAGGAAGAAACACCGTTGGGAGTGGCGGCGGTCGCAGGCAGGAAGTTGACGCGGATCTTGCGCTCTTGAATGGATTGTTTGGCAGTCTTCTCAACGGTTTGCCAGAGAGTCGTCACGTTGGGATCCTGGTCGGAAGACGTGAGGACAGACTGGACGAGGAACTTGTCGCGGCATTTGGCGTCGAGAGGAGGCTCTTCTTTCATCGCTTGCAGGAGAACTGAGACTGGTCAGCAGCTGAAGGTGGTGACTGGTAGTTCGTGGTTTGTATTGAGCAATCAATGGCCAGGACAGCGGAAGACTGACCTTGAACCTCAACAGAGTCATTGGGTTGGATGATGCCAGAATTCGGTCGCACACAGTATCTTTGGAACAGTCAGCGGTGCACGAAGTGGGATGAGGGATTGATGGGAGCATACTGTTTAGGAGCCGTGGTCTTGACCTGTTCGACAAGTTGGTTAGTGGTTGGGTCTGGTTGGTGTGCAATTCAGCGGGGGAGTGGGAGATGTTTACCTTGAAAGCGACCGGGGCAGAGTTGGGATTGGCGAGTTTGAGAGTCTCGGTGACCTCGCGATCAAAGGGGCCTATACAAGTGTCAGTATCCTCTGCGCAGGGGTGACTATGGCGGCGGGAGCCAGTGGTGGTAGAGGTGCGGGAACGAAGTACTGACGTCTGAAGCCCAATTCGGCTGGAATGAGTTCAACGGACATGGCGATGGCCGTGAGTTGGGATGGGTGTTGATGGAAAACTGAACAGGAGCAGCGAACGGAGAGGGCGATGGCGGGAACAGCGTGAGGTTGTGAAAAGTAGTCAGTGGCGGCGATGTTGGGTAATTGATGGTACTGGAGGTGGGAGTGGGTGAGTTGAGACAACTTGGACTTTGAAGTTGAAGTGTCCGCTTGGGATTGTTCAGCAGTGCCGCACCCGAGCAGAAGCACCGGCACTGGGCATGGGCAGTCTGGCACCCACGGGCCCCTCCGCCACAATAATCATCACTTAATCGATCAATCAGATCCCAGCAGGCAAACCGACCATCCAGGAGCCTGGCACAGCGTGGGTGACAGAGTATGTCCTTCTGATTATTCAGATGATTATTACCTGGGTTTAACTAGCTGCCTTGGAGTTCGGGGGAGGGAGATTAGGGGAGAGGGGGCCTGGGCGAGTGCTCGAGGGGCCCCTTCGCGCCTGGAGGCAGTGGTGGCAGTGGTGGCAGTGGAGGCACCTTGAACGGTGTGGCGGGCTACTAGTGTTCCTCCGTACAGAATGCGCTGCCGAATACAATGCTCCGCCGTAGCTAAGCTGTTAGTCATCGGTGCCTGGCAAGTGCCTTCTCGCCCACAAAGCCTTGGCAGGAAATGCAGGCAATGACGCCAACTGCAACTCAACTCCGAGAAAGTGTCCCGCGGTCAGTGTACGTTTATGTACAGTTGCCATACCAAACCCCAAACGCCGACCTCGCCCTCGCCCTCAACTTCACAATCGCCCCTTCGACTTGGTCATTTTTCTCTCTCGCTTCACCCAGTCCCCTCGTCATAGATCCTTCTCTTCTCTCTAAAATAGAACCTTCTCTCCCCCTCTTTGGAAAACCTCCTCTTCCGTCTGACACCACTAGGACTACCGCTGCCTTCCCACTAGACAAGTGCCTACAGCCAGGATGGCACCTTCAGATCTCGACCAACTGCTCATGATGGGGTTTGACAAAGCGCGAAGCGAACTAGCTCTCGCGAAGTCCGGAGGCTGCAAGTCACTCCTCTCCAACAGCCAGCGCTCAAAGGTTTGCTGACCGAGTTGAGCAGTGACAGACGCCATCGACTGGCTCGATGCCAATGCCGACAAATCCATTGACGATATAAAGGCCGAAGACCAAGCCCAGACTGCAGCCAAAGCTGCCGAAGCCGAAGCACAGGCCAAAAGCCTGGTCTGCAACGAGTGTGGCAAGAAGTTTCGAGGAACCGCCCAAGCGGAATTCCATGCCTCCAAATCTGGCCACACCGACTTTGCAGAGTCCGTCGAAGAGATTGCCCCTCTGACCGAGGAAGAAAAGCAGGCGAAACTCGCCGAGCTACGCGACAAGCTGGCTGCCAAGCGGCAAGTACAAACAGACCAAGACAAGGTCGATCAGAAGCGGAATGAACAAATTAACCGGAAGAAGACCAAGGAGACTGAGGACATGAAAGAACAGCTCAAGGTCAAGGAACAGATCAAGGAGGCAGAGAAGAAGAGGGCAGAGAAGCAAGCCGACATCGAGGCCAAGAAGCGAATCCAAGCTAAGATTGCGGCGGACAAGGAAGAACGACGACTCAAAGCTGAACGTGAGAAGGCCGAGAGAGCAGGAGTAGCCCCGCCAGCAGTCCCGCCAGCCACGGTGGCTGCGGCGCCAGCTGCATCGGCATCCAAACCCGCGTCGGAGTACAAAGAGACCAGGCTGCGGCTGCAGACGGAAGGCGGCAACATCGTGAAGACATTCCCGGTAGAGACAACCTTGTTTGAAGTGGCAGCGGCAGTGGGAGATGAGACAGGGAGAGACGTGGAGAGCTTCACCCAGAATTTTCCCAGGAAAGTGTTCAACCAGGAGTTCTTTGGAGAGACATTAAAGGACCTGAAGCTAGTGCCCAGTGCCAGCTTGATTGTGAAGTAGGTCGGCCCTTTTCTCGATTGTCCATAACACAAATGCGCTGATCTTCTGGCGATGGAGTCCTGGGTCATGGGAAGGGGTAGCATTTCATTTCATTGAACAAGAAATGGTTCGAATTCCGGCAACGGATGAATTAAACCAAACCAAATGGAGTTGAATTGAGCTGACGTTAAGCGTGTAAAAGGAACTATCCATTGCCCTGGTAGATAGGGAATTTTGGGAGGGACAGCCCTGGATCTATTGTCTACTGTAGATACGAGTACGAGGACTTCCATACGGAGTATGTCTGTGTGTACTACGAGTGCTATACATACTCGGAGGGACCCAAGGCTCCACGTGTTTTTAGCTTTGACACGTGCCATGACCGGTTGGAAAAACAAGCAGGCGCGAAGAGTACGAGAAGAGCCCCTGGCCCTGCCTCTGCGGCCCTGGCTGGACGCCATCCCCTGCAGGCTGCAGTCTGCGTCTTGGGATAAAATCCAATTCGAACTTCGACTTCCCTTGCCCCACCAGAATGGCCTGATATTTTGCCATCTCTGCCATTGCTATTGCCATTGCCATTGCCATTGATGTATCCGTGTACCTCCTACGACTACGACCTAGGCACTCCGTACTTGTTCACAGCATCACCATAAATACAATGCTGGTCATTGTGCTCCGCAACAACTCTTCCTGATCAATACCGCCTATCTCACTCATCCTTACCCGTTCAAGCATGTCAACGGCCACCGAAATTCGCTCCGTCACTCGGAGTCGACAGACACTCCAGTCTCCCGCTCAAGCAGCCGTTGAAACCTGGCCGGAGAAGGAAAAAGACGGCCAGAGAGCTGAATCTCAATTGCCTGAGGACAAGTTCTTCTGGACATACACCGAAGAGCCTCACCGCACCAGACGCCAGGCCATCATCAAAGCACACAGGGACATCCTGAAGCTGTGTGGCCCTGAGCCTCTGACAATCTACACTGTCACCTTGGTAGTGCTGCTGCAGGTCACCTGTGCTTTATTGCTCAAGGACTCGCCTGTATTGTCCTGGCCATTCTTCCTGACTGCTTATATTATTGGAGCCACAGCCAACCAAAACCTCTTTCTGGCCATCCATGAAATCAGCCACAACCTTGCCTTTCGCACCCCCATCTACAACCGTCTATTTGCCGTCTTTGCCAATCTCCCTATCGGTCTGCCCTACTCTGCAGGCTTCCGCCAATACCACCTTACTCATCATAAATCTTTGGGTGTCGACGGACTAGATACAGATCTCCCCACCGCTCTGGAGGCCGTCTTTCTCGACTCTGTGTTTGGAAAGGCCTTTTTCTGCACCTTCCAATTGATTTTCTACGCCATCCGGCCCATGATGGTCTATCAGATCCCCTTTGGGTCGATCCATTATTGCAACATAGCCGCCCAAGTTATTTTCGACTATCTGATTGTCAGGTTCCTTGGACCAAAAGCACTGGTGTATCTCCTCCTCAGTTCTTTCCTGGCGGGATCTATACATCCATGTGCTGCACACTTTATTTCCGAGCATTATGTCTTTGCCAAATCTACTCTCCCAAACGGGAAGATGCCCAGAGATATACCGATTCCCGAAACGTATTCTTACTATGGTATTCTGAACATCCTCACCTACAATGTCGGCTACCACAATGAACACCATGACTTCCCTGCCATTCCTTGGACCAAACTTCCTCAAGTCTATGAGATAGCCCGGGAGTTCTACGAGCCTCTGCCGTGTCACAGAAGCTGGCCGTTGGTACTGTGGCAGTTCATCACCGACAATGAGGTGGGCTTGTGGTGTCGGGTGAAAAGGGCTGAAGGCGGTCGAATGGTTGGCGGCTGGCAAGACGGTGAAGTACAGAGTTAAATGCATCGTATCCATCATATGCATCGTATACAGAGATAACTAGGTAATATCCTCGAGTGAACGGAATTATAGACACAGTACGACTCCTCCAGCTATATTGCTATATCATGTGCAATTCGTGTCGTGCCTGCATCTTGACGTACCTGCCTCAAGACCCAACGCACATTTCTTCGTCACTGTCACTTGATTTCTGCCATTCCTCTCCCTCTCTCGCATTGCCACTTACTGATGCCCCTCATCCACATCCTCATCCACCCTGCGCTTTTGGCAAAACATGCCGCCAGCGAGATCCAGGCGAATGATCCGTGGCTCTTCCCAGACCGAGACCCCATCTTCTTGGAGTACGTCCCATCGTCGCTCAGAGAATCCTCGACCAAATCGATCTCCGCGATCCTCTGCTTCTGACCCAGCCCATTCTCGAAATGGGCTCCCTCGACCCAACATCGTCTCCGTACAAGACGCGAATGAGGACTTCATGGAACAGATCATTGTTGCAGTCGACATGAGGGACACGGGCACCGTGGGCTGTGCCTATTACATCGCAAGCGAGGAACGCCTCTTGTGCATGGAAGAAATAAATGGTGGAGGCGTTGATGTGGTCGAAAAGTGTATGTTTCCCCGGCTTCCCATGCCAATACTCATCTCCGACAGTGAAGATTGACCTGCAGCCTACCACCCTCCTCTTGTCTACGCGCTCGGATTCTGCCCTCAATCAGATCAACGGACACCCGAGACAACGCCACTCGTCCCTGGTCAAGAACGGTGGGTCTGGCTCCTGCACACCGTTTGTATTTTGACAAATTCTAGATGATGGCCACAATCCGCTGCCTTACGATTTGGAGATCCGACCTTCGGCTGAGTTTGAATTCAACAGTGCATTGAATAGACTGCTCGCCCTGCAGTTCACCCTGGATCCGGGGAAGAATGTTCAATTTCTGGTTCCTGGGCCACCTGCCTCATACGACCAAGATTTGTTGCCAGAGGACCTGGGCTTATCGACACGAAAAGGACGATTTCTCCAGTTATCCTCATATCTCAATCTGGACAATAGGATCAGCCTCGGATGTGCTGGGGCCATTGCCGGTCATTTGCAAAGAAAACGAGCTTCAGAATTCTTGCCTGATGATCCCAATGCAAATCTAGTGTGGCGGGTCACTGCCCTGGACATGTTCAGTTTGAAAGACACCATGATGATCAATGCAGACTCTCTCGCGTCCCTTCAGATCCTCCAAGGAGAGTCCCACCCCAAAACCTTCAATCAAGGTCCTGGCACATCGGGTACCAAGGAGTCTTTATCGCTATTTGGTCTCTTCCAAAACCATGCACGTACCTCTCAAGGTAAAGCTGCTCTCCGTCGCAGCTTTCTGCGCCCAACTCTCAACGTGGATGAAATTCAGGGTCGCCTTGACTTCATCTCCGTCTTTGTTCGCCCGGATAACCAGACCAACTGCCAGAAACTCAGTAAAAGCCTGAGCAAAGTGAAAAACATGCGAACGACGATCGTCTTGCTCCACAAAGGCATCGATGGCGGAAGGCAGAAGCAAAGTACTTTCAAAGGTGGTGTCTGGTCATCCCTGATAGAATTCTGCTACCACGCAATAGATGTCGTAGAGACGCTTGGTGAGGTCCTTGGTGCATCGCAATTGCCTATCTGTGCGCGTGTGTTCGACACCCTCGACCGCTTTCACATGCAGCGAATCGGCCACATCATCTTTGAAACTGTCGACCTCGAATCTTCAGCTGATCAGCACCGCACTGTGGTCAAGAGAGGTGTCAATGACCAGCTTGACGAGGTTAAGAATGTCTATGACGGGATGGACGACATGCTCTCGCGGAAAGCCATCGAGATTGCTAGCCTGTTGCCCCTTGGAGTGAACATTGCTCTCAATGTTATCTACTTCCCGCACCTTGGATTCCACCTGACGGTGCCGCTTGATAAAATCACGGGGCAAGCGGTCTATGATGGGGCGGACCTTGGCTGGGAGTGTATGTTCACCACAACGAACCAGGTTTACTTTAAGGACAGCAACACTCACGAGATGGACCACGACCTCGGTGATCTTTATGCCGTCATTTGCGATTACGAGATCGAGATAGCGCATGATCTTGCACAAGATATCTTGGCGCATGAAAAGTTACTTATCACAGTATCGGATCTCTGTGGCGAGTTGGACTGTTTGTTGGCGCTAGCACATGCGGCCCGTCAATACAAATTGACGCGACCACAGATCACGGAAGAGAACATTATTGAAATCAAAGGTGGCCGACATCTCCTGCATGAGATGAGTGTTCCAGCCTTTGTGACAAATGACACGCTCTTGGTGGGAGGCGGATGCGGAGAAGATGACGCCGGCAGTAGTGCGGCTTCATCGAAAACAGGGCCGAGTATGATCCTACTGACAGGGCCGAACTACTCGGGGAAATCAGTCTACCAAAAACAGGTTGCCCTTGTGGTCTACATGGCCCATGTAGGCAGCTATGTGCCAGCTGCATGTGCAACCATAGGCATCACAGACAAGATCCTGACCCGCATTGCCAGCCGCGAGACGGTCTCCAAGGTCCAGTCGGCATTCATGATTGACATCCAACAGACTGCCATCGCACTAAGCTCATGTACGCGGCGAAGTCTTGTGGTCATTGACGAGTTTGGCAAAGGAACGGACACTTGCGATGGTGCTGGCCTTGCGGCAGGGCTGTTCTGTCATCTGCTTTCGCTAGGTCCTGACGCTCCCAAGACTGTCGCTGCAACGCACTTCCATGAGATCTTTGATCTGGGACTGTTTGACAGGTTTGCTAATGTTGCCTTCGCGCACATGGAAGTCCGTGTAAGTAAACAAGGTGATGGATACACTGCTGGGAAGCACGATGTTGAGGTAGCATATCTCTATAATCTTCATGCGGGCAAGAGTGACCTTTCTTACGGCGCGCAATGCGCAGCGTTGAATGGAGTGCCCGTGGAAGTGGTGGAGAGGGCAGCTCAACTGGCTAGGATGTCGGGGAGGGGTGAGGACCTGGTAACGACGTGTTCGACGTTATCAGAACGCGACGGCGAGGAATTATGGGATGCCGAGTCAGCAGCCCGAAAATTCTTAAGCATGAGGTTTGACGAGAAAATGGTCGAGGTTGAGCTCATGGGTGCTCTCGACTCCATGCTTGGACCTGTTGATGAAGAACCCGATGAACTTTCTGTCCTTGCGTCTTGATCGCTCGGGCATCTTGCTGCTCAGTTCGTACTCGCCGGGACAGTGGACTTGAGGCCTCTCTGCTTACCCCAGGCCTTGCATTTCCAAATGAGATCGGGAACGGCAAATATAACCACAATTGAGCCAAGCCAATTCCAGAAAATGTCCAGAAAGCCTCCCCGCGCACTGCCACCCATACCCGCACCCTTCATCAGATGCCCCAAAAAGGTCGTTGTGACCATATAGTCGCCCGCCTCTAATCGCTTCAATGTAATCTTGGCTACATCGTCGGGCGTCTGTGGTTTGTCATCCTCCTCCAGCTTCACCGTGAGCTGTGGCTTGAGCCTGTTCTCGTTCTCGAGCCCAGGCGTAACAATCCCCATAGGGAACACTATGTGAACATTAATGTCAGCGTCCGGCGCTGGTCCCTTCCCCTGCCTCGACCCATTGTAAACCGCCACCTCTTGATTCAAGCCATCGACCATCGCACGCATCGCAGCCTTTGCCGGCGAATACGGTGAGTAGCCTGCCACAGGCACGAACGCGAGGGTGCTGCATGTGAACACAATATGGCGCGGTGGAAACGGCTTTCCGCTGGTCTTGCTACCATCATTCGAGGATAAGGATGGTTCCTTCCACAAATTCAGCACCGCATGCGCCATATACGCACTTGACCAATATATCGTGTCCATCTGGCCACGCAGTGTATCGATGCTCGCGTCAGCTAAGAACGCTGGGTGGCAGCTACCGGCGCAGCAGAACACGAGATCCGGGGCCCGGCCCTGGTTCCAACTCGTCACTTGCTTCAGGATCTCTGGTGCTGAGTCGGGAGAGCGCAGGTCGAATGACAGGTTGAGAAACTTCTGCTCCGCCGGCCTCGCAGCAGCGGCCTGAATCTCCTGCTGTGCATTGTCTAGCTTCTCGATATCCTGCGCCACGATCACAACATTCGCGCCCTTCGCTGAGAGAGCTCGCGCGAGAGAAAAACCCAGCCCCTGTGAACCCCCAGTGACGATGGCGGTCAACCCTGCCACGGGGAAATGGTTTTTTCGGGATTTCCAGAGCATGAGGAATAGGTACCGACTGATGACGATGACGACGAAGGAGATGGTGTATAGAATGTATGGGTTTCGGAGGGTGAGAAGGCGGAAGAATTGCATTGCGGTGCGAGGAAAGGAAATAACAGCGGTCCGTGGTGATTTATGGGTGTACAGGGACAGGGAAGGGGGCAGGGCAGGATAGAGTAGGCTGCAGTGGAGTTTTGATTGCTCTTTGTCTTCAATCGGGTAGGCTACTTGAAGTCCATGATTGTTGACATTACTGTATGGACTTTGGAGTTTGGAGGCCTTAGGTGAGATTGCAATTGGAACTGATCGCTAATGGGGTCCCCGAATACACCGTACTTGGCATAGCGATGGTTGATATTCGGATAATTTCTTGCCTCGGATCGGAATAAACGCCCACCGAAACCTCTTGGTGCGTCATTGCACTTGGCCGGGAATCACGTGCCTCCGATTTTCTGAAAAAAGTATTTTGGAGCCCTTGCGGAGGTGGGAAGTCCAGATTCCAGATTCTAGACTCACTCCTTCTTGCGCATTTTGAACTTGGTAGAGGACAAAGTGGCTGCGATGGCAAAGAAGAGAAAGGCTGGGAGAGCAACCGGCAATCCTGTCGTGACCCGGAACGACGACCTTGAAGACCACTTCAACGACTCTGAGGATGAGTTCTTCGCCGGCCGCGACAAAATCCTGCTCGATGAGGAGCCTACTGCAAAACGACGACGCAGACTGCAGGAGCAGGAAATCGATCTGCAATCCTCTGACGAGGAAGTTTTCCAGAACCTGGATCCTCTATCGAATGATGATGATGACGAGTCTGATGAAGATCTTGATCTCGACCCTCGTGATGTGGAAGATGCTGCACCGGTCGAGGAAGAGGACGAGGACGAGACAGCGGATAGGTTCTGGGGTGCTTCCAGAGGAGATTATTACAATACAGACGTCATAGAAACCGAGGCAGACGCCCTGGAAGAAGAGGCCGAGGCCAGGAGACTACAACAAAAACAACTGAAGTCCATGACCGACGCGGACTTTGGCTTTGATGAATCAGCCTGGATTGATGTTGCCACGCAGGCAAGCAACAGTCGAAGGCGACCGGCTGTGGAGAAACTACCTGAAGTCCAGGTCCCTGAGAACGCCTCCAAAGAGGAGCGTCTGCAGATGCTGAAGTCTCGATACCCCGAGTTCGAGCCGTTGACAAGTGACTTCCTCGAGCTGCAGAACACCTACACATCTCTGAAGGAGAAGGTGCAGACCATCGGCAATTCCATACCTACCGTCACTTTGACCAAGTTCCTTGCTCTCTCCGCTTATATGGGCTCCGTTGCGATGTATTTAGCAGTCTTGACCTCGCCCCAATCGGGTATCGCTCTGAATCCGGTGGAACTGCATGATCATCCAGTCATGGCCGCCATTTTACGGAGTCGCCAATTGTGGCTCGACGCGCAGGATCTAAAAGAAAAAGCGGTGCAGCATCAGATCGAGCAAAAACAAGGACAGGAATCATTGACACTGCCTATTGCAATACAGCCCAAGTCTACAACCAAGGACAATAAGGTCAAGGTGAAGGGCGCATCTCCTTCACCGAGTTCAAACCCTGTCAATTGTACCACCACAATCCAAAAACCCAAGAAACCCAGCAAAGTGAAACGAAACGACCTGCAAACTCTGCTCGCTGCTTCACTGCACAAGTCCACTGCCGAGGAAGAGCCCAATTTCGGAGACGAAGCACCACTGACGAAAGCCGAGGCCGAAGAGAAAGCAAGAAAGAAAAAGAGTCTTCGATTCTACACCTCTCAGATTGCGCAAAAGTCAAACAAACGCGGTGTGGCGTCTCGACATGCTGGAGGAGACGACGACATCCCACACAAAGAACGCTTCCGAGACCGGCAGGATCGCCTCATGAGGGAAGCCGAGCAGCGAGGGCAGTCTGGCACGAATGATCTGGAAGTTGTTGACACAGATGACGAGGACCTCGTGGGAGTCCGGCAGAATCATGCCGAATCGAACAAATACTACGACTCGCTAGTGGCGAACTCTAAACAGAAAAGGCTAGACAAGCAGAACAAGGCAGACGCATATGCCGAGGCGTCCAAGTCAGGCGGGCAGGTCTATGAAGAAGAGCAGATCGACATTGACGGTAAACGCAAGATCACATATGCTATTGAGAAGAACAAGGGCCTGGCACCGAAGAGGAAGAAGGATGTCAGGAACCCCAGAGTCAAAAAGCGCAAGAAGTACGATGAGAAGATGAAGAAGTTGAGCTCCATCCGCCAGGTCTACAAGGGCGGCGAGGGCCGCGGCGGCTATGGTGGCGAGGCCACTGGTATCAAGACTAATCTGGTCAAGAGCACTAAGCTGTGATGTCAAAATCGAACGTCGCAATTTGAGCAGACCATCCGAACCATGAGACCTTTGTCCTTGTTTCCTTGAGTTGTATTGCGATGTGCTGAGATGACCTTTCCCGGCCGAGAAGCAAAATTCGGTTTCGTGGTACAATGCTGGGTTCATCGACAAACTCGAAGCGCTTCAACCGCGAGGGTTTGTGCGATGCGATGCAGTGATCAAGTCATATCCCTGTTGACGCTGAGAGCCCCGTGTGTGGCTGTCGTCTGCTCTGGTCTATAAAGGGCTTGTTGATATGGCTAAATTCACACCACAATGAGCGGACAGTAATTCGCTATTGTCTTGCGGGGCCAATTTCAACAGCGTACGTGTGAAGAGTTTAGCTGGTCCCTTCTTTTCGCTTGCTCAGAGGACCGTGCTCTCTCTGGAGCGCCGTTAAGCCTCCATGTTTTCGTTCGTGCATGGCGCAGCATGGATCTGCCAGTATTTCCGAAACGTCTTTGAAACGCTCCGGTCGTCCTCTTTCGTATGATACTCTGGGTGCGTGACACATTCATCCAGCAAGCCGGTCTTCGCACCAGTTTTCTGATACTCCAGAAAGCTTTCAGACACCTTGACATACTGATGTACCCCTTCGTGGGCGTCGATGGTGGAGCCTGTCGTCCAGCCAAGTAATAAGGGCTCGATCAACGGCGCATCGGTCACCGATGGATGGGAGGTACCAACTATTATCTAGTCAATGTCGCAAAGACTTTAGTGACAGGGTTCAATGAACCTACGCGACGTCAAGAACCAGGCATCTTTGCCACGAGCCAGGATGCCTTCGACCAAGTCTTTGACCACGTCGAAATGCGGCCTGCCAAAGAAGATGGACCGTGTCCGGGACCAAGAGTTCGAATGAACTACTAGAGCTGGCACACGGACATCGTCGTTGAGGCGGCCGCTGGATTTGCCACTTGGGGATTAATTTGTCAGTCTTGCACGCCGGATTTTCACCAGTGGGATGTGAGATTCCAGCTTACGGATCAAGAACGACAGCACCCCCAAACGGGAGAGCGGTGGAAGGCCCATCCTTCAGAGTTTGCAGCTGATGAATAGATGAGAAAATGCTCCATTGTGGGGATCAATCGGTCAAAAGCTGAACTCACCGCAAGTGTTGCGCCAAATGAATGTCCTCCGATCGTAGCATTGTTGATAGCAAGTCGTCCTCGCCAGCCTTTCAAATCTTGCCCCTCTCCACGCAAGTTTCCAGCGAAGATTTGATCGCCCCGACCTTCGTCTATGTGTCGCAGCACTCGCACCGTTTCCTCAATCTCGATCTGTCGAAAATCAAGCTGGGCTTGCTTAAAGGATGCTCCATCGAGTCCGGAATCATGTCTTTTTGCCATGTTATTAAGATGTATTCAAGCCATCCGGTTGCGGAAATACTCTCACCTTAGATGACGAAGAGCAAACATCAGTCGATGTTCGTGCTCTGCGTTCTGCCTCATGACAATACTTCCAGGCGCGCTCCCGTCGCGGTGTTCCAATGCCGCGACAACGAATCCCCGACTGGCGAGTTCCCCAAGGTATCGGGTATATTGTGTCCGAGAGCTTGCGAAGCCATGCGAGAACACCATGACAGGAAGGCTATCGCTGCTCGTAGAGAGAGCATGAGCTGTGTTGCCTGGTGTCTGGACCTCGGACGCAAGACTTCCGTGCAGAGGAACGTCGACCTGTGCTGGAATCGTGGTCCTTCCAACCAACACCCAAAGTGCGAACGTGAAGATCGAGTCTGTCACAGTATTGCTGATGTGTGCAAAGCGAGCATACCCTGCACCTACAATCCCCAGTGGCCGGGGGACCCAGAGATGTTGTGGCTTGGTGGAAACAATGCCTTTAGTAGCAGGGTAGTAAAGCGTGAAGAGCACCGTTTCAACCTGATGATGATCGTATTGTTTCAGTCCCCCTCCCGCGTCCTGTACGAGAAACTCCAATTGCAACTGGAACGTGAGGCCCAAATAGTACTCACCTGAAATGCCGGCTCATTATCATGCTTGAATCTCGCCTCGTGAGCTCTCCGTGCTTCGACCGGGGCTTCGATGTCTATCGCCCCAACGGCATGTGGCCCAGTGTAATGAGGCAGCTTCGACGAAAATAGAGGGGACGCAAACAAGAAGCAATAGATCAGATATGTTGCTGCCGTGACACCGAGGGCATATCTCCACGTCCATCGCGGACGCAGAACTGGCGCGAGACGCAGCATTTGTTTGGTGAATGTTAGAGATTTCTGCACACTACGTCTGAGGCTGGACAGTTGAGCTTCACAGTAGAAAGAATATGTATCAATATCAGTCTCGAGTCTAGGTCGTCTCGGTCGTCTGGACGCGTGGCGTACGAGTAAGCCGGGCAGGCCGGAAGATTAGTTTGGCCGGCGCTGGAATGCTGACGTCACTCTCAAGGCACACCGTTTTGGAATGGATATCCCTGATCCCTTATCAAGGTCAACCTTTGATTCGACTTCGCTTGATTTTGCTCAAGACGGGCAGCTGGGTTGTTCTTGCGCCTCCACTACTGAAAGTTACTGGAAGGGCTCTACTCATGAGAACGTCCAACGCCAAGACAGAGTAATATAGCTCAGCCCCATCTACATTACCCTCGATTGGGGTGGTGACCCGATACTAGAAAGTTGCACAACTTTGTGGATGTATTCGTCTCAATACGAGCTGTTGCAGTTCACCACCGTCCATTTAACTCCTCTCGCTTTCACTAGTGCGCAGGCTACCCAGGTCTGCTCGCGCTTCAGGCCTCACATCACTGCCCCTTCCGTCTGATGACGCGCTCGCAGCCTTCTCTAGATCCAGCGTCTGGTTTTCCAAACGTCGTTCTTGGGCTTTGCGCGCTCCCTCAGCCAGTCGCTGACAAGTTTTCCACCTGAAAACTCGTGCGGCAAGGGGAAACACCGAGGTATTCACAACCCACCATGCCACTAGGATCCCAATATGTCGTCCCATGTGCTCAGGGGTAAGATCAAAGAGTACAACCCGCGTTGCCTTGACCACGTTGTAAAGCGGAAAGAAAAGGCCGTAACCGTACACTCCGGCTGCCAGCTCAAGAGGGTAGAATGCTGTGCACACATTGGAGATGACCCAAAAGATCAGCCAGATTGCCGTGAATGGCTGTCCAACGACCATTGCCACGTTTTCACACGCAAAACCAAGTGCACACATGCCGAGATAATTGATGGCCCAATATACGACAAACGATGCATGCCCATATCCATTGACTGACATCCCTGCTGGAGGCGGGTCCACATGGGAATATGACTGACCAGAGAACGGAATTTGAAAGGCTAGGCTCACGAATGAGTAGGAAAGCGACATGAACGCGTACGCAATGAAGGTGGACATATACTTCCAGAATACCAACTGGCCGAAGTAAAGTTTGCGATGATACGTGTCCGAGCCTGGGCTGCACTGAGCCGTGAAGAGGGTATGAGTAGGTAGAAAGAAGGTGTATGAGAAAAAGGCGATGATAATGAGATAAATAAGCCCAACGGTCACCGCTGGTAGGACTTGTGATGGACCGAAGGGGCGAAGATTGATTGTGGTAAAGCCAATTGCAGGGGACAGTGTCTGTGGGGGAAGCGTTGTAAGGGTGGTCCCGTTGGCGATCAGTCCCAGAACTTCTGGAATCCATCCGTCGGCAAAGGCGGAAGACACACGGTGCTGGAAAGCGTTCAGCTCCGGTATGATATAGCTGTTTATGGCTACCTGATCACGAGCTTCGACATAGATCGTTTGGCAAGCGTGCTTGGGATCATACAATGCGTCGCCCCGTGTGACGGCCTGGCGAAGCAGGCTCGATGCATTCGGATTGACAATGATGGCAGAAAAGGCCTTGTTGTTGTATATGGCCTCCCTCACTTTCATCGGGTCATAGTCGAAATCAGCTGCGAGCTTAATGTGGTAGCTGATGTGAGGCTGCGGAGACGCTTCTCTTGCCCTTGCTGTCTCTATAATGGTGGAGCCTACGATTTGGGAGCTTGTCTCGTTCACAGCAGGCGCGACTCTGCCATCGAAATCGACAATCCACACATCAAGGGTATGAAGGTGGTTACGGACCGTATACAGTGAGCCCCAGAAAAGTGAGAGCACACCCAGAATACACATGCAGAGTATCAGTGCTGCAGGATATACTCAGTACCAGTCTTTATTGGTGTTGGTGAGGCTTACTTACTCGTTTGTGTCCATTCTTTTCTAACCCTGCTCCTGATGGCTCTCAGTTCTGGATGCCAAAATCCAACCCGAGTTTCCCCGTCGAACTCTCCCTTGCACCAGACTGCGACTTTGTGAAGCCACTGGCTCTCAGTATCGGAGATTGCGGTTTGGCCAGAGAGCGGGCTGCTATGTGTTGATGACCCTGCCATCCTCGCGGGTACCAAAGTGGAATGAAAGGGAGCAGGTACAATGGCAGGAAGGATGGATCTTTCTCTTCCAGCCTTTCGACTTTAGATTTTTGGTAGACTTGGAATCAAAGGCAGATGACATCGTATTTCAACAATTGGGCGACACCTTGCAAGAAGACTGATGGGATTTCCAACAAATCCTTCTTGAGCTATATTTTCCCCTTGGCATCGAGGCCTTTGCCGATTGTATGCAGTTATCGTTGTATGTAACAGCTGACAAAGAGCACGGTACGCAAGCTCATCCAGGTGTCTGCCTTGACTGTGGATCATTTACGGATCTTCCTTGCCTAAACCTTTGCCGCTGCAGCATTTGCGCAAAGCCTAAGCTCTTTCCGGGAAAGGCATCGACATGAACTCGAATGATTCTCCACCAGCGCCAATTGGTGACGAGAAAATGCCTGAGGAGCGAATTCTGCAACAGCCTTACTCTGTTGTGTCATGGGAGCTCCCGTTTCCAAAATCTCCACGACCCCGAAATGGGTGTGGATGACTAAGTCATACGGGCAGCCGCCGATTTTCACAGCTTCGACGTACGCCATATCTTGGGCTACTTGCATAGCTCGGATTTCTCTTGAGAAACATGGCACATGTCCTTAAGTTCTCTTCTGTAATGTAGGTCGAAAGTTCTCTTGTAAAGTCCTCGCTGCCACGATACGCTGGAGCCTTGCATCTCGCGAGGCTGACCAATGATTTCCATTCGCCTAAAAGTTAGCCCGATCGGCGTAAAGTAATACCGGAGATTCTTGACGGCAATCATTCTCCAGCACCTCATCTCAAGTGCTAGCTTGAGTCTCAACAGTGTTTTGGCCATCCCGTATCTCTATCTCTCCATGACGAGCTTTTGTCGCGGGGCAAACAACTTGTGCCACCGTTCTTGACTGCATAGGGGCGGCCATGAGACCAACCTGCATTCCGCCCCGGGTGAACGAAACTGCTAACAATTATCCACCATGGTTGTGACAAAAACGTCCCAGGACACTGGTGGGGCTTCTCGCAGCGTGTCGGCGTGCCACGCGTGCCGGGCGAAGAAACAAAAGGTACGGTACTGATCGTCTCCCACTCCCTCTCTGTTGGTGTCTAGCTGGTCGATTGAACATACCCGTCCCGCGCAAACGCCACTCACAAAATACAGTGCGATGCAAATAGGTCTGTTAATTCTTGTCGGAAAAACGTGGATTTCTACGTACAAAGATGGTGACTAGCGACACTTGACTCCTAGGCCGGTCTGCTATCGGTGTCGCACCCTTTCTCAGAGCTGCATATGGCCGAAGAAGCAAAAAAGGTCGGTCTCTCCAGACTATCGCACTTAGGATCCCACCACTTTTCGTAGTGTGCCCAATTGACCATCGAGCAGAGGGCCGGCGAAAGGTTATGTCGAAGCCTTGGAGATGCGGCTGAAGGAGACAGAGCGTGTCTTGTGGCAGCTTCTAACTGCTTCTACGGAAAAAGACCTGGCAACTGCCTTCACTGAGGACAGCATATGTCAGGTACCAGAAAGTCTTGCCATATCTACACTAGCCACCACCGAAGAGAAGAGGTCTGCCATAGCTTTCTGGGAGCAGTTTCCTTTGCAGAATCCCGTGGATGTTCAGACCTGGATGGAGAGCCTGGACCCGATCTCAAATAGCGAAGGCTTGCTGTTTCAGAACTCAATGTCCGGTGAAGAATTGAGTCAGGACCCGCAGCGTGTTGCGGAGGACTTAGATACCGAGTACTCAGACTCCGGTATCGCCGTACAGCATGACAGCCAGAGTGGGATTCACGCCCCAGTGCCTGCGTCGTTGTCTCATTACGATACTTCAGCGGGTCAACATGCCCTCCCATCCATCCCAACCGGATTGCAGCATTCGCAACTTGACACATCGTCGAAACAACAATCTGACAAGGATCCAGTATCCTCCGGTAGGGGTGCTGCTGCCAGGAGATTTGGTTTATCAAAGGAGTTCCAAGATATGTTTCTGTGGTAACGCAATAAATCGGTGGATATAGGGCACTATTTGTTGCTGGCGGGCAATGTTGTCTGATCAAGGGTTTCAATCCAAGGAAAATTTTAGCTTAAGGGTCTGGCACCCCCCAGGACCCCCAGTCTTGCATCGAACCCCAGGAGTTGGCCATCGACTCCCATTCAATATTGCCAAAGCCACCATTGAAATTGCCATACAAATCACCAGCAACTGGTAGAGATATAAAATCACTATCAACGCCTCCCAAATATTGTTCTTCAACACGCGCAAGATTTGGACCATTATAATCGGGGATGGCAAAATTGTTGGAGGGGCCGAATGGCGTTGGTGGGGCAGATTGAAGATGTACATTGTTGCCAAAATTGCCCGTGGCATCACTCTGCGTCAAAAGTTGATCGCTGCGATTGTCCTTTGGGCTAGACGCTCGCATGAGCGTTCCGTGATTTACTCTCTTGTAATGTCGTTGGTCCAAGTTGTCTGGTAGGCTATCACTTCTGCCGTTGACCGTATATTTGCGGCGCAAGGTCGATGTTCCCGTAGTAATCGGCTTGTCTTTCTCCGCAGATAGCTGTCTTGGTCCATTCCGGTACTGATTGCCGAGGTGTTCTAACAGGCTTTTCAAGGCTGCTGCACAATGTCGCGCATTGTTCCAAGTCTTGTCCATTGCCAATAATTCTTGAACGCAGTCTTCGATTTCCCTGTGGGGCCAATATTAGCCAGTTGCTCCGTTATGGGAAAAGAGAGTATAGTTCAAGATAGGACTTACTGCTGCGCTTTACTAAATGGATATAGCTTTAGCGTGCAAGCAAAAGATAAAACAAGACCAGCCATCCACTTCATGGAAAGCATTCCAGGCCAGGAAACTTGTAGATTCCATTGAGATTGGTGCTTTGACGTTGTGATGATCTGGCGTGCAGCAGCGATACAGTTGTTGAGGCTCGTGCGGAATTCGAGGCTATGAGGCGAAAGAGACAGGAAAGGACGATTGATCAGCAGAATGAGCTGATTGTAGATTGGAACAAAGAAAAACGTGAAAATCGAGGTGATTTCCAGTTGACCACCATTATATTCATCTTGAAGCCTGCGAGGCAACTCGTTCCACCAAGAGTGCACACTTGACTGCATTTCCATGATACTCTCTCTATTGATGGTACGATTCTGGAGCGATTTGTGGAATAGTTGCAGCGCCTGCCCTGTAAGTCGACAGTACAGAACATAGTGGCCAAGAATCTCGGAAGCTTGTCCATGATTTTCGTGAGCCTTGGGAGAACCTGGCTCATTCTTGCGGCTTTCATCATCCGCTGCGGAGCCATACACGCTTTCTTGTCCCTCGATGGCCTGATGATTGTCTGTATGAGTATGCGGAAGGTGTTCCAACACATCATCCCCACTTGTCGAATTCGATCGATGATCCTGCCGAGCATAGACTCTCTTGTGGAATTCTCCTAGCCCTGGAATGCAGACGTCTACCTCAGAATCTTGAATGGACAATGGATGGCCGAGCGCCTGACTCAGGTAGCGATCCAGGATGTAGGCAGTCCAGAAGATCCTTTTCCGCAGATTGCATTCCTCTGCAGGAATTTGAACGTAGCGACAGGGGCAGCGGTGTAAGCCTGCAAGGTAGATGACTCTTGTGAGGGTTCCGCCGATGGTTGAAGCACCGCGGAGTGACATGGTAGAAAGAAGATACAATTGCGCAGCCAAGAGTGCTTGAAGTGATTGGAGGTCATGATTGCTTGCGAGAAAGCCTAAAAGTGACAGCAACTGGGTGGGAGACTCTATGCGGGACTCAAAAGGGAGCTGCTGCTCGCGCCAGTCAAGAGCTGCGATGCTGAAGACGCACTGACAAATCACAGCCTGACATATGCGGCGCTGCAAGGAGCTTGAAGGACGGGCAGTGGATGACTCATGAGGCTCATATAAGTCAAGAATCATTTCCAACAGGCTGGGGCCATGAAGGAAGGGAAATAAAGGATGCCAATTTCGAAGGTAGATCTTCAAAAGTTTCTGTGCGACTTCCTGCTTCGGTGCAATGCCCAGTCCATGGCCCTTTATGCCGTATGCTCGTGGTGACTCATGGGGGGCATGATGGTCCGTGCCTTCAAGTTCTATCCTCATGACAGGGCTGTCATTATTGGGCTGCACAGGGGTTTCCGGATCAATCAGACGATTGCTGACCGATTCGTGATCGGCCCTGTGTGAGGACTGTTGAGGTCCACTGCTCAGATCATCATCGCCGCTGCCCGAAGCTGACCGCGCAAATGCCCGAAAAACAGTCTTGACGAAGAATACTCCACTTGCGCTACCCAAGAATTCCGTCTTCTGTGGAGAGGATGCAGTAAAAGAGCCAATTTCAATTGGAGCAATTGGTTGGGATGCCATGTGTTAGTCTCACAATGGCTCCAAACCTCTTGGAATCCGATCGTGATTGTGTCGCCGGCTCTGAGGTGTGGACCGAAGATGTCAATCTTGAGGAAGAGCAGCACCACATAGAAACGATCAGGTGTATATGTGCAAAGTAATCTGAGACATATAGGAGCTGGCACGTTTGGCCGGGGTTGATAATAGTGATGGCGCTCTTGTTTGTTGGTATGTACGAATATCTAAGAGTAAGTTGTCTCGCTTCCTGGAGGCACGCTGCTCGGCTATTTATCCATCAGTACTGCTTAGCGCGATGCTAGCAGCCTTGTAGATTAGTGCTGGCTTAGTGCTAGCTAATTGCGTCTAAGCTCCGAGCTTTGGACAGCCTTGGCTTAAGCTAAAGCGTTTTAGGCAAATAAGATTACTTGGCATTACGCCTCTAAATGCACTCTGTCCATCTCGACACCCTCGATGACATTTATCCTGGTCGATTCATTCGAAGGCCATTTCATATAGCTATCATTGCTTCGACTCGAATGCATCTCAAATTAAATCAACATGTGTGCTAACAAAGCGGGCGCTGTGCCAGATTTGACATTTTTGTCGATAACCGGGCCCGCACTCGATCATGTCAGTACGAGAGCAATGCGGGCTCACACTACAAGAGCTAATTTTGCACGACGACGACGGCGTCTAGTACGGCAATACAATGATCAAAAAGGGCGTGTCGCCCTCTCCCAGCCTCTACAGACCCAGGAAGATGGTCGAATCACGGATCACGACATCGCAGTCGAGATTCACCTCCCTATCATCAAGCATCCACGCTTGAATGGGAAATTACATGGAGAAGATGCATTCTTAATCAATCATTGTGCGTAAGAAGTGGGATGGTGTTGGTTGCATCGTTCTTCGCCGCTAACTTATGACCCTTGCATAGTGGCACAAGCAATGGGAAAGCTTCATTTAGTCATGAACAATCCAGTGTCGAATACTCCATTGGTAATAATGCAATCCGACTGGACTCACCTTCTTCCCGATCCTAAATTGTTCGATGTCACCCTATACTTTGCCGGACATGTCTATGCAGCACGACTGCGAAGTCAAGCATTTCAATTCATTCAAGACACGTACAAAGGCAGTGCAATTCGATCCGTGAGGCACCACCTAAATGATAGGTCAAATGGTCTCAGCGACAGTCTGGTCGCGAGTATACTCATATTTATAGTCATCGATGTTCGTCTTGCCATATAAATTTTTTGGTGACAGTTTGCTGATGGCAAGGTTTTGAATAGCAAACTTTGGGCAATATTGAAGGATGGAAAATCCATATCTCCGGCCTCCTCCAGGTCATCACGCTTCGTTCTCGAACTTCAAATAGTCCATCCACAGATTGGATCGCACGTGCAATCCCACGGTCTGTACACTGCCGTAGGCTGATGCGTCCGCAAAGCTGACTGTTTTCTCAAGCACAATCTTGCAGGGTCTTCTTCTTTTCACACGGCATGACCTGACATTGTTACCAACAATTGAAGAGACCGGCATATTTGACACGATTTTCTCCGGCCCCGCTAAACAGGCAGCCTACCTTATCCTCGCGAACGTGGAGGAGGTAGCTACATTGCATCATACGTATACCCCAAATCGACCATTGCCCACCAGTCAACAGTTGCAGCTTCGTTGCATTATAAAGTCTCTGAATACAGCCATTCAGTTGAACAGTACTACACAAAAAACAGAGGCGTTTCTCACGGCAAAAGCGTTGTCAATCAGGACATTCTTGGAAATAATACTGCGCTGCACTACAGAAACTGAAGAGCGCTTCGAAAACACGGCTGCTCAGCTAATGGAGGTTTTACAGGATCCCGAGCACCAGATGTGTTCTTCGCTGGCGCTTTGCTCTTCCTTGGAGTCAGTATTCTGGCAAACAATGATGGGCACAATTGCTGCTCCCGATGCCCACATTGAACGATTTTTCACCTCGAGGCTCCGGAGACTATCTATTGCCTTGGCGCTCACGTCTTGGCACGATGCGTTAGCTATTCTGCAAAGATTTCTTTGGATACCGTCTATCTTTTCTGTGCCGTGCTCTAAGATAATGTCGGAAATCCTGACCCCGCAAGGCCGCACCAGCATATAGTTCAGCGCCTTTTCTTTCAAAGACTAATTACGATGGCAAAGCGCTCTGAAATTGGGCCACTTAATGTTTGGTGGAACATCAGTGCGCAACACACTCTCAATCCGACCGCAAAGGCGTAAAGCAAGCTTGTGCGAAGCTGGAGCATACGAGCTATGGTATCTTGCAATTTGTTTGTCACTCTGAGTGATCAGAGGTCAATATCTGCTAGGTACTTGAAACTTCGGATCATCTAAGACGGGTAAAGTGCTCCAGAGACCTCCAAATGGGACGGAGGCGCCACAGCCACAAGCTTCCTTCACGAAGGTCCAGTCCTCATATCCCATCATTCTGCTGGGCAATGATCCCTGTGCTGCACAATGCCCCTTGCTTTGATGCATTTGATCCGCCAAATCAACTTGCCAGAGTTGCAGCATGTACTTCTTTGCCGACAATTCAGAGCCATTGTTTGGTTCCAAGGTGAGAAATGAAGGCACCTGAATCTCCCTTTGCGATGCTCGATTTCTCGAAGACTGAGATGATGGCTTTGACAGACGCCTCTGGGGTTGCCGGACCTTCAAAATGTGGTGCATATCTTTTGAACTTGCCGGCAAGTTCCAGTGTACTCTGCAGTTCTTTCTCCGACACTGTTTGTTCATATTAGATCAAACTTCAACGCAGTCCTATATATTGAATTAAGAAGAAATAGCAGTGATCTAATGACTTACATTTCTCAGGGTCAAAATGTCCAGTATCAACTACCCCTGGGCAGATACTCATGAACAGCACCCCCTCTTTGGCATACTCGGCACCGAATTTTGCCACTACGACATTGGTGGCCGCTTTTCCGGCAGCGTAAGGTCCGCTCACTTCGATTTCGAATTTGGAGATTAGCTCAAGGTCCGCACTTCCAGAGCTGATGGCAATGACCTTCTTCTGCTGGCCTTTGAGAACGAGAGGCAGGAATAGGTTGAACAGATGAACGGTTCCAACAAGGTTGGTTTTGCAATTGGCGAGGAGCTCTTCTTCCAGAGCGGCAGGGTTTTTGCCCCTTGGTCCCATAAGTATTAAGTCATGCCACTGCATAAAAGCAATGCGACAGAACGCTCTGACGCGTAGGAGATGGACACTTACAACTCTGAAAAACTAGCGAACTGGGAATCTTTGGGAAGACGAGCTCCGTTGGCGATTAGATAGTCGAGGCCTCCGCCTGTGATTTTCGCAGTGGCCTCACTGGCATTCTTTGGAGGCGAATTAGCGTAGTCCCTTCAAAAAGAGTGCGGCGCAAGACCTGCCTTCAGCGAGTCGTGACTGTCCAAATCTCCTTGTATGACATGGACGTTTCTTCTGTTTATTTCCGCCTTCACCTTGGCCTCGGTGCCTTTGACGTCGCGAACTAGGCCGATAACAGTATTTGTGGGATTGATTGAGAGTTCTTGTAGAAATGCGAACTACCCAATTATGTGTTTAGAGATGCTTGTGTTTCTCGGGGTGCTGGATGAGCCTTACGCCAATGCCCCGTGAGGCTCCAACGACCACGTATGAAGACATCCTGTTCGTTGCTTGGGCACAAATGTCAATTGGAAATAGATGAGAAGAGGAATCTTTGTGTCGAAGGGTCTCCTCTATGCTGAGTTGACAGACAGACTACAGCTGCAACGCGCAACTCTGGTCAATTTATATTTCGTCCAAGCTGGAGGCTGCTGTCGTACTGCTGTGTTGATTATCAATTCGTCCTAGCTCAACTCTCGTCCGAATCACTTCGATGGCTTTTGTAGTTGCCATTGGTTCTCATCAGGACTTGCTTGACCAAGGCAACAAGTCGCCAAGCCAACTCAATTCCCGTATCGCGTTACCTTCGGCGTTGGGATTCCATATTTCCGTGGATTAGTCCTCTGGGAGAACAGAAGGTAAGGAGATCAATATCCCTGTGGTAAGATCGTTCATGACCGTACGGATGAAACGGCCCAAATGCGCGTCATGTTTCCATTCTGTAGCTTTCAACTAGCTGTGCTGTGCATTGCCTCGAAGCGTGATGCGATGTACCTCTGATGGTAAGGAACCCTGTTCGCGGTTCCAACAACGACGACTGCCACTTCAGCCCTGGATCCTGGACTGTGAACAATCAGGCTCGAGTCACGGTGCGAACGTCACCGGGAGTGTTGCACTTATCGCTGCTTGATGATTTCTCTTCCTTGTGGAGTTGATATTTCAAGCTATCATCTGCCGTGCCATCATGGACCGTGCCATCGTACTCACTCTCTGATATCTGCATTGCTCGTTTAGGTCCCATTTGGTACATCCTCGTAATCTTTTCATGTCATTCTAAGGCCTCCCAGCTTCTCCGCCAGAGTTAGTCAAGGTTTCGAGCTCTCACCCAGCAATAATGACCACGACCATTGACCAGGGCGGCTTGGCCTGAATGGTCAAACCGTTGCAGGGGGCTTTGGAATGGAGTCCGCAGGTCTACTCATTTGCAGAAAGTGCTTGAAGAAACCATTTGCAATGGATTCCTCCGGGACTTGGGACCTGCTACCAAGGCCGACTTGGAACATAAAGTAGTCACTCGTACGCAAGACCACGGTCAAACCTTTACTGGATTAACATAGACGAGACTTGTATTGATAGAGGTCTCGGGTCCTTTCAGCAGGTTCTCGTAAGGTAAGTTCTTGCGGCATTGGCATCCTTTCTATTTACAATGTTTTGGAATTCGAGCGGTGGCCTTGGATTGTTCTGCGTATGCAGTTACTTAGTCTCACGGTCCCCGCAAAGAAGCCCCTGATATATGCTGTCTCATAGAACCGCTCTATGATCTCCATCGTGAAAGCGTCAGGTACACACGGTCGAACAGGCGCGCAATACAGATTGGCAGGACAGCGAGGTGTTAGAGGAGCTAGTCTACCTTGAGCGTAGTGTCCGCCGAGCCAGAACTCGTGACCGAGCTAGGCCACTCAGGGGAACTAGCTCTCTCTTTCGGAAAGTGTGCCGAGATCAACATAGCTCATAGCTCTCAATTGCAGATTTTGTCTTCCATCCTTCTTCTTTACCATCATTCGTTAATTGCCTCCTTCGATCACTTCGAGCTTTCACCTCGACCATCTCCCCTCAATCCTTCAACATGTACGCCGCAAGCAAGATGACCGGGGCTGTTGCCCGCATTGGTGCCAGACAAAGCACTCGATTCATGTCGACATCACAGAGTAAGAAGCTTCCATTGAACTCCTTGCGTTGAGACAGCTTCTCATTATATACACCAGCTCCCATCCAAAGCTCCATCATCCGCTCGACCCGACAGCCATTCATCCGCAATGGTCTCCTGCTCAACAACGCCCGTGCGAACTTGAGCTCGAACATGATCCGCGGTGCCATGCAGTCCCGCGGCGTTGTGGCCGAGACCGCAACCACCGCCATCGTTGTTGCCGCCAAACTGCACGGTGCAGGTGCAGCCACCATCGGATTGGCTGGTGCCGGTATCGGTATTGGAACGGTCTTCGGTTCATTGATCCAAGGTGTTGCTCGCAACCCATCCCTGCGAGGTAAGCTACACATTTACAACCTTAACCCACCTAGTCGAATTCTGGACCCGTGCTCATTAGCCACGACGTGGAATAGGTCAACTTTTCTCGTACGCCATTCTCGGTTTCGCCTTCGCCGAAGCCACCGGTCTCTTCGCATTGATGGTTGCCTTCCTCATCCTCTACGCATACTAAGCGTGCGATTCTATGAGCACAGCTCAAAAAGGGACAAGCTATATACACGTGTTGGAAAACCCAGGGGACGGCGGAGGTGGTACAGGTGGAGGCAAAATGCCCTGTAAGAAAGTGATAGATTACATGCCAACATAGATGTCAACATAGGCAATGTATTACTAGTACATCGTGGCTCTATGTGTTGCCTAGTCGGACCCGAAAATACAATCTCAACTTTGCACTGGCATGCAATCTACTAGATTTCGTGGTACTCCTGGGTGTCGGTCCACACCAAGTGATTCTTGCAATGAAATGAAGCTCACCACCTTCCGGACTCAACACTGCGCGGATCAACTCACCTAGACAACGAAGACCGGGAGCTTGGTAAATGCTTCCGTCCAAGCTAGATATCGCGAGCCTGACCAGATTTCCCTCAGGAACCTAAGCGCCAGGGGCAGGTTAGCAAATCCAGTCCGCTTGGAGTGTTCCAAAAGAACGTTCTCAAAAAGCTCATGCTGTGTCACTTCGGAGGACTCGGCAGCCGCCAAGAATATGGTGAAGGGGACGAGATACATTCCAGGCGAGTCCGGGGGGAGCAGTTCCAGCGTATTGATGAATCGATCTACTAGATCCGTATATGGAGGAGTTCCTGGCTCCGCAAGCGCCCGCATCACGTATATGTTGCAGGCCTGTTCGTTCAACTTGTAGATAAGCGACCAAGAGCTCTCAAACTTGGGGTACAAGAGACAGCCTTGGCTGATATCCTCCCATCCGTCACTCTTGTAAGGCTTGGTGACAGACTGGTGTAGTCTTTTGACTCCGTGTTCTAGGCTCAAATGAGGCGAAACCCATCCCCTGTATCTATGATGCCGTGAGCAACTATTCACAAATGTCAGGAAGAGCGGTTACTGACTTGCGTATCTGCCACACTACAAACCTTCCAAGTTCACCGTGCGAAATACGGTCTTCTCCACCCAGTGCATATAACGCTCCTTCGAGAAGCCCAAAAATTGTTCGAAAATCCGATGATCCACTCACTACTGCTGCCACCAGTAGTACCAAGAGTGAGAGCAGGATCTTCTGTTGTTCGACTACATTGTAGCAAGTCATATCTTGCCTCAATCGTAGTTTTCGGATTGCGCTTTGATATACCGCCCCCGGGTCGAGAAATTGAGCATTGACGTTTACGGAAAAATGGAAGGCGGCTGCGGACAGGACAGCGTCATTGACTAATTCGTCTTCCTGAGCGATTGGGAGAACAAGATATCTCCACCCATTCCTGCGGTCGTCAATGGCCACCATTTCTCCAGCGATCTTTCGGGAGACTGATCCTGTCAGGGCCATATTTCTAACCTACAGCACCGTACTTACAGTAGTTGAGAAGATATTGCTTCCATGGCACCAAGGGTCCGAGCGTGGGATTTTTAGGAGTGGTAGCCTCCCCGCTGGGAAGTCCTTCTAAGTGCTGGTCTCTCAGCTTAGTGAGAGCGGTCTCGCATCTGGTGTTACAAGGGCGAGCTCTTGTGTCCGAATCACAAACTTGGGAGTTGGCAGATGGTGAGCAAGAGTCAATCCCACGAATGGTATCGCTGTCTTCTTGGGAGGCGGTAGGGTTCTGGTCATAGTCGGATTCGCAAGACGATCTGATTTTCTTGCCGTCCTGCGCCGTCCCCCTGAACCGATATCTCACCCCATACCCACTACATTGGATACCTCGTAGTTTGCACTTATGGCAGAGGGGACGTGAGTTATCGCAATGTATGCGACGCTGAGAGCACTCGTAGCATCCTATCAAGATTAGTCATCTAAGTGAGATTCTCTCCCTCAATCAGCTTACCTTTCCTCTTTGGCACGTACGGTCGCTTAGAGCGAGGCATAATCTAGTAGACACCCAAGCCTGATAGTCGCCAAGCACGACACCTCAGCAGTGTCTGCCCTTCCACATTATAACGTGGTCATTATCATGGAAGAAAGCGAAACCAGGGAAGAATCCGGTACTCCGTTCCGAGTATTTCATGCGGGGTTATACCGGTGCCGGGCTTGGCGCCAAGACCAATAGTTGTGAGGTAGGTGGCCCGAGTCTCACCACTTGCTCTCTCACTTCGACAATATCATATCCATGCCACTCGACACTCAATCATTCTACCATTACTCAAGTGCTCTATTCCCATGCACGGATGTAACACCGGTGACGACTTGAGAAAGCTTGCTGCTGTGCTTGGTGGCTTGCCGCGGGAATACGCTAGGGATGTTTTGCAGTCTAAGAACTACACTTCTTGTCCATTCAGGACTATCCGCTACCTCGAAAGTGTTCCCAATGGAACCCGGAAAGCATATAGTGCAATACCACTAGCAAGGAGTCGATAGAATGTGCTGACCATTGCGATCACTCCCAGATATAGATGAGGCAAATTATATCCGCCAGCAGCCTCGATTCGTTTTAGCGCCTGAATAATACCCCAATTGGGAATAAATTATGAGAGCACCTCAGGTCTCGATTTCCCAAAGCTCATGAGTGCGTACAGGGGTTGGATTGGACTTCCTATGAGGGACATCATATCCGAGAAGGGTTCTCTGTATAGATCATTCTTGATACGCGGCCCTTGGGAACTGGCTAAGGAGCGTGTATGAAAATATTTATGTCCCTGGTTCAAAGTAGAATAAGAAGGTAAGGTACGGCTCGTGAGTCTGGAAGAACTCTCAATCGCAACCATACCTATAGACTTCATTCCTCAAGTCCTGGCTTTCATCTACAATTACTGCCATGGGTGTCCTGAACTATCTTGGCATCGCCAGGAGCATATCTGCAACCGAAGGCAATAGCGCTGTGCGAGCTCTCCCATCAAACTGGTACACCTCGCAAGAGATGTACGAGTTGGAGAGACGAGCTATTTTCTCTAAGAGATGGATGCTTATCACTCACAAATCAAGACTTCTCCAGCCGGGCGACTGGCTAAAATTCGACATCGCCGGATACGAGTTTGTTCTTTGCCGTAGTAAAACGGGAGATAGCATCAATGGATTCCACAATGTCTGTCGGCATCGTGCGTTCCCAATAGTTCAAGAGGACAAAGGGGCAGCCAAAATATTTGCCTGCAAGTACCATGGCTGGTCATATGGACTTGATGGTAGACTCGCAAAGGCTCCAAAGTACGATGAACTCGAAGGCTTCGATAAAAGCCAGAACGGTCTTTTCAAAATACATGTGCGTGTCGATACAAGTGGCTTTGTCTGGGTTAACCTCGATGGTAAAGAGATCCCAGAAGTGCCTTGGGAAGAGGATTTCGACGGTATCGATGCACAGGAGAGATACAAGGTCTTCAATTTTGACGAATACGTCCTGGACCATGAATACCGAATCGAGGGTCATTACAATTGGAAGATTCTGGCAGACAACTTCAATGAATGCTATCATTGCCCAACCGCACACCCAGATATCCCAACCCTTGCAGATATCGAGACTCATCAGGTCGACACTGAACATGGGTGGATTAAGCATCAGTCTACGCCAACATCGGAGCAAAAGAAGCTTGGCCTTGCCATTGCCAGCACCTACTTCTTCCCAAATGTCTCAATCTCTGTTCTGTAAGTTACCAGCCATATCTGATCCTAGGAAATCAAGCTAACGTACAATCCATACCTCATTTCATTATGCTACAGCGATTCTTGCCAGGCGGACCAAAGAAATCTACAATGCATTACCAGATCTTTCGTAATAAGAACTCCACAGATGAGCAGTTCCGACTCATCAGCGAGCTCTACAGTAAGGTCGTGAGTGAGGATAAGGTGCTATGCGAGCTGGCACAAAGGAACCTGAATGCTGAGATCTTTGTGAGTGGTGAAATGCACCCCCGACTCGAAAAAGGTCCGTTGTTCTTCCAGAGAGTTGCACGGAAAATCATCAGGGAGCACTGGGAGCGAGAGAAGGTGGCGAAAAAAGAGATATGGCCTGCAAGACAGCAGCTACCAAGCAGTGCTGTATTGAACAACGAGGATGCCGAACTCTGTTCAGGCCTTTCCTGTCAAACAAATGAAGCAGGACTTGCATGGTAGAAAGACCGCCTGACACTTTAAATTTTGCTTGAGTTTGATCAATGCACTAGAGCCACTTGTATTGTATTATTTGGAAGCCAAGGCTCTACGTGTCGATAATATGTACCAGTGTCTTCTTGAAATTGAATTGCTTTGCAACAATATGGAATTACGAGTACGTTTGAAAAGCGGACAAAGCCCTCTTCCCCCCCCGCAACCCTCCTTGACCCCCCCAAAAGCGCCCTAGTACTATGTAGTTGTACATGCACTGGAACTCACATCGTTGATACTCCGTCGAAACCCTGTAAATAATTGCTTAGGACTACTGGCGTGGGGATAGACTCTTGCAGAAAAAGGTTACATACCACAGTAGATCTCGAGTTCTTTATCACTTGGCCGAGCCTGTTGATGTAACACAACCATTGCAGATGTCTTAGGTGTTGGCAAACTGGGATTATGAAAGGTATTTATCTCACTTGTCTCTGGATATCTTCGGTAGGACCGGCCTTCCAAGCTTGTGACAAGGCTCCAAAAGTCTCAGCCTTTCGTCACGCCGAGCCTTGTCGCTGGGCGAGAGCCTTGGCCAGGTCAGACTCCCAAAGAAGATGCAATGAATCAGGAGCGTGGTCCGATAAACTTCTTGGATGGTACAGCAACGACCAATCACAAACTGAACATCCTCGAGATTGATAATCTTCCAGAAGATTCTTGTGACAAAATCTTGGAGAATGGATGGAAACGAGGGCTTAGCCTAGGGACTTGGGAGGAGGTGGCAAAACAAGAGTAGAATCAGCAACCCCTTTTAAAAAGCAGGATGGCCTCCCATTGCACCCCCGGATCTGATTGTCATTAAAACTTACAGCGCACGATAGCCCACGTCGGCCCCATGGCAAACAAGGTCCCTGACAACGACGCCAGTATGGATAATACAGTCAAAGAGGGAGCAAACGAGAAAATCTCGAGTGACTCCTCCGGCCAGCCACAACGAAAACTCTCGACCACTGGTGATATTTCTGTTGAAAATACCTATGTATACAGCGAGCTTTCGTTCTGGACTCGCATGGGTTGCACGCCTGAATCGTTTAGGCCTCGCACTCTCGCCGATAAGCATAATCAGCTTAATCAGACCTTGCGATCTCGACATATGCACATGATTGCTATCGGTAAGGCCATGGAGATACAGATATAGCCATCTATGCTGACGGAACTCAAGGCGGTTCGATCGGTGCAGGTCTTTTCGTTGGATCTGGTGGAGCATTGGCTACAGGTGGCCCTGCGTCATTGCTGATTGATTTCATGATCATCGGTGTCATGATCTTCAACGTCGTCTATGCCCTTGGAGAGCTTGCCATCATGTATCCTATTTCTGGAGGATTTTACACATACTCCACCAGGTTCATTGACCCTTCCTGGGGCTTTGCGATGGGTTGGAACTACTGTCTCCAGTGGGCAGTCATTCTTCCCTTTGAGATCGTGGTAGCTTCGGAATGTATACGATATTGGGACAATACCACCAGTCAAGCCGTTTGGTACACTATGTTTTTACTTGTCATCATTATCATCAATGTATTTGGAGTCCTTGGATATGGCGAGGAAGAGTTTTGGAGTAGTATGTTGAAGCTTGCTACAATCATTATCTTTATGATTGTTGCTCTCGTCCTGGTTTGTGGAGGAGGCCCGAGTGATGGTCAGTTCGGACAATACTGGGGTGCCAGGTTGGTGAAACTCGAGGAAAATTATGATGTGAACTTATATTTATAGGAATTGGTACGATCCGGGCGCGTTCCGCAATGGTTTCAAGGGCTTTTGTTCTGTCTTCGTCACCGCTGCCTTCTCCTTTGCCGGAACTGAACTGGTCGGTCTCGCAGCCGCAGAATCGAGGACACCCCTTAAATCCCTCCCGTCTGCCGTCAAACAAGTCTTCTGGCGGATTACACTCTTCTATATTCTAGCATTGACGTTCATTGGCCTCTTGGTACGATCTGATGATGCTCGCTTATTTGGTGCTGGCAACTTCATCGATACGACAGCGTCACCATTCGTGATTGCTGCTGCAGACGCCGCCTTGACCGGATTCGACTCTTACTTGAATGTAGTCATCCTGGTCTCTGTGGTATCAATTGGTAACTCAGGCGTATTTGGTGGAAGCCGAACACTGACTGCGCTGGCTGAGCAAGGCTATGCTCCGCGAATCTTCGCCTACGTCGATCGAGCTGGACGTCCATTAATTTCTACCATCCTGATCATCGCTATGGGTGGGCTAGCATATATTGGCGTCGCTGATCAGGGCGTAGAGATCTTCGATTGGCTGTTAGCTTTGTCTGGATTGGCAGCTCTTTTTACCTGGGGATCCATCTGCCTAGCTCATATTCGATTCCGCAATGCGTGGAAATATAACGGCCGAACGCTAGACGAAATTCCGTTCAAAGCAATTGGTGGGGTTTATGGTTCTTACTTGGGACTTGGAATTATCGTGCTTGTGCTTATTGCACAATTCTATGTGGCCATATTCCCAGCAGGAAATGAGGGAGAGATGAACGACGCTGCTGGCTTCTTCAAATCATACTTAGCATTCTTTGTGGTCGCCTTCTTCTGGGCAATTGGTTATGCATGGAAAAGGACTGGGTGGCTGAAGCTGAGTCAGATCGATGTTGAGAGTGGCCGTCGTGAGATTGACTGGGAGGCTCATCGTGCGGTGGCAGAAAAAAGGAGAAACGCGAGGCCTTTCAAGAAAGTGATATATTTTATGTTTTAGGTGGGACGAATGGTGGCGAGACAGGCTCTACCCTGGGCTCTCGGGGGTAAATTGGCAGATTTGAAGCAGGATAACGGCCAAACTGCACTGCATCCTTTTGTTGTTCCTCTCAACCAACTGGTTCAACATTGATCTGTTGTCCCTCTTCTTGTTCGTGGCCTTTCTATGAGGATATCATGACGAACCCTATGTTACCAGTAATGCCACCATGTATCAATCAGGAAAACCGAAATCTGAATCGTGCACAGTTCGTCTGCAGCACGGAAAACATAAGTGCTTCACGCACTTCAGCAGCAAGCGCCTTCCTAGAAATCCACGAAAGGGATCATTTTTCCTTCCCCTGCATTTAGGCGGATACGATAGAGATCTTCCTTGATGATAGACTCATGTTGTTCCAGATAATCTTCGATTTTGGTTGAGCAGTCGACATATCTCCCTGACATAAAGTCTAGCTGTCCTCCAGAGAGCACTGATACCATGCCTGCAGCCATATATGGCGTATCAAAAGTGCCTTGATCGAGGAATTTGAGAGCGGCTTGAGCAGACTTGTCTTCACCCTCTGCGCCTGGCACAATGTACGATCTCTCATTAGTGCGACCTTCTGCCTGATCTTTGAAGTCGTGATAGAATCTTGTCTGGATAGCGCCTGGATGAATGGCGAAAGCCTTGATATTATGATCTTTGAAATTCTCAACATGAATAATCTCTGCCAACCGAATCATGGCGAGTTTAGCGGCGATATAACTGCTTATGCCCTGGTTTGCGTGTGCACCGGCGCTGGAAGTAAAGATGATCCTTCCCCCATGTTTCTTCTGCATGATCGGCAGAGCATACCTACTGAAATTATAGGCCCCGCGTAGTGAGACACCAACTGTGTCCCACCAGATCTCCGGGTCTCCCTCTGCGGTGGGAAGCCATTGAGGGGGCCTACCAGCATTCATAAGAACAACATCAAGACCATCAAACTCGTGATCAGCCTCCTCAAGGAATTGCTTCACCGCAACTGGATCTTGCACATCGAACGCACCAGTTTTGATGCGGAGGTCCGGGTCATTGTTCTTGCATATCTTAGCAGTCTCGTCAATCTCGTCCTGTTCTAGGGCAGTTATGCTCAAAGACTTCAGTTTGCCATGACTTAAGAGCTCTGCGCAAGCCCGTCCGACACCTCGTCCAGCACCCGCAATGACCACATTCTTCCCAATCAGTCGCTGAGCCAGGCCTGCGTTTACTCTCGGGTCAGTCTCGAAGTAGCAGTCATGAAGACCTCCCAAAAAGCCCTCTGATCGTTTATTCATTATAAATGTCCTCTTTGCGATATCTCCCCTCTCGAACTGATGTACGAGTAGAGATATGATGGTGTGCGTCGTTGGCGCATGGGTGATTTAACTGCTTGCGGATGGCTTACCCCACATCCTGCCTGCCCCAGATACTATATTCCAGGTTGTGGAGAATGCTTCATTTGTGGATTGGGGTCAGTCTCTGGTGAGCAGGGCCTCCACCGTCAGTGCTGGATGGATGTTCGAGCTCATGCTGACAAAGATGAAAGGTCTGTGAGGGAGTCTCGAGCATAAAGCTAGCAACCCGCCCCATGCTGCTTGCGTTTGTCCTACCTAATGCCTCGCCAATAAGTAACCTCCTGTCTGCAACGTCGTCTTCCCTCTTGGATGACCGCTAATGGTGCTCTCATGCGTAAGGCTGATCTACTTGGCCATAAGATGGCCGTTCCTAGCTATCGATGGACTCGTGAAGTGGTGGGGCTTGCTGCTCCACAATCAAGGGCATACCTAATTACATAGATGCTACGAGCATTTAGAACGAACGCTGGCTTGGGGATCTCTGAGGCCAAGAATCGGTCCCAGCGCAAATAACATAACTATGCTGCTCTTACCTCTCTCCTGAATTGCACTGAGGTGTCGTTTATTGGGCTGGCTTGCTGCTTGATAATGGAGATTAACATGTGGCGCGCAGCGATACACCGGAGCCCTACACCTTGGGGGCCCAAGCTTGCTTGTTAAGACAGGCCGAATAAGGGAAACCCCCAATTACTGGTCATTTGGCTGGCCCCAGTGGGAAAGTGGTAACGAGGCAGCGAAACTCTGAGTTGGGGACTCATGAACTCATGGCCGCGTGGGGGTAATCCAACCTCCCACATTGGGAATATTCCGCCCCCCGAGCTCTGGCCAGCCATAGCCCCAATTAGAAGCCGGGGCTCTTCTTTCCAATTAGTTAACAGCTTTTCCCAGTTTCGATGCTAATGGGAAGAACCACTTAGAAGAATTGGGTGCTCAAAGGCTCAAGCGGCATCGCGAGGGGAGCTCTAGAGGAAGCCAAGGCTGTTTGGACGGCCGGGTGGGTGGGATAATGGTTCGGCAGGTCCTCTTGGTTCCCATTATTTTGCTTGCCACCATTTCCCAGATCGGAGCGGCGTCTCTCGTCTCCTTGCCTAATAAAGGCTCACCGCTAGGTCGGGGCAAGTGGCCAACAGGAGGCAAAGCCCCGGGCAGAGATCAGCCACGGTTTAGGATTTGGGTCTTGAGAGAAATAGATACTGGGGCGTACTGGGAAAAGTTCTACTGAGAGGATTGCATGAATCTCTCGTAAATCTGTATGCACGAGGTACCATGTACTTGTTAATGGTAGGCCTTTTCCTCTCCCCCATGTTTATTGAGCGAAAGGTATCCACACTAGCATATCCCACTGTCCAGCTGGACCGAATACGGATACCTCAGATGCTGTATCTCAGTGCGGAAGATGAAGTTTCACCCGAAGTGCATGCGGCGACTGCCTTCATCCCTGCTCAAACCCAGGATGCATTTTCTGGGAAATGTTCTGGAATACTCGGACGACTCTCTAACAACTTGATCCTAGTTCTGATTTCCCGTCTACCTACTCCGTACATGCTGACGGCTGATGCTAGAGAACCTTCGCCCAGCCCCCGCCATCGCGCCCCCAATAACTCCCCACTGTGCCGATCTTTGCATACTTTCGCACCATTCCAGCCTCGCAAATGCTTAAGGTGATGTCTGATCAGTCCCTAAACAATCTTAGATGCCATCCGAACCAGATCGTCCCCCAATTCCCCGCAGACATAGTTCGCGGCCATGACATCTCCCTGCGATTGCAATCACCGATGCAACTTATCCAGTCCCCTGGTCGAAGCGGGCAGCTGGCTTCCTTGCGGGCATAGACATGCCCACGCAAAGAAGTCCATCCAATGATGATTATGTTACCATGTGGTTCGACATGGGGAAGCGGAGGAAGGGGTTGCATGTACGGTGTATGATGCATAAAGAGACGTCAAGTCCCATCCATCTTCAAACCCATCTCTCAGCCGTCAGACCGGTAAGACCTTGACCCAGCCCTTTCTTCCTCTATATTTCCTTCCAACTCTATTGCAAACCATGGCGCGGGATATGGGATATCGTATCTTCAGTAAGATCGTCCATAACGATGCCATGAAACAAGATCCCCCGGAGATTTACGGATGGAGAGCATTCTTTCTTGCACTTTCGGTAAGTAGGCATTCCGGCGAAATCTGCGCTGCGCAATATCTGACCTTGGCCGACAGTCCGGTTTCGGTGCGATGTTGTTTGGAATGGACAGTTCCATTATTTCTGGTGTTGTAGTTCTACCTGCTTTCAAATCACGCTTTGGCCTTGATGGTGCCGCAAACGCAGCCGCACTTGCAAATTTGCAGGCCAACATTGTCTCAACCCTTCAGGCAGGATGCTTTGCCGGAGCAATCATTGCGGGGTTTATGGCAGACAAGATCGGTCGGAAGTGGTCACTCCTGGTGTCCGGAGCCGTCGTGATGGTCGGGGTTTTGCTTCAATTCAATGCTTGGGGTCATCTTGCGGCACTCTATGTTGGCCGCTTCGTGGCAGGCCTGGGAGTCGGCTCCTGTTCAGTCGTCACTCCTCTTTACACCTCTGAGAATGTTCCCCGCGCTATCAGAGGTCTTCTGACTGGCACCTACCAATTCTTCATTGTACTTGGTGGAATGCTAGCATACTGGATCAACTATGGAGCCAGCCTTCACCTTCCTGGAGACAGCTCCTGGGTCGTACCTCTTGCTGTCCAAGGGATTCCAGCTGTCTTGCTACTGATCTGCATGTCATTCTGCAACGAATCACCCCGTTGGCTTGCGAAACAAGATCGATGGGAAGAAGCCAAGGCCGTTCTATCCAAAGTTCGAATGCTACCTGCTAGCCACGAGTATGTGGAGGCTGAATTTGGTGAAATGGTGACTCAGTTGGAGAACGAAAGAGCTCTCATGCAAGGTGCTGGTTTTATGGATCTGATGAGGGAGATGTGGCTCATTCCCGGCAATAGACGTCGCGCTATTACCGTTGTCGTCTTGATGATCTGTCAGCAAATGACAGGTACCAATGCGATCAACAATTACGCACCTCTTATCTTCGCTGTGAGTTGTATCCATGTGCCGTTTCCATGCCCTACTAACATCCCTCGATTAGAATCTTGGTATTAGTGGCCACAATACTGGTCTTTTCGCTACGGGTATATATGGAATTGTGAAGTGCATCAGCTGCGCTATCTTCCTTTTATTCCTTGCAGACACACTAGGACGACGTCGATCTCTTCTTTGGACTGCAATCGGGCAGGGTTGCTGCATGCTGTTTATTGGACTTTACATCCGCATCTCCCCTCCTGTGAAAGGCGACCCAGTTCCTCCTGTTGGATACGTGGCATTGGTTTGCATTTTTCTCTTTGCCGCATTCTTCCAATTCGGATGGGGCCCGGTCTGCTGGATTTACTCATCGGAGATTCCGACACTTCGACTTCGCGCATTGACTGTCGCCTTGGCCGCGGCTACGCAGTGGCTTTTCAACTTTGTCGTTGCTCGATCCGTTCCAGTCATGTTGGTCACTGTTGGGTGAGTAGCTCTCTACTACCCCGTCAAGACCATAACTCACTGTTCCAGGGCAAACGGTTATGGCACCTACATGATTTTCTGCTCGTTTGCTTTCACGATGTTCATCTTTGTATGGTTCTTCATCCCGGAAACTAAAGGTAAGTCCCTGATCCCTGGTCGATGGCCAGCGACTAAAGCTTCATAGGACTTTCCCTTGAAGCCATGGACGCACTCTTTGGCGTTGTCCCACATGATGAGCTAGCCCTAGAGCGTGGACAACTCGGTGCGGTGAAGAACTTTCGCAAAAGCGTCGAAAAAGATGTGGAGGTCGAGGAAGTAGAGAAGCATACTTAAGAGGCGAGTAAGGAAAGTACTCAAACGATCTAGCATCCGCCCACAACCAAATCCTTCATTTTGTGGTGCCAGCTCAACTTTGGTTTGCTCCTTCGACGCTTCGAATGCTACCCTTTTGAGCGGATAATGTATCATGTGCACACACCGGCGCGAAAAGTTGCAGGACTGAGATCTGTCCAAAGTATACTTGCTGCTTGACGTTTCAAAAGCTACAGAATCTTACCCTGTTTCAGTGAGCTATATATTGATATAGCACGAGAGTCTCCAATCTATCGACCGTTACCACCATCATTAACTGGACAATCTTGATGTAAGATTGCTATCATCAGACTTCACTAATCTTGAGAAGAGATTGGACAGGTAATGCCTCTTGTCCACTTCCCATCGGGTGGTCTCCCCTTGGATCCACATGCAGACTGGAGTTCTCAAGGAGGGGCAAGGCCGAAGGGAAAAAAAAAGCTCTAGATTAGAACAATTGCCGCCTCGGCACGAAGCATACGTGGTCAGGCTGGTTCCGACGAGCGCTAGGCGTCGTCCGCTACCACTACCACGACTAACTACTGTAGCTAATCGGCGAGGGCTCCGAGACCTCGAGACATCTATATTTGCAGTGAATGGCATACCTACAACTTACTCTACATAGAGTACACGGACAATTGTAACTGTTATGTACAGAAATATACCGGGCGAAAAGGTATAATAGTGAGCCGAGCATGAAAATTGTCTCTCGGGACGAGGTTCGTACCAATGAGTTACCTACGAGGAGGCATGGCTGGCAAAAATTGACCTTCCGAGCCAAGATTAGTTAAGGCGGACCGCAGCCGCTCCTAAGAGCCTTTACCCGTAAGCCACACCCAGATCACTGCAGTTCGCTTAAATGTGTGTGCTGATGCTGAGAGTATCGGTACTCGCGCCAATGGAAGTTTCCAAGTCCTGGTGCACATTTGATGAAGGCCACTCCAGAAGGCGTCAGGAGAGGGTTGTGATGAGCTCGATAAGTGACCATATTAGTACCTTATTCGTCAGATTCCCCACAGCTCCTTCAAATCCCCGGTTTTGCCTTTCACTTTCCTGAGCAAAATCGCGCGGAGCGTCCCCGAGACTCTTCATCAACAAAAGCCGGAGCCCCAGGCTGAACGTTGCCGGATCTAGTTGGGCGCAGTTGTAGTGGCAAAAGGTCAATTGGGCTCGCTTAATGTACGGCATCCCAGAATCGTAAGAAACCTGCCTGGGTATCCAGGTCACTGGCCTACCTGGTCTCCTCTACTAGGAGACTAGACTCAACTTGGGAATGTGCCTAATGTGCCGAGTCCGGTCCCTTCGGAGTACTAATCAAAAATGATAAAAGCTCGTCTCTCCCTGCTCCCTCATCAACTTCGAATCTGATTTGAATCACTTCTTCAGGCTCGAGTCGTCTCACCTACATCGTCATCATCATGGCCCCGAACGTCGGCGACCTTAGAACTCATGAAACGGGCGCCGGCGACCCCATCGTCCAGAGGCTTGCGCAAGAAGACAAGGTCCCGTGGTATAGGAAGCGAAACCTCCGATACCTCTACCTACTCTTATTTCCAACATGTATGGGGATAGAGATAACCAGCGGGTTCGACTCTCAAATGATTAATGCCCTTCAGATCTCCGACGAGTGGCAAGCCTGTGAGTACAAGACCTGGATACCTGATCTGAAACTGACAAATCGCTTCAGATTTCCACCACCCAATAGGTTCGTGGTCAGGCTTTATCAACGCCTCGTACTCGCTTGGCGCGATCCTGAGCTTGCCTATCGTCCCTATTCTCAATGATCGATTCGGTCGCCGATGGTCGATATTCATCGGTTCATGGATCATGGTAGCCGGAGCTATCGTACAGTGCTTTGCCCAGAATGGTTAGTTGCGTGCAGTCAGACATAACTTGGAGGCGCTGACCACGAGCAGCTGGAAACTATATCTTTGCTCGTATCATGTTAGGATTCGGTATTCCTACCTGCATTGTCGCCGCCTCTTCGCTAATCGGTGAACTGGGCTATCCCAAGGAGCGCCCCGTCTTGACTTCCCTCTTCAACGTGTCATACTTTATCGGCGAGCTTACAGCCGCCGGCATCTGTTTTGGAACAAACTCCATTGCCAGTAGCTGGGCATGGAGGACGCCGTCTATCTTGCAGGCTGTACCATCTCTAGTCCAAATATCCTTGGTTCTGTTTCTTCCAGAGAGTCCGAGATGGCTAATCAGCAAAGACCGCCACGAGGAGGCCCATGAGATCCTGGTTAAGTATCACGCTGAGGGCGACCGCGATTCCGAGTTTGTTCGTGCCGAGATGGCCCAAATCCGCTCCACAATCCAGATGGAAATCGAGGCATCGAAGAAGTCATGGTTGGATCTCTTCACTACTTCTGGTATGCGGCGCCGTGTGGTGTTGTCTACTGCACTCGGCTTGTTTACGCAATGGTCCGGGAACACCCTCATCTCATACTATCTTTCGAAGCTACTGAAGATGATCGGCTGGACGAAGTCGACAGATATCCAGAAAGTCAATGTTGGGCTTTCAGCCTGGTCCTTAATCACCGCCGGTACTGCCGCATTGTTAGTTACACGCTTCCGACGAAGAGTCATGTACATGACATGCGCGTTGTCGCTACTGTGCGTCTACATTGGGTGGACAGTGTGTATGGAGAGAACTATGACATCCGATGCAGCTGGGCACATTAATCACGGTGCAGGTATTGGTGTCATCTTTTTCATCTTCGCCTACAAGCCTGCATACAACATCGGGTAAGTGGATGGTTAGCTCGACTGACATGAAGTAATTACTCACATGGCACAGTTACAATGCTCTGACCTATACCTACCTCGTAGAGTTGTGGCCGTTCACCGAGCGCTCGCGTGGCATAGCATACTTCCAGCTCTGGGGTAGACTTGGCAACTTCTTCACGACCTTTATCAATCCTATCGGCCTGGAGAATATTAAGTGGCGCTGGTTGATCTTCTATTGCTGCTGGCTTGGCTTTGAGGTTGTCTTCATCTATTTCCTCTTCCCTGAGACATATGGGAGAACGTTGGAAGAACTTGCCTTCAGTATGTACCATCTTCCTCCACCCCACCATCATAGCTAACAGTTCTAGTTTTCGAGGACAAGGACAAAACTGACAGGGCTATCGCTGCGGTCGAGAAAGCTAGAGCTGGTCTGGATGAGAACGAGAAGAGTGTCGCTACTGTGGTTGAGCATGGAGAGCGAGTGTAGAATCGCCTATTAGGTTCCAACCGGCTGACTAGTCTCCCACTGAGGAAGCTACTAAAGGGTTGTGTGATTCTATTATGGACCTGGAATGACCGTGCATTGATTTGATGAGTTGTTGATTTTCAAAGGATTAATATACTAGAATAAATTGTCGATCCATTCAAATTCCACATTGGTTCCTAGCTCCTACGAATCATCACAAGGTGCGCACCCAAGATCCTCGGTGTAGGCTAGTAGCTGTGTCGTTAGGACTATGTTAGAGGTGTAGTCGGATTCGCATCCGCGTAAATCGAGCACAATTGCGTGTTCAGATTATAGTTTGCGCTCCAAAAAAAAAGCTTCATCATCGCAGTAACGCAGGCAAGAACGAAATGATGATCGCCCTACGCTACTTATGGGCGCTTGACCATTTGCCTTTCTCTCGGATGCAACATTGAAAATGCAGCCCCAAGAACCGCCACCGGGCCTAGGGCCTTAGGTGACGTGAGGTGTACATACAGCGGATGTTGAACTTGTTATTGAAGTCGTACTAGGGCTTGTACTGGCGTTTGCAGTGGTCGAAGTAGTCGTGTTTCCTCCGTTCGCAGGATAAGTGCAGATGAAGCTGGCGATCAGCTCTGCATTGACATCGTCAGGACTGCCAACTGAGACTGGCACAGAGACACCGTATATTGTACCTAAGACATTTGAATGGTTGTAATTCAGAAAGAGACAAGTCACCAAAATTATCGCATGCATTGAGGCAGGCACCCAATGATTGCTCGATCGTGCTTGAGACAATGTTGACCCCCTGTAGACTATGTAAGGCACTAGATCTCGTAAGTACATCCAAATTCATCACCACATCGTGTATTGCCTTCATTGATGACGGATGGGTACAATGGGGATGTCGTGGTCGTTTTACTGCCGTTTTCGTCATAGTAGATGTTGTGGCTATGGATTTTGTCGTAGTGGTGGCCAGTGAAGCACTGCTCGTCGATAGGGTGGTACTTACGTATGCGCCCCATTAGACGCGCCGTCTGATCTCTATATCTGTTTTGACCGAGAGTCCAAACTTGGCCCTTTCCTCGGGCGTTTTGGGGATGTTCAAATGGTAGCCCAGATCCATCATCATCCGATATGCCATGCCACAAAAGACCCAGCCAGCATTCTGCTTGCCGTAGGGAACAAAGCACGTACCACAAATAAGGAGCGCAACCACCGTAGGCATGCTGGGCAGATCGATATATTCGACCACCAATGTCTTGAAGCGTTTGGAGAAAGCCATGCCCATCGTCTACGGGTCTTGCGCATCCAGCTGCAGGCCTTTCCGGTCGCTGTACAAACTGCTTTGCAAATAGATGGCATTCAGCAGCAATTCACTGACGTACGGTCCGTTATTGAACAGGCTGTCCATGATTGCCGGACGGTATGTTTGGAGGTAGATCAAATTTAGCCGATTCCAGTGTAAATCGAGCAAGTGCATTGCCATGTCCATGGGAACGCCATCGAAATCAACGTTCGCGGTCATGCTTGGGTTCGAACACAGGATGATCTCCTTCTGTCGACTGAGCGCGGGAAGCGAAATCAAGCGATCTCGAGCCGCGCTTTCGAAATCCCTGTCCGTCTCATCTTCCGTCAGCGGGGGGGTGGACCAAAAGTCTCCGCTGGGATGATCATGGAGCAGACTCGTCCCTCCGTAGATTTGTATCTCGGCACCGTCAGTTTGGGGCTCAGGCGAAGAGACACTCTCCTCCTCGGCCGGCTCTTGAGCATGACCCAACGAAGGTCCAATGGGAGAGGGTTGCCCTTCTCTGCGGGGTGGTGACAGGTCTTGCAATCCAACATAAGCGGACTGGGATCTGGCTGGTAGCTTGATATCAGACTGATACCGTGTGCTACATTCCTAGTGATGTTGGAATCGTTCGATGCTCGCGTCGAATTGGTGTGATCTGCGGTTGAGACATCATTGGCGGAAAGTTGCTCGTTCGTTTGTCCCTTGAGTTCTTCGATCTGCCTTTGGAGGGCCCTGATATCGGCCTTTCTGCTGCGCACCGCTGTCTTTCTGCCATCTCGTGGATACTCGCAGTCCCAGACTTTCGTACGACAGGTGCTGCACTCGGGGCTTTGACCCTCGCATTTCACCTGAGAGAAATCTGTCAGCTTACGGGTGGAAAGGAGCGCATTTTCCCACTGCATTTATCGCCGCGACTCGGCAGGGAGCCTGTCCGTCAAAAGAGCAAATTTAGGCCTCACCTTTTTGCGGCAGACGCCTTTCGAAACCGTTGGGGGCAGACGAGCTGGCGCCGCCATGGATTCGGAAGATTTGCGTCTCAACATTTCGCGCTCTCCAGTCTTATGGTAGTTGTCGCATCCTAGCTTCGCTAGAACGAGAACAAGGAAGATCCGACCAGAGAAATAAGCCAACTGGCCTCGAAGGCCGAACAATGGCGGCAGTCGCCCGATAAACGAGTTCCATGGTCCACCTCTTGGGGCAGCCAATGAAGTACTCTGGCAGAAGGATTTCTTTTTGATATTGTTGCTACTGGAGAAACAAGGAAGCCTGCATGGACTACCTCGTATCTAAATCAAACGTGCATGTCTAAGTCCAGGCCAAATGACGACGTGCGCCAGCCACTCTTTGATCGGTTCACCAGAAATCAGGTGGCGATCCTGCGGATGTGCCATGCCAAGTTTGCTCATGCTGGTCCAGAAGGCCCACACTCCAGCTTGAGGAGCGGGAGATTGGAAGGTCCGGATTCCAGCGGATCCTCCGAAAAGTCCTTCCCTCGATCTGACTGTGGCTGTTCATGAAAAAGATGTTCGGATGTTCTGTCTTCACTGAACGTATTTAATGGCGGCTCGTTCGAACATCTCATGCAATGCCTCTCGGTCAATTCAGTGGCGAAAGGGCTAGACAGAGAGGCGAAAAGTAGATGGCCGATGAGTACTCTTCGGCGTGCTGCGCTACTTCAGCTGCGGTTGTCGGCAAATACGCGCTCAAGGGCTCATGGACCGAGATCAATGGGATCAAAACGTGTTCAAAACGTGTTAGTAGTCCTTCTACTCCTCCTCTCGTCTTTGGCCCCGCTCGCCTTTTGCAACGAAGCTGAGCATGTGATCGTCCACCAAAAAAGGAGCTTTGTTGGGAAAAGAGAATCAGTCCGGAATATCTATGCCCGGGTTCTCCGGAGATCCGGCCCAAGGTCAGGCCATTGTACTTTCCTAACATCTTTGCATGCTAGATATGACCGGCTCCCCCAGTGCCAGCAAAGCAATTGTGCACGTCTATGATCTCTTCGGATATTGTCCCCAGACTTATGAAGGCACGGACATGCTCGCTACCCAAGGGAGCGAGCAGCACCTTGTTTTCGTCCCCGACTTTATTGGCCCTGACCGGGCTGCGCAGCACGATTGGTTCTTGCCCGATGCCGACCAGCAGCCCCTCCATGACCTGCTGGCGATCGTCACTCCGAAGCAGATGATGACAAAAATCCACGCGACGGTCGCGGCGTTGCGATACGACGGAAAACATGGATATGTGCAGAGGTGGGCTGAAGTCGGTTTTTGCTGGGGTTCCAAGGGCGTCAGTCTCATTGCAACCCAGGGTGACCAGTGATTGCTTGACGTAACGGCTCACACTTCGCCGTCGAGACTCGACCCGGAAGAAGGCAAGACAGTCAGGATCCTGACTTTGATGCTGACATCGAATGAGGAGGACAAGACCCTTGTGGAGAGAGATTATGAGAATTTGAAAGGTCCCAAATATCTCAAGAGATTCAACGAGATCCATGATTGGATGTTGGCAAGGTATGATTAATCTCTTTCACGCAGCCCACTCGAGATCCTTGCTTCTTCGTGCTAACTGGAGGACTCGTTAGAGCGAAACTCGATCAGGAGCCCCAGAGAAGGGAGTTTGACAGAGGTTATAAGCTCGTTCTCGATTGATTGGTCAAGTATCTTTAGGACAAGTGTGGATTGTTGGCAGTTCCGATCAATTGTCCTACATCTACTTGAAGCTCCAGGCTCATAACATTATTCCTGGAAATTTAATTGAGATACCTCTCATCATGCACAAATATTCCCATCGAGCCTTCTGACATAATTCAGACTGCTTTCACTGGAGCCACGAGGCGGAAGCGCCATGGTCTGGCTTCGTCAAAGTGAATTTGACACGGGCTTTTCACAATGCGGTCGTTCGCAATGGGCGGAAACTCCACGAAACCTAGGGTTTCGGCGACGAGGTGTCACATTCAAATTCAGTAGAGCAGCTTCTCTGATCATGGCTCTTGTCATCCTCTAGTAGCGTGCAGAGCTCACGTGCTCCCAAGATCCTCTCTATGAGCCTCTGGAGAACGGGGCCTTCAGCGTTGCAGGAACGGAAACGGTGGCTGAGGCACAGCGTCGACGGTGGTAAACGATTATTGAGTCTCAAGGGTGGCCAATGCTACTGTGCATTGCTGCTGTCCAACTCCCAACGAAGGTTCGACGCTGTCACAGTACATCGGAGAGGCGAGTAGACATTGGTAGAATACGAAAAAAAGCCAATTGAGGAGCCAAGAAGAGTCGAAGCGACAAAGAGCGGAAGGAGGAGGAGAATGAGACCAAGGTCAAATGCGCCGCGCGGGTTGAACTCTACAACGTGGAGAGTCGATCAATCTATCTTCTGGAGCTCATGGTTGCATGCGGAATACTATTTCCTAGTCTGTGATCTCTAGCCGTGAACATTATGGCTATTGCTTGTCTTGGAGTCTTGAGTCTCACGACTCTATGGCAATGTATCGCATCATGTCCTAAACGAAGAGCATATCTTCGTTAGGCACATCTTTTTCCATCTCACAAGATCATCTTGAATCCGGGGTCTCGATCGTCCCCGCATCCGATGTACCTGTTGTATTTACACTGAGCCTTGTCGCGGTTGATCTTGGCACAGAGTAGTACGTTCAACAGGATTCTATATTCTTTGTCAGCTGTGGTACTTTGCTAATCGCCCGGACGACGAGGGAACCGGCGTAGTTTCGAATAAAGCCTAAACACATGCCGAGGATCCCCAGGCGACGGTGAGAAAGGTCAGCCAGACTCTCGGGCTGGTGGCACTCTTGAGCACCAGGTTGCTGGGCAACTCGGCTGCGATGTAGAATGTAAAGAAGATGGCAAGTCCGTTGGCATATTGACCGTTTGACAGCCTTCAATCTTTCTCGAGGCCCAGGATTTTGGCGTTGCCGACGTTGGTTCGGTCGAGAAACGAGTATAGGAACAGGACGGCGAGGATGGGGACGATTCTACGAGTACCGTGTCAGCTTCGAAGAGATGCACGATGTCAAAAGTATACACCTTGAATCAAGTTTCCAGAGTAGCTTCCGCGTCAGAGCCTTGTCGTGATGTGCACCTTGATTCGACGGGAATGATTCGTCTTCGCCGGCTACTTGACTAGAGATTTCAAACTCATGTTGAACATCCGCTGGCTTCTCCAGTGCTGCCGTCGGTTGTTTGTCGCTGGCTATGTCTAAAGATTGTGTTGGAGCCGTGATGAACTAGTCGCGTCAAGGTTGGAGATGTCATTGGAGTGGAAAGTGCAAGACCAACCTGGCCAGTTTAATTGTCAAGGTCTTGTCAGTGTCAATAAATTCTAAACCCGACGGATTCAGTCACAACTTTTAAGGAATGGGAGAGGACTATTATATAAGCCTCGTGTGCCGGGGGGGAAGCAACCGTGACGACTAAAGGCGTCCTCGCTGCCAAAGGGCTGACGGGGCTGGATAGAACAGGCGGAGGACGTGAGGCTCTCTGCAAGAACGGACCTACGTATGCTTCCTGCTCTGGTTACAGACGGCAAAGAAAACACCCCCTGTTGGCGATATGGCTGAAGCACAGGATGCAACTCGTTCGAGACTCGCCTGGAATCCATCCAGACCGACGTACGTCGGAACGGATGTTTGCATTGCCGATGGTCGCGTGTGCAACTTCAAAGCGGCTGTGGTCGTACGAGGAGCGAAGTATGGTCATTCATAAGCTAGAAAAGAGTTTCCGTTTGGAATACACAGTAAAATGTCAAGCCAAGAGGTAAATGGGCTTCCTGATGGCCACTCAAAGTCCCCAGAGTCACACGGGCAACGACATCCGCGACCTCTGACCTGTTCTTCATGTCGCTAACCGGGTTGCAGTCGCCTCCGTACTTTCACGTGGATGATTCGGAGGTTTGAAGTTGCCAAATGCGTCCCATCCAGTCTGTTATTTCAGGCCCTTATTGTCGCATGGGACCTGGAGTACCGAGAAAATCCCTGTGCTTTTGCTGTGGGCCCTTTAAAGGCCTTCGTTAGTTTTGTATACCGACAAAGTCAGGAAGAGGCCATATTCCTTTGGGCTATAAACAAGGAAACCAGCTTCCGCTCTGCTATTGTTTCATACCTCGTATTTCCCACTCGATCTTGTCCCTCCACACAAGAACAAAAGTGAGCCATGCCAGCTGCAGTCGAAGTCCAGAGTTCTGTGGTATTTGATGTCCGGCACCGGGATCAATTCAGTTCCAAACAGGAAAACGCCGTGGCCGTTGAAATTCAGCAACCGGATCACGATGTCTCATCGAAACAGAAGATTGTACCAGGCTCCTTCAACATTCCTCTCGGCGTCTTCCCGCCCTCGCCTTGGTCATTCCTGGGCGCCCATGTGGTCGCGTCCAAGCTGGTTGAGAGGCTGAATAAATCTTTGAGAGAAAGGGATGCGCCGGCGATAGAAGTCCTTTTCCACGAAAACAGTTACTGGCGCGACCACCTTTGCCTCACCTGGGACTTGCGCACACTGAAGGGACGTGACAAGATTGCCCACTTCGTTACCAACAGTCCGGAGGGTGAGTCGATCGAAACAGACGCCTCGACTCCGCTCCGAGCACCAAAGCACGGTCCAATCGATGGACTGTACAGCCAAGCTTCGGATGTTTCAGCCATCAAAGTTTTTGTGAAAGTAACCACCAAGGTTGGCGCCGGCCGAGGCGTCGCAAAGTTGGCCGAGGTCCAGGGTCAATGGAAGTTCACCTTGTTCACCACCCTCGATGAGTTGCACGGCCACGAGGAACTGCTGTACGAGCGTCGCCCGAACGGCGCCGAGCATGGAGAACACGTTGGTCGACAGAACCGGCAAGATAAGCGCCAGGGTGCCGTCGAATTCCGAGCGCGATCGCCTGCCGTGCTTATCGTGGGTAAGTGGTAGCCATGTCCTATCCTCGGTGAAATCGAGAAGACATGAAAGGGCCTGAATCGAGACTAACCTTTCGTCCTAGGCGCCGGTCAAAGCAGGCTCACAACAGCAGCGAGACTAAAGGCACTCAATCTCGATACTCTGGTCACCGATCACGAAGATCGTGTCGGAGACAGCTGGCGGCGATGATACCGCCATTTGGTTCTTCATGATCCAGTCTGGCTTAACCACATGTCATACCTGAAGTTCCCAGCTCAATGGCCCAAGTTTACACCAAAGGAGAAATTGGCCGAATTCTTTGAAGCTTATGCTACGCTTTTGGGATTGAATGTATGGGTGAAGACAAGAGTCATGTCAACCTCTTGGAATGACGATAGACAAGAATGGACCGTTGTCTTGCAGCGGAGATTAGAAGACGGCACCATCGAGATGCGTACGTTCCATCCGGCCCATATCATCCAAGCAACGGGCCACGTGGGTCCGAAGCACATGCCAGTCATCAAAGGGATGGAATGCTTTAGAGGAAACGTCGCTCACAGCTCCGAGTTTGCATGTGCCACGCCAAATAGTCATGGCAAAAAGGTTGTCGTGGTCGGGTCAAGCAACTCGGCCCACGATATCGCTCAGGATTTCTATGAGCAAGGCTACAATGTCACAATGGTCCAACGAAGCTCGACCCTGGTCATTTCCTCCAAGTTCAGAAACACGGAAGGCCTAAAAGGCCTTTACGCGGAGGGTGGACCACCAACAGAAGACGCCGATCTCCTGGTATGGGGTCTGCCGATGGAACTTTTCAAGACCCAGCAAAGAAAGGTGTGTGAATTGCAGAACAAGCACGATGCAGAGCTCCTAGATGGCCTAACCCGGGTCGGATTCAAGTTGGATCGTGGAGTAGACGAGACCGGCTACATGATGAAGTACTTGCATCGTGGAGGTGGCTACTATGTCGACGTGGGTGCCAACCAGCTCGTGCTGAATGGAAGATCAAATTGAAACAGGGCGCCGAGGTTTCCGAAATCCTTCCTCACGAAATCCTATTTTCGGATGGTACTCGATTGACAGCCGACGAGATTGTGCTTGCCACAGGCTTCCAGAACATACGGACACAGACGCGAGTCATCTTTGGTGACCACGTCGCCGACCGTGTGGAAGACATGTGGGGATTTGACCAAGAAGGCGAGCTTCGAACAATCTGGAGGCGAACCGGTCACCCTGGGTTCTGGTATATGGGAACCAACTTCGCTTATTGCTGCTACTTCTCTCGGATTGTCGCTTTGCAGATCAAAGCCATCCAGGAGGGAATCACGCACTGGTGAGGTCTTCCTTGGCAGGGCGGGCCTGCAACGCGAGGCAACTCCTCCAGACGTCTTGGTCATCTCTCTGGCCCTTGTTGGACTGAGCTCGCAAGTCCCCCAAAAAGGTCCCTGGCCATTCTGAGACATTCGCTATTGGCCGGTTTCCATATTCTAGTTGAGGGTCACCGTCAGCCGAAATTTCGGGAACAAGTAAGATAATTTCTGATGGTAAGCTCTGGTCTGAAATCGAGAGACTCTATATCTGCACCCCATTCTTAAATAGTACAGTAGGACAATATATCTCCCATGGGGTTAAATCGGAAATAACCTCTATAGCTCAATTGCAGTGGACGGAATGACTGGCTGTAGCCTGTGTGTAGTGACTAGTAAGGTGTATGGTCAGGCAGGGTGCAAGGACAAGTAGGGAGGAGGGGCTGGGTACCATTTCGGTATCCGAGGAATCTGAATTGCCTTGCAGAGTTTTAAGCCCACGACTACACTCGGATGTATATCCTATTCATCATTTTCCTTTTCAGAGCTTGGCAATGGCTAGCCTCAACAAGAAAGCCACATTGTATGTCACCATTTCCGGACCCTTTCCAGGAAATGGGAGTTAGTAGTGCCTTCCATTGGCTAAGGAATAGTGATACTACCACTCAGTGCAATTTGGAGCATTTCAGAACTCGAAGACTTATGGTAATTTGTTACTACTTGTGGAAGGTCACAACAAGGCAGGCCACCTAGTCGTCGTATGGGCCACTAGCAATCCTCCTGGCAAAAGGATTTTCAGGTTGCGTGTACGCAATAATGACACCATTTCCAATACCGTAAACATAATGGGAGGGCTGCTGCGAGCTAGCTCCCAAAGCCTCGCGCTGTCCTCACAGAAAGCGGGTGTGTTGGTGGTGATACCTTGATCATGGCGAGGATGGAACAACAGTATAGACCTTACTATTTCCCGCTGAATGATGCTTGCGAGCACTGCTAGCAACCATGGAACCAGTCCACTTTGAAGTAATGTCAATACATTTCGTGTTATGTCGTCAATTTCTCTAATTTGGAGGAAGTCGTGAGGCTCTCCCTAGACAAAGAGCATTTAGATACTGTGCTCATCTCGATTAGACAAAATTTGGTCACTTTATTGCCGAGCAAGTTGGTTAGCGAAGCATCCAAATCCTCGATGCTGGAGTCGCGTTCGCAATAGCGTCGCTTGCGATTTTCCAAGCCTAAAGCAAATATTTGGAGAAGGAATCCTCCAAGGGAGAAAACAACTGATGCAGGTCAGCAAGATAGCGTGGGCAAGACGGGACTTGGGCGCATCTCTCGCTATCTAGACTTTCCACGAGACGATGTAGTTCAGGTCGTTTCACAAAATGAGGAGGCCCAGCGTGAAGCCATGCTTGTAGATACCTTAGAGGACCACTGATTCTCGACAGATATGGAAGTGAAAAGTCCGAGAAAGTGAATTTTGCAGTAGAAACGTCTGTCTGGTAAGACTCCCTTGTAGCCCCGGCCTGCTGAATAGGGTTGCACAGGTTGTCCAAACCCGGGAGTGGAAGAAGAGGTTCTGTAAGACTGTGCTTTGTACTTACTCGAGTGCTCAATGTATGCTGATTGGGGCAAATAAATCTCCGGATTCGTTAGGCTGGTCATGGACATGGATCTTGACATCTCCGAATCGTACATAACCACCACCCGAAGGCAAGGGCACATGTGACATGATTAAGGACTACTGAGGGGGCACATTATGAGGCAGATATGAGATGAGAGATATCTTTCGAATGGTCTTGTCCTTTGTCATCTGCAAACTCTCCCACTGGTAGCCTTTCAATTCTTCCGACATTACTAGATATCGCCTCTTTGCACGCCCATCTATATCTGGGAGTTGGGGGACTATACCTGAATGGTCTCGACCTGCTGTGTATACTGAGATATGCCGTCATCGTCAGTGTTCCCGAATTGGCTTTGGTTACGAGACACTGGCATGACCCCCTGTTCACAGCTTGACAATTCGATCAATTTTCGGAGTCTCAGAGAGCATCAGGTGGGCAATGTCTGGAATCACAACCCACTCAGTAATCTTCCGCCGCCGTTTCTGGCTCCTGAACGGTGCAAGATTAAACTGTTGGAGATTTACTCGTCGTTCTAAACCCTCTCGCCGCTGCCTGGCTATCGGGCGACCACCTGCTAAAACGATTGCGCCAACGCCTGGGACAAATTCGGTTTCGTCTCGAATCCGAAGCTATTTCTCCTCCATGAAGAAGTGCTTTGGCTGGTATGCCCGCCAACAACATCATCGACCGTACATCACCGAAATATGCAGCATGGGTCTGATTTACTGTGTCGGAGATTTCTCTGCGCAGATTCTCGGTGCAGATGGTTATGATGTCCACCGACGATGCGCAATATCACGATTGGTGCGGTGGCAGCAATCCCTAGCCACAAATGGTTTCTATTTCTGGGACGGAATTTCAACTACTGTTCTGCGATGGTCTCGACGTGGATAAAAGTAGTTGTGAACCAGCTGGTTTATACACCTTTGTTCAATGTATACTTCTTCGCCTTTCACGCGATTCTCTCTGGCATGGCCCTCACCGGAGCCATTGAACGAGTCAAAAATACCGTACCAACGAGCCTACCACGAAGCTTCCTGTACTGGCCCTTCGTCACAGCCTTCAATTTCACCTATGCTCAACCGCAATCTCGGTCGGTTGTCACGGCCGCCCTCGCAGTGTTTTGGCAGTCATACATGAGTTGGTTGAATGTCCAAGCCCAGAAGCATGAGAAGGGCCACGCGTCAACTTTCAACCTACCGGAACGATGACGCTGTTGGTTTGCAGATGGTCCTCCCACACCCGCGTAGCATCTTCACTGCAAGTTCATTGGATTCTGAGCGAGGAGCATCCGGGATAGTTCTCTAGAGTCGCTCTTTCACTAGCACGTAGATGCGATGGCCGAGTAGAAATAATAGGGGGAAGGTCCATAGCGGCCCTTATTTTCTTTTCCTATTTGGAATTACCGTGGCTCGAGAGTCATGCGACTGTTCGTTGACCGGTTCTATGATAAATCGGTCGCAGCGGGTCGAGGCAAAAAGTAGTGGGGTGGCTTCCATATCGTTGGAGGGTATACCTACCTATATGAGCTATTGCGTAATGGTAGGTCTGGATTGTTGAGTATGTTATACTAAGGATGGTTATCTGAACAGTCGTGCTATAGTAAAATATAATTGTATTAAAGATATAAAGAGGAAAGCCTTCGAAGATTTACGTGATTTCCACTAGGCAGCCCCCCGGCGAATCGACCACGCACGGGATTGCACATTATCAGTAGGCACCTCCTACCCATTAGCAGTCTACCTATCAGCGCCAATAGTACTCACTTCGCGGCGGTGCGGTGAGCTAGAATATACAGTAATCTGTCCTTAGGAAAGGTCTAAAAAGCTACAATAATACCTCTTTCAGGAGAAGGAGGAGGTGATCGATAATTTTACAACCTAAAAAAGGGCGGGAACGCTATAATTTTATCTATATCGATTAGAGCCCTTTATAATACCTTGTTACTATCGTAAAAGGCTTTACGTAGTTAGTTTTAGAATGTCTACTTACGGTAGCACTAATAGATGCACCTACCAACTTACTTACCTAAGCTACGGCCTTAGCTGTATTATATCTTATCGCCTAGGTGATTTACGGATAGCCGTATCTAGTCGATGACAGAATATAAGGCGTATAGGTGTCGCCTGGGCGAACGGCGATTACTTAACACGTTTCATGAATAGATTCCATCCCCCATCTAACCGGAGCATTCTCATGGCAAAACGGAGTGCTGAGGAGTAGCCATCTAGTCTCAGTCACGGAATACGATACCCAAGTCCAACTAGTAGTCCTACTACTAAGAATTAATAGCAGGGACTTGAGAAAGATATTAAGTCCCCATGTTCAAAGGTGACCTGATCAAGCACATATAAGGATAATGGTGGAGGATAGCAATTATTGATATATGACAAAGTCCATTCAACACTTATAACTTCAAGACCAACAAGCTTCTGCGTATCTCTCCATCACCTCTGACTCACGTATCGTTTGACCGTGACGTGATGAGGGCGCTGAACCACTTTGATCATGCCATTTGACCCCTAACCACACCTGGAACGTACAGAGCTGTATGGCTGTCTGCGAAGAAGCCCTCTGGGTTCTGTTCGATCTCCTTGACTGCAAAACCAGTGCCAGAATCAACACCATTCGACATTATTCCAGTAAAGAAGGGCCCAGTCAAACAGCCAACTGAGCGTCGGACAACAGAGGAGTGGCCACTAATGGGCAGAGGGTTAGGAAATGCGAGACGAGGGGGGCCTGATGCTCCCTTAGCCGCTTCGTGAATATGTGTAGCGGTAAGAGCTGCGGACTGATAGTCTCCTGTAACACCTTCAAGAGTGATGTTCTATGTGGTTCACACCCTAATCAGCAAGGGCAGAAGAGCGTTAGTTGGAATACGCACATAGCAAATAACATCAAGTTCAGCATTGATTCCAAAGTTGAAGTAACCGACAGAACCAGGCTCGCCTGGGGTAGGCGTGGTCCCATTTATGACCTGGTCCGGGGTTGCGACGACATGGTACACAGAGCTGAAGCGGAACGGAGAGTCCCCGTCGGCCCACTCAGTCCATGTAGTCCCCCTGACACTGATAGGACCAGCAGCAGCAATGCTACTCAGAGAGGCGACAAGGAGGGAAAGACTAATGGTCTTCATACTGTGGCGGACGTGCTAAGTTGGGTTCTGTAGTGAGAGGTTTGCTTTCTCGTTTAAGTATCGATCAATGACAAACTAGAATGGTTGGAGAAGATGGTTGGCTGACCGGCAGCTCACAGACGGACCGTCCATGCAGTTTATATAGATCAAGGGAGCGCGTCCGTTAGCTCTCCTGGGCGGATCAGCAGTAGTTTTGCCGACTTCTACGCTGTCGTGACAACGAATTCTCTGGCCGGTCTTCATGACCCATTTACACCGAGAGAGCACCGTCATACTTTCATAGCGCTCTATGAGCAGTCCTGAAGACAATGACGGTGCTAAGAAAAGTTTGGACACTTAGAAAACGCCAAGGTGCTGTTTAGGAATATTGGCAGAGGCGAATCAGGCTGGAGGTGTCTGTGCCAAGGGCTTCGAGATCGCGAATCTGCCATTAGTGCATCTGGAAAGGCTGAGCAAGGGCGAGGCACGGAAAACGAAAGAGGAGTAACCAACTCGATGGCCTTGTCTTCCTCGTACTATCGCCAAAAGTGGGCAAGGTCGTCATGGTTGTCGTCCGCATCAAGAAACGAAATCCTTATTTATTGTTTCTTTGGGAAGTGCCAAGTTCGCCAATCGTGACTGTCCGAAACCCCTTGAACGCCAAAAGAGGCTACGTCACAATCTTTGGCGAGGGGACATTGGGAAAGCTTCCAAGGCTCCCTCTCCCAAGACCATGGAGCTTTGTCGATCAGTTGTCACGACCTTGGTTTTCTTGAAAGCTAGGGCACTTTTACTTTGCAGAGCTTCTTTAAATAACTTTTGCCAATCTGATCTGCAAATCAGCTGGGGATGCCACGGAGCAACGAGTAACTCTGCGAGACTCTTATTTCCCACTTGATTGCAGAGACTGATTTGCTACCATTCGTCTGGCATAAAGCTACTCGTCCGTTTGTTCTCGACCATTAATCCTTACAGTTATAGCACCTGATCGGTCTGCAGGGGACGCAGGAGATGTTTTTTGTCTACTTCTGTTGCAAAACCCCCGGATTTCAGTGCAGCAGATCCTACCCGCGTCCGGTCGATCGATGGGCTGAGGAGCTTCTTCTCGGGAATGTAGATTACGGTGACAAGGCCAATGCCTGTCTAGTAGACTAGACAAGGAAATTCAAGTAACAACGAAGCTAACTCTTTGGTGTAAAAGCTACCGGGCAATTTCATGGGGTCCGAGTTTGAGTGCTGCGCCTCAATGACCTCCATGCCAGGCATGCCAAGTTCCAAGGGATATCCTCCGCAATTAGTCCCAAAAGTCATTGATACAATCGGAAAGCTGTTTGTCATAGAGTTATCGTATTAGCCTTAGCAACCACAGAGCGTATACGGGGAGCCTTTCTCAAATAGCTGGCATAGGTGTGCATGCTTTCTCATTGTCGCACTCTCGAGCCAAGCCACACATATATCGGCCAGGTAGCGGTCTGTCTACAACTTAATTGCTACTTGAGGCCTACCCCGCTGGGAGCGAAGCTACATACAGGGGGGTCTCCTGTGCGGGCTGCGCCCCCCCCCCCTGTTAGGCACCTCCTTTACTCGCCCTCCTATGCAACCTCGCTGTCGCCCTGCCTACTACTACGCCGCATACCTACTCTGCCGTCGCCTACCTACTCTGCCGCCGTCTACCTATCCTGCCGCCGCCTATACAATGCCTGGGAAGCATACAAACCGTAAGTCGTACGCCGATCCTGATCGACCGCGCGGCCAGCGCTTAGTAGAAAGAGAACGCACTTAAATCATCACCTTATATACAATTGCTAAATGGAATTAAAGGCAAATTGTAAAAGAACTTCGATTTGCTAAATCTATAGTTCGACTATATATTCGCTCTAGTATCTGTATACCCTAGAAACTAGTTGATCGTACGCTATTACTTACTACTCGTAAAAGAAGGCGCTTAGTTTAAAGGGCTACGCTTAATACCTATTATTGTCGCCTATTATATACGGCAATTACTTAATTAGAAGGTATTTAAGCCTATCGACGCTCTTTAACAACAGCATTCGAAAAAGAGTAATATCATCGTCGTACGGCGTAAGAAAAGCTATTTTTAACTCCTAATTATATGCAACAACGTCTACAATGGGCGAAAGCCCATTAATCCTAGGATTTTAATATATGGAAGCGAGTTAGTTAGACTAATACCGTATCCTTACAATAGGAGTATTCGGCAAGATCTATATTACGCGTACGACTAAAGAGAAATATTAATCGGAATGCTTAGTTCTAAAATTTTCTAGATTTTTAGTAGTAATAGTATATGGCGTAATATCTAGTATTAAAAAAGGCCCTTTAATCCTTATAGATAAGGCCTAGGGAAAGGTTAATTCGTAGGTCTATATAGAAAGAGTATTACCTTAATTTTATTAATATCTTCGTAATATTTAATACTATATCGGCTTTATACGAAGTATTTTAATAGAAGATAGCGTATCTATTTATACTAGTAAGTAAATAAGGGCCTATTATAGAAGGCATTAGATTAATCGAATAGTTTAGCTAGCGCATTCACTAGATCTCAATCCTATTGAGAATGTTTAGCGATTACTGAAATATCGCATTGGGAAACGATTTCCTAGAATAGATACTAAAGTACGGTAATATTTACTAGAAGAGTGGGATAAACTATAGCCGGAAGACTTTATGAAGTATATAGAGATAATGCCGGAGCGCTGTAGGGCAGTTATCGCCGCGCAAGGTGGCCATACTAAATGGTGAATTGTATATATCATTGAGAGCGACAGCGAGGTTTGTACAGGCGGTTTGGCAGCGCAACTAGTGTAACAAGGGGGGGGGGGGCCGCAGCCCGCACAGGAGACCCCCCTGTAGCTTTGTAGTAATAACCTCGCTTACAGTAATGCAGGGCTGAATGAGGGGTAATTTTAATAGCCGCGGCACTGAATCAAACAGTGTCACCCCCATGGCCGAGGGCCTGTCTCTGAGCATGGCAATGGCTTTCCAGAGAGTATACGGGCACGCGTTGAGCAGGAGCAATATGGAACATACTCCTCTTTCCCCCTCCAGTCCGCTTCAACATCAATCCATCCACAGTCTTGTCCATAATAGACGTCAAGCGCACTTGTGTTCGCCACTGTCAAAAGTGACTTGTGATTCTAACGTCGGGTCTTTCAAGATCACTGAACGTTTTGGTTATTTAACAGTCTACAATTTTATGATTCCATCGACATGGCACAAGTCGAGGTTGTATCGTCATCCTTGGGAGTTGTCCTTCAACAGGCCAATGAGCACCTTCTATTTACCCCGTTACCTACATTCAAAGAGGTAGGAGTTCCATCCACCCTTTCGAGCTTGCAGAACGATGAGCCATCTGGTGCAACGAGTCAAGATTTGCGCTTTGACCCTAGCGCTCTGAAAGCGCGGTACGACTTAGAGCGAGACAAGCGACTTGCCGCAAACCTAGATGGCGTTGATCAGTATAAATCGATCAAAGACAGCGATCCCGTATTTGGCCATTACATCAATGATCCATACGTCAAAAGAAAGGAAAGAAGTCCAGTAAGCGAACGAGTTGAGACTTTAATTGTTGGTGGCTATGGTGGCCAACTAGTCGCTGTTCGGCTCCTGGAAGCGGGTGTCACAGATATAAGGATGGTTGAGAAAGGGGGCGATTTCGGAGGAACGTGGTATGCAAGCCTATGGGAATCGCCCTCATTCATACCTTGCCAATATCGCACTAAACAATCTCAAATTAAAGGTATTGGAATAGATATCCTAGTGCCCAATGTGATATCGAGAGCTATATTTACATGCCACTTCTGGATGAGACCGGATATGTTCCAACGGAAAAATACGCTCGGAACGAAGAGCTTCTTAAGCATGCCAAAATGATAGACCGTCGATATGGTCTATATCCAAGAACAATATTTCAGACCGAAATCAAAAAGGTTGTGTGGGACTCAGAAAACAATGAGTGGATTGCTCACAGCGACCGTGGCGACATTATCAAAGCACGCTTCTTTGTCTCTGCCGCAGGACGAACCATTACACCGCCCAAAGCTGCCGGGGATTCCAGGAATTGAAAAGTTCATGGGCCACTCTTTTCATTCTTCTCGATGGGACTATGATTACACTGGCGGCAACAGCACAGGAGACCTTCACAAGCTGGCTGGCAAGCGGGTAGGCATTATAGGTACCGGCGCGACGAGTGTCCAGATCGTACCGCACCTAGCCAACCACGCGCAACAGCTTTACGTCTTTCAGCGTACTCCCAGTAGTATAGATGTTCGAGGCAACAAGATGACAGATACGGGGTGGGTCAAATCGTTAGGTGATCATTGGCAGAAACGGCGAATGGATAATTTCAACATCATTGTCAATGGTGGTCATCAAGATGTGGACCTAGTTGCTGATGGATGGACGGATATCATTCGCAAACTGCTCGTCCGCCGACCAAATGACCCCAGTAACCCTGAAAGCGCCGAGGGAATGGCTAAGAAGCGTCAGCTTTGCGAATATGAGAAAATGGAGCAGATCCGGGCACGAGTTGACTCGATCGTCCAAAACCCGGCAACCGCCGCCAAGCTTAAACCATATTACAATCAGTTTTGCAAGCGACCGTGCTTTCATGACGAATATTTACAGAGCTTCAATAGTCCAATCGTTCAACTGGTCGACACAGATGGCAAGGGTGCCCAGGGCATTAGCGAAAGAGGTGTCATCGCTAATGGGAAAGAATATGAGATTGGCTGCCTGATTTACGCAACTGGATTTGAACTCGCCACAGACTGGCCTCAAAGAAGTGGTTTTGAGGTAACTGGACAAGACGGAATACTACTCTCAAAGAAGTGGAAAGATGGTGCATCAACCCTACATGGCTGGACGACGCGCGGGTTTCCGAACTTCTTCATAGTACAAATATTGCAAGCAGCATTAACTCCACATTTCATGCATGTCACTGCCGATCAAGCAATTCACTTTGCATATGTGATCAACGAGACGAAAAAGCGAAACATCAGGACCCTTCAGCCCACGTACGAAGCGGAAGATCAATGGGTTCAAACAATTGTCGCATTCAGCAAAATCAGAGAAAGCTTTCAGAAGGAATGTACACCCGGCTATTATAACAATGAGGGCATTCCAACCTTGAAATTATCTAGAAACTCGTCCTACGGCGGTGGTCCGCTAAAGTTTCTCCAAATAATGGAAGAGTGGCGGGCGAAGGGAGACTTGGATGGGCTTGATATCGAACATTTCGAGAGCAATAGACATTATTACGTTTCACCTAGCGGTGTTTAGTTAGAATCGCCCACTCTGTTGCTCGTTTTAACAGTCAGCCATGGATCTCATCCACTGACGTATACAACAGCTTGATCATGCCTCAACTGGGAGTGCCCAGGACTGGCGACGTGTCTTGCCCTTTTCTAACAAGCAAACAGCGACCATCATATATCGGTAAACCCGATTCGCTACGCTGCATATTTCCCCAATATATCCACCCCAATCTTTGGCGGCCGACGATTTCCATATTAATCCATAACTTATAAGGGCTTCCACCGTCACCAAAGCGGCTGAGTAAAGGCCGATGATGGCGAGGAACTCATTGCGGTAAATTGGCGCGTCACTCGATTGGAATAGTTGTTGGCCGGCCAGGCAGCCGAGACTGCTACCCATGACCGTGAGCGCGAGGCCAATGTGCAGATGTTGTGGTTTTTCTGCAGTTACTGCTGAGCCACACCCCATGAATGCGGGTCTCTGTGACATGAGCAAGGGCGACGGATCGACGCTACGCTTGTCGAGAAGTCGATGGAGGGCCGGACAGAGTCAGTTCAGCAGCCAAGGGTTCTGCCTTTTCGTCCTTGGGTGAATCTGCAAATCTCTGACTCTACCACATCCGCGCTCCAAAACCGTGTGGGCTTTAAATAGAGTGGCCTTTGTCCAAGAATCTGAAAATCTGTCCGCACAAATGATCTAGTGGACAGGAGGGATGGTAGCCCATGTGCACACTCACCGCGTCGATTTCTGAATAGAGGATGGCGAAAGCTTGAATCCCAGCCTGTTTTGAGGAGCTATATCTTGGGCACTGGCGTCGGACTATCCAGAATTCCAGCTGCTGTTTCCTCTGAAGACTCCATGGCCCGCAGGCATTGACCAATAGGATTTTCGCCACCACGCAAAAGAGAGTAATGTTAGAAGCTCCGGTGTTCGACGGGACTTACAGTCATAGCCTTGTCGGGGCCATTCAACGGCGCGTTGCTTATTCGTAAAGTACATACTCCCAGTGCAAGCTCATTTATCACAGAATTGTCCTAACATGACAAGGATTATGAGGTGTACGCGCTAGACGCCACCGTCTGAGAGCATATCAAGCAAATTGGATGTAAATACTTTTAGGTCAATGTTACTTCACCAGATTCTGTAACTGAGTTCAAGAAAGACTTCGGTAACCAGCCAGTGGATATACTCCTCAACGTCGCGGGCCTTATGATGAAACCTGACCAGAATACCTTGAGAACGATGAGCCTGGATGCCCTGAACAAGTCAGTCGCAGTGAATGCTTCCGGGGCCCTTCCTCCTAACCTAGGCTCTATTACAAAACTTCTTAGCCACCAAGGGCGCAAAGATCGGAATCGTCTCTACTCGAGTTTCCAGCATGGCAGATAATACAGGAGGCGGTCTATGTTCGTACCGTGCATCGAAAGCGGCTGTAAACGCGATTGGAGTGAGCCTGTCTGGCAATATTCGGTCTGAAGGGGTAACGGTCCTCCTATTGCATCCCGTGGTCAATAACACGAATTTGGCTGTGGGTGCCCTCAAGGGGTTTACTAATAGTCGACACCCACTGGTCCACGGCTGTCTGGGTCTAAGCCCATACAAGCTGTGGACTCGGGATGGCAGTACGGCTTGCCCGGGTTTATGCATGAAAGGTTTGACCCGACGCCGTGGGGATTGAGCCGAGCTTGGGGCGAGGGGTGGCGTTTACTAGCTCGCCGCGAGTCTTAAAATATAGTGTTCGGTATACTTCTCAATGCTGAACGCAGGAAGCTGGTCTCCCACGGTCCCTATTTACGTTGCTGCTTAGGTTTGAATAGGAGGGAGTTTATGCCACTTAAATCCCATAGTGAACCATGTCGACGCCAGAAGAGTTCGTCTTGCCCTTTGTCGCAGTTGTGACAGTCTGGTTCACTGCAGTATTTTGGAAGCTTTCGCCTGCTTCTAAATGTACTAAAGTATGGTCGACAGTCTAGATTTCTGTCTTGCTTTCTTATCTTTACAATCTAACGGCATAAAAATCTGCCAGTATGCTTGTCAGGGACTACATCTTCAATGAACCTGCCAAAGCAGTCCTCGTCCCTCTCTCGGTTGTTGTACCAGTAAAGTATCTCCAACAGAAACTCCGCTTTGCACGCGTCAACGCCATCAAGTGGAAGTATAGACACACGGACGATGCTGCTTCGTGGGAAGAGATGATGGTCGAACAGGCACAAGAGATTGAAGCGAACATGGCTGAAGTAAGTAAATCCTTAGCCCGCTGATCCCACCTACCCTCGATTTCAAATTCATTGTTGCCACAGTCGCACTTTTACTCACGATTCGAGCTTTTAGTCACTAACATGCAAAGTGGTGAGTGTAGTACACTCTCTCGCTCAAGGTTCTCGTTTGATCGGAACTCTTAGGTGTCCCAAGTCAGGAAGCCTCATTGATGCAGACTAATATTTTCATACATCAGGGAGTTTCCGCGCCTATGGCAATTCGGGTGGATTTCTGATTTTTCCGGGTATGTTATTAAAGTGTTATCAATTGAGACCAGCGAATGACTGATCCTCGACCCAGACATCCACCGACGCTGGGGTCGCTCGAGCAATAGACAATTTCGGTCATTTTACCAACGAAGATAAGAGCATCAATAAATGCAAGCAACGGTCACCTCATGACGGGAATGGTGGCGTACAAGGTTAAGTCACGCAACCAGAGTCTTATGGTGGTTCATATTAATTAGCATGTAAGAGGAAAATTCAGCTAGCGTGGTTTTAAGGAACCCAACGCGATAGATACTAGCACCACAGATACGGGATCAAGATCGACAGTGATGGCGTCTTATATCTTTTCATTTATTTCGGGTTGGCGCCAGTGCCTTAGATCAATCGATTTGGGTATCGCAAGCTCGAACCTATCGAAGTGCAGGCAATGTGAGTCTGCATATCATGAGAGGTCATTCAGACTTAGTGACATCGTTTACAGTTGGGTTATGTGAAGAGAGATCGCGTGCCGTATGGGTCTTAAGTAAATCCATAAAACCTTGGAATAGGCTCTCAAAGAGTGCAGGGTACGTCTTATCAGAGGTCCCCACCGGAAACCAACAAAGAGGTGAGTGCCCTCCCGGTGCTAGCACCGATAATCTTGAAGACTGTCACTAATAGCATTAAGCTATAGGAAAAAACAATATTCCTCCACACTCCATATGACACCATGCCTTGGTGGCAGGAGGCAAGTTTCTGGAATCTATGGGGTCCGCGCGCTCTCCTTCGCCGTCTCCGCGGTTTGCCTCTGCCTAGCAACGAGCATCGAAGTGAAGTGGTACGGTTTGAGGCTATGGGTGCGCCATATAGACATCCGGGGACGCACTTGACCACTGAGAAGAGGGTTCGTGAGAACGCTGCCATCCTAGAGAACGTACCATATGATTACCGCCCGTCGATACGTTTTCAAGCTGGCAGACTACTTGAACCTTCGCTGGACCGACCTACGGTTCCGAAGTGAATACATTTGCAGAAGGCACGCAATTAATTTCGAACAACCCGATTCGCTTCACTAGGCAGGATGAATAACGAAGGGGAGCCTTCGCCAAGCTGGGAAGCATTGGGAAGCCCGAAGACGTCGATCGAGATGAGACAACAGAAAGAACTTCAACAAAATTCGTACATTCAGACCAGAATATTTCTGCACCCTATATAGTACACCAGCACCATTTGTCTCGGTCTAGGCTTAGACGGAGACCAGACTAATATATATAGCACTATGTAGGAGCTATCTTTAATTAGTACCAAATGAGTATAGTTTTATCCTCTTTCCGGCGAGTACCCGTCCATTATGAAGGCCAAACTAACGGTCTTAACGTAGCTCCTGTCTAGCGAAGGGCCTTACTTAGTGAAGATTTTCCAAAACTATTATTAAAATAAATTCCCAGCCTAAAAATTGCATTTAACGCTCACGGTCGTAGTTCAGCTCGAAGTGGCGAACTGCATAGGCTGGCCTAGTAGTCGAGGAGGCTGGCATCTTGCTCCGCTAGAGGTTCAAAAGCCTCCTGGATATGCGATGGCTCTTCCGTATCAATACCAATATCTCTCACCCTCGATTGGGGATTTTGCTTAGGTGTCCTACTCCGAGGATAATGATAACTGTAATTCCGAGCACCGGGAACAGGTAGAGCTTTGGGGTAAGTATTAAGCCTTCCATCCAGTATACAAACAAATGAATATTTGGTGCCCAAGCTCCAGAGGAATATACTTCAGAGCATTAGTCAAACGATTCGGGGCGGCGACAGTTTTGCCTCCTCTCCGGAGTAACAATGTGGTTTTTGTCAATGATTTGGGGCGGCGACAATCCTTCCTCCTACCTATAATATTGCTGCAGTAGTAGTGCGATAGTTTAGGGCGGTAATCCTTATATTTCTAATATGTGACATTTATATGCGACATTTATATTCAACAGGAGCCGCAGCCTTATCGGTGGTAGTCCTACATAGCTACTCTATCGTATGTATAAAAGTAGCTACTTACCAGTTCGATTTGGGAATCAGCTGTGTGAACTTTTACTTCGATAGCGTTCCTTGCTAATGTATCAGATATGCCGGCCGACACACCCTCACTCACACGAAAGACTGTGTTAGTTACAGGTTCTGTAGAGATACTGGCATAGGTGCCGCAATCGCCAGAGCTTTAGCCCGGAACGTCGCGTCTGTAGCAAATTCATTATGTTTCGGAGGACTCGAAGGGGCGGGCTGAGAAGGCAGCAGTTGACTTCAATAAAGAATTTGGGCCTAAAACTACACTCGTGCAAGGAGGGGTGCAAAATCACGATACCGAAACGAACAGGGTTAGGCAGATTCTGAAAACATTCGAGGCCAGTCATCGATATTCTCGGGATGTTATGGATGTTGTTGTAATGTTCTTTCCACGTAGTCGGACAAAACTAATTAGCCATTTGTTCTAGTCAACAACACAGCGGCTGCACGCAACATATCTCTCATGGAAGTTAAGGAACAGCAGCTGGAATATGAACTCGCTGTTAACGTCTTCGGCGTAATTTACATGATACAAACCGTTGTTGGCGCGGGTCGAATGCCGAAAGGCGGCCGCATCATCAACATCGACTCCATCGCCTCGAAGGTTTTGATTCCACCTCCTGTATATGGTGCGACAAAAGCTGCAATGGATGCTCTGATAACGCTATGGGCTGGCGAGGCAAGCTTTTCTTGATGTTCCTACAGTCTCTACGCTCGACATCCACCTGACGAAATACCGGACAGCTTGGTAAGAGCCGTGCAATTACCGTCAATAGACTCGCAACAGGTCAGTTCCAACAGATATGTCGAAAGACTATCTAGTGAAACCTGACGGGTCTGAGATGTAGTAGCGGCGACCGCCCACGCTCTTCGACCTTATTCACATCCGCTCCACACGCTATAAGTTCTATCATTTAGTAAATATAATATAGATTCCTTAACTAGTATAGCCTATTTTTCTATAAAGGTAGAGAGTATATTCGTTATTTTAGAATTATCGAAATCTAGACCTAAAAGAAACTTAGTACAATTAGTAAGCCCTAGCTCCTACTATAGTTAGTAATATAAGTAGTAATATAAGAATTATACTTACTCTATATAGTTCGAAAGTACTATTAAACGTAAAGAGATAGTTATAGAGACTATTCTATATCTCTTCTATATCCTCCTCCCGAATCTCTTTAAAGATATCTAGTCGAGTAAGCTTTATACTAAATATTATACAGAGTTTTAGTTCTATACTACTATAGTTTAATACTTAATTAGGGAGTAAATTAAGATATTCCTTTAGCGTTATTACTAGACCTAGCTATATATTCTATATAGTAGAATTCTACTAGAGTTTTCGTTTATATAGTATTATCTAAAATAAATTAGCTAATATAAATATCTATATAAGAAATATAAAATCCTTACCCGAGCGTATAATTCTTTAACTATTTCGTCCTTACCTTATATAGATATAGTGGATATAGTATTCCTAGCGGTTTCGTCGTTAGCTACGTCTACTATCTCCTCTTTAGCGTCTCCTTACTTATCTACCTACTATAGTTAGTAAGAATTATTATAATAAACTAGATATTCCTGACGAACCGATAGCTCAAAACTGACCTCCCACCTAAATATACAGTATTATATTGCTCACCCGAGCAAGCAATTTGGTGGGAATCTTGTGTATCTGGTTTTACACCTCTTCGATTGGTCGTATTTTCAGTAGGCTGAAATACTGGCCATGAAAGGTTCATAGATGTGAGAATGCTTCCATACAGCGAGCGGGAAATGAACTGACATCGGATAATAACACCCTAGGACACTCCTGGTCTGCCCCCTGGACAAACCCTATTGTTTGATGGTGCCATTCCGCAAGAATAATTAAGAATCTTACTTCACGGCCTTCGTGCAACATGGGCCTAAACTTCCGCTGCACTGTACAGGAACATTTTCTCACGATTCCAAACATTTGCACTCTGCGGGTCTGACCGAGGGCAACGCTAGTGACCACGTCAGAGGCACGATCTACCTGTAACAATTATGCTGCGCAACACATAGCAGCACAATACCACAGTATTCTACCGGCGGACGCCGAGCAATAATCACCTCTTACTCAACATCCCAAGCAGAAGCCCGGGCTATGAAGATCCCGGACTGAAACCTCGCGGCAACCTTGAGCGGGTTCAGGGTCAAACACACACCCCCCATATTGATTTATGCCTCTTCAAGTTTGTGTGGTTTGACATGGTCACGGCAAATCCTAGCCGAGATTAGCAGTCGCCAGATGTTGCCGAAATCAAGATAGCCATTTTGGTAGTGAAAACTTGTGTAGAGATTACAGAGAATAAATAGGATATGCCCCTGATATACCCTAAAATAGGGGCTGGATAGGAAGGTCTAGGCGCGCCGCCGAGCCCCTTAAAAACAAACGTAAAACAGACCTAATGTAGGGTCATATTCTCTAAACACCAGGCATGGCTAGGCCGACCCTAGCCGGGATGCTTAGTAGGTGTGTTAGAGTCTAGCCGACTATCGGCTTGGGTCTTAGAATTAATTAATTATCTTTCCTCTTCTACTGCGTGTCTGCCGCCGCCTCTTCCACTTCAAGGAGAACTCACTCCCTGACTCGTCTATTGTCCGGCTTCGACTTTGCTGGTATAGCATCAAGAGAACGCTATCCGGCCTCCACCAACATTTAATCGTCCAATCCAGGAATATCACATGTCCCGAAGCCGTTGATCGCGAAGCTGGATGGCCTGGACTCTGTCCTTGCAACTCGGCGAGAAGATGGACGACGTGATTAGTAAGGGATAGGGGAGGACACACCGTGCCCCAACCGAGAAGATTCGTCACTCGCCCCGTAGCAACTTCTTAGTCGTGCTCAGGATCAGATACATGCCAACAGCGCGATGCCAACTGGGAGATTGTGCCAGCTGATATCTTAGTGGCTGCGTAGTGCCTCTGAACGTCAGAACGTGCACCAAATTCTGGACTGGACACCATCACGCCACAGCAGGAGCGGATAATGATCAATTAGTCGAGATCGGACGGATTTCGCACATGGTTAGAAGTTAGGCGAATGGCCTGCGGAGGCGAAAACTTAGGACGGTACTGTTCCCTGCAGTTGAGCGGGCCAAAAATTTGATGTACTTATGCTGTGTACTGCTTGCAGACGAGAAGGAACCGGAGTCTCCACGACTCGCCGCTGAAGACGTCCAATGTGCCTCGATACACAATCAGAACCTGTCAAAAAGGACATTAACAGAGTACTAAGCCGCTGCCGTAATGCGCTAGAATGCCCTGTACTGCTGCATGGAAGTCAGAGATCCTTTCACAAGAGTTCACAGGCCCCCTTGGCTCGGTCCTTGTAGCACGTCTAACGCAAAGCTAGGCCACTCCAAGGTCTATTCTACCCGACACGCCAAATCTTGACAGAAATCTGTACTACGATCACTACTTTCATTTCCTCGTGGATAATTCTCAGTCGTCAAAGCGACAAAGGTCATTAATCTCGTGTTATAATGTACTCATTTCCTTCACCTCCGGCTCTTGTCACAGCCTTCCTGGTTCTCTGTGGCCTTCTCCCGCTGGAGACTAGCGTTCAGTCTACGAGGAGAAATTAATCTAGATTCCGCACTACGGTGCTATCTTTAGACGTGTATCTATACATTGTCGAGTATTGTAGAACATTAAGCTATGGAAATAATAGCTTCTAATATATATTGTATTATATTGTACTCTAATGGAGATCTTCTGCCATTAGATCTCGTAAGCTTTGAGTTCCTTTTGTTCGACCTATAGTAGCCTCTCTAGCAGTTTACGTGAGATCAGGAAATCTTTCAGCGCCCCACGGGCTAAGAAGGGGGTTAGTTACGGCAACAAGATATACTAGAGAGCACAGATTCGGCCGTTGAATCGCCGGCTCTGGTGTCTAAGCCGGCGGAGTATTGTATCAAGGATCCGTTCGACCACAACTTAGGCAAATTAGATAGAAAACTCCTTTCGTCATCACCCTCATCGCTGGGACTATATCATGCAATGGTATGCACTTCCCAATCGGATTCATTTGAATACCCAGGTTTGTATTAGACCAGATGCTCTCGCTCGGTAGGATCATCTGCTTCATCTAATACAAATGACCTGCTCTCTGTCCCTGGACTTCCCAATCTCATCCTTGTCGATCCTTCCTTCAGGCTGGTGCTTTCAATGGCGCTTGAGTCATATTTGGCATTTTATTTGATAATGCTATGCTCGAAGATGGAGTCGGCACACGGTGCTTGCTACTTCTGCACGCCAAGATGAGTACAAGACCCTATATTCATCGAAGGCTGCTTGAAAGATTCTTCCAGATCTGGTAAGAGTCGTCCTGACAATTTATTCCGTGGAGGGCTGACGGAATACCGTAGACTCCAAGTCATAGTTAGGTGATTACCTGATATGTGGAAAGCTGGAGACTTTCGCCAGAGAATCGTTTGCTGCGAGAACCGGCGATGGTTCCTGTCCTGCTTTGGAATATCTTCTGGGGATCGCAGAACTGGGACCTGCGACACTCCCACCGGGACTCAAAACGGAGACCTGATATTCTACTTGGAGAATCTACCTCTCCACCATCGATTATTGCAAATAAACGAAGTTGCGGGGCTTCATTATGCCCTGCCAAATCATGAAAACCCCGTGCCCCGCCACAAAGTAAGACGGGAATGTGGTTTGGTCTTCCTAATAAAAGCGAACAACGGGCCGGGTCCGAAAGAAGTCAGGCTTCATCTTCTTGGCGTGCATTGCCACTGAGGATTAGTTGACACCGCTCCCGAATTCAGGAGTCCACGAGCATTTGATGGGCTTTTGCTGAGTGTTACGCCGACCTGGCAAAAGATGATAGTCCAATCACCCTTGATCTGCCATTGTGGGACTATATTGATACTCGTGGGGTCTTCTTGTCTGCCGCAAAGCGAGGTACTCGTAGAAATAAAAATGACTGCCGCTTCAAGAGTCATTCAGCTGCGTTTCATCATTCTGTTAGCGATGCGCCTCCAACTTGCAGCTTGTTTACTGGCGTGGTTATCCACCTTCCATGTATCTGCAACTCAAGAATGGAATTTCACACTTCAGTTGCCCCATCAAAGACCGGCATGGGCTGAGAAACTGTCGCCTAACCTCATCGCTTTCAGTCTGGAACTGGATCGCTGGCCCTATTGGGCTGGTGAGGCCGTGGGAAAGCCCAATAATTATTTTCATCAGCTGTTGAGGAATCTAGCGGATAGGACTGGACATATGGCCTTTCTTAGGGTCGGAGGTAACTCGGTTGACCGCGCCACAGTTGATCTTGGAATTGAAGTTATGGATGCTATCTTTCCACTACCGACTGAAGGAGAACCCAATCCCGAAGCACAGCACGTCTTCATTGGCCGCGACTTCTACGCTTTATCTGGAAATCTCCCACCTGGTACCTCGATATGCTGGGGTTTGAATTTGGAGCACTTGAACAAAACCGAGACATTGGCTTAGGCCGCTTTGGTGAGCGATGCGTTTCAAGGACTGCGAGCGAATCTTACCAGGCATATCAGACTATCCGAGGTTGAAATAGGCAACGAGCCTGACTTTTTTGGCCTGACACGATCTCCTGTCAATGGGAGCCTGGGCCGCGACTGGGATGTGGCAAATTATACCGCTACATGGCTAGAATTTGCAAGTACCATCAGCAGTATGATTGACTTCAATTGTTCCAATCCGGATAGCCCGAAGCTTTATCCCGGTACCTTTACCTCGTGGGAAGCACCAGAATGGACTCCAGAGGGCACATTCACAGCCGGATTGCTGGAAAATGGCGGGATCAGGTGTAAAATATCTCATTGGAATCAGCACTTATACTCGAGCGCGTTTGACCCTCGTCGCGTTGTGAGGCCGGGTGAGTTGATGGACAAGATTTTCATTCGTGCCAACTTGTCTTCAAGGACAAGTGGGCGCATAGCAGCTCGATCTGCTGGGCTAGGATACGTAATGGTACTTGTTCAACCTCCACTTCGAAGAATTACCTGTTAACATCAGATCCAGGGTGAGACGAACTCGGTGGCACGGTAAGCACACGTTGAATGCGAAGAATCTTCATACCTGACACAGTAATACTCTAGTCACGGGCAACCCGGCTTGAGCAACACCGTAGAAGCTGCACTTTGGACCACCGACTACCTGCTTTTATGCGCCTCCTACGGCGTGGAGCGAGTGTATCTGCACCAAGGGGTTGGTTATCGATACAGCGCTATTCAGCCTATTTGGGATGCTGGTGATGGGCTCAACATTTCACGTCCACACATCCTACCTTCCTATAACGCTCTTCTAGTTGTCAACGAGGCAATTGGCGAGTCTCGAGACGCATTTGTAGCCGAACTACCCACTACCAATGTGACTCTGACAGCATACGGAATATGGGAAGGTGAGCAGCTTATGCGCCTCGTGGTATTGAACACGCAAGTATATCTCGGGACTGGTGAAAAATCGAGCATCAACGTAACGCTCAATGGACTGTCGCTGGCTGGCAGGTCTACTCTCAAGCGCCTGCAATCGGAAAAAACCACTGCGTACACGGGAGTGTGAGTGGCGTTTACCTCCGTCGGAGAATTGGCGCTGACCTAAACAGGACCTGGGCCGGGCAGAGCTTTGAGACCGCGTCCGGTAAACCTCAGGGAAAGGTGACGGAGGAAATAGTGCTAGGAACGTCTTTTAATCTTCCAGCATCCTCGATAGTATTGGTCACGTTAAGAGACAAGTGACTCCACTATCATCGGCCAATTGTTCGAATATGGCAAGAATTTGGCATAAATGCAGTGCCATTTCTCTCATTCAACGCCGATCCAGACTTGCCGCTTCGAGGCGCACCCCTTCAGCAGTTCCATCCGTAATGTCATGCTCAAAAATGCCATGTCCCAGTTCAAACGTTCAACACGAGAAATCGAAAAGAGGTGGTCAATTTAAATGCAAAGCTCAGAAAATCTAGTCGAGTGATGAAAAGGTTGTGTAGTACCTATCTTATAGACCCAATTTAGCGAACAAATCCGAGGGCGTAATGATCGCCGCTGAGATGTTTACAAAGGCTCGGCGAACCCTATAAAATATGCCAGTATTAAAAAGTAGGATAAGTCTTTAAGTGGTCCATTTTTAAATGAAAATATTACTTACGCCAGCCAAATAGTGGCTTTCGAAATGTCGTACTTGTCGTACAGAGTTGCTAAATCCCCTAGGGCCATAGGCGGCGTTTATAGGTGGACATCTCGAAAATACACGAAGTGCACTAGAGTAGGAACGCCTTTGGATTGTCGTCTGGGATTGATATCACTATTCGAACATCTGAGGTTGCGTTTATTGGGCTCCTTTGTTAAAGGAAGAATGAAACATTCTCGTGAAAATCGAATAACTCAAGCAGAGCGCATTCGTTCCCTCTTATGACTGTCCATAGAGCAGTACAAGAAACCTATGCGGGTGGCGGGCCGTGACTTTGCTTTTGAGCTAACCTACCATGTCTCCGGAAACAGAGATACAGGTGACGTAAGTTTACTTTTACTCATACTTCGATGTTGTGTCATGGGAAGCAATAGCAATCCCTGACTGGAAAGAAAGAAAGAAAGAAAACATACTGTTCAATTTGTGGCATCAGATATTTGATTAATTTTGCCAAGCTGGGACGCAACGGCGCCCAAATGCCTCGAGATCTCGAACATCAAGGGAACCCTCGTTGCCATTGTGCTTCTGGAGCGTCCCGGTAACCTGTATCATCATTCGCGTCGGACGTTCTACCACTATGGCAAATGGTTTATTGTACGCGCCAGCCTCCTCGGTGGGTATTGGTCTGAGGGTCCTTTCTATCATATCCCATTTCATATGGCTGGTTTGCCGGAGTAGCAAAGGTTAGCTCGGTGCTGTACCGGGCGTATAACAATACATAAAACCGTACAATATTATGTTGGGGTGTAGAACATACGGTTTGCCTCCTTGATCTTTGTAGGCATCTGTGATCCCCCCAGAGTCCCACGACTGACATAGTACCTAATAGCCGGGATTTATTGCATTGCTGTTCCAGTCTGAGCTCGAATAGTATTATTCGCGGACGGCGCGGCACTTTCGTATCGACTTGTTTACTCGATAAAAACCACGGCAACTTTATGATATTCACAGTATATATAGGCGATAGCTTAGCTCTAACTTAGAGCTACTCAATTTCAGGAGGAAAATCTCACTAGGAAGAGATGACAGTCATTGACGAATCACTACCAGAAATCCCTCGCTATCAAGTTTAACTGCGAGCACCGCTGTTTAACGTCGTGAGATACATCCGCGTATGCCACGCCCGCCACCCACACCCGAGCAATATCTCTCGTGTTCGAGATGTTCACCAACGGATTTGCATTTAGCAAGACTAGATCTGCGCGCTTGCCTACGTGCACCACCCCACGATCGTACATGTTCTGTAGCTTGGCTGGAAGTGCCGTTGCGGCTCTCAAAGCGTCGATGGGCCGCATGCCTGCCTCGACCAAAAACTCCAGTTCACAATGTAGATTGAAGCCGTACGGCATTGTGACATTTGCAGCACGAAGGTCAGCGGAATCTGTACCTGCGAGAATCGTAACCCCGGCGGCGATGAGTGCGTGGAGGTTCGCTTGCATGACAGGCCAGGTGTAGTTTTGCCCCAGAAGCTGGCGCAGGAGCTGGGAGTTGGCGCCTACGCGGAAAATCGCCATGGTAGGTGTGACAAACTGGTCTTGTGCTGCGATTTGCCTTGCGATGCGCGTAGGCATGATGCCATCGGCAGGGATGTGCTGAATACCCTCTGGTCGGGCGACGATAGCCTGCTCGTATGCGCTCAGGTATGATGCGTGCATCACTGCGTAGTAGCCCTTTGCATGCGTTGCAGCCACGACTCCATTGAGGAGTTCCTGATTAGGACCATCGGGCTCCGCGGTGACTTTCAGGAAAGATGCTGAAGACTCAGGCGGAAATGCCCAAGTCTCAACCCAAGCGGATGTGTTGTCCCCCGGAGACAGTGTTGACCCAGGAGGATTATCACCTAAAGGCAGGCGAGCGTGGGCGCTGTCAGTCCCAATCGCGGGGCGTGATGCTGTAATCATGTCTGCGGTTCCCTCCAAGCTCATCAAAGCTGAGCAGAATGTATAGTTGTAGCAAGCTAGATTGACCGCTGTCGTGACGCCGTAAGAGGCGAGTGCATCTAATGCCATTGGTGTCGATATGTGCACATGACTGTCGATGAGGCCTGGTACCAAGAATTTGCCTGTCCCGTCAACTTGGACTGCCGAAGACTCATGGCTGTCCACAGCCCCGATCTGAGCTATCACGCCGTCGTCGATGACCACAGTTTGCGGAGCGGACATGGTATGACCATCAAAGACTCGCACGTTACGAATCGATATCCTGATCGTGGTCGGTGCTGTTCGCCTAGCCAGGTATTCGTGTAGACCTTGGCTGTCCACATGGTGTCTCGGAGCGCAGGCACACACGCTCTGGATCGAAAGAAGCAAGCCTGCAACGTAACGTGATGTCTTCATGTTATGCTCTAAGCCACATCAAAGGATCTTTCCTTCCATAATAATTGAGGGATGCCAGGCGGTAACTTCAGAATTTGGTACTTGTCACTGGAAGAAGTGGCTGGCTAGATCGTTGCGGTAGCGACGAGCTTACTCTTTTGTGTATACATCGCCTAGAAATTCCCCACATGTTAGACAGCGGTCAGATGCCTAAATCTGGAGCCAAGCCTGGGGTGCCCCCTTCATTAGCCGTGTAAGGCAGCTAGTAACCGCCGAGAGAAACAAAATGCGATATGATGATCTGGTCCGTTGTAAGGTCCCACGGCTTAGTGGTTTTTCGGCGACGGGGCTACTTGTAGCTACGAGGGCAAGCAGCTCAAATAACAGCACGCATTTTGGAAGGATTTAGTTCATGCTAGTCTGCAGGAAAGATGTGGGAACCCCCCAAAGCCTCTCTTTGGTAAGATATGCTATGGATATTCCGAGCATCGAGGAATTTGTGCTCTTGTAAAGTTCACGTCACTCTTAGACGTGGCAGGCTTGTCGTCTAAGAGGATTGCCGAAACTTAATATGGCTTGCGCTCCTAGGAGAGTACGCTCGGGCGAGTTATAGGTGCTCGAGACCCTTATTCCTCGAAAGAAAACTGAGAAGCCTTTGATCTTTGACAAATGATCTATGCTGGAGTCCTTCTCTTTGGGGGGATAAAATGCGTGGCCTGCAGCATTAGAGCGCCAGCATTACTAGGTTTGGAGATTTACGCTTCACCGTGCCTAGAAGTAAGCGATTTTCAATCGGGAGCAACCTTTCCCGGCGGATCATTACCACTGTGTCGACATCTCTCTCTTTTCTCGCTTTCCTTATGACCTCTACCGCTGAGCTTTCCCGATTTTCTCCCTCTCCTAAGCCAAGCCACGGCCCTTCACAGGTTAGACTAGGATTTAGAGATAGCTATTGCGGCCTCTGGACGAATAAGTCTGGAATAGGTCCTCGTATGTGGTATTCTTAAGAGCATCCTCAGCTGCTTAAGCGTACGACATTTTGGGTTTTCATTAGACAGCCACTGGTTTTCTGATAACTAGACTAGCGTCTCTGGAATTGCCAGGCTCCCCTTTGTGGAATCTCTCACGGACGTATATCTCGTGGACTTGATCTACTTCTTGTATGGTTCCAGGGGAACTGTCTCAGAGCTTGTTCGCACTGGTGGCGCGGCTACATACACCAATATCCGAAGTACTATCGCTCGCCGTCGTTCAACTTTACGTTCTGTGCCCACCGACTCCATTATGTAACATCTTTATAGGGTACAACTTCAGCTCCCGGTTCGTTGGGTTGTTTTCTCCAATCATATGATCTCGACGATGTCAGGGCATTGACAAAGTGCTAATTCCACCATTGAGTCAGGACTCCTTGTACAAAGCTGTAGAATGACATTTTGTGGTAGACTGGAGCTCCGAGATTTCTCTATGACTCCGATGACTCATTCACGCTGCCCACTATTTTATTGGACTTGTAATTATGTTGACTGCGGCTCTGTCGACAATGTTCAGCGTTCGTGACTTTGGAAACATACTCCACAACAACGCTGCCCTGATTAGCAATCATCTAAGAAGAAATTTCATTGACGATTACTATTTATCTTGGTGATTATGTGAGATTTCTAGTATTAAGTCTTTCGAGCTGTTTATTTCTATGCCCAATTGATTATATCTAAGTGAAAATTCTTTATAGATACTAGAAGAATAGTAACTATAAACGCAGAAAAATTCACGGTGCGTTGTCCGTTAAGAGTATGCAACAATTCTGTCGATGTCAGCGTACGCTAGCTGGCTAAATAGCGACTTGAAATCTGTCAAAAAAAGGTCCTAAATTGGTTTTAGTTATTTGTTAGTATCTAGAGCCTAAGTTCAAGTCTTTCTTAGTAGACTTCAACCCATAGGCGGCTCCTTACTAAATAGAAGCTTGGGTGATAATTAAACGTAGATTTCTATGGAATGATATTTAATTATCCTGGGCCAGCGAGTCCTTCAAGAGTGGGTTTGTATTAATAGATATCATGCCGGAATATCCGTGGAGTATTTATTTAATTGTATCTAAGTTGCTAGTTTAAGAAGATAGGTAACTTAAGGTATCCTCCACCTACTTACGCAAGTGAATTATCGCCTAAGAAAGAAAGGAGTCTATAATGTACTCTATGACAGCATGAAGGCAGTAGGAGCTTTTTTCATGAAAGTCTATAGTAAGAAGGTTTCCGTGGTGTACGCAGCTTTATACTACACTAAAGGCTGTTGAGTGACTTAACCCTTAAATCTCTCTAGAGGATGCCTTATATGTACACAAGCTTTGCCCTACGGAGTAACGAAAGGGCGGCTTAACACTATACGATTAATACGTTTCTCGCGATATATCTCTTTAGTCCTTGGAGCCTATACGAAGGAGGGCAAGAGCGAATCTCTAAGTGTTTCCATCCTATCCTAGGTAGCTGAAGCGTGTCTACTGATCTACTGATTCTACCACAATGTAAGACTTCTCCTTCCCAGCCAGCGCTCACTTATAAACCTTCCCTGCCTCCACCAGCTTACCTTGGTAACGAAATAGATTCCTCAATTATTATAAGATGTCGAATGTGGCATGTGATTGGTCTTAGTGTCTTTTCGTAACAAGCCACTACAGTATAATCATGTATATATTCTCCGTTGCTGCAAGCTAATCTCACTTGTTTCACAGCTTGGCGATGAGAGCAATTTTCTCTAATTGATGAGTTCACCGGCAAATCTTCTCCCAGAAACACGTGAAGAATAACATGCGTCGACCCAAGCGACGGCGTAGCCACCCACCTAGAATGACACTAAACACCTAACCAACGCATGTTAATTTGTTGAGCAGAGATAACAAATACGGTTCGATAGCGTAATTCCCGGCCTTCTCGTTGAGGACACCCAATTTCTTCGTGAAAGCAGCCATCGCCTTCCTTGTGTTGTAGGTAGAGATGTCTGTATACCGTGGCCAGCCAGCCTACAAACGACTGAGACTGATAACAAAATTATTCCTTCAAGCATGACACTGATTCTGCGAAAGAGAGAACTTATCCATTCCGAAGATTCCTTGAGAAAGCATAAAAACTAAGACGGTGAGAAATAGGCGGCCATTGAAGGCCCCAAAAATTGGCCGGTAATTAAACCTCACGTTGAGGCGACCAAGAGATTTCGAATAAAACTTTACTTCCGAATATACGATAACTGGTGAAGAGCACATAACTACTATATCTATAGAGCTGGCAGGGGTCTAGAGAACGGAGTGGCTAGCTTAAACCCGGAGTTTAGGAGTACACCAAACACCCAGGTGACTTTATTTGCCCCCTAGGGGTAAACGAGTACTAGTGGGCGGAGAAGGACCGGTCAGATGTCTAGGGGCGCCGATATTAAGAACCGTAATTATAGAACATGATTCCGAAAACCGCAATAGTCGAACAACGCCATTCTCGGTCTGCGATAGTGTTTCTGGCCGTGCGATCTTGCAAACCATCGCACACCGGGTGCTAGCTTGTCTCCGAGGATAGCTCCCTGAAAAACTCCGGGGACATGTTAATAGTCTTTATTAATCCTGCGCAGGTTTAGGGTCTACCGCCATTCAAAGTGGGGCACACAATTCTAGGCTTTCGTCATTGTAGATTCTGACCACCATAAATGCTCTTATGCTCATGACGGGATTTCCCTAACCTACTCAAGGTACGCTTGGAGAAATTGGCGATATTCGCTTGTTGTGCGACATCGCAGGACTCGGTACATTGTTAGATTGCAATCACGCTGATCTGCAATGTGTACTCAGTGTGGAACGCCATGGAAGCCCCTGACGTGATTGGTGACTATATTCCTTGATCCTTCTTCATGAATGCATCTAAGGCCACCCAGAAATCCATTGTGGGTAAATGGTATTCTGTACCTGCTAAGGCTCAAATTGAGCGGTGGAATACTCGTTACGTTATCCCTATACTAAATGGCACAGTTAGAATTAGATTGAACACAACCGACTTGGTACAGTTCTGCGACGTACCCTCCGACACCTGGCACTCTGTATCCCCGGCGGCGTACAGGCTCAATCACCCGAGTGTTGTAGTTGCAGACGGGAGGATTTACCTGCTTAGCGGGCTTGTTGACATTGAGCCTAGCGAGGTTGACTGAGTTGCTTCAGGAGAGAGACACGTGTACGATCCCGAGACAGATTCATGGACAGAGCTGGAATCAATACCTCTTGGGATAGAGAGGGGAAGTGCCATCACGGGGGTGGACGGAGAGCTGATCTATGTCGGAGCTGGAATGACTGTACTGAATCTTGAGTATTAGGATGCTGTCACCATCTTCACTGCCATTAACACCACCTCGAGTGAATGGTAGAGCCTTACAGGCTTTGCTGTTAATATACTATAAGGTTGCCAGCACTTGATCGGTAGCGTCATGGGAGATCATCTCTACGGTATCGGTGGGCGTTGGTATAAGCGGTATAATGTCCGTGGGGAGGTCTACCTTCTCGATTTTAACGATGTCGACGCCGACTAGATAATAAGCTCCACCATTATGCCGAAATATCGTGGTGGTCTTTTTAGCATGACTACGGTGGGAAATAATTCCTGCACTTTTGGCCGTGAGGCGAATTTCAACTCGACGGATAGCATTTTTCCGCACTCTAAGGTCTTCATTGCTGAAGCTTAGATATGGAGGGCATTGATACGTATAGATGTGTCTCGTCACAGTACTAGTGCCGTTGCATTGGGTGACAGATCTATATACCTGGCGGTGGCCTTCAACAGGATGGTTTACCAGTTGTGATAGGCAGGTTAAACATTATCTCCAGATTACAGCTCATTTCGACGCTTGCCTCGTATGAAACTCTATGTGTTGAGGGTTCTGCTTCAGAGTAGGAAGGATGAATATTCTTCTTGCCTGGCCCACAGGAGACGCCACGCTCAGAAGGTGCCTGCACACGATGAAACTATTTGACCCGGTACCTTACCGTGTCTACCAAGGAAGTGGGGCGACGCAGGTCTACTGAGTCCAGAAGCTCTTGCCGGTTGCGGGACCATCTATACCTAAAATATTGACCACACTTACACATTAAACAAGAGGATACTTTCTTCTAATTTATGCCTTTTGTGAGAATTCCTTCTATTTCTTTTTACTGGCGGATGTTAAGTCATGACAGAAAAGGCCTGTGAGGCAAACCTAGGCGAGGCATAGTGAAAGAATAAGGTGGGGAAGAAAATAAATAGCACTCTCGGGCTTTGGGATGTGGTAGGTCATCGAAGACGAAGGTTGGGAGGGAGATCCCATATGCCCCCGTAGGACGTCTTGTACGAATCTGATAGAGTGGCCTTGCTGCCGCGCTTTGCTGCTGCGCTGTGCCAATCTCTGTGGTCAGCGTAACACAATATCTCGTGCATTACTCAGCCAGGGAGCCATATAGTAGACCACAGGTACTGGGTTTTCTTACTGGCGAGTGCGAGATGGATTGTCATTACGCCACGAAGCTCTCATAGAAGTTTGTGTTTCTAGCTGTCCCCAATATTCCTAATCGTCACAATCGGACTTAGTCTTCACTGAGTGAGCACTGAATACAAAACCAAACATTGAATGTAGACCGTGCTAAGCGGATTCGGAGTCCAAAGCGAGTATCGTCGCCTACCACTGGACTTACTCCATAAATCGCAAGCCCAGAGAGGGAGGAGTGGACTTATTCTCCTTGATCATGAGCTATAGATACGGCTTCGGCGCATAACTATGCCGAGTTCGGTAGCACCCGCTCCTTCCGCGGCTGTTAATTATTTCTCGAATCCCACTGACTTCAAGCCAGGATAGGATCATCGGTTACTACTTAACGAAGTAGCATTACCACTAACTACTGAGGTTCATATTCAACATGTCGGCTCCCCCAGTACTCCTCTTACTAGGCGCCGGCCCCAAACTTGGGACTAAGATTCCTGAAATTTTCCTCAAAGAGGGCTACAAGATCGCTCTTGTAGCACGCTCCTTCGAAGAAGGATACCAGGATAACGGATACTATCACGTGCGAGCAGATTTAAGCAATCCCGAATGCATCCTAGAAGTATTCGAAAAAGTCAGGCAAAACGTCGGCATCCCCACCGTTGTGGTGTACAACGCCGTTCAATACAAACTGGATGATCCTGAAGATCCTTTTGCTTCTCTTGCACCAGAATCCGTCCCACAGTTCCATACCGCAGTAGCAGTCAATGGAACCACACCGCTAATCGCTCTACACCACGCCATCGCTTCCTTCCGGGCCCTGCCTCCAGGCACCCCCGGGAAGACCTTTATCTTCACAGGAAATATCCTCAACCACTCTCAATTCAAGAACAGATTGTGCTTTGGGATCGCAAAAACGCTCTGTGCATACGGTATAAGGTTTGCTACGGTGGCTTACGCGAAAGAAGGGTTCAAGTAAGTCATTCACTCGGCGTGACCTCCAAATTTCATTTCAGCATCACAAAGACTCAATACTATTCGATTGCCTCTTAAACTTACTTACACCCCTGCCATCTCAAAGATTCTACTACGCCGACGAACGCACACCGTCGGGATTACCCGTTATGCGCGACATCAGCGGCGATGCGGCAGGAACAGAATATCTCAAGTTAGCAGAGGCTCCTACACAGCAACCCTGGTTATACACGTACACCAAGGACGGCGAGGGATACGTGGATTTCGGAGAGAAGGACTACTTGAAGACCGTTAACAGCGACGAGGCGCAGTTTTTGAAGGGCGGAAGATAAACTGACTTGCTTTTTGTGATATTGTAAGTGAAATGTCTGCAGGGCAGAACAACAGAACAATATTTAGTTAGAGAAAGAAAGAATCCTACTGTCAACCCACCCAAATGGCGCATACACCTACACAGACCACTGTCGGTCGTACAGGCAAAAGCACAGGTAATAGACGCTCATTTAGATAAGCAAACCTAATAGAGGGAGAGAGACTCAGCATTGGCAGGATCATTGCTAGGGAGTGATGTCGGAGTTGAAGATATTGGTAACCCGAGAGTGAAATTTCCCAGAGTGCATCATCTATAAACGCCCCAAAAGGACATTTAACTCAACATTGAGTGAGGCTGTATCTAAGATGTGGCTGGAGATGGACTGGACTACATCCAAAATGTCAGAAAATATACATCATTCATGGATATATAGCAAACTACTGTTGTCTGGATACCCTCCTAGCATCCTCAATATCAGCGGCACGATCCTATACATCCATGCTCCTTGACTCCATAGTTTGATTTGGCACCGGTGCATACGTGCCCCTACCATATCCTACATCATCCCCTGTATTCTCGCCCAGCTTACAATCCTCATTGAGGTCGTTCAGCCTTGCGAACTTCTTGTCCCTGTCCACCAGGACAGGCGTCTCATTTTCATCGTCATCCCAGGGCCCGATACCCCTAGCCTCAAATGCGGATTTCTGAAGCTGCAACGTGCCCGTGGTCTGCCAATCCTCTTTCCTTTTCTGACGGCGAGGTGACCTATTTCTCCACCAAAGAATATTCATCCAGAAGAGTTGCTGAATGAGAACGAAGTCGAGTAGAATAAGCAAGCTACCGACCCCGAGAATAATTCCCATTCCTAGCACGCTCACAGAGATATGCTCACTACTTCGTAGTTTCAGAGCGGTACAAAGATCGCGGAGGGCCGGGTCGGAAGGTACTCGAACCTGCGCGAGCGAGTTTAAACCTGGGCGAATCTCAAATTCGTTCGGGGATGCGAATTCGGAAACCCGCCGCTGGAGCACAGCCAGGGAGACATTGTGGAGGTTTCGGGCTTCGAGCTGCCAGTGGTTGGGCGGTAGAGCGGATGAGCCAACGCTGACAGTCGCCCATAACCAATCTTTCGCGAGTAGAAGCTCTGTACCGAGCACTTTGAACGACCATTGTAGACTCATAGATCGGGCTGGCATCCACAGGAGCTCGAAAATTGCTCTCTGTTTAGGGCTCAAGTCCAAGTCTCCGTCCTCAGAATTTAATGCGTGCTTAATTCCATAGAGTCCGGTAACAGGCGTGCACTGCGTGTTCCTAATATTGCAAAATTGATACTGCTCGGTGCAACCAAGTACGGACAAATCATCGGTCGCAGTGAAGAAGCCGGGTCCCCAGGATGAAGATTCGTTGTGGGCAGAAAAAAGTTCATCATCGACCATTTCACTGTACCTTGCCTTGTTGAAGATGGCAATTAGTGTGACATCGGCATTGGCGACCTGAAGGTCAGGAATTGGGATGAAGTCACTGGCTGTCTCGTTATCGTAATAGGATGTTTGGACCCTAACAACAATTAGAATCTTCAGGTGTAAACAAAGGAATAAGGTATAACTGCATCCGCTATGGTAATACCCACGTAGTAGTGGATAAAGATACTGGGAACTCACCGGATCGTGTATGGTTCTTGGACATATGTTTTCATGAACTCTGAAACGCAAAAGGTCGTGAGGTTTGTCGTGGAATTCTTAAATGTAGCGTCACATCCGTCGTTGTCACCGGAGGTAGGTTGCCCCATTTCGTAGAATTTTATCGTCGTATTCGTGCGCCCGTCACCGAGCGCTTCCGGTAAGTCCTCAATCCAATCCGTGGCGTATCGTTTGGCGCTAACAGGAGCACAGCTCGTTATCCTCCGTATTGTCATCGCGTCTGATTCCGGGGAGTTGATACCGAGATCCTCGTTGGAATGTATGGCTCCAGAATCGTATCTCACCGCCGACGACGTTGCACAAGTTTCCTCGTTTACAAAAGGGCATGAGGTATCGTTGACGGATGATGCGTTGACTCCGTGTAAGTACGGCTGTACGTAAACGTTGCAGCCGCCAGAAGCCCCATTGTCGTTGTTATTGTAGCACGAGCGAACATACGCCGCGCTCCTTGAGAGAGTCAAACGTCCCAGTAGGACTTGCGTGTTGAATGTGAGTAGTCCTTCTTCATCCAAATTCTCTGGCTCTACACCTCGAAGGTTCTCCACCTCATCAGGAAACCCGCAAATATCGCCGGTCATCAGCGCCTGTCCTGAAGCGGAGGTCGTCGTGACGCGGGACGAAAACAATCCTGCGACAGTAAAAAGGCTGATATGAATAGCGGAAACCAAAAGCAGCGGTAACGAGGTCCTTAAAGGCGCTTGAGGCTTCGCTTCTCCTACCCCTTTCCTGTTCTCCTTCCCCTTCCCTTTTCCTTTGCTTGTCCACGCGGACGCGGACGAGGCTATGGTCCAAAATGCGTTGGTTGCAGTCACAGAATTTCTAAGGATGGCCTGTTGTTGATGGAAAAGGCCATCTTTCGACGCTGCCACCGACCTCGTCTGGTGCAAGATGAAGCTAACCACGCGCCAGAAGCAGCTACCGGAATACTGTACGAACAGAGTGAGAAAGGAGACCAGAATCAAGCCTGCATATGCCGGCAGCGTAAGGGTAGCACCTCCAATCTTGCCATCCTCTGTTCACTTGATTAGCGCGTGATAATGAAAACGAGGGCGGTAGACTCACCCCAGTTCGTCCAGAATCCGTTGTGGAATTTATTACCCATACCTAGCGTATTTTACACTGGCTTGAGGCCATACTACGAGGAACAGAGCAACTCTGGACATTTAAATGGAAAACCGAGGACGAATGTCGGAGATTGAAAGATCGACGGCAAGGCGAACCCCGCCCCCAACCCCCATATGCGCGTGCGTAGTGGACGCCTTACCTTAAAATATGCTCTTGGCCAACAGGCTGAACCGAATGGGATTTTACGGCCCGTTTTAGCTGATTAATTCGTTGGTAGATAGAGGTAGGGGATGCCACTAGGAAGATTGTAACTCTAGCCTTGTATTCGTCCTGTAGTTTCAGAGGTTGGGCTTACAGAGAGTCGGCGCTTGTCTTCTATTCATTCTCGATATCACAGCGTACGGGCATCCTACGCCGCAATCCTAGAACACTAAGCCAAATTCGGAAGTATGTTACGACAGATATCCTGTTTGAGAGTTTTAAACGCGCTTGTTTTCCAGTCCGCATGAACGCCATGGCCACCAAGCCGTAGAGAAATGAACCACAAACTTATTGTCTCAGATGGCAGCGCACGCATCGTCAGGTGTTTACCGCCCCCAACATACCTTATTCCACGCCCTATCTCTACTTTCGATGTGGCAACATATGGATTGACTTCGGTGTTGCTGCCTGTCCTGCGCCTCGCCTGCGCACTGGCAAGGTTGAGATTTTTGTGGCTGAGAGGAGCTGGTGTAATGAGACTTTCGATTGCTGCAGAGAAGGCAGATGAAGCTGCCGTGGATATCGGCGACATCTTCGATAGTGTGAGCATCTTTCCAAAACCTGAGCCTCCTGAGTTCGAGCTGTGCGATATTGAAACGGTCACTCAACTGTAAGATCCCTTACGTGAAACCGCCACACCAGAATTGCCCTGCCCTTGCGCTTAGGGTCTCGCGGCTGAGATATTGGTGCTCAACTGCAACCCATGATCAAATTTAAGCCCAGCTCGATTAGTCTCCACTATCGGGGGCCCTCACTCAACATTACTTTAATTGAGGATAGTCATTATACACGGAATCGACAACGACTCCCTCTCTAATAAGACTACGTAGAAACTACGATACTACCATCCTCACCAGCCTTTGCTAACTAAGTACGCGATATATATAATAGACTAGAGATATAATGCGCGTATGAGAAGGAAGCTAGACAACGACAATGAGTGTAAAGCAGAGCCCAGCTGGGCGGCTGCTTCGACCCGGTTCCGCCACAACGATAACACAGTGGCACGGATCTGTGCTTGAGAGGGCTGCGACTGCGGCTGCGGCTATGTTGGACGAGATCCATCATTACCCCCCATCTCCCGGCCCAAGTCTCTCGACGATCAATACCCCAACACAATTGAGACGGATTGATGCCGGGTCTTACCCCCCGTGAACAATAAGCCCTGAGGAGGGTGTCAACACTAGGGACCCCTCCCGCCTGTGGGTAAAAAGCTTTTTAAGGATGCTACCACTACTGGGTGCCCCAGCTCCTGCGAGCTTATTGCTTCTAGGAGAGACCTGAATGTGGCGTCAATTCCAGAACATGGCGTCAATTTAGACCCACCTCTTGGGGGTTAACCGCTCGGGAGGTAGACGCAGACATTTAACCAAGACATCATACAGATCCGATTACTATCGGGCCCAACTTTGCGCTGAGTTGACGAGACTGCGACAAGAAAACAGGCAAAAGGTAACTGAAGAAGTAGATTGGTAGAAGAGTGTTGCTGGCAGCCTGTGCAAGAACTCCATGGACGCCTTCAGTCGATTCGTCATGACCAGAGCGGGTTCGCTCCCGACGAGCAGCGAAACTATTTAGTTTTCATCAGAGATGGCGAGCTGTTGATTTAGTAGAAGGTATCGCAGGGCCATCTAGGCGGCTCTTACCTCGAGCACACAGCGAATACCAGCCCACGATAAGCCTAAATCTATAGGGTCCGCATTAACAGGCGACAGCACCTACGGCTTTGAATCGGTTGAGCCAGTGCATCACCTTTTCAGCCTCCTCTTTCAAATCAGCTTTCCGCCCGGTAAATGTAAATGTCCATTCCTTCTCGTTGCAGTATCGTTATTTCTCGTCAATCGCAGCCAAAGCCTAGCGAAGCGCTAAGTCAGCGTCGTTGGAAGTCAGAGCGAAGGGCTAATCGATCGCTATCCGAAAGTCGCTTGAGCGTATTTTTTAAGATTAGGTTACTGGGGGAGGAATGAGGAGGCAACGCTGACGTTTGACTTGTTAGTAATAACGAGTCTACCTGGTGGGGCCTTACAATGTCAACACCTGCGCTGATGGTGAACTCGATGACATAATTGCTGATGTCATTTCCTGACTTGAAGGGCGGTGGCGGGGTTGGGTAGCGAAGCACAGCGCTGACTCCATATGAGGGAATTAGAGGCCCCGTGTAGGGTAAGAGATTAATGTAGGTGAGTGATATGTATGGTATTATCTCAGCGTGAGAGAGTGGCATAACTCGTCCATACGGCCAATGACAGCCTTGGCGCCAAGGCTCGGACCGGCGCTCTCGTACGCTAAGCTAAGCTTTGCGAGCGGAGGCATCCGCTCATAATTGCTTGACGATCTTCAACAAGTATAGTTGCTATAATCACCTAAGAGTGCTGATGATCCAGTAACCTAGGCAACTAACAATATCACGTGATGCCATTTACTCGTTTAGTTGTACAGCCTAGTTAGCATCGCCGGTTCCAATCAAGACCAACTACGGGTTCAACCCGTGACACACACAGCCCGCTGCGAAAACGACAAGGATAAGGTGATGGAGTCGGGTTGAGTGCAAAAGCCGGCATCAGGTTGTGTACTTCAGATCTTTGTCAAAAGGCTAAGTAGGGACGCGTCGATTATGGATCCGAGAGAGGCGAGATTTTCGAGTAGCGAGCGACGCGTCAAAAGCCCAGCTCAAGCAGAGGTCGAAGACTCGTACCAATGGACTCGTACTTAAGATTGGAGAAGCTTCCTAGGTGGTTATGGGGAGGCGGCAACTTTGCTATGCGCCTAATCTCAAGAGCTTGGTATGCGACGGGGCCCTAGGCTCACTCTTCTCTAGGTATTACACGCAGTACTCTGCAGCTTTTTCGGCTGTTCCTACTACCAAACTCCCGCGCTCCCTCGTCGTGGTACTCATTACTCATATGAACTCATGCAACAACTGCAACACATTGCGATGACCTACTCAGTTTTGTTGCCTAATGCTAGTGGCCTTACTCCTGACAACGAGCAACCTCCTCCTCAACTGTCACAATCATGCCCTGGCCTTCTCAATGCACCGAAACCCTTCATGCCTAAGAAATCCACATACCTGGATCGTGCACCCCGCCATCCCGTAGCCTGTCAGTGGCCCTCCCAAATCACTTCAGTGGACTCCCTACACATGACTTGCTCCTGACCTTATGGAACATCATGAACGGTCAGCTATCGTTGACTCCTTCTCGCTTTGGAGCCATGGAGGGCTCTGGTCTACACTCTTGAGGCCGATCCCCAGTGACAAGCGACGTTCATACGCTGGGCAATATAGTAATATACATCTCGCTTGCTCGCGAGAAACCAACATCCATGATCCTCACAGCTCGGGTCTATGACAGAGCCTGGATAGAGGAAAGTACGTAGAGACAGGAAAGAGACGGAGCGCCTACGATGTTCTCATACTGGGCGAGGAGATCCTTTCCACTCGTGTCTGAGCCTCTCTCACTGGTTTCCTCTCACACACCCCTACAAACGGCGAGCACTACGTCTTGGAGAAGAGTAAGGGTTAAAAGCAGGGACAGGCTCGGTCCAGCGTCTTACGTGTACGCGTGTTAATCTTGGGGAGCGGCACACTATCTCAGCCCACTCGAGCCCAGGGAGTTCTCAGTGCCGCCCGTGCAATGTTTCCGTCAAGATCTATTGCATCATCATCGACCACCCTTTGTCGCAGAGCACGCCGATTCCCAGAGAGTCTTTTCTTAGCTACCCTTTTCTGTGTCACCAGTTGCCAGTTGCAACTTACCTTACAACCTGTTCGCACGCCCTCCATTTCATGCACCCGCCCGACTTCCTCCATGTTACAGGAGCACTAGGAGCATCTCAGTTGATCTCACATTTAGCCTCGCTCAGCATCGAAACCCTCTACGAATAGCCAAGGAGCAAGAGATGTGGCACAGTAACATCACTTCCATTCAGCATTTTACTGCTTCTTGAGAAGTTCGTCCCGATTCCTTCCGAAACTACTCTCCCAAGCAGCAGAGGCCATTCATTCACAGGTTCACGAATTCCTGCTTGACATAGCCGGCGGATGCTATTTCATCACCGAAATGGACGGACTTCGAAAACTATCGGAGAGGTCTTATCTCGAGATGATTGCCAGCCTGACGCAGACAGAGTCGATCACTGCATTCGAGTTAGGTCATCCATCCCACTGGGTGGATTATCGATGCAACTAATGCTATGTCTGAGATGCGCTTAAGACCTAGATCAAATATCTCAAGACATGGCCAGCTCCTAGCAGCCGCCCCCTCAATTTCAATTCCATTTGGACAAAGACCTCAAGTACTCCCAGACAATACTAGTTTCTACGTCCCGGTCAGGTTAGCAATGGGACACCTGGCTTGTGAATCGGACACATCTCCGGTCAGCCCTTATTGACCGAGGCTAAGCTACGAGCAGTTGGTCAAAGCGCGATTCTGGCCTTCCAAACCGTTGGCAAAACATCTTCTGTGACGTGGATGCAAATAGCGCAGTTAACACATCCAATAGCTGATGTACCTGCTATTTGTGTCCCCGCTGCCGCCTGCCTATGACAGATTACCCTCGTTGGCAACAGCGTTCCGGTCATGGCAAGTCCATCGGCTGAATATATCGAGACTAGTCTAGCAGCGCGGCGTTCATTGTTCTGGGCAGGAGCTTGGGCTACTGTCCCGCTCGACTTTGATACGTTGATGCCAGATAACATTCGATACGTCTGTACGCGACTTAGCCATCAGTCTCCTGGAATTCAGCACCTTGCACCTTTTCCTTGTTTGAAGGAAGCATCACAAGATCATGCATGATTTCTGGAAACATAGTTGCCCTGCCATTGGAGCTGTCAGCCGAGTTCTCGCGCGAAATGTGGGACGGCTTCCATCTTTCAGCGAGCCATTGCCTTCTCGTCCAGATCAGACACTTCCCTTCGAGCAAGATCAGCAATAGAGCTTGCAGTTTTCCCACCCGAACCGACGCATTTCTATACTCCGAACGCAATCGCAGTAGTAGCTCCGCCTCCCCAGCTGGCAACTTCTGTATAATTGCCCATAGCCGCTTTCCAGACGAATGGTCCTATACGATTTCTAACGATTCCTAAAAGCCATCTACCTACGAAATGTTCTCTTTGCAGAAATATCGGTCGAAGGAGAGCGGCTCGCTGTTCCTGTCGATCCTCACTCTACCTTCTCCAATCAAAGTTTCTGAAAAAGGTCAAATTCTCAAAGTAAATATTGGGGGCCAAATGTTTGAGATCCCACTAGATATTCCTCATCGATCTCCATCTGGATAGCAATGTTGAAACGCCCATCTCTGGGAGGTTGACAGGAAGCTACCCAAAGTGCCAATCCCAGCCATCCACCGCATTGTCGTTTCCGTTGTCAACCCTGTCCGATGGTGAAGTATCTATCACCAGCTCCCGTTTCTGGCGACCCGGATTCACACCTGGACGTATATCCGTTGTTTAAGATGGCAACAAACGCTTTTCGAAGGAAGAATTCTCTTCCTTAGTAAGGCTCCATGATTTCATAATGATTCCCTGCAAGATGAATCCGGCCTTCGCCGGTATTTTCTCTTACCATTTCGTTCTCATGTTGAGGTTTCTACTCGATCATGTATAAGAAGAGACAATGGCTTTGCAACACAACGAAGAGTTGAGGCGCAAATCAATACCAACTGTTTTGGCTCTGTGCTTTTCTTGGACATCGTCGATACAACATGGTGTTGGTGAGATCAAGGACAACATTTCAACATATTACTGCGATTTCCTTTGTGCTGCAGCTGATAGGAGAAGTCTAGGTCTAACTTTTCATGTCGTTGGTACCTGAAACGCCATAAGACATCGAGGATAGCTGAAAGCCCAATCTCCAGGTCTACGGATAATCAAATTAATTGGCACTAAGGAATAGCCCGCAACGCAAGGGGAGCAGAATTGATGCGGGAGCTTAGAGGCTGGCGTGATATTTGATGTCGCTGTCACCGACGCATGCCATTGTGGTGGCCGATTTGAAAAGACGGCAACACTAGCGGGAGCACTGTGAGTAAAGGCAAACAAAATAGAAAGAGCCTCGAGTACATCCATGGATCGTCACGGCGCCGTTCCCAAGACGCAAAACACAGGCAGGCCGGAATATCAGTCAGATGAGAGATCACGTGTTTCGCAAGATGCTGCCCATCTGGGCTTAGCAGTTGCCACGCCATTGGTGCTGTGGCACCCATGTGGGACCCGCTAGGATGTTGAATACAAGATATGACCAAGATATATCCCTCTTCAGCCTCGACATCCCCACCGGCTGCTGAAGAGGTTTGAGAATCCTCACTTCTCGAATATGCCTCACAATTCGCCATTGCACGTACGGGGTTACAAGTTGCGAACTTTTGCAATCGTCCAGGAGGTGTTGCCTAATTTTGTCTTCAGCTTAGGCCCTGCCAGATATGAGACAGGTGGGCCTTTCGATCCTTGGATACCTCCTTGCTGTGTGTATATATATGGAGAATTGAAACATGCCCCTCATGATCTGGATCCTCCCAGCATTTTATGCGCTGCTCCTGCACATCCATTGCTAGTGTCACAGTGTCCAGTCGCGTCAGCTTAAGCCAGCATGGGACGCCTCCAGCTGCGACTTCATGCAATTGCCTGCCTCCTCGGTGCCATGCCTATCATGGCTGAAGTCGTCCAGCCTCGTGTCGATGAGAGCAATTCAACTATGTCTCTCCCTTCCACCGCGCCGAGCTACTTCCGAGATTCATCCTTTTCGAGTATCCTTTATGGCCATATCGGGCTGACGCTGCTGGCTTGGATAGGGTGTTTTCCGATTTGTAGGTACTTCGGCATCTCCTATTCTAAGCCGTTGTACCTCCAGTGAGCTGATGGTACCAGTTTTGACATTAAATGTCGCACAGTCCAATCTCGCCTACCCCTCCCAAATAGTTTTCTTGGGACTGAACGCCACCGGAGCAGTCTTTGGATTGGCATATAGCAGCAAAACTCCAACCCTATATCCCGGGAATGCACACTCTTCCATTGGTTGGGTGTTAACAGGGATTGCTGTATCTCAGTTCCTCGTAAGAATTATGAGAAGCTGCTTGCGATACAGGTCCACGAGAGCCGTTAGCACTACAGTCCATCACGAAGAGCAGCAGTTGTTGTCATCATCGAGCTCTTGGAATGGCTCCGATCAGCGTCTTTGCGAGGATCTGGATGATCGAGATGCTTCAAACTCACCCAGCGCACCATACTTGTTCAAAGAACGGAGAGGCACCACCAATGGCGGCTCTCAGCATACGTACCGAGCCATCCTCCAGCTCTTCCGCGCTGTACTGGGCAATCAAGGCCGCAAGAAGGTCCTCGGGATCAAACGCGAGTCCGGGTTCATCGGCTCCATAGCGTTCGGTTCAATGATGGACAAGACATCCACAGCGCTCAGCGTCGTGTTGCTGATCCTGGCGTTCGTGACTATTTGTACGGGGCTAGTGATAATGGCTGGAATATTCGTGAGCCTGGGTCGCCTTTCAATTCCATCTGTCTAGGCATACTGACTGAATATAGCATGGGAAACATATCTTCAATGGCCTAGCGCATTTTATCAAGGGTGGAGTTTTTTTTAGTTTTGGTATCATTACTTTGTGGCGCTGGATGGGCAGCTTTTCAGGCTTGGGATGGGCTTGGAACCTTAAACACGTCGCCGAGCTTCCACGTCATGGTCAAGGTCGGACCCTTACCATGGAAGGCCTAGAGAGTTTTCTTATCTTGCTATATGGAATCTCGAATGTCTTTCTTGAGCACCTGTCGGCTTGGGGAGAGGGCTGGGTGGCGCAAGACTTCGAACATGTTGCGATCTCGGTTTTGTTTATCGGTGGCGGATTGGCGAGTCCCTTCAATGAGCCCTCAATGGACCCGAAATCATGCTGACTGTTACTTAGTGCGGCGTTATGGTTGAACATCAGGGTTTTGGAAAGTTATGGAGGCAGTCATCGACCACGCCTGATGCGTCGCACACCACGGAGAGGAAACGGAATTTGAGTCCCGGGTACTCTATAAACCCGATCAATCCATTAATCATTTTTCTCTTGGGCAGAATCCTCGGGGGTCACCACCAGGGGAACATCCAGTCTACCATGATGCATCAATGGGTAAGCTTTCCTGCTTTCCTGATCTCTTGCACGTACCTCCTTAGCTCACCGATTGGCAGGTCGGCAACCTGCTCACAGGAGCAGCAGCAGCAAGATGTTTTACGTACCTGGTGCTGTATCTGGCGCCTCCCACGTCCACGTCGCCTTCTCGGATCCCTTCGGAGTTTGTCACCTCGTTCTGTCTTATGGCGGCAGGCATCATGTTGATGGCCAGCGTAAGTCTACAGTCTACTCCTCCACAACCCCTGGCTCATATGTCAGCGGCTAACGCTCCACGTGTTCGTCAGAACCGAGACACAGTTGACGCTATGGTCGAGTATGATGTTAACGCGATGGTGGCTGCTACCGTGGCAATGAGTATGACGGCTGCATCAATGGCCTGGTCTATGGCCTTGGTCGCCGTGAGACAGTGGGCTGAGAAGAAAGAAATGCAGTACAAAGAAAGCGTCGTTCCGATCCGTGTCAGGTGAGGGCGAATATTTTGTGGGCCGAGAGAATCAAACTTCGGGTTGACAGGTCAGGTATATCTCCAGCCCGCACGCACCAGGAAGGAGCATGTCTGAACATTGGATTGACTGTGAACTCTTCTAGAGCTTCAAGAGAGATAATTAGGTAGTTAGGCCAGTATGGGGAACCTTTGATTAATGGGTCTAATAAAATTCCGGTTTGTTTCTTAGGTAGGAGTCGAATACAGTCGAAGGTACGTGGGCACGATCCGTTGGTTGGAGTTAAGGTAGCCCATATAGGGGGCTGGGCACTGCTAGGTACCTATCTACGGGTGCCTAGATGGCTACGTATGCCTAGGAAGGTACCTTGAGGCACCAAGTCTTAGGTATGTCGGCACAGTCACTGGGGGCTAAAGGGGCTTCCGGTAGGCCTGGGTGTCCTGATACCACCCCTATACTGACGGCCAGCTAGCTGCTAGTGCTGACCGCCAGATATATCTTGGTATTGCTTGGCAGGAGCCTGGCCCGGACGTATTCCGAGACTTGGCACCGCGTGGACGTCAACTACGTGCCCGGTACACGCATGCGTCATCATACATTGCCAAGATCGATGGCACTAAGAATTAGCTAGAGCGACAAAGACTTGCACAGCGACTTCTCAATATAACGCCGAAACGTATCCTCTGTATAGGTAGTCATGGTGGGTGTTGCGGGAAAGTCCAAGGCTTGCAAGACTTGCAAGAAACGAAAGGTTCGGGTAAGTCTCGGATTCGTGTCGTCTGTTCTGCAAGGATGGGTATTAAATGGTTGGCAGTGTGAAGGAGAAAAACCGACTTGCGATCGATGCAGAAAGGGGGGTCGTATCTGTGAAGGTTATGAGCCGGAGCGGCAGTTCCAGTTCAAGCATCTCAGTGCTTTGGATCATGACGCCTTGCTGGCACGCAGCCAGCCTCTGACTTCGTTGACAGAGCTCTCGTACGTGCGCGTGCTCCATGGCAACCCCGCTATCGACGAGCAGGGTCATGTTACCAACGACACCGTGAAGACGAAAGAGCACAGTTGTGAACACCTAAGAAGAAGTGTATCACAGACCTCAGAATTGTTCCTCAATTACCTGTACAACTACTTGCTCAAGGAAGCTCGGGAAGACGACAACTACCAGACGCCCGTGTCGTGCCTACAAGCTATTGGCCCATTGCGAAGGAGGAATTCCTCGCTAGATCTTGCAATGTCCGCATTAAGCATGGTTCGCCTTGGTCGGAACTGCGGCAATGAGCAGCTCCATAGTGAAGGGGTGGCCAACTACGGTAGAGTGCTGAAAGATCTCCAGAACATCCTCTCTAGTGACAGTCGCGCCCTAGACGAGCAAACTCTGGCGAGTTGCATGATTCTAAGTCTTTTTGAGGTTTATCACTCCAACTATAGTCTACGTGTTACCAGGCTAATTATGGAACGACCAGGCGACGGAGGTCTCCGGCGGCAATGTTTACTGGTGGGCGAGCCACGTTGAAGGTGTCTCAAGACTGTTACAACTTCGAGGCTCAAAGCTACATATCGACGAACCGAGTCATCGTTTGTTTTTGGGCTTTCGACCCACTGCCGTAAGTGTTTTCAAGGCTTTTCTCTAATGTGAAGTGTGCGAACAGCAGCTCATTCCCCTTCGCAGATCATCTACGCGTTGGCTCTACGCAAGCCGACGTACTTGGGTGAGACAGACTGGCTGACGACACCCTGGACCACGAAATCCAAATCAGATTTCCACTACATGCTGGACATAATAGCGCAAATTCCGATCCTTGTCAACCAGACGGAACGGGTCCACGAAGTCTCCCAGTCCAATATTTCCGTTGCGAAGAGAATGGAGCTTCTAGAAGAGGCATGGGACCTACACCGACAACTCGAGGTTTGGTATCAAGAACTCCGGAAGAAAGTTTTCGAGCCGCTCTACAGCGAGCGGCCCTCCTCGCTCTCCTGGCTTAGCCCGCTTCCCCCGGACCTGGGAACGGTGTTTCCGACCTTACACTTTCAAACCTTTGAGATCGCACGGTTGCATCTATTATACTGGACTGCACTCCTCTTGCTCTATGATAATATCCTGAAAACAATATATCCTCCACTGGATCCGAATGATCTTAGTTCTGCTTCTTCCTCCCGCTATCCGACCATTCTACTTATGACTAATAAACCCGCCGTTCGGAGAAGAGCTTTAGAAACCGCAAAACTCATTGCTCGGTCAATGGAGTTTCTCCTCTTGGAAGAGAATCAAGAGATGCATCTTCGCGGACCCCTAAATGCATTTTTCCCTTTACGGACCGCAATACATATATTCGAAAGCGTACAGCAGTATAGAATCGAGTCATGGTGTCGCTCGTTGTTTGACAGACTCGCCCAACGAGGCTATCCCCTTGGGCAGATTCTATGTGGCTGGAAATGGGACGATATACCTATATTTCTATCTAGGAGTTCTTTAGAAACATAATCTAATCCGTCTATCTATTATATACCTTCGATTTATAGAATTAAACCGATGGTTACTATAGTATAGATAGATACGTAAGAATCTAAAGCGATTTATCTCTAGATATTATAATAGCTATTATAGAGTATCTATCACGAATACTAAGACTGACGCACGTAACTAGCTAGTATATCGTACGCGAGACGCGTACGAAGCTCCCCTAAGCTTCTTACGCTTCGAATCGATATCGATACTACCACTATAGTTAGATAGAAATCCGTCGATATAGCTCTTTCGAATAGCTCCCGCTCATTCCTAATAGTATCCTTAAGATTTTAAGAGTCTTATAGTTTATACCTTAGTCCCTAAGACTCTAGAGTATCTAGTATAAGGGTTTTAATAGGAGCTTATTTAACTACTATAGTGTTATAATCCGAGCTATAAGTAGTTCTAACTAAGGTAGGGTTCCTTAATAGAGTGGATACTAGAGTGCTGACCAAGATAATAAAGGGAATACTTATTCGTCGGACCGTATCCTAAAATGTAGGTATAGGATTACTAACGAAGTTAACTACGAACTATACTATCTAGGTAAAGGAGCGTATATATATAATGTTTAAAGTACTACTTTAGTGCTTTACTATATTATTCTAATATACTAATACATTAATATACCCCCTAGTTACGCGATGCGGCCTCGTTCTCTATCGGCCGACCTTTCTTAAACTATCCCTTAGAACGTAGGGCGCCTATTCCGGCGACCTTATCTATAACCTAGTTCGTAATACTATCCCCTCCTTTAGTCTACGTTATCCTTAACGTACTTAAGGTAGTCGCCCTCCTTTTATTATAATCCTCGCTCCTTCTTCCTTATAGCTAACTATATCGCCCTTAGGTATTAAGAAGAGCTATCGATCCTCTAAATCCGTACGCGACTAGAACGCGCGTCGCCTTAAAATTACGGACGCTATATCTTCCGATCCTAAAAACGTCGCTATAGTTACTTATACCGAGTATATTAACTATAACGTTACCTATTATTATAATCGAGAGTAGTCGGTAAAATACTCTAAGTATCTTCGGTACTAACGAAACTACGATAGTACCTTTTCCGTAGAGGAATTCCGAAAAGTTAGAGAGTAAAAGAAATAGTTAGTCTCGAAGTTCCGTACTAAGCGACGCGAGATCGCTCGCCTCCGTAAGGTCCTTACGGAGCTAGAAGAGCGCGACACCGATATCTAGGACTCTCTAGCTAAACTAGAAGACTAGTCTAATCGTATACTCCGTCGAGAAATAGAGATATTAGGTATTTTCGAGTTCGTAGAGGCGTCCGCTAGCGTTAGTTATAAGCTAGCCCTAGCCGAGCCCGATTTTATTTTTAACGGTTAGTTCGTAACTAATTTAATAAATTAGGGATAGGTCCTAGGTTTCCTAAATAATACCGAGCTACTAGTTTCGAGTTAAGGTTTATCTCTAGTTTCTAAGTATTTTCTTCTTCTAGGTATCCTAACTATTTAATTAGGTATTCTATCTAATTATTTTCTTACCTATACTAGAGTATAGTTTCTATATTATAATAGGGTTCTTAGGTTTCTTTATCGATATATACTAGTCTTAGTCTAGCTCCGCCTAGTACTTTCTCTAATAGCGATTTATAGAATACTAGATATATATTTAGTCCTCCTAGTAAGTATAGCTTATAGGAGACTAGTCCTAATATCTTTTTAATTCGGTATAGCCTAATCTTCGTATAATCTAGTTTTTTACTTAGTCTTTATATTTTTATATTTTTTATATTAATATAAACTATCTCTCCCTCCTAGAAGTCTAGTCCCTTAGATCTTTTCTTATTTACTATTTTTATAGTTATTTTTAATATTTTATCTAACTTTATCTTTAGTATAAAGTATAACTTATATAAGTCTTCGACTTTTATCCTTATCCTTTCCGCTATAGGTCTATCGCCTAATAGTTCTTTCTTAAAGTTTAGGTATCTCCCGTAGTTCGTAAAGAACAATAATATTCCGGTTACCGATACATTATTATTAAAAGCGAATTAAGCTATTAGTAATAGCTCGACCTAATTCTTTTATTAGTAGTCTATATAGTATCGTAGATATTATTCTATCGCCTAATTTATTCTTTTCGTTTATCTATCTATCTATAAATAATATAACGTTAATATTTTATATTTAATTTCTAATAAGCCGGTTAACGACTACTAAAACTATAAATTAAATAGTTTATCCCTATCTATAATAATAATCTCTAGTATTCTATATTATACGAATACTATTCTCGTAACCGCGTATACTAGTTCCTCTACTATCGATACTTCTTTATATAGTAGTAGGTAAATATATTTTATTAGTATATCGTTTATTATAAGTATACTATTATATATCGTACTCGTTATAGGCTCTTTCGATAGTAGTAGCTTAACTATAAAGTCTATTACGATCCTAGACTATACCTTATCTATATTCTCCGCTAATTATAGTAGCCCGTATAGTTTATATCTTACGTATTTAGCTTTATAGTATATATCGTAATTCTTAACATATTCCTCGACATTTCTTCTTAACCCTTTCTAGGTAAAGTCTCGCGTTACTAGTTCGATTATCTTATTAATACCTAGATATTTCGTACTTTTATTATTATACCTTACTTATATTATCCTCTATTTTTATTCTAGTATTAATTCTATTTCTAATATTATAAGTATTCTTATTTTTATTTTTCTATATATTAGGTAATTTCCCTTTTTCTCTAGGAGCGCTACTAGCTCTAGCTTTAACCCTTCTATATAGTTCGTTCTTCGACTAAGGGTATCGACTATAATATTCTCTATTCCTCGAATATATATAATTTTAAAATCGTAAGAGGCTAGAGTTTTAGTCTATTTAACTTATCTTCTATTAAGTTCTTTAGTTATCGTCTAATATATTAAATTTTTATAGTCTAAGTATATTTATACTAGATACTTAGCTCCCTCTAGGTATACTCTCTATATTTTTAGATATTCTACTACTACGAGTAGTTCCTTATCGTAGATATCGTAATTTACTTCGGGTCCGCTTAACTTCCTTAAATAATATACTACTAGATAAAGCTTCCCTTATTCGTCTCTTTACTTAAGGTAACCTCCTATTACTTTATTTAAGGCGTCTATTTCTACGGTTACTTCCTTTTCTAGGTCGAAAATATATAAGATTAGCGCGGTCGTTATTCTCCGCTTTAGCTCTTTAAAGGCGTTTTTATATTTTTCCCTAAAATTAAAGGTTATTTCCTTCTTAGTTAAGTTAGTAACTAGTACTACGATCCTTAAGAAGTCTTTAATAAACTTTCGGTAATAATTAATTAATTCGTAGAACGCTTATACCTCCTTAACTATCGTTAGTTCTAGCTATTTATTAATAGCTTAGACTTTTTCTTAATTCGATATAAGTCCTTTCGAAGATATAATATAGCCTAGGAATCTAATACTATTCTTATAGAATTCGTATTTAAATAGCTTAAGTAGAATTCTATTTTCCTTTAGCTTTTCTATTACTTTCTTTATATACTCTATATATTCCTTATAAGTCTTTAAGAAGATTAGAATATCGTCGAGGTAGATAATAACGAACGTATCTAAATATTCTCTTAGAGTATTATTTATAAATTCTTAAAACGTTAATAGTATATTAGTAAGTCTAAAAGGTATAACTAGAAATTCGTAGACCCCCTATTTCGTTTAGAATACCGTCTTCTATTCTTCTTCGTTAACTATTCTAATTAGGTAATAGGCGTCTCTAGTATTTAACGCGGTAAACTATACGACGCCTAGGAGGCGATCCTATAGTTTATTCTATCGGAGAATAGAATAATAGTCCTTAATAGTTTTATTATTAAGTAGTCTATAGTCGATATATAGTCGTAGTAATCTATTCTTCTTTATTATAAAGAGTATAGTATAGAATATAGATTCGTATTTTTCTACCTTTAGTTAGCTTCTTCTAATTAAGCCCTTTACTTCTAGTTTCTCGATATAATCTTTTAGGAAGTCTTCTTCTTTCTTTAAGAGTAAGTTTAATTATTCCTTATAGCGAAGTACCTCTCCTTCTCTTATAGATATTTAGTAATCCTAAAGCTAATATCCTAGAAGCGCTACTTTACCTTCCTTTTCTATAAATAGTTCTTTATATTTCGTATATTCCGAAGGTAGCTCTTCGATATTAGTTTAAGCTAATATTCTACCTCTTAGTCGTACCTATATCGCCTTTACGAAGGAAACCTTTAAAGATAATCAGTCTTCTATTTTCGTTCCGTAACTATAATTCGGAAATTCGAATTTTCTTATTTTCTAGTTTATTTAGGAGTTATATTTTTCTAGCTACTCTATTCCTAGTATAGCGTTATATTTTATCGCTATTATATCTAGGATTATTCTTTTCTAATAGGTTTCTATTAGTAGTTCGATCTATCGTAGTTCTTTTCTTATCTATTCGTCCTCGAATTCTATTAGCGACTCGTCTACTATCGTAAGTCGATATAGTTCTATCTTCGCCTTTATATAGTCTTTTAACCTTTATACTACGTAGTATAAGATATAATTCCCGTTTATTCCGGAGTCTACTATAAGTCGTATAGAAAGGTTCTATAGAACGGCCGTAAGGACTATATATTCCGCTTTACCTCTATTTAATTTATATAGAGTCTAAGGCTATTACCGTAGGTAACCTAGCCTTAATAGATTATTCCTTCGTCGTTTTTTAAATATACGTATAGCTTTAACCCTACCGCGTAAGTATCCTTACTATACTTATCTATTAATCGGTATATTATTTTACTAATCGGAATTCGGAGTCGATTAGGACTTATATTCTATAGGTATTAGTATAGCTTAAAATACTATTAGTAGCTTCTTTCCGTATAGCTAAAATAACCGAATAAGTATATCGAGTCTACTTATCTATCGATATAAGGTATATCCTCCTTCTTATCTTCCTATATCGTATATAAGTTCCGTATCGTCGGGG